GACGTAGTTGGATAGGTAGTGGTGTTTTCATGCCTTCTGGGAAGTTCACAAACCAGCTTGAGGAGGGAGTATCAGGGTTGACAGCGCTTGAAGTGGTCTCGCTAATAGATGTGGGCTTAAGCCCTGTAGTTTCGCTTATTTCTGAGGACAGAAGTGTAGGATTGACGGGGATTAGAGAGTATTGGCCATTCAAGATTTGGCCAATTTTCCTTGGCACATTGGTAACTCGATATGAGACCCATCGGGAGCTGCGTTCTATCTGGCAGTTAACAAAGAATGCAGAGATAATCTCTTTCTGGGCCTCAAGGGCTAGGAGGGCTTCCGGAGATGAGGGACATAGTGCAAAGCCAGTCTTTGTGGTTTGAACTTCTTTTAGTGCTGCACTGTTTGAGTTTAGTTGAGACCTTAGGCTAGAGTAGATAGCGTAGGCTTCCATTTTTCTAGCTGCATGATCAGCTGGGAGACGTACGAAGAGCCGATTGTCAGGAAGGGGTTGTTTAATCAGAGGCATAGGCTTTTTAGCAGGGGCTTTAGAGTGAGTGGTGGGAGTTGATTTGGCTGGGGCATGTTGGGTAATAGTCGCATAAGTTGACTGTTCAAGACCTGAGGGGGGGCGTGAGAGAGGGGGTGAGGGGAGGAAGGAATTTGGGGTGAGGGAAGGGGAAGAGGATAGGGCAGGGGGAATGGAGGTCGTCGAGATACCGCTAATGTAGGCGTTGAAATGTTGTTGGGCTATTGAGGCGAGGTCATCGCTTAGAGCGGTGAGGGCTCTCAGTAGGTGAGGGGCAAGGCCGGCGGTTTGGCTGCGGTGTTTGTCGAGGAATGCAGCTATAGGGCTGAAGATCTTCTGTCCTTCAGAAGCTCTTGTCGTGGCTGCAAACGTGGATTCCAGGAGGGCTGTCTGTAGAGGGCCATCTGTACCAGAGCCTTTACGCGCCATGGTGTTGCCAGGCGCGTTGAGACGCGTCAACGGTCGCGCTCTTGGGAGCTAAGTAGTAGAGAGGGGTGAGGAATTTGAGCCTCTGACTGTTTGATATGAATAATTAAAAAGGAAGTCGCCTATCAACTCGAAATCGAGGGCGGTTGTGTCTGCGGATATTGAACGAAGGGGAGTGTAAAGAATCTGACCGTAAGGTCACGTGACACTAGTCGTTCCGAGACTAGCTATAGCTTCAACCCCTGAGTTGTAGGTAACTAGAAGACAGACAAGCAATACACAGAGATTCAACGCATCGAATCATCTCCTTATTAATACTTACAAGCAACTGATCATTGATCACTATTACTGAACGATATTAATCCTCTGAGTCTATACGATCTATTCACCGATTTATTTACAATCTGAATGTTATTTTTATTCTTTTTCTATAAATAATAATGTTTCATTGAGCAGGCTTTTCAAGTCTCTATTCGTGGGGCATTGTCGCTTAACCATCTCATGGCATCAAACGGATAGATACGGTCAAACTATTTTGAGCCTGCAATTGCTTCCATAGCATGGACTGATGCAGATGCGGAAGAAGCTTCTGTAACATTGCTTTTCTTTTCAAAGCGCACCTGCAGCGTCGTGCTGGTGTCTTTCTCTGCCAGACCCTGATCCCTGACAAGTAGTGCACAGAGGCCACAAATACCAATGAGTGGCGCATACACGATGAAGATCAGATGGATTCCATGCATGTAAGCATCTAGCACAGCAGTTCGCTGTTCTACTGTCAACCCTAGACTATCAAGAGAGTGTGCGGAAGAAGTGAGTTGTGAAGCGATATCATTGCTGACCACACCATTCAGCCGCGACTGTAGCACGTTATTGAGAATAGTCCCAGATACTGTCAAACCCAGCGTACCACCCATTGTCCGGAGGAAATTGCGTAGCGAGTTTAGAACAGCACGGTCAGCTCGTCTACTATGTGCTAGGATGGCAACGAGACTCGGCTGGAAGCAGCCACCAGTTCCCAAACCTTGGAAAAAGCCCACAAGACAAACAACCCATATAGGACTCGCGGCAGAGTAAAATATCTGACCAATTAGTCCGGCCATCCAGATGAATTGCGAGGTGATCATGACGGGGTTGTAGTGTCCCGTGCGGGATATAATAAGCCCAGATATAATAGACCCAATGCCCTGGGTGCCTACCATTGGCATGATGATGGCACCGGCGAGAGTAGAAGAGTATCCTCGCACATTCTGAAGGTAGATAGGCATGTAGAAAAGGTTTCCCCAGAATACAAACCCGTACAAGACGTTTTGTATGAGCAACAGGTTGCAGGAGAAATCGACAGTGAATAGATGTACTATGGAAGCGTTTTTAGCAATTAGCTAGGAAGGGAATTACCGAACTTACATGGCATTATGGGCAGAGATGCAAATTTTCCCTCCACAGCGAGGAATACGAGTATGACAAAACCCCCCACCACAAGCATGGCGATTGCTTGAGCGCTGCTCCACGAGATTGTAGAACCACCACGAGATAAAGGAATCTTTAAGAGGTTGCAACATGTTAGATTTCATACACTTGAGGCCAGATAATATGGGCACCTACCACAAGGAGGACAATAGCTGCAATACTGATAAAGAGCCCAGCCCAATCGATCATTTTTATTTTCGATTGTGTATTGACTCCCTTCGGACCACCAGGAAGAGTGATATATAGGAGCACAATTAGAAAAATAAGCCATGGCACATCGTACCAGAGACTATGAGAATCCGAATTATCATCAGTGAACCGCTCATAAATAACCAATCGAAGACTTACGTCCATCTCCAGGACACATGTGCGGTGATGGCACCTCCAATTAGCGGTCCCATTCCACTACCACAAGCAACAGCGGCACCTATAAAGCCGTTGTACTTGCCGCGCTGTTGTAGTGTCGTGACATCACTGGCAATTATCATCACCAGAGCAGTGCTGACTTGTATGTTAGTTTTCTAACTCTCAAATACATCAAGTCTTACTGACATCGCCCCGCCACCAATGCCGCTGACTGCCCTGAATGCAAACAGCATTCCCGGGCTGGTCGAAAACCCGGCCACCAGGTTCCCGACGGCGAGAATCAACAGACTCGTAATGAGTAGTCGCTTGCGGCCAAAGATGTCGCTAAGCCGCCCATTAGCAAGTTGCACAGCCGTTGTGGCAAGCAGGTAAGCTGTCGCAACCCATGGCAGTGAGGCCCCCAGGCCGAGTGCGTCACCGATGGCTGGGACGGCAGTCGAAATGGAAGTCTGATCCAGGTATGCCGTGAATTGAGCCAAGGCCAGAACCGGGAACACGACCATCAGACGTGAGTGTGGGAGCGCTCGAGACTGATGGTCTGCGAATTGCTGAGTGGTGGAGACATCATTGTGCGGGATGGATTGGACTGTGCCTGGGGTAATAGGATGCTCCGCCAGTTCGATGTCGGGGAGTGTCCGGCTGGAGTCGGTGGTATGACTTGTGTCTGTGTTAGGTTCCATGAGAAGATACTGTAAAGCATGCACAGTTGACGGGAACGATGAGGAAAGGGAAAGATGGCAACTAAAAGCCTCGAAGCGACGATGAAAAATGTGGAATTCGGGGAAAATTCCCGATTCTGATTCTCGGACTGGTCTCCGCGTCGATCGCGTTGGATCTGCAGATACAAAATCACTAGTCAAATGCACTAAGGCAATACCGACCCTTTTTGGTGTAAAGGTATTTTCTCCCGCAATAGATTATTGTTAGTACCTTTGACTTGGCAGTTTAACGCGGATTTTCGGGGTATATGAAGGATGTCGATGCCTGAGAGACTGAGGTATAGATGTCTTATGTGATACAGTAATAGCAGTAAGAGCCGGTTACTTGGTTTAATAAGGGTAGCATTCGGATGCTGGTGCGGTTCATCTGCTACAAGATTTCTATATCAAGTCAGCTATGCAATGCAGGTGAAATAAGCATGAATTTCAATAGGCCACGATAGGCCTGATTCTATCCATCGCCACTGCAGCCCCTCATTAGGGCAGGATAGGGTATCAGCAAAGTAGGTGCCTAGACTATCTATTATCCCATTCATTACACTGCCGTGATCTACCCCGGTCGATTGCACTACTCTGCCAAGACCTACCCCAGTTCATGCTGCTTTGATATTAATATATACATCGGCATCCTGGTGCGAGCTGTCATTCCGCCAGTCGCATGTTAACGCTATATGGTGGTAAAATGTGCTCTCGGAATATCTTTGCTGAATAGGACTAGTTAACACTCATACCACCCACATTGTCTCATTTTGTACCCCTCGTCAATGTCAAGTCAATCAGTTTTGAGCAATGCTGAGATTGGACGATAAGGTCGTCCTTATTACAAAGGAATACTGCTAGTCACGAAAGGAAGCAATTTGAAGCGTCTTGAAATATGCACAAGTGTCGAAACCTGCCATAGGTATGTCGTAGCCATTCCACGGGTCCTGGTTTATAGTTGAAGCTCAGTAAATATTAACTCTAATTATAGATTACACTATCCATCATTACTGGATTATGAAAGATGGACGTCTTGGCTCACGGTAACCACGCCGAATTCAGCTTCGTCTTGGAATGTTTCCTTGCCCATTTGCGCTCAAGTCCAGGCGCTACTGCACTGTCATCATAGAGCGTTAGGATGAAAGCTCGAATTCTTCAACTTTCTACTATCACATATCTCTACACGACGTCAAGAGCACTATCGCCATCGATGTTGGTAGTTGAATTAAAAAAGAGATGGAGGCGCCTTGGCAAAATGTAACTGCATTGCATTATCTTTGGTCTCCAAAACCAATCAAGGAAGGATTGCCTCCCCTGAATCTCTAAGAAATCACAAAGGAGGGCTGAAAACGCAGTCTACGACAGGGTTCTACACAGAGTCTTTGATACCCTGGACGATGTTGATCCAACATTTGAAGCCATCACAGCAGGATTTGAAATCACAAATGCATGATATGACAATGATCATGCATGTATCCCTATCAATAACGAAGAGGAGCAATTGCCGGTTGTCGCGTTCAATTTTCAAATCCAGAAAGTGGCGAGACAATTCGGAGAGATGACTTCACAGCTTACGGACAGGGCTATAAAGGAGCGGACATTTCTTCTCTCCGGAGCTCCTGGTAACAAGTTCTTCAATAAACTCCCAAAGCATCTTATTCTATTTTGTATGACCTCCTATTGCACCACAGTCCATCTTTCCAAGTTGGTTCTCAGACATGTCTACTACCGTGACGGAGACGAAGAAAAACACCAATGGCCAGGCCAACGGAAATGAGAGTGTTTCTATAAGACTCACTGCTCCAGTGAAGACTGTACCACTCAAGTTATCTGGAGTCCTCGATGGTTACGCACGCAAAGAGATCACTCCGGTGATAGGCACTGAGTTCATTGATGCCAACGTTGTGGATATGCTGCATGCTCCCAACGCTGATGAACTCCTCCGCGACCTTGCCATTATGGTTTCGCAGCGTGGGTTCTGCGTCTTCCGCCATCAGTCCAATCTGAGCATTGCGGATGAGAAGCTGTTATGCCACCGCATTGGTCAGCTTACTACGCGCCCCTATACTTCGAGCCTTTACATCCACCCAGTCAATCAGATGGAGCTTGAAGATGGCTCAGTTGATCCTGAAGTCATGTCTCCATCGCGCAGCACTAAGAAGAAACTGTACACTCGCGAAGGTGGTTACTCCAAGGGCAGCGAGCGCAATCAGAGCCGTGCCGATGGATGGCACACAGATGGTAGCTTTGAAAATGTGCCACCTGACTACACGTTGCTGCACATGGTCAAAGTCCCTGTCGAAGGGTCCGGTGGAGACACCATGTTTGCCAGCGCGTATGAGGCGTATGATTTACTGAGCCCACCGATGAAGAAGTTTCTCGAGGGCATAAGCGCTACATTTATGCCCTGGGACCACAAGCCTGAGAACATCATCGACCACATGTGGAAGGGCACCCGTGGTGCACCCGAGAACCAAGGTCCAGAGCTTAGGGCTTCTCATCCGTGCATCCGCACTAACCCTGTTACCGGCTGGAAGTCCCTTTTTGCGTTTGGACATCACCTTGAGGAGTTTGAGGGCCTGGGAGATGTTGAGAATCGCATGATGAAGGAGTTTGTGCAGAGACTCATCACAGAAAACCATCAATTGCAGGCGAGGGTGCGCTGGGAGCAGGATGACCTCGTAATCTGGGATAACCGAGCTGTCTACCACGTAAGTTGTGGATTCACTTTCTGAAGTAAATCATGTACTATTATTAGGTATCTTCCTAACTAACTTTACTTTCTTTCCGACAGAGTGCCACCTACGACTACGGTGGTATTACCGGTGGCAAGCGCATCGGTAACCGGGTTTGCGGTGTCGGTGAGATCCCGTACTTGGATCCTCGCTCTTCTGGACGCCGATATGCCTTGGGCATGGACTACCTTGCTTAGATTTGATTAGTGACAGCCTTAGGCTATTATTCAGTGTGATATAGACGATATTGCCAGGATTCGGCCTGTCTATATATTTTCAGTTTCATGTCCACCCATCCGTTTCAGTTGGTTTATAATAGTAAGCAGGCAACAGATTACTCCGTGCTCCAATGAGTCTGATGAATGCATTTGTGTCGTATTCCACGGTTATCTTACTTGGATTATAGCCTTATATACAGGTAGGGTTAGAGTTACCTAGGTAGTAAATTGCGGTCATCAGTCTTCAGTAATTCACTAGCATGTACCTAGGTAATATCCATGGATATAATACCTGCCCTCTTAGTTTCAACAATTACTCCATAATAGTGAGTATATCTACTACTGTACAGTTCCGCGATCATTAGTATTATCTAAGCGCGCTTGGATTGATATTTAACCAGCTACAATATCCGTGGATGTTGGTAAAGCTATTGATACCTAGGCAAAGATATAACTACCTAGGTAAAATATTGGACATGGTATCTCAGTATTTCTAAGCTCCTCTTTCTTATCTAGGTAGGGTACAATACGCTGGGGAATCTCGGAAATTTCTTAGATCACTTCTAGACTCGGTTATACTCTCCCCGTGGACGAAGTAATCCCCCCGTCGACCACCAATTCCTGTCCAGTAATATACTTGGACTCATCAGCAGCAAGAAACAGCACTGCATTGGCCACATCCCAAGCATCTCCCATCCGGCCCATTGGCACCTGTGCATCCCGTTTTCGCATATACTCCTCCTCATCTCCACCAGGCGCATACCGTTTCGCTAGTTCCCGCGTATAGGGAGTGGATATCAAACCAGGCACAACAGTGTTCAATCTCACATTCTTCGCAGCATATATTACCGCTGTGGCCGTTGTGAATTGCATGATGGCCGCTTTAGTTGCCGAATATGCAACCTGCGGTTTTCCAATATACCGTAAACCCGCAATGCTAGATACATTTATGATGGACCCACCGCTTGTCTGCCTCTCCATAATCGGTAACACGAGGTGGCAAGTCAAGTAAACACTTTTCAGGTTTATATCCACTTGGGAATCCCAAATATCTTCAGTCATGGTTGCGGGACAACCTGGTTCGGATCTTCCGACATTGTTAACAAGGATATCGATTCGGCCGTGCCGTTGCATGCAGGCTTCTACCAAAGCCTTCACGGAGTTTGCTTCCGTGACATTCGTCTCTTGGATGTCGCATATGCCACCAGAACTATCAATACGGGATTTTGTCCGCTGTGCTGATGCCAGAGATCGGTTCCCACCGAAGATCATGGCGCCTTGAGAGGCGAGCTTCGAGGCTATTGCGGCGCCAATACCCCAACCTTCATCTGTGGTTTGGCCGAGGCCAGTAATGAGAACGACTTTGCCGTCCAGTCTCAGCATTGCTTCAAATTGACTGATGTGGCAGTAAACTGGAGTACAAATATAGAAAAACTAAACATCAGATCGGACCAACTATGCGAGAGAGGGTCTGCATGTAATTCCATGAATAATCGAGTTATGCGGAGCGGATCCGTAGCGTTCGGACTCCGCTCCGAACCCTAAGCCGGTCAAAGGCGATGTAACTTTCATGGTACTAGGTATATGACAACAGCTCAACAGCTGGACAAAAAGAGCTGCATCCTTTCTACCCAAAATTAGAACTACGTAGCGGAAAGCCACAAAAAAGAACAAATGGCATCGGCACTTTTCTGCTGGAACAATGTATTCTACCGAAGTTCGGAGGAATAGCAACGAATAACCCTACCAGAAAGATTGATGGACCATTTTAACTATTTTGACGAATGTGACAGAAAGCAAGGAAAGACATTCTCCAACCTCGTGATCAACCAACTCCCAGTCTCAGTTGCTGCTAACCAGTTTCAATCAGTCCTTAATAAGGATATTGCTCTCGGATTTCTTACCGTCAATTCCTTGCCTTTCGCTCTTACAGATAGATGTCCATAATGATTTTCACGTAACGCAATCACCACTTGGCCACGCCATTGGCAGTGTTCGGCCTGGTACTTTGCTGGGGAATATGCAAGACCTGTTCTTATATTCGCTTTTACGAAGAATGTTCAGAATCTCAAATTCAGATCTTCGATCATCCTGGCTATGAACAAAGTCAGCGTAATAGCGTCAGGTGTAGTATCTTTAATATGAAGTTTGACCTTGGACAATGCATTATTGCCGATAGCTCAAACTGCAGAGCTATCACCGGCATCATAGACTAGCACGGTTTTGGAATCATTTCCTGATAATCCGACAGTTTGCAGCGAAGGTATAGGTGCATCAGTGGTCATGTAACTTAGATTGTTGCAACTAGCCATTTGACGCTCAAGCAAGGGAAGATCAAGCCGGCGATAAGCCAGGTATTTGAATTCACTATTCTCATGGATTGCCTTACGGCCTGTTCCATATTATCAACTCTCAGATATCCGGTAGTCACACCAGGGTAGACGGCAATGGAGGAAGAGAATCAAGTCCGTCTGAATTTTGTATGTGCTTTGAAGAGCATTAGACAGCTATCCAGAGTTTGTCTGATTGGATGGTTGAGTGCGCTGACCAGAGTGACGAACTGCCGTGTCTGGTAATGTGCTTGCTTCCTGTGGACGTAGCAGATTAGCAGTCTCTACGACTACTCAACTCATGCTTATCAATTCCAGGTTTTGAAAGAAAGGGACGCTTTAGATGTCAAGCAGAGGATTAGGTTGTGATGTTAGCTTTTTTTTGACTTCTCACTGTTACCTGAATCAGGAAACCTTGCCAGTCTGATCAAGGGGGTGCTTCGGAAAGACCCAGACTCTCGGTGCAAAATGCATTGAACATGCGAAACAATCCGGAATATGGGACAGCTTGCGACCAGACATCTGCAGTTCCCAGGAGCAAAGAAGTGACTCCACAGCTATCGTATTGGATTTGTCCATTTTAATGAGCTGCAACATGAAAAAAACACAATCGAGGCAGATCAGTAGCCAGTACGCTCTTCGCGGATGTCAGCAAGGCTTCTGACAGAAACTAAGAACCTAATCCAAAACTGTTAATGTATATTATTCGCCCATAGAAGTAAATGGACATAATTTTCCGCAGCTTACAGTACACAATATTGAATCATGAAGGGAAGCATTTTTGATAAACCTGGCATACAATCCCAAGCCTGAAAGCAATCTATAACCCAAAAAACAAAAGACCACTTCTGATGTAATGCATAACGGTAGTGATAAACTATTTTCACTGTGTAGCAAGATCAACGTAGAAATACAAGCGTGATGGCAAAAGGAAACAAGTACAAATGCATGGTTCAGTCTATGGCTGTTTGGGCGAAAGAGAGTGTGTCGGCTGCGCTCAATGTGTCTCAGTTGTATCTGTGCCATTCAACGAGCAATAAGATTGTTCAGGGATAGATGCGACAGAATCGTCACAAACTGTGCTGAAACCCGTATTTACAGAAGCGGATTCAACGAGGTTTTGAGTAGCTCTGTCATTTGCTTGTCTTATTGCATTGTCGTGTTACTCCTTTACCCAGTCCCTCGCATTCCGATACCAAATAACACCTTGTCGGAATGTGTCTGTTATGACAAAGGATCGTAACCGGGTCATGTGGTACTCCAGCCGATCTGAAGGCTTTGAAGGATGAATGGTAAATATATTTGAGGTGCCATCATGGTATATCGATGAGATTGTATAAGCATGGTTGTCAAATTCAGGTTCATCTTTACCATATTCCTGAAGCGAGTGCATTCCCCTTACTCCAAATGCGTTATCATAGCATGCTTGTCTTTTCACTACTGATGCTAACCCGTCAGGGCCTTTAACTGCTAGAAAGGAATTCGGTGCAATGGGAATTTTGTCCTCTGTAGTCGGAATAATTTGGTTATCGCGTTCATTGCGTATTCGGCGGTTGAGTTGCTCAGGGCACGCACCATAATAGTGGTCAGGGTTTCCTGGAACTAGTGTTCTATCTGTGAGATGATCAAGCTTTCTTAAGGGGATACCACCTGCCACGCATCTAGCCTCTTCATTGTCACCCTCGATCACCGCAATCACAGTTCTCTTACTTGGTTCTCTTTGAAGACATAAGCACCCGCGTACGAAATTTGCATGTATTTTTTCAGTGAATTTTTGAAGGGGAAAGTGAGCGTCGCTAACATGCCAATCTTTCTTGATTTCGCTCAAATTGTTGGGTCTCGACGTTCGATTGTCTAGATATTCGTACGCAGGAGGATAGATACAGTCGTCGACGACTTGATGCTTCCCGGAGTACTTAAAGCCCTAGGAGCACTGCGTTGTCGACGAGATTTCCTCGTAGGCTCTAGATACTACAATGGTCAGTCTGGCTTGCTGTTCGGTAGTCTTAGCTAACTTACTACTGGAGTATATAACACCAAACTATGAATCCCTGGTCGATTATCGTTGCATAATTCTGCCCGAAGCCTTTCCTCTCTACTTATAGCTTGGTTCACGATTCGTGGAGATTATTGATGAGCTTACCAATCCCGCCAGGAATTTTGCATTGGCCTAAAAATACCGATAAAAGCAAACCTTTCGCACAGCTCAATTGTCGCAAAGGACCAGACTGAAGACGGCAGAGTGTCTGGGACATTTCTAAAACCACATTAAAAATGCGGCGCCAACGAGTCAGATGGAAAGTCTGGTTTGGCGGAGAAGAGTTGAGTGCGATCCGTTGCAGCGGGTGTACTTACCGCGTAGTACGGGTTGGTATGATCAATGACTATGAGAGAGACGTAGAAACACAGTCGATGCCTTCCCTTATCTTAGGATCAACCCTTTTAAACGGCGTGAGAGAAACTAGGGAAATGGTTTACGGACTTCGCGGCTCGCATTAGGTTGCCTAAGAACGTGCTCTAGCTGATTATCCTCAGCAACGTCCTATTGGCCATATCGAAGCAAACTCGCGTCACTTATATTAAGCATGCAGTTGTGTGGCCTAGAGAAAAAGATCAGTTCTGTACCGTGATTTCCAAGTTTCAGGATATGGTCTTTGAGCTTCACCTGAGAGCCAGGTAGGTCAAGAGCCTCCATATACACTGGGTGTTTCAGCGACTCAACTGGCAGCACCCGGTAATTCTACCACTTCATATCATTGACTTCAACGATGAAGCAGACTAGTATGCTTATCTTTTTAGGACTCAATCAGTATGGGTTTGGAATTTCCTCCAACATTTCATATCAAGGAACCTGTCTAAACTCAAATACCTATTGGCCGAGAGAATTTTCGGGGAGAAAAAGGAAAGAAAGAAAGAAAGAAAGAAAGAAAGAAAGAAAGAAAAAAAGATAAATAAATAAATACCTTGAAATCATCGTCTCAGTTGCTGCCTTCTCGTGGCTCACTGGCCTGGCAAATGATGGGAGCAACGTGACACGTCACTGTCCGCCAACAAGAATTGCTGAAGCAAAACAAAGGCCATGACAAGGTAAGCATCAGCTGAAATATAAACGTGGCATACTAGCTGATATCAACCGCGGAACTTGGGAATTCCTGAGAAGAAGCTGGAGCTGGAGGCTGTCAAAACTCTTGTATACAAGGATGGGGAAAAGGAAATGACTAGCAAGATTGTATGTATGGAGTTGTCTGAGGTCTTCCGTCTTCTATACCACAAAAATGGCTTTATTATATGTGCTTCGGTACGGGGAATGAGTTCAATTCCCCAGTACATTCTCCTTGATCTACAATATGATATATCATATATGACGTTTCATGAAAAGTGAGGCATGGTGTTCGGAGACCTCTGATCAGCTGAAAATAGGGGAATGACTTGTCTCCGGGTTTGTTCAAATGTCCTTGTTTGTTCGTGGTAGATTTCGCGATATTCTAACAGCATTCAGTCCTCAATCAAAAATAACCAAGATAAAAGCCTATCACCCTGAAAAAATCAGATACTTCCTTATAATGGAGACTATTTTTTCAGCTTGTTCTTTGCCAAGACACCAGCTCTTTGGATTTCAATTTTTCGAAGCCATTTTGCAGTGTGTCCACCAAATGTCTCAATGGAAAGAAAAGATGCTGGCCCACGTCCAAATCACTTCCACCAGGCATGAGATGCTCCAACCTCAAAAGGAACATCTTGGATAGTTGTGAGGTCGATCAAGTTGCCTGGTAAAAAGACAGCCTTATTCAAAATACATTGTTTATCATCATCACTGTACCACAAATGTACAGATAGGTTGAAGCTACCATGGAGGAGAATTTGCTTGGATCGGTACCACTGGAATATATGATCAGAGAGCTTGTCATGGTTGATTTGCTGAAAATCAATTTCAGATAAACTCCAATTATTGCTTGAAGTCTTCCATCTCGGTTTTTCTTGAACATCAACAAGTATCACAAGTTTGGTTTGACGATTGCTACCTTTCAACCATCGCTTTGCATCCTGATAGAGCTTGCTTGTGGGTTCACTAATGCCGACCTCAAGAACCACAGCTAGCCATTTAGCTCCAAACTGCTGAAGAGATGCAACTGCTTGTTTTGTAGATTCGGCAAAGTCGCCGGCCAAAGCACAATCTGATATAGTTAGATTTACAACATAACACATATGAAACAGATCTATTAACATACCTATACTGCCAGTCAAAAAGTAGCGTGAGCCAGTAGCGGCACTCAACCTGTCTCGTAATAACCCTAGAAATTCACCAATCAAGGCAGGTGCAGCCTCATGCATCCATTCTGGGCCTCCTCTCAAGATAATGCGTGCATTCTGTGCATCATACTCGACACTACAGATACTGCCGACTTCGTCGAGCTAGTTCCAATACTCAGCAGGGGAGACTTTGAACTTGTCAATAGCAAAGGAACGCTCAGAGACACGTCTCAGCTCAATAAGATCCTCGGCGGAAAGATCATCCAATGAATGAATTCGATTAAGGACACCTTCGATTGCGGGGTCCTCCATGTTGGTAAGAGTTGATATATCTGGAAGAACTGCTCGATGACCATGGGTCCTGGGCACATTCTTATATGCTGGAGGGCGGATTGGCAGAAGAACTCCGGTGCTGGAGGTCGACAAAGCGACTCGTCGGTGGGTCTGTAGCAGCTCGGCCATTGGTTGGTAGCAGTCGAAACCCTACTTATTGTCTTAGAGGTTCAGGCTAACAGATTTTGACCAATCGAGTATTGAGGATGGAGAGGATATTGAGATTGAAGGGAGAAGATGACTAGATGAAATTTCCTGATTGACAAGACAGATATATATACATACAAGGGTAATTGTTATTCATTATCATCCCTGACACAACTAGATCCCTCCTTTCTATGGTTCATTATTATCAGATGCTTTGATGTCTCTTTTGTTATCAGCACGGAATACATTCTTGAAGAAGATAAATCTGTTTACTGCAGAACCGAGATTTTACATGGGTTTAAGAGTCTGTGACGGACCTGGCAGCTGTATCGCGTTGGCTCCTCGACGGAGCCCTAAGCCCTAGGGAGTTCCAAATCGGGATATCTCTTTGTCTTCACAGTTTCCCGATTAGGCTCCGACGAGAGTTGTACGGACCCATAAAAGAGATCTCTGCCCGCGGTTGTGCGCGCTATTTACCTTTTTTTCCTCATGCTTAGTTTTTGTTCGACTAGTTACCTCTTAGGATAGTGAATGAACACCGTCACAGAGTCATTCATCTCCTACATTAATGCAAACAGCACGGTTAAGTTGTATAGATGCCTGTGTAAAAAGTTCACCCTTCAAGTTATAGGTCAAAACTTGTATTACATGACAAAAGGCAGCTCTAACTCTTAACCATTTGTAATAAAATGTGTAGTATGCTATTAGCTAGATATCTTATAAGATAAAACCTTTTTACATTCTACTAGCTCCATGCAAAGATATTGTACATGTGTGGAATTCTACGAATAACTTCAAGGAGTCATTCTTGCTGCAATCCTCCTCTGTGAACACAAAAAGGGCTTTATAGGATGTGTACTTTATATGTACAGTTACTATAGTGTACTGTGTACAAGAGACCAGCCTGTTTCATTGCTGTTTCAAGTAGATGTTTGAAAACAATATGGAGTGTTCGCAAGAGACATTAAATTTGCAAGGTACTAGGCTGAATGACTTGATATTCGCAAAATATGAAGGCTTTGAGCTGGGAGGGTATGTCAGTAAGAGACAAGTCGTCGGAGTACTTAACGAAGCTGTATGAGAATTTCAAACGACGCTATGTTATTTTACAGTAAGTTATGATTTAGGGAAAATAAAGGAATAATGCTATTCCGGAGCTTGGCCTGATAAAGGGTAAGGGTAAAACATCATAAAGAAATGAAGTGAGTAGAAGCGTGTGTGATGGTGCCAATCTGCTTGGTTTGAGTATGCTATTCTAGCTAACTATCTCGTACAAGAGGTGCTTGTCGACAGGTAATATTAAGCATAAAGGGGGAAAAGGAAGAAATGAAGTAAAAGCCCTGGTTCTCACTGCTCATGTAAATCTCTGTGCAACGCGCCTTTCCCTATCCAGCTCTGACATCTGATGTTGATATGACTTCCCAATACAGCGCAGATAGGGTTACACGGCTCCTAGCCCTATCCGTGAACTGAGATGGGAAGGCAGAGCCATGCCCAGCCGTCACACGTGTGCTGGTTTTGCAATTAAGTGCAGAATTTGAAAGAGCAGTAGACAGTATCACTGGTTTTGAACTAAGAACAAACTTGACACACTGAAACGGAAGGACTGAGACCTTTTTCAATGGGGATGGGAACTACACGATATATCTATATTAACAGGGCCTCGCATATGGTCTGCGGTTTAATGGTCGTATGAGATCCGGGTCGTCAAGAAGTAGTTTACCTGCCCTGCCAGTAATGAGGCTCTTTCTAACGCTACCGCTTTGGATAATCGGCTGCTCCGCTCTGTTCTCATGTACGGCCCGTATCACTGAATTTCTATGGTATATCCAGTAACTTTCAGTCATGCGGGCAATCCGGTTCAACGTACAGCTTTGGGTCAATTGTCCTTAAACCTGACCAACTCCAGCAATAAGATACCTCCAAACATTTGTTTCACCAAGTCAATAGCCTACAAGCAGACATCTCCACTTTCAGCGACCTCAAGCCTCCCGTTTGTAGGAACTTCCCGTTCTATCTCATCCGTCTTCGCCAAAGAAACTGCAGCTATGACATCCAGTGGACGGTCATTGGCACTACCGGTTCATATGATTTATACCGTGCTGTTTGGAATTATCTTGCTCTCAGTAGCTAGGACGTGAGTGAGCTTCGTATTTATCCTATAACAATCTAGTTTAATGCCCATGTCTGCCTGATCATTGGCTCAAAAGTAAGGGTGGTGATCTAGCGACCCCTAGTTCCAGTGTGATGGAATTCAATACGGACTATAATAGTGTCAACTCGGTAAGGCCTTGACAAGGAATTTAATGAGGATATTGAATATTCAATGGTAAGCAAAAATACTGTTCTTTTTGTGCCCCCTCTTCTATAAACTCTTCTATCTGGCAATCTGGATCATACTTATGTACAAACTTGTGGCAAAAAGTATCAGTAAACAATTTCAGCTATGATCTCACAATATTTCTTGTACGTCATGTAAAGTGTCATAAAATCTCAATTTGAAAGCACAATTTGTCATTCATATTGGGGTCGTAAATCTTCAGCTTGAAGGATTCACGATCAGCGAATTTGACGTAGTAAGTGAATAGGATTACCAACCTGGCCTATGTTAGTTCATTCTGAATGCCAACAAATACATTCAACCACATGGAAATTTGATAAATACACATTTGCTGTTTATTGGTTGTAGGTGTCTACCAAACATCACTACGGCTTTTACAACTTCAAAATACACTATAAGACTTTAAGATATACTATGAGGCATACTTCTAGTACAACAATATCAATACTGCGACGGTGCTCAAGCTAATATCATTGGGTAGCTGTACGATGAGAAAACTAAGCATGGGGATAGGAAGAAGTCCAGGATCTAGCTGGAGGTTTGGAGGCGTATAAATAGATAGCCAACACAAAGGTCCAACTAGGAATACACCGGACATCCTCTATCCTATAAATAACTAGCTACAAAGATCCGGCATGTATGGTTCGAAGTATATTGATATAATATATCACCAAGACAGATCACAAAGCCATCACAAATACTATATCACTATCTTAAAGTTCATAATCTAAAGTTGCTTCCTCTATAGTATTATCACGCGGATCATTGATGGTCAGAGCCTGGAGTCGTTCCTGGGTTGGTTATTCAGACTCAGCAAGTAAAGACGCTTCACTAGTAGTCATATGTTGCTTGATGAAGTCTTGAATCTTAATATTAGATCGTATGAACCTAGGTTGCCTTTGCTCCGATTTCAGCGTGTCAAGATATTGGTGAAGGACACTAAATCCTATCCAATTACTTTTCCTTGTGACAGCCAGCCCTGCGGCTTGACAGCTCTACGGCTTGGCGACGGAGCTTTCCGTACAGTGTCATCCTAGGAGGCTTTTCCCGCTATCTCAAGATAGGGCTTGAGCCCTAAGCAATGCTATATTGGGAGCGGTACTGTATTGGGAAGTTCCGTCCACACAAAGGATCATATGAAGGAGCTGTGCGTAGAGGGGCGCTGTGTTTTTTTCTTCTTTCCTTCTTCATGCTTGTTATTCTTCGTAGATAGGCTCACCTAGTTAGCAACAAATGCAAGGTATTGGCCAGCGTCACATTCCTAACATATATCCATGTGACATATCTAGAATAAGCATCAATCCCAGCATAGACTTGGAAACCCTAAAGAGATAGTCAATCATAGCCATCAATTGACCAGAGATAATTCGGTCCTGGAGTACTAAAATTATCACGAGTACTTTGTAAATCATTTCTCCTCCTGGTGACCCCTTCGGGATCTAATTCTCTTACAATCTGGAAGAGCCGATCACTATCTCTAGATTAGAATTGGTGTTATAAGAATATAAATATAGTAGTGTTTGCTATATATATAGCGAATTTCTCCCTCTACTTGGAATTCTTTCACATCCCTGGGACAAACACTTAAATTTGCGTTCTGCAATGGTCATTATAAATGAATTTATTCTAGGATCTTTTAGCTTGCTGTGATAAGATATCGTAAACGGATCGAATTGTGAATAGCGAACCATAAATCGCAGATCGCAAATAATTAATCTGTCCTGCTAGCTATGTAAGCCTACCCTCACTTAATAACCTACGCTCAGTTCATGCTCATCTACAGGGAGTCCAAGATAGTTAACCTGTATTCAAGCCAAGCCTATGAGGCTGCTCTACAATACCAATTGATCCTAGTTGGAAAGCAAGATTGTCCTCTGCGTGAAGTTAAGCGTAGGATAGGAGAATATCTATTGACAAACTACACAAGTACATCATACTCCATGATATGATTGTACTTTAAATCCCAAGCCTTCACTTCCATTGAAAAAGATGTTAAATCTATGAGAATAAGGAAAACAAGGCCAAAAGCAAGCAGGCAGATAAAGATAAAGCAGAATTATCAGTAGATTGGCCCCTATATGACTTCAATATTGCAACCTAGGATCGCCTAGGTCCTGGTCTAAGTGCATAGATGTTGGACATGCATTAAGATCATTAACCTTGAGATGATTTCCCCTTTCATGGCAACTCATTACTTGACTCGGCAAACTGCACATCACATGCTGGGGAATTACTACTCTCATGTCCATCTAGCATATTATATATATACCAGGAACTGTGACGTCTCAATAAGCCTATTCTAATGATAATCCTAAGCTTGGGAGAAGAGGAAGGGAAGGCCTAAGCTACAAACAAGTTGGTTGATATGATCTTGCAATTCTGCCATTTTAGACCGCTTTCCCCATAAGGCCTCCATCCTGTTGGATTAGCTAAGCTGATTCAACCAATCAGATAGAGGAGATTTGTCAGCCAATAATAGCGAGCCACACACTGATCCACCGAATAGGGGGTAAAAGATATCTTCCACCTGGACTGTACTTAGAGACAAGAACAAGAACAACAAGGATCAAGGATTCCCACATCTTGTGCATACATAATTTGATACGTTGAGATAAACCGCTAGAGATTGTTACATACAATCTAACACATCCCATGACAGTGTGTATTTGGAGAGCCTCATGGCCCAGCGCCAGCTTTCCTCTTTCTTCTTCTTCACACTTAGTTTTCTTCGTCAATACTGCTACGCTTAGAAATAAAGTTGTTTCTGGGCCTTGAGCGTCCATCACAGGAACTTGCGATCTTCTGCTAGGGGACTTCAGGCTTCTTTATCTTTTACTTCTCTTTTATAAAACTTTCCTGTTCAAATTAACAATCCAACCTCATATATATAGAAAGTTGAGACTTACCTGCTGTTGTCTATGGGTCATAACTATTTGACCAACATAGACTCAAGGAAAGTAATAGGGGCAGATGAAAACCTCGATTCCCAAGAAGACGATTCTAGGAGAGCGCAACTCCTAAGCCTATCAGGATTCAGAATGAATTCGATGAATTTGAAACTCTTATTATAGACACGGAGGCCTTCATAGAAGAGGCAAATGAGGTGGAAAGAGTCTACGAAGAGGAGCATAGAGCTCATGAAGCATTGGGTAATAACACTCCTCTTACTGAAATGGCAAGCACCGAGGCTATCAATGAGAGTAATGATTAAGCTCTAGAGCTAGAGGACGCTAAACAAGCTGATACCACGGAGGATGCTTTCCCTAATATCTCTGCTGCAAATACACGCTAAAAGCATGGAATTATGAAATCTAAAAGACATCTTCAGAGCACATACACATCTTATTAGTTCTATGGTTTATTATTAATCAAATTTCTAGTCTTGCTTTTGCTGTAGCTAGATCTCTAGTTGTGAAGGATTAGTCCTTTTCTTGATAGTAGGCTTCACTGTGCTTGCCCTCGCGAAGTTATCTCGAACGTGCTTGGAAACGCATTCTTACAGGAGTTTTAATTGGCCAAAGGAGTCACTATTAGTCCAAAAAGTTCGGGGCGCTCTAGTAAAGGACAGGATATAAAAGAGCTTTCAAGGCCCTAGCAGAGCGGAGCCTCCTTTCCCTTTTCCTCCTTATCGCATTCTCTTGTATTGCTTAGCTGTTGTTAACTAGTTAGCCAGACGGTCCGGACCTGATTCGTGACACTAGTTCACATAATGATCGAGAGTGTGTGGGTAATGAGAACAGTTAGGAATTACTAAAACAAGTAAAACAAGTAATACGATGAGGTTATAACCATAACAGAATCCACAGCTCTGATTGATTAAAAGCTTCTGCGCTAAACCAAGGAAGGAATCGTGAGTGCAAATATAACACTTCCATTGGTCAGAAATAGAATACAGCACTAACCAATAAGGGCCTATCGTAACCAATCATATATTATTATTTACTACGGGTTACTAGTAACGTTTTCCTTACTGATTAATCAGCAGTATTGATCAATCAGAGTGGCGCGTGTGACATGTTAGTGAATGTAGGATTCTCATTTTGTCCTTCAATGTACCTATAGACTGCCGTAATTCCGGCTTTTGCTCTATTTTTATTTTGACTGCGCCGCGGATATTTTGAATCTCGAAACGCGCCAAATTTGCACTCTCTTTTCTTACAGCGGTTAATGATGTTCCTTCAGAGGCTAGTTATTGGTGTACTTTCTTTCGACGGTGCGACTCGAACGGTCACTGGTCGCATTGCATGAATGTTGATGGCGTTGAAAAAATGGTTTTGCGTCTAGTGGGGGAGGAATGGTCCCTGTCAAGGGGTTCGAGATACAGCAACCAATGTTAGCACTCCGTATGTCGCGAATACTAGCAGGGATGTTCAGCTCGGTCTAAATTGGACAACAGTCTGCTACTAATAGTCTAGTGCTGTCAGGCAGTGTCAACAAGCAGGCTTGGCTGCGATTAAGATAGTCTTTCTTATTTTCTCACAAGCTGAATACGAACTTCAAAAATTTCCCGACTTCCATAGTTTACAGTGACCGGCAGTATTCCCAACATCATGGCAGTACCGACAACAATAACAACATCTACCACTTCTGCAATACGAGCACTCACCACAACCTTCACACCAGCCGTTTCCTGCCTCACAGATTTGTACTTGTACCACGTTGTTTCCGGCGGTACGGTATGGGATTATCGTCAACTTGGACCATCGCCAACCTCGGATTGCTACCCTCCTAACTTTACACCTACATCCTCTGCATATTATTCTCCCGGTGTATGTCCCACGCTGTACTCGATTGCTTGTTCGAATGTAGTCAGTATCGGCACTGTCACAGAGACGCGAGCGACGTGTTGTCCAAGGTATGTTGTCTCAGAATAACACCTTCATAGGATCTCTAATTTTCGGCTGGTGTAGTGCATATAGTTGTCAAACATTTACAGATGGCTGGCCATGGTATTCCACCGAACTTTGCACATATGCCGCAACGGGGACAAGCACATTTCTCTTAACTGATACTTCTACGATTTCCACATCCACCGGTGCGCCGAACTTTAATGCATACGGTATTCAGATCCGATGGCAAGAGTCCGATACTTCTACCCCGAATGCGGCGAGTGCTACCACGACAGCATCTTCTCCCTTGTCAACTTCTCCATCGCCTGTATCTACCTCTACACCCACACCAACATCATCATCACTATCCACAGGCGCAAAAGCGGGGATTGGCATCGGCGCTGGACTCGGCGCATTGTTGATTCTTGCCGGCGTTATATTTTTTGGACTTCGCCATCGTCGTAATAGAGCTGCCAAGCGGCAAGAATCTGTGAATATGCATTTCGCGTCGGATCAATCACAACAGCAGCAACAGTACTATGTGGAGGCCGCGGCGGGTGATGTACGCGGTAAACAACCGTATCATGAGTTGTCGGCTCAGTCTAGGGAGAAGGCTCCTGTAGAGCTGAGTTCAGAATCGTGGAAATGACGTCGATTCTGAGATTGGTGTTGGACATGCGGTATGTTACGTTGAATTGAATATTTGCAATGATGTATTAATGCGCTTATTGTGGGTGCGCTTCTGCACATGTGCATACAACTAGCTTAGTAACCAATTGGTAGGGTCATATTATTCTTCGATTGTCTGTCTCTTGTAGCTATTCGACCTCGACGCGGTAGATCATCCCTTCATGTAGCCTGCGTCACTGATGTAGGAACGTTGGTTTACTAGAGCGATGACTAAGCGAAGGCGAGCACTAAACAATACGTATAAGGAACTAGTTCTATTGTCCGGCACTCCTCTCTAACCACTATCTAGGAGTATTGAACCTGTTTTTATATACAAGATTCCATAGAAGTGATATCACCAAAAGTCGACACTTGTGCAAATCGAACTTTCTAGAGATAGGCTGTAAAGTTGATTTGTAATGTTCAATATCGCGTCGGAATGTGATGCCAATTCTCGAAATTTCTTGATACGCAAATCTTGTCCTATTCCCAATTCCTATCCCAAAATGGCTTAGCTCATCCTGAGTTCCGACAGCTGAGTGATATCACGTGACCCGGCTCTCGTGTTGGAAATACAATCACGTGACTAGCAGGATACAGAAGTCGAACTACGGAACGGTTCGCAAATACCTCAAAAATACCAAATTCCCTTTAAGGGCGTCCTTTTTGGTGAAATGGTATTACGTTTTAGTTCCGACATCTCGACTGCACCCGCACATTCAACACTTATTGTCTTTATACAACACGAGATTTCTCCGAGAAAGAGTTCAGGCGACTTCCTTATAATTATTCATATCAAACAGTCAGAGGCTCAAATTCCTCACCCCTCTCTACCACCTAGCTCCCAGGAGTGCGGCCTTTGACGCGTCTCAACGCGTCCGGCAACACCATGGCGCGTAAAGGCCCTGGTACAGATGGCCCTCTACAGATAGCCCTCCTAGAATCCACGTCTGCAGCCACAACAAGAGCTTCTGAAGGACAGAAGATCTTCAGCCCTATAGCTGCATTCCTCAACAAACACCGCAGCCAAACCACTGGCCTTGCCCCTCACCTACTGAGAGCCCTCACCACTCTAAGCGATGATCTCGCCTCAGTAGCCCAACAACATTTCAACGCCTATATTAGCGGTATCCCGACAACCTCCATTCTACCTGCCCTGTCCCCTTCCCCTTCCTTTTCCCCCACCCCAAATCCCTTACCCCCTTTATCCCCTCCCTCACATCCCCCCTCAGGTCTTGAACAGTCAACTTATGCAACTATTACCTAATATACCCCGGTCAAATCAACTCCCACTACTCACTCTAAAGCCTCTGTTAAAAAGCCTATGCCTCTAGTAAAACAACCCCTTCCTAACAACCGGCTCTTCGTATGTCTTCCAGCTAACCATGCAGCCAGAAAAATGGAAGCCTACGCCATCTACTTTAGCCTATAGTCTCAACTAAACTCAAACAGTACAGCACTAAAAGAAGTTCAAGTCATAAAGACTGGCTTTGCACTATGTCACTCATCTCCAGAAGCCCTCCTAGCTCTTAAGGCCTAAAAAGAAATTATCTCTGCATTCTTTATTAACTACCAGATAGAACACAGCTCCTGATGGGTCTTGTACCAAGTCATTAATGTGCCAAGGAAAATTGGCCAAATCTTGGATGGTCAATACTCTCTAATCCCTGTCAATCCTACACTACTATTCTTAGAAATTAGTGAAACTATAGGGCTCAAGCCTATATCTATTAGTGAGACCACTATAAGTGCTGCCAACCCTAATACTCTCTCCTCAAGCTAGTTTATTAACTTCCCAGAAGGCATGAAATCACCACTGCCTATCTAGCTATGTCTTTTTGGCACTATTACTAATACTTATTACCTCTCTAAGAAAATAACAGTTATTCAATGCATATGATGCTAGAAATGATATAATGCATGATCCTGTGCCTGCTCCTCTTGATGCTGGCTATGCAGCACTGAAGAGGGCCATGTCAATCACTGTATAGTCCCAGAGCCTCATCAATGCTCTCATAGATGTATACACTGTTATGGACTATATCTAGCTGATTTCCTAGAATGTCTCCTGCGCCCTAAAGGCAATACTAAACATACTAAAGCTTAATAAGCAGAGATCCGCAAATCCTGCGCAATAAACCTCGCAAAAGCTCAAGCTGAAGGAGGATGTAGCTCTCAGCTCTCCATAGACACACAAGAAATATTTATGGTACTAGATGAGATGCTATCTCAGCCTCTAACCCATAAGATTATCTCTCCTTTCCGTTCAGTAACCCCCCCACCTCGCGTCCCAACTAAAGATCCTCCAATTACAGCTCATGCAGTCCATTTTACAACCTTTTAACTATAAAACTGGTTTGCCTCTCTTCTTGAACAGGAGCTATAATCTATCACTATCTAACTCAAAAGGCGCCTCTTAAAATCCTACAGTTAAATGTAGGGCATGTGCCAGATGCACATGAAATAGCTCTTACATTGGCATACACTAGCGACATTGATATTATCCTATTTCAAGAATCATATATATTCAAAGATCTTAGCTGACAGATCACAAAAAAACACCCATTATATGAATGCTTCTCCCCAACTGACAGTTGAATATTAAGTGGTCGACCACAAGTCCTCATCTATGTCTAAAAGAAGAAAGATATTTGGACCTCCCAGCTGCGCCCCTTCACAACTGACACTAAAGAGGCCTCAGATCTCCTGTTCCTTTAGATTTTCTTACCCACAGGAAAGTCTACTCTGATAGTTAACATCTATAATGCCCTAGCAGGCTCCATTAGAGCAGGTAAAGCTATGAAAGCTCTCATAACCCTGCTAGAGGTGTATCTCTCTTAAGCAACAATACTTGCAGGCAATCTCAACCTACTACACAACAGATGGCAGCCCTCGCTACATTGCAGCCCTACACCTTCCGCAGAGCCATTTATTAACTGACTGGACCTCTAGGGTCTAGTTCTCATCTCTGATATAGACTGTCCCACACATGAAAGGAGTAATGTGTTAGACCTCAGCTTTGCCTCAAGCCCTCTGGCACTCGCAGGAGCTAAAACTAGCATAGCGAGCTACTTAGATGCAACCTCAGATTATTTACCACTAATCACCACTGTTCTATGGGATCAGAGATACAAGGAAATAGCTTCGAAACTGAGATTTAACACACTAGACCACACCTGCTTCCTCTCACTTCTCTCCTCTAACCTTGCTAGTATCGAGAGCCCAATCATGACAAAGATCTCAATACTCTTGCTGAAAAACTAACATCTGCAATCCAAGAAGCATATAGAGACTCTACTAAGAGAACCCTGACACAAGGTATAGAACAACCATGGTAGAATAAAGACTGCAAGAAAGCTTTATATAATTACTGCTCAGGCCTCTACTCAAAGATAGACTTCTACTAGACTACTAGACAGTCTTAACGACAATTTTGGCAAGATAAGCTCTCTACAGTATTATAAATGAAGGATGTTTTCAACATGAGTAAATAGCACAAGTCTACAGGTATCTTCCGAAGCCCTCTACTAAAAGATCCGCTAAGGCCCAACAGCCTCCCAGCAGTTGCTGTACACAAGAAACAAGACGTACTAGTCCGCAATCTTCTCTAAAACTCAGCAGAAGCAGGAGATATACCTCTAGACTCCTCAGCAGTCCCTTCCACTAGTCTCTACTTCCTAGATATATTGATGCTACAGGTGGAGGAGTCAGTACTTTAGGCAGGAAACACAGCCCCTAGCGCTAACGAAATCCCAACCTGCATACTCAAAGTAGCATGGCCTCTGATTAAAGATAAGGTACTAATACTATATCAAGGGTGCCTAAAGATTGGTTATCATCCTAAATGCTTTTAACACGCAATTTTAGCAATCATCTAGAAACCAAAAAAGACTAATTGATCCTTATCTAGATAATACAGACCAATTGCTCTCCTATCAGTTCTTGCAAAGGACTTGAGCGCTTGGTGGCACAGAATATAGCATAGATCTCTATATACTATAAAATATTAGCAAGGCAACAGTTTGGGGCTCTCCCACTAAGATCTGTAACTAACCTGACCACATGTCTAACACATGATGTTAAACAAGCACTAAATTAAGGCATGACTGCCTCACTCCTTACCCTAGACGTCAAAGGCGCATTTAATGCTGTGCTTCCTGGTAGACTGATCTGCAGATTACGAGAGCAGGGCTGGCCTACTAATCTCATTCTCTGAATTGCCTCCTTTGCTACTGGGCGATCAGTTCAGATCTAACTCGATAGAGAGATCGGCCCCTCAACAGATATTGTCTGCGGTCTTCTATAAGGATTCCTAGTATCTGGCATTCTTTTCATGCTCTACATAGCGCCTCTATTCCATCTAGGAAACCTAAGGAATAGATTTGGTTACACGGACGATGCAGCTAACCTAGTAATCTTGACATCTCTTGCTACTAACTGCGAAGCCTTATTAGACTCACTTCAAAAAGCTCTTAACTGGGGTGCTGCAGAGGGCATTATATTTGCACTAGATAAATATAAGCTTCTTTACTTCTCCCAACATAAAACAGACTAGGACCCAACCCACATATCTTTAGTGAAAGCTAAATCTATTACAATATTAGAAAACACTAAATGGCTATATCTATGATGGCTAGGAATCCTCTTTAACAAAAAGCTAATATTTAAATAGTATATTGAAGAAACAGCATCTAAAGCCCTCACTGTGGCTAATGCCCTTTACTCTCTAGGGAATACTATCTGAGGAGTCAAACCTCATTTACTATAGCAGGCCATATCAGCCTGTGTACTCTATAAAGTATACTATAGTGCTGAAACCTGATGGCCAGGATATACTTGCCCTGGGCCTTCCCAGACTTCAAACTGAGTTGGAGAACATCTTGAGAAACTAACTAAAGTAATATTAATAGGCGCAAGAGCAGTCCTTTCAGTCTTCCGCATAACCCCAATGCCTGTCCTTTATCGAGAGTCTGGATTCTCTCCACCAGAAATTAAACTAGATCAAATAGCCCTTCTTGCAACTGTCCGCCTATGGCGTCTTGATTCTTATTACCCACTTCGAAGACAGACAGAACAGATCGCTAGTAATGGCTAACATACCAGCTGATTTGCCCGCTATATACTGGCCCTCCCCAACTCTGAACAGATAAACCCTCTCCAATATGCTCCCTAGCACCCTCGCGAGTCTCATAAGAATGCCCAAGCTCAAATAAGAGCTCCCATGGGACACACTAAGGAATAGGCAGTGGTTAATTTCACAGCTTTCCAACACACTATCCCTAGCTCAGATATTGTAATCTTTTCAGATGGATCTAGGCTAGTAGACAGATGTATAGGGGGTGGCTATATTAGACTTCAAGCATACTATTGTTTTCTCCGCTCCTCACTCTCATACGGACATGGGAAAGAGGTCTTTGACGTAGAAGCAGAAGCAGCCCTAGCTGGTGCTTAAGCAGCAATAGCATACCCAACAGCTTAATTTGCCACTAACTTATGGATCTATCTTAATAACCTAGAAGTTGCCATGCACCTCCTATCTCCCTCTACAGGATTCTCTCAAGAAGTCTTTGAATCCTTTCGCACCCTTGCAGCCGCCTGGCCACTACGCAAAAGGCTTCCACACACCAAAATCCCTGAGAATGAAGCGGCTGATCTCACTACCAAGGAAGGAGCTACCTCTATCCCCCTCTCTCCATACAAGTCCTCATATGCCTCGCTAAAGAGATACGCCAAGACTTAATTCCTATCCGCTGCTCAGATACAGTGGCAGACTGTAGCACCACAGACATACCAAGATCTAGAAATAACTATATCTCCTAAGTATCCTGGAGAGCTTCTACTCAACCAACTCAATCTTGGCCATATCATCACAGCCTGTACTGGTCATGGAGACTTTGCGGACTATCATGAACATTTTAATCATGATAATGCTTATCTTCTTTGTTGGTGCAGAGCACGAAAAGCACCTTTGCACTTCTTCTTCTGTCATATAGCTAAGAGATGAGCCCCTCGTCCTCCTGGGCCCCCTTTTGAGATCATCTCCTTTCTGTTAGGCACTGCTAAAGGAGCACAAAAACTAGCTACATGGCTAGCAGAGACCCGTTTCTTTGAGGATATCTGTCCTCGCCAACCTCTCCTTAGCACCTAGCTAAGTCAGCCCTACTTTCCCCTTATATCTCTCTTTTCCTTCTTTCTTTCTTTCTTTCTTTCCCTCCTTCTTTGGAAACTCACTGCTTAATTGCGATGGTGGTAGAATTATGGGTCATGGAGCGTAGGTGGACCATTGCAGCTGGCAAATACCCAAAATCCACTCAGAAGTGGACCTCCCTGTAAGACCACGGCAGCTACGGAAATGCGCCAAAGAGTCTCTTATTTGTATATAAATCTGATAGGACCTGAAGCCCGAGGTTTACCCCTCGGCGGCCTATGTCCCATCAGGGATCGGTGGGAAGCGTGCAAGTCACGAACCACGGCCGTTAAATACACACACACACACACACACACACATATTATTGTCTTTATAGCGGGATAGCATATGTATTTTTGAATTGATATGGTTATGCATTACAAGCTTGATATATATATTGCATTCATGATTTCGAAACTTTTCCGTTTGGATATGAGTAGCTGGACATATTTTACTCGCAAAGAGCGTCTTGGATATCTGATATCTCAGCTATGGGGTCTGCACCTACGACACTTGTACGACCTGAGGCAAATCCAGAGAGAGTGCGTCCTGTTGTAGACTAGGCGAGGGGGCACGGGCATTTGCAGTCGTTAAAACGGCTGCAATGACATAGGGCCATCCTTTGTGATGGCTCTTATCCATTTTCACCAAGAGGATATATTCACCTCCCTAATTACAGGATTGACTGGCAGCCAGATGTGCCCGCTGACGCGCCATCGCCTCAGTATTTGCATTCTATGAGTTCCATGATAGGATTACCCAGCCTAGCATAACGGCGGGAAAAAAATATACTAGAACAAGCCTACGATATGGATTTGTTCTGTGTTACCTCGCCCATATTCCACGATTGGTCGTCCAGGTTCAAATTGACATCATCCAACAATCCAAGATCAAAGAAATCTCTAAAGCCATCCGGTTCATCCATGAACTTATCCGCTTTTAGCTTGTACGAGACATTCGAAATGTTGTACACCGCAGCATAATTGTCCATATCAGACTCAATCAAAGATGAACGGTCGACTTCAAGCTGATCATCTGAAAATGTACGATGATTCTGCTCATTGCTGGGTGCCACAAAACCCGCATGAGATACGTTCTCATTATTCTCGCGTTGACAAGCACAACTGTAACGCTTATCAGTCGATCCAGCTTCTGACATGCATCCTTAGCAACCAACCATGTTCGACCAAGAGTCGAAAGCAAGCCACAAGCGGCTCGAGCCTGGTCTAAGCAGTTTGTGATGAACAAGTTCTTGCAGACATAAGGATGGACCCATAGGCAATATAACATCGTAATCCCCGAGAGAAACAAAGTGTGCGCTTTGAGCCATGAAAAGCCCATATTTGAGAACCGATTCAGATCCGTATGTATTTGTATAATTTCCATTGCGCTTGAAAAACACATCTCGATAGCGCGCCGATGAGGTCGTGAAATTTCCGGGCTTGGGCAATAAAGAAACATTAAGCATTGGCGGTATTTGAGTTGCAGCTGTTGTAGCACATGATGAGATACAGCGCGCGAGGCAGCAAAGGACCCAGAACGTAGTGTGTCGCGGGCCTCGACCTAGAGCATGTTGCAAGCCTTTTCAGTATCCAGTTGCCATGCAGAAACATTCTCGGGTCACCGGAAAAGCTATAGCGATAGATCATGAGCTTGATTTCGGCTAAAATCCGGTCGAAACGCACCGAAAAGATAGAAGCAACATAAGAGTTGTATGCTAGAGGGATTTGACTACTACTACTACTACTACTAAACCAGGTATACCTGTGCATACGTAATCCTTCCAGGAACGAGATTATCTTAGTTTTGATTTCCAGAAGATTTCTGTCCTGCACCAAGGAGTTCATCGAACTCGTCTTCTAGGATAAAAGGATACAATTGCCCAAGAGTGGAAAAGTAAGAGTCGGCGAATTGTTGACAGGCCGCAGAGGATGGCAAGCCTACAGGTTGAGCGATATCCCGCTGAGCTGTGCGGTTGCCTGTGTCACCTTGTAAGCAAACACGGCTTGGTAGCCCTTGCGTCTGTGGAGCACTGGCATAAATCAGTCGCACAAATGCGACTCCGGAGGAAGGGCCCAGGTACTTTGGGACACTGACAACGTTGGCGAGAGAGAATAAACCAACTTCATGGGCAAGTGGCTGATCTTTAGTGATGCGATCAGAGTCGTGAGAGAGGGATTCATTATAAGTAGATGCAGTATTAGTGTTGCGTAACTTGCCGTCATCAATTGACTTTATATCCTGCTGCTGGTACTGAGTATTGATACTAGAGGCTCGTGTGGTAGATGGAGGACTGCTGAATGTCTGAGCTTGTGATGATATTCGGTGATTGTCCGAAAGAGTTGCGAAGGGATGGCCGGAGCTATTTCTCGAAACAAGGTCGCGTTTCTCTTGCTCGAGCTGTCTTACACGTTTCTCTAGGTATTCAAGACGACTAACTCAGACAATTAGCTTGAGGTTAAAACGAAGACCCTCCTGCGTCATTGCCATACAGAAGAGTAGATCCCGGTAGTTGTAAGAGGCACAACGAAAACACCTGCCTGTACAATGAGTGCAACTACTAACCTTCGCGATTCGGCATCCAGTCTGCACCTGCTACTGATATTATTTTCTAATCGTTCCAGGAACTGTTGAATAACGTGTGTCATGGCTCCCGGATCTGTACGGCGTGGTTTCGTCTGTACCGAGTTTGCCTGAGGAGCCTTGAGAAGCTCAACAAGGCAGTAACCTAATGGAATTCCGGTACCTTCAAGTTTAGCTAGGACGGCGAAAAGGTCCATCCCGCCACTGTTGGTTCCGAATATGGCATCCATCACTAATTGAGTTGCTGACCTAGCCAGCCTTTTGATTGGGTTAGGAGCGAAAAAAAGGGCTAATACCCTTACACCTTCTGCGGTGAAAACACCATGGTGATTCTGATAGCCGTTTTCTTAGAAAGGGGTATTGTCGCGGAGATGAAGGGGTCAGGATCTTGCTGCCAGATCTCCGTGTTTGCTTTCTGCCCAAATATAGTAGACTTGATGCCTTGTCACCAGTTTCTCCTCCGGGATATCTCGAAGCTCACGATAGCTTTCTGACGGGGTCTTGGTGAAGTCGCGAGGCTGGATCAATTCTCGGACCATTGGCGACAGTTGAATTTCTTCGTATAGTATATGCCACTCATGATGAATCGAGAGGGAAAGGGTTTGATTTTGCAAGCACGGCCGCGTATTGAGTCTGCTCTTGCATGAAAATCGCGCCATACATCGACTATCCCGCTGCTTCTCTATCTCAGCTGTGCATTGATGGCTTTTAGCATGCATTAAGTCCTGGGAACAGTGATAACGTAAAATTTTTGAGATTAGTTCCTGTATGCGTGAAGCGAGATCTCCCTTCCTTCCAGATAATTTCATTAAGGCCCCGCATTGCAGTAGTGACCTGGGATCTAGGAAATGCGTCAGACCTGACATTGTTTCCACTGCCATTTTCATTTTCCAGAACGCGTAGGGAGCCAAAATGGACGGTTAGAGCATCCAAGCTGAATATATGATGCCCATCTAAAACCTCATGTTGGTCCTATGAGGTAGAAAGTCGTTAGAATAATGTATCTATAATTGATCTAAGTTTTGACGCACTCATATTTCGGGTCTCCATGTTACTTACCGGTCTAGTCCAGTTGCGAAGGAGAGTGCAGAGTACGATGTCACATGAGTCTATCTATTGAATTTCTTCCTTGTACGGCTAATGCGTTGCTGAATTTATTTGCCCGGCAGAATCTTGACAGCATCTTTGGAAAAGACATAGCTCAATCCGGACTGGACGGTAGTTGCTGGCGACGAGGTATCTAAAATGTTAGTATGGTCAATACTAAGGGGAAAGAGAGCAAAGAAGTAAATGCAACAACTGGGTTATTAACCATACAATTGGACTAAGATGCTCTCGCGTTTACTCATAGAGCACACTCATAGATTCATATCAAATCTTGTCCCACAGCCACAATTGCTTGTGGGTCTAGGATTAATGACCTTGAACTGGCTTCTAATAAGCTCTGTCGTAAAGCAAACTATACTACAAGATAGCAGTTCAAGTAATGGTTGATCTATCACGATCCTAGCTTAACCACGTGGTGAGCTCCTATCAGTCTTAGTAGGCTCAAAAACAGTATCCTCTGCTTCATCCACTTCGGTTGATGGCTCTAATGACATGAAGTACCGAAAGCCATGACATCCACCGCTTGTCACGGACTTACGGTGACTCATAGATTATGACTTTCTTCCGATGAGCGGTTATTTCACTTAGACGCTGTCTTGACGTTGGCAGAAGATCAGGTGATAACGTCAAGAGCTGTGATTAAAAAGTACACAAGATCCATGTATGTATTCCCTAGAAGCACTGACGCACAACATTGGTTTATAAAAAGCAGGGGCTGGGAAAGAGGGTAAATCCGACGTGAGAAGTTTTAGCCGAATGCCACGCCAGCAATTCCAGGGTCACAAGAAGTTCCTTGGAAGCCTGAGGGGTTGAAGAGGCAAACAAAGAAAAGGAAAAAAATACAAAAAATTAAAATGGAAAACATACAACAGCGAAACTATGGCGGTGATCACCCAGTCTATTGCTGCTTTAATTCTTGTTGCTTCCAGGCTGGGGTTGAAGCGTTCCACGCCGCCCCGGAACACCCTGGAATATAGCTTCACACCCAGGACCAGGTAGAACGCAACACTGGAAAGATTAAACGAGCAGACTTTTTACTAAATCCTAGACATTAAGTCTCTGTCTGTAAACCTCAAATTTCCATTACTAAGAGTCCAAGATGAAAGGCAAACTTGAAAAAATTAACTCTATCACTTTGACCAATGACAATGACCATGGACCTGAATCAGTTCATGATGTGACGGTTTAGGGCTTTGTACGGCTTTCCCCGTCATGTTAAAGATCTCTACGGTGTGAAGTTGCCAAATCTGCTTGGTTTGAGTACGCTATCCTAGCTAGCTATCTCGTGCAAGAGGTGCCTATCGACAGGTAATATTAAGCATAAAGGGGAAAAAGGAAGAAATGAAGTAAAAGCTCTGGTTCTCGCTTCTCATGTAAATCTCTGTGCAAGGCGCTTGAACAGGCTGCCTGTGGACACTGTGGTCTAGCGAATCCGAATCCGAAGCGTTTTAAGCCTCCCAAGTCTATCATTGTTATTGACGACGACGATGATGATATTCTATCTAGAGCTCGGCGTAGCTCGCCTCCTCAAGGTCGTTTCCGGGATATCAATATTGCTGGTGCTCAACAATACCGACAGACTGCGATATCCAATCAACAAGCTAAAAAGATCAAAGACTGAACGTCCGAATATTGGGTCCCCTCAACACAGTTCCCGACAGAAAGTGACCTCAAAAGTCAATGTCAAAATTGAGAGAAAAGATGACCAGAAACCAGACTTGGCGCCTCCTGAAAAGAAGGATTTCAAATTCGCAATCCTGTTCTATAGTCAAGACGAGGCCGATCAGTGGAATCCTCCTCGTAAGTTACTTCACTGCTATCCTCACAAATGCGATTGACTTCTGACTATACCCTGGCTATCTAGCCAGTATCTCTAGAATTGATGTGATTGTTCGTCACGATGAATTCGTGCAGACCTGTTCCGAACTCTTCGATATCTGGCTCCCGGATCATACTATACTACAAGAACTCTGCAAGAAGCATGGACTCCCTTCTTTCGCGACAACAGTCGGAAAGACTGGACCCCGGACAATGAGCAACCGTCCGTTTTCCACTCGAGATCGTACTTGTATGGAATCCTTCGTGAGGTATTTGGACCCGGTTATTAAAGGTTCTACGAAGATTAGTCAACGCTATTCGAGTCAGACCCAACCCACGAGAACCAAGCTCCAATGAAGATGGGCCATTCATAAAATCTGAACCCAAGTCATCGGATAATGTCACGACAGAGGATGTGAATCGGTCGAACACTCAAAGTCCTTTGTGCGTAGGATATTGTAGCGTTTCCCCCTTTTGGAATTCCTAGCAATTCGTACGTACGAGATCGCGGGCGGCGTAGGCTAGGATCGAGGTTTTTGGAAGCTCCGGAATGCGAACGTGCGAGTATGAATCTGTATTCAAAGGAGAGGGCAGGATCACTTTGAAAATATAGGATTGAGTGACTGGCAAATAGCGAACCATTCCTTGATTCCCTTCCTCCTGCGGATTCCCATATGTTTTGTGAATCAGGTGTGTGCTCGATTTTTGGCAGATATTAGCTTCCTCACAGTTGAGCAATCCTTCAACTGTGAGTACTAATCCCCAACACCACGTAGAGGTGTCTGCCCAGCGTTAGGGTTGATAGTATTATATGATTTAAATAGAACGGTAAACAACTGAATCAAGCTTCTTGCAATTTGCACTCAAGCAACCAGGACACAACGGCCTCCATAAATATGGATGCCTTTTTTGACGATGTAAGATTGATCCTCGTGACTCATGAGCACGCGTTTTCGCTACAAATCCCAGTTGATATGGCCTCTAGCGAGCAAGCACGCAAATAGAGATTCTGAAAAGAAAATTCGACTATCCAATGAAGATCGAATCGTGGCATTAATGTAATTATATGTGGCCAAATGTATTTCCAACCTATATTTTGTCGCTAATGGCGATATAGGCTGCCGTAAGCTGGTGAAATCGACGCTTAAAACAGCGTCACTCGACGCCGAAAGGGCCACGCTTTCACCAAAACGGACATTTAAGGAAGCAGATCGAATTGAAAGTCTTTAAAACTAAGCCATAAAAAGCACCTGGAGAAGATAGTCTCCTAGTAATAGTATAGAGACAGCTCTGGCTGGTGGTTAAAGAAAGAGTATTCTTATCTTTTAGACATTACTTTAGTGACCTCCCATTCTAAAAGAGAAATGCTAAGATTATACTGCTTAAGAAGCCGGCAAAAGATAACTACTCACTAGCTAAAGTATAGAGACCTATATTATTGCTCTCCACGCTAGGCAAAATACTAGAAGCGGTCATCGCAGAAAGAATACAAGGTCTCTATGGTGCATTTTTCCACCGAAGGCATAGCAGAGCGTAAGCTTTGAAGCGCTAGCCTAATTTAGAAGCGATTACATAAGGAATAATTGAACCAATCTACGGCAGTCTAATCCCAATCAGAAAAAGAGGAGTAGAGAGTTGACTTTCATCCTCCACCAAACTGACGGAAATTGAACTCTATATGAATGTCAGTATATACGTGTTGCGTCAATGTTCTGGGGGGTATAGATCTTCGAACAGTGTATGACGGCGTTTGTATTTATCCAATGCTGAAAGTCCTCGTTGAACAGTTTCATCGCCTTCAATTTCAGGCTCAATAGGAACAAATACAGCGGAATGAACCTCTTCAGGGCGACAGTCGACATTGATACAGATTCGACTTGCGGATTGAAGTGGTATATCGAGAAGCAAGTGTAATACTTCTTGGGCCGACCAATCTCGTTCACCGATAAGACGATTCATCATCTTACTTACAGCAGATAGCAAAGGATTCTGAGGATTGAGTTTAGGTAGAAAGCCCTTCATCATATCCTTGTAAGATTCGGTTTTCTTCTCAACATTTGACGCGTACTTGGCAATCGATATTGGCCAACCATCCCATAAGTATACAGGGATTCCAAGCATTTATCATTGAATCGTTGCGAATAGGATAGAAACGGTGGTATTGGTGCCCTGGACCGCGTTCGACAAAAGGCTCTGTCCGTAGGTCGTGGGGAAAGTGAAAGCGACAGGATATAACGTCCGACCCCTTTTCCTTCCGGAGACAATACTTTTCACTACAAGCATGTCTTTGTACAGGATTAGCAACCCGAGAAAGAAAACCAACAGTGTTTTCCTGATCAGCAAATTCCAACTGCATCGGAGATCGTTCAGTGGTATCTGCTACCATCTGACCGGGTTGAAGGTTCAATGCAGAGACATGAATACCCCAAAAGTTTAGCGAATGCTTGACGTAGTCCAAGGGACAAAGATTCGACATCTGAATTAGGAGCACCGTCAACCCAGTATAAACCATGGTTATGGACTGAGCCACGGCCTTGTCATTCGAAGCGATTCCAGTTCTCAATAACGTTGAATCTTTTATCCAAAACCTCTTTTCGAAATGTATTGTATCGGATGAGAAACCACTGAGCGACGATGTGTGGGTTGTCTCGAAGGTTATCGCGTGCAATTTGAATCCGCTCTGAACTTGTACCTGCTTTCCATTGCTCAAAGTTTGGCAGATGTTGCATAAGATCGGCCCATTGTAAATCAGCAGCTGACAAAGTCAAGAAAAGATGTGAAGGGCCAATATTCTTAACCATCGCTTTTAGGTGTTGATGTTTGTTTGTCCAAAAAGGACGTGTCCCCCGAAGCGTCCCAGATCGGCGAGTGATTGAGTTAAGTAATGCTTCACCTTCTGGAGCATCATCCTCAAAAGCTAGACGTAAATCATCTGCAGTGATTTGATGCCCATCCTTAGTCTTCTGCTTGATGAAAAAGCTAGCTTTAGTGTTGGCCTGTTGTCTCATCATCGTGTTAAAGACAACGTAGCGGAAACGTGGATGGCGGGCAAAGCGTCCATCATGAAACTTCATCAAATGCTTTGCATAATCAGCAAAGCTGACTGCCACGTCCTCGGTATGGTGGCAGGGAGCTAACGCTGGATCGTCTACTGCTGAAAATAGCCAGGGGATCGGGTGTTGAAGATAAAGTTCTTGTTAGAAGAGAACTGACACGTCGATTTGGGATCATAGCCAACGGGTCCGGTGTAGAGAAATCATCAGTACCAATGACAGCCAGGGGTTGTTGAGCAGAAGGTGGAATATCTTGCTCTACTTCACTCACTGCTTGTGGTGTGGAAGTAGGGGCTTAAGCAGAGGGAGGAATTTCTTGCTCTTGCTCAACAACGTACATATCTAATTCCTGAGTGGGAGGCACGTCTTCCCCAGCTCGTCTTGCAACACGATGAGCACGTCGATCTTGCTCTCTACGCCGACGAGCATCAGCAATCTGTGGGGTGTCCTGGGAGTGAGTACCTCGAAGATGGAAAGAAGGAGCAGGAGACGAGGAGGTAACCTGCTGGCTCTGCTCTAGAGTTTGTTGCTGGAACACTTGGGCAGAGACACGTTGAGGAGCGATTTTTCGAAGAGTTGAGGCCGTTCTTCGAAGTGAAGAGGCTGTAGTTGGCCGCATGAAATGAGGAACATGAGTATCCTCAACTGGAGGCTCAGAGATGTCTGCGTCGTTACTCTTCCGTTTTGCTCGATTGCTTTGCTTCCGATCACGACATGCAGAACATGTTTTCCGGACACGATTTCCAGTTTTGCAGCTTTTGCTCTTGAAATCGTCGATCGGCTTGCTCTGGAGACAGTCCGTGCAAATCTGAACAGTCTCAGCCATGTGTTGAAGAAGTAGAGGAGATGTTGAGGGGAAGGAAAGTGGCGTGTTGTTGAGCAAGCGAGTTTGGAACATAGAAATAACCACTAGATATTTGCCCTAAGTACCGCACTAAGTATGCTACAGAAAGTGTTGGAACCCAGGTGAGCTAAACCTAATTAAGAACTGAACCAGAGATCGACATCAACTGTTGCAGAATCTTTATATTGCGAGATTCTAGAAATTGCTTCAAATTGCCACACTCATTGACTACAGATTGATGATTAGAAATCAACACTACAGCTCTATATCGAGAATATGCGATTGTACGCAGGTGGCAACGTTCCTTGATATCTTCTGTATGTGATTTTGTGTATAAATAGGACCTAGACTGCCAGATCGTTGTGTTTTAGAAGTCATGCACAAATATATCAAAATTCCCATACATATAAGATTCATCGCATAGTGACTGTACGCTTTACCGAGTTAGTGCAAGTGAAAAATCGGCTCCAATAGTTATGAGCCCGGGATCTCTGAAATTTGAAGCTATTCACAGACCAATCCTCAACGCGGAAGCCGAAATAAGAGCACATCGAACCCATCCCCCGGCGAGATAGATCTGGTTGCGGAGCGGTTTCGATTCGATCCAAAGAGCTATTCAGATATTAGCCATGGACACCAAAATCAACACCGTTATTCTGAAGACGCCAGACGACTGGAGAAAGTGGATCGAATAACTCATAACAGAAGCGACAAAGGAAAATGTATGGGAATATATCGATCTTAATCCCGATCGCATGATTTTTGAGCCAGCACCGCTCAAGCCTCATGAACCAATCATGCCAACTATCAATATGAACAACAGAGAAGAAGCGCAGCTATTAATGCAGAAATATCAAATCGATTCGGATATATATGAACGAAAACTCGAGCGGTATGACAAGCACCAAAAACATATGAAAGATATACGTGCTTTCATTCTCAACACCGTGTATATCGAGCACAAGCCGATGATCTGAGAAATCAAAGATGTTTTCGAGATGATCAAGCTGCTCAAGGAAAAGCTAGCGCCAAAGGAGAACCGCGAGAAAGCTCTGTTAATAAAACGTGAGCGAGAGCTTACAATTCCAAAACGAGGAACGAAGCCAAAGGAACTAGCAAAGAAATGGAGGGAACTTCTCATGGACATGAATCTTGCCAATTTTAAAGCGCTAACGTCCGAGCAGCTGGCAAGGGACTTCATTGATTCGACCGAGGGAGTTCTTCCTAAGTTTCACGAACTTTGGTCAACTACCCTGCTCCAATATGACTTGAATTCAAAGATGAGCACCTTATCCGAACCTCCAACAATTGAGGGCATATTGAACGAATTCGACTCATGGACAGACGCATATGCGAAGAAGGAATTGAATCCGAAGCCGGATATAACCATGGCGACGTTCAGCAACAAGTCCGATCAACCTGAGAAGAATAACGAACGGTCAGCAACACCGAAATCTAACAGGAAAATCACATGTTTAGACGGTGAGGAACATGGATTTGAGAATTGCCCATATGTCAATCCAGAAAAACGGACTTCGGAATGGAAACCGGATCCCAATATCCAAAAGAAATTCGACGTCCTCGAGAAGGATAAGACGCATCCCAAAGCCAAGAAATTGCGATGGGTAAAGAAACGGATCGAACGGAAAATGAAAGATGATACTTCAACCGACTCTAACAAAAACAGTGACCAGCAAGAACAATCCAATTTGGTGTATGATTCTGATGAGTTCTGTGGAACCGTTCTGGATACTGTGTTGTCAGCCTCAGGCAACAAGCGAGATATGAAGGATGAGTGGATTCTTGATTCCGGATCGTCAGTTCATATAACTAACAATCGAACCCGGCTCAGGAATCTGCAACGGAACGTACGCTGGGTACTCGTTGGCGATACGCAGACGAAAATGATTGGACCTGGGGAAGCAACGCTGTATCCAACAGAGCCTATAAATAATACGGTTAAACAGAAAGGAATCAAACTCAAAGAGGTCTGGTTGGTTGAAAGAATGCATACCAATATCGATCAGCAGGACGACTCAATGAGAACGGTATAATTTTTGACGGCAAGACGAGACGACTGTATAGTGAGCGAAAAGACGAGGATTTGTGCAATATTAAATGGCATGGACGGCTTATTTTGCTCGAATGGAAGAATAACAAGACTCCTAAGAGTTCACTACAATACGAGTTAGCAATGAGTTCATTCGAGAAAGTAACGTTGAAAGATCCGGCATTGGCATGGCACAAACGATTCGGTCATATATCCCAAAAAGCAGTCCAGAAATTGGAGGAAGCGACTGAGGGAGCAGTCGTCACCACAAGCGAGATTCTGAACAGAAATCCCGACGGATTCCAGGAAAAGTGCGAAGTTTGCGAGATGAGCAAAGCACGCAGAAAAATCAGCAGAGTCTCGATGACGAAGCCAACGAAGCCGTTTCAAGTCCTGTTCGTTGACATTATTGTCATGAATCTTGCAATGAATGGGCACACCTACGCGTTACACGCAGTCGATCCGTACACGAAGTTCCACGTTATTACTACCACCAAGACGAAATCAGTTAATTTTACCTTGGAAACAATGATAGAGGAAATTGAGCATACCTTCAAGGCACATATTGACGAAGTCCATCTGGACGGAGAGTCGTCACTAAATGGAATCAGCTTCACAAAATATTGCCGCGAGAATAAAAAGAGATTGCTGGTTACCGTACCTGGAACGCCTGAGCGAAATAACTACAGGTTCAAGCTCATAAGATTCGCTGCCAATTATAAACTATAATTTTCCCCTAAGTAATTGTGCTCTAGCGTCGTCGTCATCAGAAACTGGGAAAAGATTCCTTACTTCGACCCACTGATCAGGGCGATTGTGGATGTCGGTATATCACGCGCCATCGATATCTGAGCAGGGGGTTGGGCATTGCGACCGTTGAGGCTGGAGCTCAGATGGTACAAACAATTTATTCGGAGACAGCCAGATTAAGTACAAGGTCTCTACGGTGCATTCGTCCACCGAAGTCGTAGCAGAGCGTAAGCTTGTGGCGCTAGGATGAGAAGGCCGAAATTACACATTACACGCAGAAATAAAGCCCTAGATTTTAGCCCTAAACTACAGAAACGTGTTGGATATTTGATACGCTAATCCCAATCAGGATGTCATTACTAATCATGATTCCTCGGAATAACGACATATCCGTGAGAACATGAGAGCCAAAGTCAAGCCTACATTTTGGAGTCAGGATTGTCATTTATCCCGTAAATCCGTGATACTTTGCCACTATGATGTGTATATAAAGAGGATCAAGATGTGTAGTTAGCTATGTTTTAGAAGACGTGCAAATCAGAGTCAATTATTCCTCACCCAAATTGTACAACTCCTATCAGAGCCTAACCCCGTTCGGACTAGTACCAAAAGATTCCAATAAAACGGAAGAGTCACGTGGCGTTCCTTTTTGTTGACCAATAAGATTACGTTGTTCTGTTTTCATCGACCAATCGAGTTGGATTTTAATGGGCCAATCAGAGCAAAGTTGGATTCCCGAGCGATGACCGTAAACTAGCAGAGCTTACGCTTTGCTAATTACCAGAGCGTAAGCTCTGGTAGTTTACTGAGATTGCTCGGCGGGCCCACTTTCCTTTGATTGGTTCACTAAGCTCTGATCCGGTTGGTCAACCAAGATATGCGTAGCAAGCTCATTGGCTAAAAAATGCAACGCCACGTGACTGTCTACTTTTATTGGAATCTTTTGGTACTAGTCCGAACGGGGTTAGGCTCTGATAGGAGTTGTACAATTTGGGTGAGGAATAATTGACTCTGATTTGCACGTCTTCTAAAACATAGCTAACTACACATCTTGATCCTCTTTATATACACATCATAGTGGCAAAGTATCACGGATTTACGGGATAAATGACCATCCTGACTCCAAACTGTAGGCTTGAGTTTGGCTCTCATGTTCTCACGGATATGTCGTTATTCCGAGGAATCATGATTAGTAATGACATCCTGATTGGGATTAGCGTATCAAATATCCAACAACTTTCGTACTTTAGGGCATAAATCTAGGGTTATTTCTTTGTTCCCCCCTCGGTTGTCAACAACGCGTGCCACTTCTTTCCTTTCCCTCAACTCCATCTCTCACCTCACACAAAAACGCCTTTCTCCATATCACGACTTCTTTTTTATCGAATCTCTTTACGTTCCACTCCACTGCTCGCCGCAATGGCTGAGCCTCGCCAGGTCTGCTCAAGCTGCCGGGTTGAGAAGCCTTTACATCAGTTTAAGAGTAAAACTGGCAATCGCACACTAAAAACATGCTCTGCGTGTTGTGACAGAGTACAAGGTCATCGAATTGCTAAAAGAAAGAGCAATGAAGCGGACGTTTCTGAGCCTCCAGTTGAAGAAACTCACGTTCCTCACTTTATGCGGCCAACTACTGCTTCCCTCCGTCGACTCGCACCGCAACGCGTACCTGCTCAGCAGTTACAGCAGCAGATAATTGAGAATAGTCAACAAGTTTCTTCCTCATCGCCTACTCCATCATATCACCACCGCGGTGTCAACTCGCAAGATACGCCGCGTCATGCAGAGGCTCGTCGTCGTCAAGCACAGGATCAACGAGCTCATCGTGCAGCCCGACGTGCTGGAGAGGATGTTCAACCAACACAGGATTTAGAGGCATATATTGCTAACCAGCAAGAGCAAGATATTCCTCAATCTACTCAGCAACCTCTACCATCTACTCCACAGGCAAGCCAGTATCCTTCAACCCCGGACCCTCTAATGGCTATTAATACGAATGTTTTCTCTACACCCGATCCCCTCGTCTTTGTCTCGAATCCGCCAGACAGTCCTGCTTTACGTAGGATAGCTTCTGGTGTAAGTGCGACATCTTCGACACCAGACCCTCTAGCTATGGACGTTAGTGGCAGATCCACACCTTTCCTGGGACGGATTTCTAGCTTCGCTCTTCTACCATATCGAGGACGTTCTCGAAGACCCTCCAGTCTACAATCTACACCACGTCGGCCCCTTATGTCGAATCATTTTGTGTGCAATACCTGCCAAACTCCCCGTCATCTTAGCCGTCGAATTGCAAATGGCCTGGACATCTGTGAATACTGTCAGGACTCAAGCATACCGTTTGAAGACCAGTATAAGTTCTGTGTTAGTTGTCAACGAGATATTCCTATTACTGCATTCTTTGACGACAAATCCTACGAACACGCTCACTGTAACCCATGTCGCGCCAGCTCTGTGACCCAAGCTGAGACTGACCCTTCTTATGTTCCTGAGAGTAGTAACATTCGCTCTGACGATACACACCTATATTGACATCTACCCAGGCTGAAGAACGTCCCGAACAAGACCCTCCTTACGTTCCCGGCGATCCCGACGCCCTCCTCCAATCTGCCCTTACAGAAACTGATTGGGAGTACGTTACAAATTTCCACCAGTCACTGAACCACCAGCAACTCGAGTTCTGTCAGCGTTGTTGTGAGAGATGGTTTAATCTCCGATTGAATTCTCAAGGGATCTGTGATCGTTGCATTCGTGTGGACAAGAGTAAGGATATCCATCTTTTCAGTGCCGCGAATAACCTGCATATAGGCCAAATGCCCGATCTACCCGAGTTATCCCAGACAGAGGAGATGCTTATTGCTCGCGTACATGTTTCTGTTCAAGTACGCAGAGTACGAGGCTAACAATACAAGTATAGTGGACATGTTGTTAACTTCTTGAGAGACACTGCACGGGTTTATGACACCCTACCGCTGATTCCTCAGAATTTGGAGGTCATTCTCCTCTGCCCAGCTAATACTGATGCCGATCCAAGACTTCAACGCCAGTTCATAAACGACTTTCGTGTGCGAAGGGAATGTATTACCAAGTGGCTGGCCTTTCTACGGTCAAATCATCCAGGTTATCGCGATATTACAATCTCACAACAAGCTATTGATTTTCTTCCGCGAGACAGTAGTGTGGCGAATGACATCTTCAGTCAAAGTATTGATCCCGTGGAAATCGATTTGAAGGACGTGTCTGATGAAGTCGAGATTCCTGAACATTGTGCCGTTCCTGATCTAATCGCACAGGAAGATGAGATCACCGCAATCAGGGAACAGCTCCAACCCCAGTAATCACGTCAAACGCATATAGAACTGCCGGCATTCAGATCAACACCTGTTGCGGAATTCACCAGAACACAACCACTACTATCTTGGGCATTTCCAACGCTCTTCCCACGTGGAGAAGCAGATTTTATTCTTCCACGTCAGCGTTCTATCAGGTTTAATGAGTACGTCAAGCACTTAATGAGATTTGATGACTATCGGTTCGCACGTCATCCTCGCCTTCGTTACGTCGTTTTCAACACAATGATGCGACAGCAAGCAAACACAAAAGCAGGATTCTTCGTGAAGCAAAGAACAGCTGGGGGTCAGGAAATTACAGCAGAACAATTACGTGCTGCTTTTGAGGAGGACACCCCAGAAGGTGACGCACTGATCAATTCAATCTCACGTCGCTCAGGAACGCTTCGTGGCACGCGGCCATTCTGGACTAATAAACATCAACAACTCAAAGCTATGGTGCATAATCTCGGACCAGCCCATCTCTTCCTAACACTATCTGCTGCAGACCTTCATTGGGATGACCTCATGAAGCTTATGCCTCGTTATCAAGAGTGGCAGCAAGGAACATCATCGGAACGTATTAAGATCTCACGCGAGAATCTACGCGAGAATCCGCATATTGTGGCGAATTGGTTTCATATACGCTTTGCTGCTTTCCGCAAGGAACTTTTGGATAAGAAGTTCAAAGTGAAGGACTATTGGTATCGATATGAATGGCAGGGACGAGGATCTGTTCATGTTCATAGTCTATACTGGCTTGAAGATGCTCCTAAGTCAGAAATTGCGCAACTTTCAGAACCATTCAGGCAGGCATTTACGGATTTCTGGAGTGCGCGCATATCTGCTCTCAATCCTCAGCCAGGAGTCATGGTGAATGTCGGAAATGAGCGTTCTCCTTTGCAACTCGCTTTTGCTGACCAGCGCAATACTGTTCAATATCTTTCACAGATTTCAAACAGCGTTCAACGTCACACACGTTCCAACAGCTACTGCCTTCGGAAGGAAAAGGGATCTAATCAGGTTTCATGCCGCTTCCACTTCCCCCATTCTATCCGGAACGATGCTGCTGTTGAGATTGCGCCAGGTCACCATTTCTACTGTTTCTATCCAGTACGCAACGATCCCATGATGAACAGTTGGAATCGTTGTATATTGATGGCATGGTTAGCAAATATTGACATTGCACCCTGTACTGGCACTGAAGCTCTGTTAGAATATATTGCCAAATATGCCACTAAAGCTGAAAAGAAAACGGAATCCTACAGTGATCTTATGAAATCATTTTTACCAAGATTGAACGAGAAAAACCCTTTCTTGTCCGCAGTCAGTAAAATGATGAATCATTTGATCGGAGAACGAGACTGGTCGGCTCAAGAGGTCTTACATTTACTACTTGATTTACCACTTCAAGCATCAAGCCGGATTACGATAACTATGGATTGTCGGCCGGAGACTGAGCAGCCAGCCAATTTTGCCAATACCGAAGATGCAGATGATAGAGAGACATTACGTCGAAGTCTTTCGCCCCTCGATAAGTACAAGAAACGCCCATCTATTTTTGACCATGTCACATATTTTACTTTTCTTCGGACATATGACTTCGGAAGTGTGAAGAATATGTATGAGCGATCAACCGCGGAAAAACGAGTCATCAACTACTTCCCCATCTATGATTCTGAAAAACAGCCAGGCGACTATGCGCGTGTGAAGCTTATGCTCCATCATCCATTTCGCGTGATGCAAGATTTGTTGACTATCGACAATAACTCGTTTGGGTCATATGCAGAGGCTTACGAATACTGTAAAAGCGCATGTTCCCATGAGAATGACTTTTATGGAGAGAAGCTTATTCAACCAGACCCCACTCATGAAGATTCTGACGACGAGACTGATAATGAGATCCCAGGCTCTTGGGAGGCTCTTGCTCGCCAGCTTCCACATCGCGATGATGCAACTCGGCTTGAGGATCCTGATCTTCTTGGTGATCGAACAATTGATCGGGAAATGGACTGGTCATCTCATATTGGGAGCCATAGCTACATCCATACAGATTTTTGGGCTACTATGAAGGAAGAGTTTCCTCATCCACCAACAGTTAGATCATCTGCCTCACCAGAGGATCTAGAAGTGCAGCAACGCCATCTTTACGATCTAGTTATCAACCACTATGAACAGGATCTCACTGGACAAGCTCCATCTCAACTGCTCATCAATCTCGATGGGAGAGCTGGAACTGGAAAGTCTCATGTCATCATGCTTATTACAACCACTCTCGACCGAATGGCTCGTAACGCTGACATCAACACCTCTCCAGTTATGCGTGCAGCACCCACTGGCGTTGCTGCCTATAACATCAACGGCCGTACTCTCCATTCACTCTTTCGGCTGCCCATTGCGAGAGGTAGAATGGCTGACTTGACTCCTGAGAATTTGCAGGCAATGCAAGCAAATCTCCGTAATGTCAAATGGCTAATTATTGACGAAAAATCAATGATTGGTCTCAAGCAATTGTACTGGGTTAATCTACGCCTACAGCAGATCTTCCCAACACCGGAGTCTGAATCTGCTCGTCCATTTGGAGGTTTGAACGTGATTCTAGCTGGGGATTTCTATCAACTACCTCCGGTTGGCCAGCGACCTTTGTATTTCAACAAAAAGCTGGACACAATGGAAGAGATTCATGGACACTCTCTCTACCTGAAGTTCGATGTCACGGTTGAACTCGATGTAATTCGACGCCAGGATGATACCGATCAAGATGCTACAAGCTTCCGACAGGCGTTAGAGAATCTCCGAGAAGATAATCTCCAGTTGGCCGATTGGAAACTTCTCTGTACTCGGGTTAAGGCTACTGTCTCCCCTAATGAGATCGATACTTTCAAAGACGTCCTTCTAATCTATTCCAAGAAGGTCCAGGTTCATGAATTCAACCACAACCGCCTACGAGATATTGGGAATCCTGTACTTCGAATCATGGCAACTCACCAGGGTCTCAATGCGGAGAAGGCATCCACTGACGACGCTGGGAATCTCCACGCTGAGATACATCTCTCTATTGGTTGCCGTATTATGCTACTTGAGAACATTTGGACAGATTATGGGCTTGTGAACGGTGCTTTTGGGACAGTGCTAGATATTGTTTGGGAAGCTGGCACTACCAACCCTCGACAGACACCACCTTTCGCATTATTGGTTCATTTTGACTCTTACAATGGACCTGCTTGCTCTCTAGTTGATAATACGCCTGTTGTTCCAATTTTCCGGTCAAAACGAGATTTTATGATTAGCAACATCAACTGCTCACGGACGCAGTTTCCAATTACAGTTGCCTATGCTATGACAGTCCATAAAGCCCAAGGAATAACTATTGGTCGAGCAGTACTCAATATTACGGACCCTGATTTTCAACTTGGGCTTACTTATGTGGCTCTATCCCGTGTAAAGAGACTGAGTGGTCTACTATTTGAGGAGAGCTTTGACTATGACCGTTTTGTCAGGAAAAAGCCACATCCTACAATGGTTATGAGAAAGGAAGATGGCCACCGTCGTCTGGAGCAGCACGTACGTATTACTCTATTCTTGATTGACTATTTTTACTAACTATTAATTATATTAGATTGACTATGTTCCTCTCCCTGGTCCATTACCTTCTCAACCAAGCCAATTATTCCAGGCATTCTTACCAATACGTACATCATCGCCACTGAGAGGCTCCTCTATGGCACCTCATGTCTCGTCTCAAACCCCCCCAGGAGATGAGATCCTAGAGGATAACATTGCGTGAGTAGCCTTCTTCCTCCTGTGTTATACTGACTATTCTCTGTCAAAAGGAAGTTTTGTATGCAGGATTAGTTAGCATCAAATACAACAGATTAACAGCGTTACATTTCCCCCTGTATCGTCGTTCCCAATCGTCGTCGTCGTCGTCGTTGTTTTCTTCTCCGCTCGTTTCGAGTAAGTATTCCCCCAGAACAGCAACGTAACATCTATATACTAACATTACATAGAATGCGATTTTCGGTTGTTTTGGGGGATTCGGGGGGGTTGATATTGGGGTTGTTGTTGCTTCGTACTAAAAATCAAATCTCCACTTTTTTCCTTTTTCATTTGTACAATTCTCGTAATCTAATTGGTTGAAAAAGCTTACGCTCTGGTATGACTTCGGTGGACAAATGCACCGTAGAGACCTTGTAATTCACGGTGACAGAGCCTTAGATCTGGTCAGCCAGGCTGCCTAGGCACAGCCGCATAGGTAACCAACAATGACCGTGCGTATTATGAGTCTTAACTAGCTAGTTCTTGAAAACCAGCTACTTAGTCAGTTCACGAATTCTATGCCAAAAAGATACGTTGTTCCCTGGACAAAATCGAAATCCGAAACTACTCTTGAATACTTTGATAAATATCACGAACTACATTCGGGTTCTACGATTCCTCCAAACTACCAGACTTTTAATGGCTTCCTAGTATGGGTTGCAAGAGCTCACGGAGGGCAGGATCAAGAGCAGTGCATAGGGAGAGAATACGGATGGAACACTGAGATTGTTACCTTGTGTCGGTACTCTGAGATTCTTTTTAAAGAGCTTTCTCACGGCTTGGTGTCGCGCAGAAAGACCAAATATAGAACAATACCAAACATAAAAATGACGCACCTAAAGCAGAATAACAACTCTCCATAGTTATGCCATCAACTCTCAATTGACTAAGACAGTAGGGCCCATCAGACAGTTATTTCTATAATCAAACAACATCAACTGGGAGTAATCATTTTCAAAGACAGCGCGCCAGAGTTTCCGTTCTGAATGCTCTGTAATAATGTCAGCAGTTTGACATCATCAAAAGATGTAAAGCAGAGTGCAAAATGAAACTACATACCACTACTAGGCGAAGATGTGGCACAGTCAATTACTATCCAATCCTCGAGCATGCCAGCTTCAATCCATGGGTAATATCGTCCACCCTTCTTAAATCGATCACAATGTTCGTTAACTCGATTGTGATCTCTAAGTAGCTCGATCCCCCATTTCTTTTGTGGAATCCAGAAGTCGACTCGGCCATCACCCTCCCGGGACCATTCACTGGATATTGGCACACCTCGACCTACTACAGCGTTGAAAGCCCTGTAGAATTCATCCTGATACTGCGCCTCCACTGGTCGAAGCTTTGCCGCAGTTGACAATTTGCCTTCCAGACAATGCCTAAGATTCTTTGAGGAGAAGTGCTCAAGGACCTTCTGACATAAGCTTTCAATCGTAGGAAAGGCCTCGTCTGGGAACGTTGTTGGTCGCTTAGCAATAAGGTACTCAACATATCTGGATATATCAGTATAGGACAATGAGCATTATGAGTGAGAAATATTACTTCTCATGTAAACGTGATGGCAGAACACCAACACCATTTGGCTGTTGAGCGTCATCCTCTAGAACTGCTCTTTGAATCCAGCCATTTTCATAACAGCATCTAATACTATCAACTGATTCATCAAATAGAATATATCCATCTTCTATTATTGTGATCAGTGTATTCTTAGCTTCTGATGTAAGTTTCCTTGGACGAGGAAAAGATCGAGAGACAGCAAATCCATCAAGACCACTAAAGACCTTATTGTCATCCGCCAAGGCTTGAGTCACATAATCTTGTGTATTGTAGAAATATCTTTATGCTTCACCTGTGAGCGGTACACCTAAAAGTTACTAGAGTTAGTTGCTTTGGACTTATAAGATTGTCAAAACGTGAATGACTACAAGCGGTTACATACCTGGAAAAGATAGTATACTATTGAGCTCACAGCCCCGGGATGACCATTCGTGAAATTGAATATATAGTTTCGAGCGTCATTGTCGATGATATACTTTTCAACAGGATCGGAAGAACATAATTTCGTCACGACTATTTCAAATTCGTCCCTATTGTAGAAGAGGCCTATTGGTGGTGACCCAAGCTCTCCTGATGGAGTCAATGAAATGCGTTGAGCGCAACCAAAGCCCACAGGTGTGCCGTGATCCCTCCTGTTATATGGTAGGCCTTCTGACGGGCTGCCATATGAACAGAAAAGACACAGCTTTACCTTATATCCGATCCCACCATGGATATCTTTAATAATTTGATTCCATAATGCAGTGTCCCCATATGATGTTTGTGCTTCATCGATGATGATCATATTACCATTGGCAAATATATTCTGTTTCTTATCAAGCCTCGGGTAGTTGCGCCTGATATATCGAGCCAGATTCGCCCAAGGGTCCTCATCACCAAAGTCCCGAAGATTTTGTTCCCATATCCCAAGCCAGAAAACTATTCTTCCATTCCAGCGATAATAGTCCCTCAACAGAAGAGAAAGTGTTGACTTTCCACTTGCTGGGGTACCACGTACGTGGACGATGTTTTGTGAATCAATGACTTCCGCAAGTTTTGATACTGTTTCATCTCGCGTGTATATCGTTTGACATGGTTCAAGTCTTGGAGAATTTGACACTGGCATCAGCGTCAGTTATGACCATGGCATAATGGTTCAACATATTGAATCTTACCTCTGGTAGCGAGAGAATGCTGATGTTCTTCTGGTCGTATAATAATAATATCAATGTCTGGATCATCGGATCGAGGGAAGTCGGGTAAGATTCGTTTGCGCGGATGGAGATGTGCAAGATTCTCCTTTGCAAAGCCATCTTTGAGTGGGCCGACAGGGCTGTAGAGATCGAGATCACAATAGTCGATTTGACCAATCTTGTTCTGGTTTTTAATCCAAATCTTCTCTTTGACTCTATCGACAGAGTCAATACCGAGAGCACAATCTACAGAGAACGGTCTCTGAAGGTCGTCAAAGAAAGCACACCACAACGTACGCTGAGATGGTTCAGCCATTGTGGGAGAGGTTTGGTTCGGGCGAAAAACCCAGGAGAAAAGATTGGCAGCCATCGTGGACATTCATGAAAGCACTGGGATGATGCAGCAATTGAGGAAGGTGCATTTGTTGTTGCGATGGAAGGTGATATAGAGGGATATAAAATCACATGACGTCAAATAGTGTCGGACACTCAGGAGGCTCAACTGGCGGAACACTATTCCCATTTGGGTTTGGGCCGTAGCTTATGATAGTGTCCTAACTTAACTAACTGTAGGGTTAACTAGTCCCTCCGGGCGTAATTAACACCATTCCATTCCTAGGTCCAAAATCAGCCCAGAGTCCCCCACGAACTCAAGTCCACGCAATTAGGCTAGTAGCGGGCCTGAGACAGTAACCTCAATTATATATCTAGTAGTTTAAACCCTAGAGATACAGTGCATATGGCGCTCGTTATTCTTCTTTTTAACCCTAACCCTAACCCTAGTCATTTTGCACATTTGCTACAGAATATTTCAGCTGTCACAGCGGAGCGTGGATCCATTTCAAGATACAGAGCAAAGGTATATGGCTTCTTGGAGGTGTGGTGAGCGACACGATGGAACGCGAGTATTGGAAGTCAGCGGTAAACACAAGACCGAAAACGGAAAGGACCATTGCTGATTAAGCCGGTCACATGATCGCCAATTTTATGAAGTCTATACGCAACCATCCGAGACTATTTGACAGCTCTTCAAAAGCACAAAAAACGATTTTCGAGTTGATAGGCGACTTCCTTATAATTATTTATATCAAACAGTCGGAGGCTCAAAATCCTCAACCCTCTCTACCACCTAGCTCCCAGGAGTGCAGCCTTTGACGCGTCCCAACGCGCCCGGCAACACCATGGCGCGTAAAGGCCCTGGTACAGACGGCCCTCTACAGATAGCCCTTCTGGAATCCACGTCTGCAGCCACAACAAGAGCTTCTGAGGGACAGAAGATCTTCAGCCCTATAGCTGTATTCCTTGATAAACACCGCAGCCAAACCACCAGCCTTGCTCCTCACCTACTAAGAGCCCTCACCGCTCTAAGCGATGACCTCGCCTCGATAGCTCAACAACATTTCAACGCTTATATTAGCGGTATCTCGACAACCTCCATTCTACCTGCCCTGTCTCCTTCCCCTTCCTCTTCCCCCACCCTAAATCCCTTACCCCCTTCATCCCCTCCCTCACGTCCCCCCTCAGGCCTTAACCAGTCAACTTATGCAACTATTACCTAATATACCCTGGTCAAATCAACTCCCACTACTCACTCTAAAGCCTCCATCAAAAAGCCTATGCCTCTGGTGAAACAACCCCTTCCTGATATCCGGCTCTTCGTACGCCTCCCAGCTGACCATGCAGCCAGAAAAATGGAAGCCTACGCTATCTACTCTAGCCTACGATCTCAGCTAAACTTAAATAGTGCAGCACTAAAAGAAGTCCAAGCTACAAAGACTGGCTTTGCACTATGTCCCTCATCTCCAGAAGCCCTCCTAGCCCTTAAGGCCCAAAAAGAGACGATCTCTGCATTCTTTATTAACTGCCAGATAGAACGCAGCTCCTAATGGGTCTCGTACTGAGTCACCAACGTGCCAAGAAAAATAGGCCAAATCTTGGATGGTCAATACTCTCTAATCCCTGTCAATCCTACACTACTATCCTTAGAAATTAGCGAAACTACAGGGCTCAAGCCTATATCTATTAGCGAGACCACTACGAGTGCTGCCAACCCTGATACTCTCTCCTCAAGCTGGTTTGTCAACTTCCCAGAAGGCACGAAATCACTACTGCCTATCCAGCTACGTCTTTTTGGTACTATCACTAATGCTTGTCACCTCTCTAAGAAAACAATAGTTATTCAATGTATACAATGCTAGAAATAGCATAATGCACGATCCTGTGCACGCCCCTCTCGATGCCAACTATGCGGCTCCTCAGAGCATACTGAAGAGGGCCATGTCAACTGCTGCACAGCCCCAGAGCCTCATCAATGCCCTCCTAGATGCATACACTGCCATAGACCACATCCAGCTAATTTCGCAGAATGCCTTCTGCGCCCTAAAGGCAATACTAAACATACTAAAGCTCAACAAACGGAGATCCGCAAATCCTGCGCTATAAACCTCGCAAAAGCTCGAACTGAAGGAGGATGTAGCTCTCAGCTCTCCATAGGCACACAAGAAACACCTATGGCATTAGATGAGATGCTATCACAGCCTTCAATCCATGAGATTATCTCTTCTTTCTGTTTAGTAACCCCCCCACCTCACGCTCTAACTAAAGATCCTCCTATTACAGCTCGTGCAGTCCATTTTATAATCCCTCAACTATAAAACTGGTTCGCCTCTCTTCTTGAACAGGAGCTATGATCTATCACTATCTAACTTAAAAGGCGCCTCTCAAAATCCTACAGTTAAATGTAGGGCACGCGCCAGACGCACATGAAATAGCCCTCACATTGGCATACACTAGCGACATTGATATTATCCTAATCCAAGAACTATATACATTCAAAGACCTCAGCCGACAGATCACTAAAAAATATCCATCATATGAATGCTTCTCCCCAACTGATAGCTGGGCAATAAGTGGCCGACCACGAGTCCTCACCTATGTCCGAAAGAAGAAAGGTATCCGGACCTCCCAGCTACGCCCCTTTACAACTGACACTAAAGAAGCCTCGGATCTCCTGTTCCTTCAGATTTTTTCGCCCACAGGAAAGTCCGCTCTGATAGTTAACATCTATAATGCCCCAGCAGGCTGCAGCAGAGTAGGTGAAGCCGCGAAAGCTCTCACAACCCTGCCAGAGGTGTATTTCCCTCAAACAACGATACTTGTAGGTGATCTCAACCTACTACACAATAGATGGCAACCCTCGCTACAACGCAGCCCTACAACTTTTGCAGAGCCGTTTATCAACTGGCTGGATCTCCAGGGTCTAGTACTCATTTCCAACATAGACTGTCCCACACATGAAAGGGGTAACGTGTTAGACCTCAGTTTCGCCTCAAGCCCTCTGGCACTCGCAGGAGTCAAAGCTAGCATAGCGAGCTACTTAGATGCAACCTCAGATCATCAACCACTAATCACCACTGTTCCATGGGATCAGAGATACAAGGAAACAGCCCAGAAACTGAGATTTGACACACTAGACCACACCTCCTTCCTCTCGCTCCTCGCCTCTAATCTCGCTGGCACCGAGAGCTCAGCCGCAACAGAAGAAGATCTTGATGCCCTTGCTGAAAAACTGATATCTGCAATTCAAGAAGTATATAGAGGCTCTGCTAAGAGGACTATGACACAAGGCATAGGACAACCATGGTGGAATGAAGACTACAAGAAAGCTTTATACAATTACCGTTTAGGCCTCTGCTCAAAGACAGACTTCCGCAGGATAACTAGATGGTCTCAATGACAATTTTGGCGAGATAAGCTCTCTATGGTAACATAAATGAAGGATGTTTTTGACATGAGCAAATGGCATAAGTCTACAGGCATCTTCCAAAGCCCTCTACTAAAAGATCCGCTAAGGCCCAACAGCCTCCCAGCAGTTACTATACACGAGAAACGAGACGTACTAGTCCGCAATCTTCTCCAGAACTCGGCAGAGGCAGGAGACATACCTCTGGACTCCCCAGCAGTGCCTTCCACTAGTCTCTACTTCCCAGATATATCGATGCTACAAGTGGAGGAGTCAGTACTTCAGGCAGGAAACACAGCCCCTGGCGCAGATGAAATCCCAACCTGCATACTCAAAGTAGCCTGGCCTCTGATCAAAGATAAGGTACTAATGCTATATCAAGGGTGCCTAAAGATTGGTTATCATCCTAAATGCTTTCGACACGCAATCTTAGCAATCATCCAGAAACCAAAAAAGACTGATTAGTCTTCACCTAGTTTATACAGACTAATCACTCTCCTATCAGTACTTGGCAAAGGACTGGAGCGCTTGGTGGCACAGAATATGGCATAGATCTCTTTACACCATAAAGTATTAGCAAGGCAACAATTTGGGGCTCTCCTACTAAGATCTGCAACTGACCTGACCATATGCCTAACACATGATGTTGAACAAGCGCTAAATCAAGGCATGACTGCCTCACTCCTTACCCTAGATGTTAAAGGCGCCTTTGATTCCGTGCTTCCCAGCAGACTGATCCGCAGACTACGCGAGCAGGGCTGGCCTACCAATCTCGTTCTCTGGATTGCCTCCTTCGCTACTGGAAGATCAGTTCAGATCCGACTCGATGGAGAGATCGGCCCCTCAACAGACATTGCCTGCGGTCTTCCACAAGGATCCCCAGTATCTGGCATTCTTTTCATGCTCTACATAGCGCCTCTATTCTGTCTAGGAAACCCAAGGAACAGATTTGGTTACGCGGACGATGCAGCCAACCTAGCAATCTCAACTTCTCTTACTACTAATTGCGAAGCCTTATCAGACTCACTTTAAGAAGCTCTTAATTGGGGCACTGCAGAGGGCATTACATTTGCACTAGATAAATATGAGCTTCTTCACTTCTCCCAACATAAAGCAGACCAGGACCCAACCCGCACACCTTCAGTAAAAGCTGGATCTATTATAATATCAGAAAACACTAAATAGCTATGACTACGATGGCTAGGAATCCTCTTTGACAAAAAGCTAACGTTCAAATGGCACATTAGAGAAACAGCATCTAAAGCCCTCACTATGGCCAATGCTCTTCGCTCTCTAGGAAATACTGTTCAAGGAGTTAAACCTGATTTACTACAGCAGGCTGTATCAGCCTGTGTACTCCATAAAGCATACTATGGCGCAGAAACCTGGTGGCCAGGACGTACTCGCCCTGGACCTTCCCAGATTTCAAACCGAGTTGGAGAACATCTTGAGAAACTAACTAAAGTAATACTAATAGGCGCAAGAGCAGTCCTTCTAGTCTTCCGCACAACCCCAAAGCCAGTCCTTTATCGAGAGTCTGGATTCTCTCCACCAGAAATCGAACTAGATCGAATAGCCCTCCTTGCAACTGTCCGCCTACGGTGTCTCGACCCTTATCACCCACTTTGAAGACGCGCAGAACAGATCGCTAGTAATGGCTGACAAACTAGCCGATTTGCCCGCCGTACACTAGCCCTCCCAAACTCTGAATAGATAAACCCTCTCCAATATGCTCCCTGGCACCCTCGCGAGCCTCGTGGGAATGTTTAAGCTCGAATAGGAGCTCCCATGGGACGCACTAAGGAACAGGCAGCGGCTAATTTCATGGCTTTTCAACGTACCATCCCTAGCTCAGATATTGTAATCTTTTCAGATGGATCTAGGCTAGCAGATGGACGTGCAGGGGGTGGCTATATTGGACTCTAAGCACACCATCAGTTCCTCCGCTCCTCACTCTCATACGGACACAGGAAAGAGGTCTTTGACATAGAAGTAGAAGTAGCTCTAGCTAGCGCTCAAGCAGCAATAGCATACCCAACAGCTCAATTTGCTACCAACCTATAGATCTGCCTTGATAACCTGGAAGTTGCTATACGCCTTCTATCTCCCTCTACAGGATCTTCCCAAGAAATCTTTGAATCCTTCCGCACCCTTGCAGCTGCATAGCCACTTTGCAAAAGGCTTCCTCACACCAAAAGTGGATCTATCTAAATCCAATGGGTCCCTGGACACGCCAAAATCCCTGAGAACGAAGCGGCTGATCTCGCTGCCAAAGAGGAAGCTGCCTCAATCCCTCCTGCTCCTCACAAATCCTCATACGCCTCGCTAAAGAGATACGCCAAGACTCAATCCCTATCCGCTGCTCAGTCACAATAGGAGAAGGTGGCACCACAGAGCTATCAAGATCTAGAAATAACCACTTCCCCTAAGCGCCCTGGGGAGCTTCAACTCAACCGACTTGACCTTGGCCATGTTATTGCGGCCTGTACTGGTCATAGAGACTTTGCAGACTACCATGAACGCTTCAATTATGATGACGCTTATCTTCTCTACCGATGCAGAGCATGAAAAGCACCTCTACACTTCTTCTTCTGTCATATAGCTAAGAGACGAGCCCCTCGGCCTCCTAGGCCCCCTTCTGAGGTCATCTCTTTTCTCTTAGGCACTGCTAAAGGAGCATAAAAGCTAGCCACATGGCTAGCAGAGACCCACTTCTTTGAGGATATCTGCCCTCGCCAACCTCTCCTTAGCACCTAGCTAAGACAGCCCTACTCTTCCTTTATATTTCTCTTCTCCTTCTTTCTTTCTCTTCTCTTCTTTCTTTCCCTCTCTGCAAAACTTACTGTTCAGTTATAATAGTGGTGGAGTGATAGGTCATGGAGTGTAGGCGGACCATTGCAGCTGGCAAATACCTAAAACCCACTCAAAGTGGACCTCCCTGTAAGACCACGGCAGCTATGGAAATGCGCCAAAGAGTCTCTTATTTGTATATAAATCTGATAGGACCCGAAACCCGAGGCTTACCCCTCGGCGGCCTATGTCCCAGTAGGGATCGGTGGGAAGCGTGCGAGTCACGAACCACGGCCGTTAAATATATACACACACACACACACGCGAGACTATTTGACGTCATGTGATTTTATATCTGAAGAATACACCTTCCATCCTTCCATAGCGACATTCAAGTAGCAACCCGGTCCTTCCTCATGTCTCGCATCACACCAGTAGTTTTATCAGTCCTCCAGAATGGCTTCAAATCTTTTCTCTTGGGTTTTTCGTCCAAAACGTTCCTCTCCAACAATGGCTGAACCGTCTCAGCGCACGTTGTGGTGTGCTTTCTCAGACAATATCGATACCGTGTTTCCTATAGACTGCATTCTCGGTGTTGATACTATTGGCCACGTTAAACGGAAGATTCGGTCGGAAAGTCAACCCAAGCTTGCTCATGTTGCTTCCTGGGAACTCGATCTCTACAGCCCTTCCAGCCCAGTCAAGAATATTCCTACGAGGGAGAACCTTGTACATCTCCATCCGCGCGAACGAATATTATCCGACTTTCCTCGATCCAATGATCCAGACATTGATATTATTGTTATACGACCAGAAGAACAACAGCATTCTACTGCTACCCAAGGTACGATCCCACATGTTGAACCATTATGCCATGGTCATAACTGACGCTGATGCCAGTGTTAAATTCTCCAAGACTTGAACCATGTCAAACGATATGCACGCGAGATGAAACAGTATCAAAACTTGCGGAAGTCATTGATTCACAAAACATCGTCCACGTACGTGGTACCCCAGCAAGTGGAAAGTCAACACTTTCTCTTCTGTTGAGGGACTATTATCGCTGGAATGGAAGAATAGTTTTCTGGCTTGGGATATGGGAACAAAATCTTCGGGACTTTGGTGATGAGGACCCTTGGGCGAATCTGGCTCGATATATCAGGCGCAACTACCCGAGGCTTGATAAGAAACAGAATATATTTGCCAATGGTAATGTGATCATCATCGATGAAGCACAAACATCATATGGGGACACTGCATTATGGAATCAAATTATTAAAGATATCCATGGTGGGATCGGATATAAGGTAAAGCTGTGTCTTTTCTGTTCATATGGCAGCCCGTCAGAAGGCCTACCATATAACAGGAGGGATCACGGCACACCTGTGGGCTTTGGTTGCGCTCAACGCATTTCATTGACTCCATCAGGAGAGCTTGGGTCACCACCAATAGGCCTCTTCTACAATAGGGACGAATTTGAAATAGTCGTGACGAAATTATGTTCTTCCGATCCTGTTGAAAAGTATATCATCGACAATGACGCTCGAAACTATATATTCAATTTCACGAATGGTCATCCCGGGGCTGTGAGCTCAATAGTATACTATCTTTTCCAGGTATGTAACCGCTTGTAGTCATTCACGTTTTGACAATCTTATAAGTCCAAAGCAACTAACTCTAGTAACTTTTAGGTGTACCGCTCACAGGTGAAGCATAAAGATATTTCTACAATAACACAAGATTATGTGACTCAAGCCTTGGCGGATGACAATAAGGTCTTTAGTGGTCTTGATGGATTTGCTGTCTCTCGATCTTTTCCTCGTCCAAGGAAACTTACATCAGAAGCTAAGAATACACTGATCACAATAATAGAAGATGGATATATTCTATTTGATGAATCAGTTGATAGTATTAGATGCTGTTATGAAAATGGCTGGATTCAAAGAGCAGTTCTAGAGGATGACGCTCAACAGCCAAATGGTGTTGGTGTTCTGCCATCACGTTTACATGAGAAGTAATATTTCTCACTCATAATGCTCATTGTCCTATACTGATATATCCAGATATGTTGAGTACCTTATTGCTAAGCGACCAACAACGTTCCCAGACGAGGCCTTTCCTACGATTGAAAGCTTATGTCAGAAGGTCCTTGAGCACTTCTCCTCAAAGAATCTTAGGCATTGTCTGGAAGGCAAATTGTCAACTGCGGCAAAGCTTCGACCAGTGGAGGCGCAGTATCAGGATGAATTCTACAGGGCTTTCAACGCTGTAGTAGGTCGAGGTGTGCCAATATCCAGTGAATGGTCCCGGGAGGGTGATGGCCGAGTCGACTTCTGGATTCCACAAAAGAAATGGGGGATCGAGCTACTTAGAGATCACAATCGAGTTAACGAACATTGTGATCGATTTAAGAAGGGTGGACGATATTACCCATGGATTGAAGCTGGCATGCTCGAGGATTGGATAGTAATTGACTGTGCCACATCTCCACCCATTAGTGGTACGTAGTCTAGCCTTATACTTTGTTTTACATTCTTGATGCTGTCAAACTACTAACATCATTACAGAGCATTCAGAACGGAAACTCTGGCGCGCTATCTTTAATAATGATTATTCCCAGTTGATGTTGTTGGATCATAGAAATAACTGTCTGATGGGCCCTACTGTCTTAGTCAATTAAGAGTTGGTGAGATATATGCAGCTCTTATTTTGCTTTACCTATGATATGCTTAGTATTATTATATGCAATCCTAGCACTTAGTTAAAGCGGCGGCTTCCCGCTGGGACTTATGAGGTGGAATTGATGCCGTAAGAAGTCTCAGTAGCGGTCATTTTCGCTGTCGATTTCACAGGTCCTCATATTCAGTGTGTAAGTCTACGTGTTCAATCAATTATTTCTCTTTGACAGGGATTGTACTATATGGTCAGTAGCCTTATTTCTTTCTAGTACTATGTATTACTTCATCTGTGGGAACTACCTTGAAGTTATCTCTCTGAATCTCTTCCCGGCTGCGGTACCCTACTATGTATAGCAGCGTCCACATGCCAGTAAAGATCCATCTGAGGAGCGGCAACAGCCGAACGAATTTTTCATGCATTTCATCACTACAGTTGCAATCTCGACCTCCGACGCCCCCTCAACCTAATGTCTGTAGCTGCTGTCTTCGTCCTTACCAATCTGAGCGGTATCGAACTTGTGATGACTGCTGTTCTTCATCAAAGCGAGTACAGGCTCAACGGCGTATGCAGCCTCGAGCCAACAACTGTAGCAGCTGCCATCGACCTTGCCAATCTACACAATCTAGCCTTTGCGATACCTGCTGTTCACTGCAGGCGCCCGATCCAGTCACTGATCTCGGCCACGGTAGTGGTCCTTCGGGTTCGAGATACCCGCGGCCTCTAGTTGAATACTATGGGCAGCGACGGCTTCAGAGTGATCTGTTCCCAAGTCAGATTCCTGAACCTGTGTTCGAAATTGCGTGGCTAAGGATCTTGAGAGGAAACGGCTACAGTCAGCTGCCACAGTGACCGAAGCGAGCGTTGGGGAACAGCCTCGATATATTGACGATGTGCCGGTGATTCGCTATTCATCCAACGGCAGATTAGTGCTGATGAATGACTGGCAAGACGCTGACTATTTTACTGGAGCTTTCCCTACCTTATTCCCTTACGGGGTCGGTGGCCATATTTCCAATTCGGAACTTCGGCCGGTTTCGGTCTCGCTGAAAGCGTGGGCGAAATGGGCACTGAGTCACCACAGTTGAAGGTTTGCCCGACATCCTACGTTCCTCTACTTGGCTTACGTGGCGTCGATTCTTCAATTTCTCTCTCTTTCTCTTCCCTTTCTACGGCTCTGACTGAGACGACGCTTCTTTCGTTACTTTGACTTCACGAAATTCAAGATGAGTAGGTCACGTTGATTCTTCCATTCATCTTCACTAGCGTGTATTGGGTGTTAACCGTCGACATAGTTACTAGAAAGATATCCCGCGAGCAATCTGTTGCTCCTCCCAGTCACCACGTACCCATTCAAAAGGACGCTGTTCCCCCAACTCATGTGAAGACTGTCCTGCCATCGAATCACACGCCGGTTGCTGCTGTCATCGAGACATCTCCTGCATCGCCGTCAACCCAGTTGCATCCATTCTTTGTTAATGATGACGTTCCGTCCATCCCGAGGGCTGCCATTCTTTCAGGACAGACGATCTAACATTATCAACCTGGTGGATAGTGCAGAGATCACCTGGGCAGACTACTACCGTGGTTCTCAGATAGTGTCGTGGAAGGACGACGCGAAGCACGAAGGCGCCGTAGATATGTGCATAATAGGCCATCTGTCTGCTGCCTATCTGGATAAAGCCTCATCTTTCCTGTATGACCCGTCTTATCGCCTAGAGCTGTCACTGAATGACGAGACAGCCCGGGCCCTGGAGAGTACCATAAAGAGTGGTCCGCTTGATGATACGGCTTCAACCCCGTTTAAGTTACCGCGTGTCGTCACGATTTCAGTGAAGGTAAAGACACTGCAGAAGTCGGATGCTCCACAATTGACAGTAAGTGATCCGTTTCCCTTTCTTTTCGACGGCCGGAATATTGCGAAAGGCCGCCGGTCGGTGCTGAAAGGGTATCCGGTTGATCAATTAGCAAGAGACGACCTGCTTGCTGCAGACACGAACCTTTCATCGTACGATATTGAGGCGAGATATGACGTACCCCGTCGATTTGGCTACACGCTATCGTTGCGGAGCGTCTATTTCCTTGAAAGCTGCGACACCGCTATTGTTCCTTCGACTCCTAAGAACCGCAAGCGAAAGGGGGTTTTCTGGTGAGTCCGAGGAAGAATCGAAGTCCAGGCCAGCTGGCCGTGTTCTCGGACGAGGAGTAGAGTTGTGACGACCTTCGCTTCGCGTCCTTTTTGAGACTGTGCTGAATGGTGGTAATGAGGGGCACCTGGCTCCTGGGCACGCACTATGTGTCGTCTTTGGATTGGTGATCGTCCCATGTTCCCCCTTGCGTAGCGTAAATATGCTAGAAATACGATCAACGTCTTGCACCTCCGAGATTCTGCAACTAGTACCAAAACCCCGATGGCCCTATGGCCTTGGCGTCAGAGACCGCCGCTGAAAATAATACACAGAAATGACAGTTGTTACAGTATATGATGAGCTGAACATTCGCCCGCTGCTATACTGTAAAGCGCCATGGTAGTAGTCTAACAGATACGCTCGGAAACCGGCTCTGTTCTTCGATTTTCTCTTCGACGATTCTTCAATCCTCGTAGAGCATGCACTGCACATCTTATCTCCTGCGCATTCGTTTCATTTTCATTTTCATTCAGGCCTCGCGCGCTAGCTGGGGCGTTGCCCCAGCGCGCGCCTCCAGTGAAATGACTGCGGTCATATCGAAGTAAGGATGTTACGATATCATGTGTCGACATGCTGTATACAATACATGTTTGATTGGCGGATTTAGCCTCATTGGTTTTAAAAAATCAAGAGGCTGGTAAATGAAGGGGGCCTGGGAAGAATATGGGCTGACTCTAGAAAAAGAGGGGTAACGTAGCATGGGAAGGATTAGCCGAGTGCCATAGCAATTCCAGGGTCGCAAAGAAGTTCCTGGCAAGACTGGAATGGATGTAGAGATAAAAAAAATTAAAAGACCAAAAACATACAACAGCAGGGATTCGCTGGTGGTCACCCACCCAACTACTAACCAGCCGGCGTGTGGCTTAAGTACGGCTGAGCGGACGGGAAGCCCTGTTTTCCACACCCTATGGTCGTATGTGGTAGGAAAATTGGAAGATTTATTGATATACCGATGACTATATCGCCTAGATTATGCCAGCTCAGTCACTTCACTGGCAGGGGCGAATCAGTGTAGGATTGTCTCCGGTCTTGGAACGCTGCAATTATCTGATTGATGCGATGGAGATGTATACCCACTAGAAGAGTGAGAGAGATGTTTCGAGGGATAATGCCCTTGTCAGCCCCTTAAATTAATATTTAGGGTTTCACCTCTTATTCTGGGGTCGCGTAGAAAAGATATTGATCAAAGCATGAGTTCAATTAAGTAAAATTTGATATGAAGCCGAGTGCGTGACTGGAGCTACCAATCTTAATGATAAGGCTGTGTAGTCCGAAGCCGTGTCAATCACACATGCTACACGTTCTGGTATCGAGAAGCTAGGGTTTCTCCGTTTCTGCTTATCATTCCTGCTCGCTCCAAATCTCCATTTCCGAAATTTCAAAGTCGACTTCCCAACTACCCCTCCATGGATTTGATCTGTACACGCCTGTCCTCTCGTCTCCTTTGTGAACTTCATGTGTGACATGGACCTGGCGCAACCCATCTTTCAACCCTAGTATTACTCCGCCTCCCTGTCCAAATATAACAGTATCATTGTCCACTGTCCAACCGGGCTTGCCTATAGCCCCCCTAAAGATGTCTTGGACTGGAGCTAGCTGGAAAACCGAGCACGGTTCCTGGCCAACATGACCCGGGATATCATTTGGCTGCACGCTAGCTCCATCAGCCCTAGGTTTGGGACTAAAGACGCCGAAGATGCAAGATTCTCCTGCTGATGTAGTTCCTGAGAGGACCATAATAGCCTCGTCTGGGACTGACTCCATTGCACCCACAAATTCAGTGGGTGATGTACGAGTAGGACCGGTACAGCGGTGAATGCGACGTAGCGAACCAAAGTATACGCCACCGGAGAGAAAGGTCGCGAGTTGACTAAAGAGCGCCGGCTTGAGAATCCCTCCTGATGTATTGGTGACTTCAGGTCTGTCTAGGACATCAAAAAGGCCGGTTGTTCCCAAGAATGTAGTTGACAACATATAATAAAAGGGATCAAAGAGGTATGGCACAGTATCTCTTAGTGCACTATCAAACATTGGCCAGGTAATAACTTGATTCTTCTCCTCACAGAAAGCCGCGCACACGGATTTTGCAGCAGTCTCAAAACCAGTCAAGTCCATATTTGCCTCGGTGGGTTTGAACTGTAATGCCAAAAGAAGTTTTACTAAAGAAATGAACCGGTCTGTTGGAATACCGATAGTGTACAGCGACGGCATCTCATTCTCTGACGCCATATGCTTTGCCACACCCCGGAATGCATCTCGAGCAACTCGAGAAAGCCCAGGATGCCTCACTTCCTGTGTGGAGTATAACACGTCAAGGAGATCGTGGTAAATTTCATCACCATCGTCGTCATGATTCGAGGAGCAGAATTCATGGTTGTCTCCTCTGTCAACGTCAAAGGCATTGAACAGTGCTAGACGGCGTGCGCTTTCAGGATCATACTGTTTATTATGATTTGTGGAAGCCAGGCTTTGGAAAAGGAGTCTGCGGTGATCAGCCTTGGTTCTCACGCGGGAGTGGGATCCTTCTTCTATGATGGACGCATATCGCCCTGGAAGAGCCCACACCAATGACCGAGTGAGCTCGGCGAGAGAAAGCCCAGGCGGCGATTTAGTGGACGGCGGACTAGAAAATGGAAAAGTGCTGAGATACGCGAGGCTTGCATAGATGACCTTTCCCGCTTCGATACCATCTGGAGAACGAGGCAGATTTGCTTTCCTCTGTAGAATAGAGATAAGCGTAGTCTCCGTCAGAAGACCCTCTTCACTGCATATGGATTCAAAAGTCCCTTTGAGAGCTGCCTCTTCTTCCTCGCGAATGGCGTAGCTATTTTGAATTTCTTTGTCTAAACGTGCTATGATGGACTCTTTACTTAGCATGCCCTTTACATCCCAGTCCTTGATAATATTCTGCGCCCATTCATCATCCTTCATGATGGAAGCAGCGTTTGAAAAAAGTCGTGTCTCAGAGGAGAAGTATTGATAGAGGAATAGTAATAACGAAATGTGAGAATCGAGATGTTAACTGGGAGGAACGATCAGAGAGGCGATTTCGAGTCTTCCCTTAAGAGTGTAATATTCAGGAATATTCGTTATGAGTAATCAGCAAAACATTGACTATGTAAGGTTCAAGACAGATGGCACGTCTAGAAGGGGAATGTGATGATCCTTCTCAAGGATGACGACGCTGAGTAAAAGTGAGCTGAAGTGACAGGATGAAACAAGTGGATGTTGTTAGGCGGGAGCCAAAATAGTTTTCTTACCCTTGCTACAATACACATGCTTACTGTTCAGCTCCACTAGTCATCCTCGTTTCACCTGCTCTCTCTAATACATAGATGATTTTCCTAATAAGGTTCTTGACGCTACCGAAACTGATGTTTGAAATGAGTAATGATTTAACAAATCCCGACACCTAATTCGTGCATCACCGAACTACAATATTGTTTCTCCCTTTTGGCCCCTTTTCAACAGGGATCTACCCCAGGCATATTTGCAGCGACACTGTCAGCATGGACACCAACAGCTACATTAAAATCAGCATTCTAAATAAAGAAATACTAGCAATAATCTCATCTGCGTGAACTGAGACTAGCATGAGATACAAAATGATTTATAAAATGGAGAGGCTCTTCATTCTTTCAGGTTCAATCAACTCATTTGCAACAGCATCACCAGACTGATATCTATTTCAACCAACGCAATCCTCTCTATATCTTGTCTTTTTCAGTCCGGACTCTCAAACAAAATGAGGTTTTCTTATATTCTCTCTGGCTTCTTGGCCGCTCTTGCCATTGCAAGCCCTATTGCCAGACCCGAGGAGGTCGATGTGACAGAATTGGTCACTCGTGAGACCTACCAAGATACCGCCGAATTCACCGCGGCCAACAGTGTGCACCCTGGCCTGCAGAATGGTCAATACTACTGGTTCACTCTTGAATGGCCACTCGGCGCTCCTGTGGGCGATGGAGACAAGGAATCCCAAACGGAGTTACAGCAACTGCAGCAGAAGCTCGGCTTCGAGCACATCGGTGTCGTCGTCGGCAAAGTTACCGAAACTACTACCGGCAAAGGCAAAAACCAGAAGACAAAACGTGATTTTAACGCTGTGCTCTACCACATGACAAAGAAGAACGTCAATCCAGGCGATGTCGAGCTGAAGACTGCCAATTGGAAAGCCGACCCAAGGAAGAATCTAAAGGGGGGACAAGTCACCAGCAGCAAAAAGGTCGATGCCGCTAAGAAGGTTGCAAAGAACTGGGTTAGTGAACACAAGATCTACAGTGTCACTGATAACAGCTGCAACGATTTTGCCCAGGCTGTTATCAAGGCTCTCTGATCAAGCTAAGGTTTCACAGATTTAAGCTGTTTAAATCTGTACAATTGAGGTGATTGTGACTGGTCTGCCGGTGTTCATAGAACGATTGAACATGTCAACAACGTCTTAGGTAGTCAGTGCTGTAAGATCAAAGATATAGTTTTATAGACTACATTCAACATACCACAGATTTCTATTTTTGATAAATTATCGTCGTACTTTTCACATGGAACTGTTCACACTGTGGGTGCGTGATAGTTGGGATTGAAAGGTTCATAGCGTTAGATGTGTTACATTTTGCCCGGAGGAGGGGGAGGGAAGTACTTGCAAAGTATATCTAGAGGACGAGCAAGCACGAGTCCCCTATGTAACACGGTGTGCATGTAACGAGGGACATGCAAATTTAGTTTATAGAAATATTCAAGATAAATGTCGCTCTGCAAAATTAGGCAATACTTAGTCTAATATCCCAGGGTACATTGACCAATATGCCCTAATTCCAACCAATCAAATACAGATGTACAAATCAAGAGATAACAAAATCCCGAGTGCCAAACGCTAAATAGATACTAATATATTTCCCTCGTTCTCAAACGACCAGAGTTGAGTATACCTGGGGACTGACCAATATGCCCTTCTACGCCTGGATTGGCTCGTTGGTGGGTAACTCGGGCAATTGGGTGTCATTCCTGACATCAGCGTCCCCGAGATCAATAAGCCTTTCTCCCTTGTAAGGAGCTTCTCCAAGACGGAGGTAATTCCAGCAGACTACGGCAAGTCAGTTCAGTTCATACCCACTATTTAAGAGAGGAGGCCGTACTCGCAAACCCCAAATCGTCACCAAAAAACAAGTTTAGTACATCCTCTCCCGACGCAATACCCTCATCGGGAGTATAAGAAGCAGCTTTCTTGCCAATTGCAAGAGCCATCATAGGCGGAACATTTGGATCAAGTTCTTTGAATTGAGGAGTGATGCCGTTTTGAGCACTTAGGATGCGTTGGTGGATGTTTACTGCTGTATGAAGTCCTTGATGCATTGCTGCACCACAGCGTTTGATTCCCGGCCAACGGGCGATGTCGCCCGCTGCGTAGTGGTAATCTGCATTGGGTGTACCCTCCACGAATGCAGTACTATTTTTTGGTCAGTAATAATAATTCGAGTGGCCAGTGGAATGTGCATGCTTACCTAGATCCTATCTTGACATAACCTTCCTCATCTAGCGCGCTTGATGGCAGGTAATTTGCAGTGGGATGGAACTTGGAAATTGCATTGACGACAAAGCCTGCTTTGACATGCCGACCATCTACGAAGCAGACTTCATAGGATGTTAACCCTGTGCCGGGATCTGATTTTTTGATTACCTTATTGACTCGAGCACCTAGAATCGTCTCGACACCTGATTCCTGGACTAGGCCCAAAGCAAGATCTCTGAACTCATCTGATACATTCTCAGAAGAGAGTATCTGTTTTCTGGAATGGATTAATGTGACTTTGAGATGTGGATGGGTCGTTTTGAGTTCAGCAGCAATCTCAATGCCCACGGCGCCTGGGACAGTAGATCAGTATAACTCCAAGCACGATCAACATGGGGATTTCCCCCACCTGCCCCGATCACTACAACGCCGTCTTCAGCACTCTCAACTAATCGAATATGCTCTAAAGCATCATTTAAATATTCCTTTCGGGATAGCGCAGTCGGCGCCGATGGTTTCGTCCGTCGTAGACCAGACGCGGCAACAAAATAGTCATACGGTATCTTGGTATCTTGCTGATTCGAAATTTCTGTGACAGTCGCAACTTTCTCCTGGCAATTGAGCTGTGTGATACCGGCGTTTATGATTTTGACAGAAGGTGTCTGAAGAGCAGGGATATCTTGGAATCGTATCCAGGCCTTTTCCGCGTATTCTCTCGAGGTGTATGCTAGCGGTGTGCCGATTAGATGATCTAATCAAAAACTGTCAGCATGCCAACTAAAATAAAGCTATGGGTAAAGAGGGAACATACAAAATCCATCCCGCTGATCTACTATCGTAACTTCAACAGGAGCTTGTTGGGTCTTATCTGCAGGAGCATTTGTGCCTGAAAATCGTGGCGAGAATCCATGGCAGAGATCTAGTAAATTCAGCGTCATGGCGAGACCGGCGTATGAGCCGCCAGCGACCAAGACCCGTGTAGCGCGTTGGGCTACTCGTAGAGAAGACATCTTTGTATAGAACAACAAATGAGTGACGGAATAATGGTTGAAATCTAGAGTGTCTGTTCCTTTCTATTTCCACCACAGAAACACCAAACGTATCGTCTAACTCGGGACTTCCCCTCCGGTAGATGTGACTCCTTTCCTTAAGCCCGCCAAGAAGCTTGGAGTCATACCCGAGAACTGATACAGAGTGCATAAAACCGATAGCGGAGCACGATTCTTCAGCTGGGCTGACTGCCTACCAACCCGAGTACGATGTGTAGTACGTATGCAACACCTTATACCCGTCCAATAGAGGTTCTTGGGGCCGTTGAAAATAAGTTATCTGATCCGCTTCGTAAAATAAAAGTTATCTACTTAATCTAGACTCGGCTAACTTCCAATTAAAGTACCTGATCTACCTCCCTTCATGCTGTGTAAGCCGGGTTTACGTCTGATTTCCCTGTTATCTGATCCGGTAATTTTGAAACGCCCCCCAATGGAATACAGACTAGAATCGTTACATACGTACGTACGCCGTAAGTTACTCCGTACATGATACGTCTATAACACGTACGGTATCTGTAATCGTAAAATTGCCGTTCTGAGTAAAGACTTTGGGCTTCGTGCACTGCGGGACTGACGTTGACCGACCACGTATTTGTTCCAACTGAAGGCGTGATAACTCTTGCATCCTTCTGTTAAGACACTTTTAGCGGTATGATAACATTTTCACGTGTTTAACCCAATGGTTAGGCGTTGGAGCCGAGTCAGACGTCCGAAGTCGCAATTCTTTTGTGCTTTCGGGAATAGATGAGAAAAATCAGCAAAGATATACGATATCGGTGTCTCAAGAGTCTTGTATATCTATGTTCTCTGGTGGGTAGCCGTGAAATTGCCACACTTGCCCATTGCTCATTCCTCTCATTCACGATAACCCTAGGGTAGGTTAACGCTACCGAGAAGGCGTTCATTGAATTAGAGATGCGAAAGATGCATGCGTATGACCAGATTACCAGGCTAGGGCAGTTAGCGAGGATCCAGTAGTAGAATTTTGGAACAGTATTCTCGAATATCCATGCGATAAAGATCTAGTCTCCCACAACCATACCGACTATTATCCTCCAACTCAAGCACTTGCAAGTCAATTTACCACCATGTAAAGAATCAACACTGATTGATAACTGCAGTATAACCCCCCTCAAGAGTCAACTTCCCTTATAAACAGGAGTAGGACAAACTACAATCTCCCAACAACATCCACAAGCCCACTCATATCCTCCAAGAAAAAGTCATTCTCCCTCTTCACAACCTCCATATCCTCCTCAACATCATCCGTCCACCTGTGAACATACACAGTCCTCATCCCCACTGCCTTGGCGCCTCTCGTATCATACGCATGCGCCGCAACAAGCACACATTCCTCAGCCCTCAACTTCAAAAACCGCAACACCTTCTCATAATTCTCTGCAGCGGGTTTATAGACTCCCAACAACTCACTGGAAAACAACATGTGGAAACTTAACCCCGATGAGCGGCATAAATCAAGTTGGAGTCGAGTTGTCCCGTTGGCGTGAACGAAGACTTCATAGCCCAATCCCTTGAGCTGGTCAATGGCGGGTTTGACGTCTGGCCAGGCGCGCATGGAGTGCCATGCAGATACACACTTGTCCTTGATATTGGGATCGTGGTGAGTATCAAATCCAGCCTTGACCTCGTCCCATTTCCCACTATCTAGCATCTCGTCCAGCGTCCTTCTTAAGGTCAAATCGATATCTTCCGGCGGCAAGTTCGCCGCTAGTCGCGCCGCGTTCGAGTCGAAGTACGTCTGACGCCATTGTAGGGCAAATTCGGATCCGATCTTGGCAGGGATGGATTGAGGGAGAATGTTGATTGTGCCGCTGTGCCAGTCGAGACATGTGCCCATGAAGTCAAATAGGACTGCTTTGATTTTGGGATTTGGCATTTTCTATTCCGGGTTGGTTTTGTGGACGGCGAATGCAATGATTGAACTTTGGCAAACCCGTCAGTATGAAGCTTTTTCACCGATTTAACTTTGGAAAGGAGTTGTTTATTTGAGGCTGCACCGAACGCGACATTGGTCTTATATACAGGCTCAGGCTACGAGATTGATCAACGGTCAACCAACATCTGCTGACAAATGTGGTGATACTATTGCGGGGAATGCGAGCAGATCCAACTTCCAAATGTAATCACGCAATGTAACAGGCCTACGATCATATGTGGAGTAGAATCTGACATCGGGCTTCATTCCGATGTCAGTTGAACAGAATGGATGCAGTGAGCGGAGAGCAATAATATAAATGACTCATCAGGCGGCTAGAGTCGATGAGGAAAATCATCGCAAAGGATATGTATTGAATAATAACTATATACACTCCGAATCAGAGGCAGAAGAAAGAAAAGAAAAAATGTATAAAAAGGTAAAAAGTAAAGGAAAAAAAATAATGATGAACCATCATCCATACCATGATGGCCAAAGCGGTAGAAACCAAGAATCGAAGTCTATAGGATGTAAAGTAAGAATGGTTTGAAATCGAAGAAGAAAAAGTGGTCGTTCAGTCAGCAACAAACCATAACGTGTTGACTGCAGGAATATATATCACAGAATTATCGTGAATGCCATATCGTCACAGACGAGAGAAGTTAAGCTATCCAATGTAGAGAGAAAGGTGTCGCAGTGATTGGTCGATATGCGTGCGCGACGAGAACCGTTTAGTTCTTCGAGCCGAGCCCACTCAAAAGAGAGGGTGAGAAAACGGTGGCGTTTTGGGTGTACTGGGACAATCCGAAGTAAAAAAGTGCGCCGAGAAGAACGAAGAGGATCGAGCGACGGATGCCCACTCCACGGAGGGATTGGCGGACATTCTCAGCACCGAGCTTGTAGTAGATAAGACCCATGAGCGCGATACCGTATCCAAGGGCTTGGAGGGGTGTGACGGGGTCATGGAAAATGACCATGGATGCAACGACGAGGAGAATGTCCTTCAGGACACCAGAGAGAGTGAGAACGAGAGCAGAAGTTTTTCCAATCTGTTATTATCAGTGACTACTCCTCCAGTTTGAAAGAATGATACGCACCAGGAAAACGACAGCAACGTTCAAAGCAAAAGCGACAGACGCATTGGCCACAAGGTTGCCCACACCGACGCTCCGAATGTCATACATGGTCATCTTTGGAATCTCAAAAACAAGGGTAGCGAGACCGTTCATGACCATACAAGCAGGGGCGAAGTAGTAAAGAGAGACGAGTGGGTCCATCTTGAATTCGGCGGAGCTGAGTAGTCTTTGCACCATGACCAGACGGACAGACTCGAAGACAGTCGCGAAAACCTGGTCTACACCGTGTATTAGATTCAATCTTTAACAGATTTCCGAGGAGATGGTCGCATACAAATAAATCCGATAAGGCTGAATTTGATTTCGCCAATCGACGCAATGACCACACCAACGACAATGACGGAGACATTTCCGAGTGTTTCGAGGCGGACAGGAGCGACACCGAGGGCCCAGGTAGCGATAAGTGTTGCGACGGAGTTGGTTGCCTATGGCCACTCGTATTAGTCACGATCAAGTCAACTCAAGGGAAAGATGACAACCTTCAGCATCTGAATGAAAGAGACACTCAAATACAGGTAGACCAAATTACCGAAGATCAAACTCAAGCTGAAGAACACGCCAATGGGCACAATAGCGCGACTATGATAGTCAGAATCATTCGCTGTGAAAGAAGTGTCATAGTACGAACAGATAGACGCTGCGAGTCATCGGGACCTTGTGCCGAGAGTCGAGCACGGTGGTGAAGCGAGCCAAGATTTGGGTCATGACCGTCGCGAAAAACAAGTGCCATGTTGTTAAGAATAGGGCTGATCAGTTAGTCGAGTTCTTAATTGCATGTGTATTGGGCAACGTACGATAACCTAGACGGGACGGACCAAGTCAGCATTGTTCACTCAAGGAACTACAAGTTAAGTCATACCGAATCCAGCAGTGTGTAGAATCCACTTATTGAAGATAATCACACCGGAACTGAGAGCAATCCACGAACTAACCCCGCAACATCAGCAATGCACGTTACACAGTACATGCATAGTACTCGTCTCATTCATACATACGCGATATAGACAGCTGGATGCAGGGCCGGAGCGGGTTTGGCAGCGGCCGCCGCGGCGCCCTGGTTGGTGGTGGGAAGTTCGGAGGCTTTGTTCGACATGACGATCTCGGAGTTGCGGTAACAAGAATAAAGAATGTATAGGGTGAGAACAAGAAACGGGTTTGAGAACCGAAGAAGACAGATACAAAGACCAAACGAGTGACTGAGTTGGGTTGAGCGAATGGATAACAGGCGAAGTGAGAAGAGTGTGGGTGAATTGGATGAAGCAGGAGTTGCGAGGATCTCGTTTTCAGTGAAATGAGCAGCGCCTGAGAATCAAGGCATTACCGATAACTCTACCGCTGATTGGCTGGACTGACTCTCGTAATCATGCGCTAATCTGATTTAAGCAGACGACTAACCTAATTAGGAAGCCGACGTGGCCTAGAGCGACTCTCATTGGCTGAGGCTGCTTGAGATACGCGATAACGCACGTGCATTGGTTAATCTACTTCATATTCAAGTTTCAACTCTTGACCTTCATCATCTAATCCAACTCTGGAATCGGCAGTCCATTGACTATCTTCGCCTTCATCCCTAACCCGCCTATAGCCTCCGTTGCCTTTGCAACCCGCATCTCCATGGCTTCCTGCTCCGTCGGGATAACAAACTCATATCGCAGCAGCTTCGTCCAGACCGGAACGTCATACTGTTTCGAAATTGCTTCATCCACTTCCCCAAGATCAACAATCAGCGACTCCTTGACGCCAAAAACTGGATCAGAAGTCTTATAGGGATCCCCTCGTGGGTACAGCGCTGTGATAAGTGTATCGTACCCGTCCTTTTGGAACATGAAATGTATATGACCCGGTCGATTAGGATGGCGATTCAAGACCTTCAACATCTTGCCCACCGGTCCGTCGTCCGGGATGGGGTACGGCACAGGCACAACCGCGTTGAAGTAAAAGATACCGTCTTTACTCGACCGTAGTACCGCGCGTCCATCAGGTTCTGCTCGATTGGGGTTCTGTATATCGTAGAATCCCTTGGAATCCCCCTCCCACACATCACACTGCACATTCTCAATTGGACGTCCTTGCGAGTCTTTGACAGTGCACAGGACAAATAGTCTCGTCGCATCCGGGTCCTTGTGCAACACATATCCATTCTCCGTCACCGGCGCATCGTGTGTATGAAAAGGTCCCAGGACAGTTCCCTGGGTGAAATTATCCGATCGCGGATGATCAATCGAATCAACCAACATGCTTAACCCTAGAGTATCTGAAAGTAAAATCATCTCCCCGCGTAGGTCATTGCTGATCTGTCCAATAGCGACCAGAAAGTCAAGTCCTGCCTGCCATTCCTTGCTAGATAGACGAGTCTCTCGCGCAAATGCGTGCAAGTGAACAACCAGTCGTTCCATCAGAAAGCGAATACGCGGATTCGAACATTGTGAGTTGATGAGATTTACATTTTCGGTGATGTTTTCCGTCGTCAAGTCTTTCATAGGAGGAATTTCGTGTGTAACGGGTTTGGCTCGAGACATCTTCGCGGTACGTATTTGATTCCTAGAAACGCTTCTGTGAAGTCGGAAAATCAGTGAAAACAATGAAATTGTCGAGCTGAAGCATTGAAATAGAGCCCCATCGTTTTGCGGGGAAGCTCCAGAATCAGATACTCCGGGGAGTACAATCTGTGGGGCTGGTCACGGCAGCAACCTAACTAACGGTTAAATATTCATTATTCATATATATGATCCTTTACTTCATTGACTAGTAGATTGTATTGTCAAGCTTACTTGAGTCAGTGGACTTCGGGTTCACGCCATGCGTTGGGTTGCGACGGGGTGGGCATGTTTCCCCATACCGGTACAATATGGGCTATATGTACAGGCTGTTTCTCCTTGATAGATAATTTCCCTCTTCATACTCAGTTTCTCGTCGACGCAAGCATTATAGTTAACTAGTGAATATTATTCATCTGGGTTGGCCGTATATTACATGTCCCCTTCGGAGTCGACTGGCAAATTGGATTTTTGGACTGATAGATTGAACGTTTGAACGTCAGAGAGACCTTCGAGTCAAATTTGTGTTTCGGTATTGTGCAAAATACTTGGAAAAGATAGAATTGTCGCTATTTCCCGCAAGTGAGGTAAGACACCAGAATATGAAGGATTCAAAAAATGGAAGAGGAGAAGAAGATGTAATATTGGAATACTTGGCTTTTAGCTAGCCTCTGGGAGCATTCCCAAGCTATTTATGCTTGGACTCCTGCTGCCAATACATGCAAATATAACAAAATAATTGTGTGTACGGGAATCCCCAGGTGTTGAGTATCAGCACGGGAATATTAGTTATTCCGTTTCTCCTGCCTGGGATATCCCCTTTACTTGCATGTAACTATCCTTCTCCTCCCTTTTTAGAACCAGTCGTAATATTAGGAATAACTTCAATATTACCAGGCTCACCACGTAGGGCAGTTGGACTGCCCTTGCCGCAATCCTGTGCTTCGTGATCCAGGACCCGGCTAAACCAACAATAATATAAAGAATTTGATAGAGATCTCACAAAGATATTCTGTATAAATAAAACAGCAGGCTGACTGTGTGAAGATTCCTATCTTATCAAAATGTGGTGGGTGATTGTAGCTACAAGTTATAGGCAACATCTATTGATGAAAAGAAAAGTCAGTCTGATGCTGCACTATTCGCTAGTACTCCCTAAATAGTTGCAGTGACTAGATCTAATAATATGTTAGGCACCTTGCAAGCGTGGCTTCACGCGGTTTGCAACTAATCGACTCTTTCTCGGCGCTACCTCCGCAATATAATACATACTATCGGCTTAGCCTATTCATTTAGGAATTTACGAGTGGCATTGAACACAAATATACAAAACCTAGAGGCGCCTTGTGTATCCAGGTGTCACCTTACCTCTTCAAACTCCTCTACGGAGTAGATAGGAGTGATAACCGAAGCCTTTGCGTCTTCAAGACCGGAACCTTTGTATTTCTAATCTATTGTGGAAGCAGTTACTGCCTTCATACAATACAAGATTAGACCTGCGTCGACTGAAAGCTTCGTCGTACGGGGGGCTGAGGGGGCTTAGGCGGTATAATCACAAAGATCCGACATCCAACTGGCAGTCTCCGTAATGTAACTGGTTGCTGGTGCCACCCAGAAAGAATATGGAGATGCGAATATGATGAGGCTCAATAGTGTTTCGTGACTCGCAGGCGATCATGGCCAATACCTTCTTCCGAGAAGCTTCTCCATATGACACTTGTCGCACTGGAAGCATAGGCATAGTAATACCTGATCCGATTGATGAGTTAATTCGAGATGGATTCAGGAAGCTTCGCAGAAGCAGAATAACGAGTTCTGAATAAAGACGCATATCGTACCGGAATATCTTGGTTGTACTCCCAGTATGGATTCCTGTTGCCTTCAGTTGATTATCATGCAGATGCTTACGGCGAACTACGCGACTGTGCGTTAAGTTGTCAGCCTTGCAGTGGCTCGAAGCTCTTACCCCTCCCTCTCAGCATAGTGAACAGTGATTTGCATTCTCCTAGAATCATAAAAAAGGGCTTCACAGTTAACCTTGTCATTATCGGGACATCGATACTTGACTTGTTTATTTAGTTCCTTGCTTTAACCTATAATAATGTCTTTGACGCACAACAGCTACACAGTCGCCTGGATATGCGCCTTGCAGCTAGAGGCAGCAGCGGCCCGCGTCATGCTGGATAAAACTCACAGTCCCCTGCCGACACCCTCCACCGATCCGAATGCCTACGAACTTTGTGAATTAATGGTCACTATATTGTCATTGCTGCCTTCCAGCTGGCGTATACGGTATAGTGTCTGCTGCGGCCGTGGTATCTCACATGCATTCCACCTTCCCTAGTCTTCAATATGGACTAATGGTGGGAATTGGAGGCGGGGTTCTAAACAAAAACAATGAAATTCGATTAGGCGATGTAGTCGTCGGCAAACCAGTTGGAAAGTATAGCGGAGTGATACAATATGATTATGGCAAGGCAATCCAAGGGGGGAAATTCGAGCCAACAGGCATATTAAACAAACCACCACGGACTCTTTTGACTTATATAAGTCGATTATAGGCAAGAATCATGACTGGAGGTCAGGAAGATGTTTCGAAAATAGTGTGGAAAGTACTTGAGCGAAACCCTGAGATGAAGGACAGATTTTTGCCGCCAGAACAACACACAGACTTTCTTTTCCATTCCTCCTATCATCATGCTGATAAAGAAGACACCTGTGGAAAGTGTGATAAAGATAAAGTAGTTAAACGACAACCCCGTGCTACTAGGGCACCTTATATCCACTACGGGTTGATTGCATCAGGAGATCGGGTGATGAAAGACTCAGAGATATGAGACCGTCTAGCACAACAACATAGGATCCTCTACTTCGAGATGGAGTTCTCTGCTTGGCCAGCAAGAGTCGCCTGTGAAGCACCGACATGTATCATCAGCCAAACTGGCATAAGCGCAGCCAACGGCCCATTGAATAAGGCTTACGAGTAGAAATGATCTCCAACATCGAATAAAATGTTGTGCCATTCTCTTATTTATCGATTTTTCTCCTTCCCTCATCTTTCTTGATATATTTGTTGTCGTAGTTGCTATTTTCCTCTTGCCCGCTCAATGCATGTTAAACCCTAATATGTGAATGCAAAGATTTCTAGAAGTGAGATTTAGATATTTGTGGAAATCAACAACTGGGAGCCGACTGAGATGATTTTCAATTCATAGCCATATCATGATTGAACTGCGCTCTTTTGCTAGTAGACACGCTTTCGCTTTATTGTAGATTGTTACATCGGACGCGGCCAAGAATTCTCGCCATGACTGAGATGGATCACTGCATCGTAGTACGGAATGGCTACGCTGAGACAATGTTTGCAAGAATACCAACCCAGGTGCAATGGTTTTTTGAAAATCATATGGCCTTCGGTACGTATCTTTTTCAAGCTGACTTTGTGTCACTGATTGATTTGTAACTGAATAAAGCTCTACAGGGTGTCTGGCCTTGATACAAGGCCCGAGATCTTGTGATGAAAAGTTCGTAACACAGTCAATCACGGTGTAACTTGTTCTCAATTTTGTGAAGTTCGACACGGATTCAGGCTCAGATAATTACAGAATTCAAGAACCAAATAGGCGGCGGTTGTCGCCAGCTTCCCATAGGCGGACGTTGTATACAGTTGAAAGCATGCAATGTATACAGCACTTGTATAGGATGTGTGACATACACCAATGCCAGCTCTGAATAGTTTGGTGTAAAATTCCTTCTTCCCTTACTACACGAATCTCTTTTTTTGGAGACCGGAAACTGCATCGCAGTGCATACCCAATAATAAGACCCGTCTACATTATGTTCAGAAAAGAGGTATTTGCCATTGCATTGGGCATCCTGGCACATAGGATTGTCTTTATTCATGGAGAGTAGCATCTAAGAGCGCCATCTGTGGTGGTAATTCACCTTGTACTCGGCCTGTTGATCTTCACGAGGGAGGTGACTCTAAAACATGATCGATACAATGAACTTCTATTACACGCGATGATCCTACCCAGTTGCTATTTGACATCTCTCTTCCTGAGTATTGCAATGTATGGTCTTTTTTTTCATCGCCTGAGACACTTTCCTGGTCCGCGGTTGGTAGCATTGACAAAATTATGGCATGTATGGAAATGTCGTGACTCGCGTGGCCACCTTGTCCTTGAAGAATGGCACCAGCAGTATGGAACATTTGTGCGTACAGGTAGGTTGGGAGCAAAGCTATGAACGTTTTTAGTGGTTTTACTACTCTATTTCCTGTACTGAAGTTACGTATTCAGGTCCTGAGGAGATAACAATCTTCCATCCTGCTGCTCACGAGGCGATGGATGGGCCCGGTAACAACAACGTGCGGTTAGACTGGTACGATCTACTCTACCCTCATATCTCCTCTATATTTACTCGAGATCGCGATCTGCATAATGCGCGCCGGAAAATGTGGGAGCATGCTTTGAGTAGAACAGGTGAGCCTTACAAGGATACAGAGGCCAAATATTTCACCGGGCTTCACTGGAGAGTACTGAACTGACTTGAACGATTGTGTTCCAATAGCTCTCTTGGGGTACTATCAGCGTATTCTGCGGAAGGTGAAGACTCCTGAAAGCCTGGTGGCCGACCAATATTATCGCCCAATTAACATCAATGAGCTTATGTATTGGTTTGCATTCGATTCCATGGGTGATTTCGCTTTTAGCGAGGACATTGGTATGATGAGAAACAAAGCATGGCAAAAAAATATTTTCGTGTACGTTCTGCAACTGCATTGCTCGGCTCCCTGAGCCCAGCGATCTGGATCGCGCGACTAGGGTTTGCATTCATCCCCGGGCTGTGGAGAGTCCGAGATTGGTTCCAAATGCTTGCGTTCTGTGACCAATGTATGGAGCAGCGTATGAAAAAGGAGGTTGAAAATAGAGATATAGCATCGTGGTTTATTGACGATTATGTGCTTTGCGAAAAAACAAACCCGAATCAACATCGATGGCTTAGTGGTGATACTGCCACGCTCGTTATCGCTGGAAGGTAACTCTCCGCCCGTTTTTCATTTCCTGATAGGAGGAGAAGGAACTAAAAGATGTGTCTCTTTTTACTCAGTGATACGACTGCACCAAGCCTTAGCGTGGTATTCTACTTTCTCGCGCTCTATCCAGACCATGCCGAGAAGGTCTACGCGGAGTTGTTGACCGTCAATCGCACAGATCAAAACGCCTTAGCGAGATTACCCCATCTTAACGGCACTATCAACGAATCAATGCGTCTCTTACTGGCCGTGCTAACGTTTGGATATCGAGTCACGCCTCCAGAAGGCCTCACTATTGAAGGGACTTTCATCCCAGGTAGCACTAAAATCTGTACGCCACGATATTCGATTGGAAGACGTAAGTTTGGGCCTGGGGACTTTCTCGATATTATGGTTAATGGCTTGTTTTATGCCCTATAGTTGAGTGTGCCTATGAGCAACCAAATGACTTTATTCCTGAGAGATGGTATAGGCGGTGTGAACTTATCAAGGATAAGCGTGCATTTGCACCTTTCGGAGTTGGTACGGATAAGCATGCTTATACCAGCTCCATATGGAGTCTCTACAAGAAGCCAAAAAAAGGTTGCTAATAATTTCTCTATGACTTGATTAGGTCGCACTGCCTGTGTTGGTAAGCACCTTGCCATGGTACAAATCCCCTCGGTTGTTACCAGTTTAGTCTCTCAGTATCGCATCGAATTTGCCCCCGGCGAGAACAATGGTGAAGCAGTTGAGAGAGATATGAAGGATCAGCTTACTGCCCGACCAGGAAAATTCCATTTGCTATTTATGCCACGATGAATATGGAAATTGATTCACAAGCCTGGCTTTATGTTCTCATACATAGATAGCTACACTAAGGGCTTACAGAATTTGAAATGTGTCCTGATAAGTCTTTGCTATTGCTATCGGGTAACGACGTCAAAGTAGTCAATTTTGACGCACCGTACTTGGCGGCTCCGGCATAGGTTTCCCTTTTCATCTATTCGCGTAATCTGATGCTTCAGGGAGGAAGCCCCATGTAGCATGGATGTCAAACCTAACGTAACATCCCGACTGGATATCAAGCCCGACCTGGCGCTCAAGCTCAGATAGTCTTTCCAGTGTTAGAAAACCAGGAGACTTTTTTGCCGTCATAAGTCTGGCCCAAGAAAAGATAGCAAGCATGCCGTTCTCTGTCATTGCTTTCCGCGTCTCTGGAAGTCGATCCGAGCTCACAAAGTCGCTTTGAACGGCCACCAATCCAGCTGCGATCATATTCTCATGTACAACAGTGGTCCATTCAGTTGGTTTCAGGCCTACAGCTATCAAACGAATGTGCACCAGGTCATATATGCCACGTAGATCATCTGAGATGGGTTGCCGAGCATCCAGAACTGATAGGTGGATGTTAGTCGGCAGGGTAGATTTGGAGGGGAAGAGCGCTGGAGAAATGTCAAAGCCATGCAGCGTAGCAGATGTATAGACTGGTGCTAGAGGGCACGTTGAAGTCGGAATAGAAGCTGATTCTTTTCAGTTTAATGGCTAGTCATATATTCTTACATAATGGTGATGTTCATGCAAAATTTAATTTCTATATTAGTACTACAGTGGTTTTCAATGGGCTAGAGGAGTCATGCAAAAACGTCCTTAAAGCGTCGATTCTATCCAGTCTGTTGAGCCTACCAGTTTACATAGAAGATCGACACGTGGAAATCTTTCCGTTACTCAGGAGGATCAATAAGGCAAAAAGCCACATGACTGATCAGAGCGTTAAACGCGGGGGTGAGCGCCAAAAGTACAGAAAAGCAATAGCTCTTTTCATACGTAGCAGCTTGACTTTGAGGCTCCGTATAGAACAGACTTGAAGGTTGATTGAGTCGTATTAATAGTCTGATTTATAGCCGTAGTGCAGATTATGATAGACATCTTCATCCATCATTTTTGGATGCTCAGACATCGCTCCTCAGTCATTGTGAAAACTCTGACGGATCATAGCGCACGCTAGGGAAAAAAGGTCGTTTCTAGTTAGTACCCCTACCGTATATCGGCAACCCTAACTATCATATTGAAGTATTTTCACCCAGCTCTAACAAATAATGTAGCTGCAGTCTGGCCCATCACGGTTTGCATCACTAATTCAGGCAATGCCCGAAAATCGTCCACTGATTTACTCCATCAAAACTGAATAACCTTTGAATGAAGAAATCCGAGCTCGAACTAGATCAGCGATCAGGGGCCTCAGAAGCCTGATGCGGTCTTCTTTTGAATAGCGCCTGTCCAATGAGACTTGCTTCTAGATCGTCAAAGCACTGCTTTTCAATTGAACAGAATTTGCGTCTTCCTCGAGCGTTTGTATCTGCCCTTAGTTGAAGCAGTTCAAGAATCAAAACACATAAGAGGCCAACTACGGCACGACTCATGCGGTAATTCTCTTTCGCCCACGAAACAAATCCCAACCTTGTGATATGTTGTTCTCGCCAAAAAAACGAAAAGATCCCTCAAATGGCGGACGATAGAAGTTTGGTAGTCAAGGCAGTTCCTGCGGTATTTTGTTCTATTGCATTTTTGACGGTCGTTCTACGTTGCTATGTTCGCCTTTCCGTTGTCAAGGCATTTGGGTTGGATGATGGAGCGATGGTGATATCAATGGTACGAAGACTGTCAAAACTGGAAGTGATGAAGACGCTGACGGTACAGATGTGCTACATCATGTTCTGTGGTTGTATGATTGGAGGTGCGCTGTACGGTACTGGGAGAAGGTTCGTTGATTTGACTGCTGATCAGCGAATGACTGCGATGGAGGTATGGTGTCTCCTGTGATCAGAGAATACTTAACTCATCAATGTGACAATTTACTGCAGTACTGGTGGCTCTGCGAAATAGCCTACTGTTTCTCATCAGTCTTCTGCAAAATCTCCATTTGCTTCTTTCTGTTGCGCATCACCATTCGCAAATCTCACATCTATTTACTGTACTGTGTCATGATCTTGACAGTCATTGGAGGCTTTATTTTCATGTTTATGATGCTCCTCCAATGCAAGCCCGTCTCATTCTTCTGGGCCCGAACGACTTTGGATCCAGTCTATCAAGGCCATTGCATCAGTATCGACATTATCATCACCATGACCTATGTTTATAGCGCTTTGGCCGCATTTTGCGATTTTACCGTTGGCATTCTACCAATCTTTCTAGTGGGAAAGTTGAATATGCGTCATGAAGCAAAGCTTGCTGTCATTGGCATTCTTAGTATGGCTTGCGTGTAGGTTTCCCTTGATCCATTCGTTCCAATGAACCCTATCCCTAACGAACTTGATTATCTTCTAGTGCTAGTTTGGCTGTTATTATTCGCATACCGTTTGTTAAAACGTTCAGGGACCCGGACTTCCTTTGTAAGTCATCGTCTTTGAGTCTATTCTCTTCGTTCGACTGCTAATGAATGTATAATAGATGCCACCGTCGACATCGCCATCTGGTCATGCATCGAAAACGGCCTTGGCATCTCGGCCGCCAGTCTGGCGACTCTCCGTCCTCTCCTTCGCAAGTTTCGCGGTTCGTACAACAGCAGGCCCGAGTCATCGTCTCGTATGATTTCCGGTCCCAACTCCAAACCTCGTCGGCTTTGGAACAACTCTTTGCCCTTGGGGTCGATCGATCGTTTACCAGAGCGGAACGACTTACGGCCCGATAAAACTGCTGTTATCCTGACGACGATTCGTAGTGATCCTCGGGAAAATAACAATTTGAATCAAAGTCGATCATCCGGCGAAAGAGAATTCCCGGTTCTAGATATCCACCAAACCTTTGAGGCTATGACAACATCTACTTCTGCACTAGATGATGAGAGAGTACCGCGTGAACATGTTTGATAGTACAATCAGAATTCATGTGTTGAGTGATCTTCATAGACCCTAACGGACCACCCACTAACTAGAATGCAATAACCTCGTCGGAAATAGTAATAGTATTGGCCACATACACACCCAACACTATTCTATGCTGGTCTTGAAATTGTTCTGTGTGGCTGAAGTTACTCATACCTAGCTAATAGAATGCTTTCCGAAAAATATATCTAATTTAATTAGGTATACAAAGGGAAGAAGAAAAGGGGGGGAAAAGAGTAGGGAACGACTACAATCAAATTATCGAATAGGACAAATAAATATGGCTTATTATGTTTTGAACGCTCTCCCTCAATTAAACCGGAGAAATTAGCTCATGAATCTTAAGTCTATATTCTCTATCATCTTAAATTTGTGCACTAACAACTTCTGGCGGAAAGATTGCTCATTGATGACTCGCGGAAAAATGTTTTTTCCAACACAACTTTCAAAAATGCTCTAAGTCCACGCTCGACTATCTGTACAATCTTTGCCTAAGATTATTATGATTAACTGAAAATTGTTTCTTGACAGTGGTCGTGAGCCGTGTTTAATATTGCTGCCCCTGTGTTTCGGAATGGTGGAACACGCTTACTCCACATAGCTTCATTGTAGAAGTAGATTTGTTTTGTGATACTCGAATAGAAAATGTTGTCTTTCAAGTATAAAGACGTTGGGAACACCATTCTCAAAATGGGTATCTTGGAGAGGTACCGGAAAATGCACTCAGTTGCGTTGAATGAAACTAGAGCGCAAAGACACAAGTCTAGCTGAGATTGAAGATGAATGGTGGAAATTTACATATTTCTGCCCTGTGGCTACCCATATATTCAAGTTTCAATGTAATTACAAGCGGACTATCGTTGACTCCAGGATGCAGTTAATGTATTGTTGGTTATAAAAATCATGATCGCCACTCTGAAGAATATAAACATTGTTTCATAACCCAACTCGTGGAGATCCCAAGTATATACTTAAGTGCACAAGTCGTATATACTGGGGCGCACCTGTGATTCGAAATTCTACCACAATGAAGACATTCATTCTCACTCTCGCGTTGGCCGTTTCGGCTCTTGCTGGTAGTCGAATGACACCACCTGCCGGATCTATCGTTGTAGCCAAATCCGGAGGCAAATACTCAACCGTACGTACCACACATTTTTATCTCTTGAACAGCCCAAGCCTGACATAATGAAGATCAGCGCAGCCATCGCTGCACTAAGCACGACGTCAACATCCACTCAAACCATCTTCATCGAACAGGGAACTTATAATGAACAAGTCTATATCCCTAGTCTTAAGGGTGAACTTGTCATCTACGGTCAAACCGAAGAGTGAGTCTGACAAAATAATCAAAAGCTTCGAACTACGATAGATGTTGACATCTGGCAAAGTACGAGTTCATATTCTTCAAATCTGGTAACTATCACCCACGGCCTTTCTGCATCACAAGCCGGAAGTGACGATCTAAGTGGTATGTAACCTGCTGAATCAAATATGTGCTATCATTGGTAGTCCAAGAGGACGCCACGCTGACTCTACTTGGTAGCAACTCTTCGAAATTATGCCGCAAAATCCAGAATCTACAATATTAATGTGAAGAATACCTATGGATCCGGTGCGCAGGCTCTCGCCCTAAGCGCCTATGCCACGGATCAGGGATACTATGGCTGCCAATTCATTGGTTATCAAGGTAGGTTCGATGAGTCTTTCTAATTATGTGATAGCAATTGAGACTGACCAATGTAGATACTGTACTAGCAGAAACCGGAAATCAACTATACGCAAAGTGTTACATCGAGGGTGCAATGTACGTTATAGTTCTTTAGTGTCAATGATTCGGAAATTGAACTCAGCTCTAACCTCATGCAGTGACTTCATATTCGGCCAGCATGCGACCGCTTGGTTCGATGGTTGTGATATTGGGGTTGTAGCTAGAAACGGAAACGTCGGCACAATCACAGCCAACGGACGCTCATCGTCTAGCGATCCTTCATACTACGTGATCAACAAATCGAACATAGCTGCTGCAAGTGGTCAATCTGTTAGTGCTGGAAGTTATTATCTCGGTACGCCCTTCGTTATTTCTATTTTCCATGTATGAGACTAACTAGTAGACTAGGACGCCCATGGAGTCAATACGCCCGAGTGGTATTCCAATACACATCCATGAGCAACGTTATCAACAGCGCAGGTTGGGAAGTATGGTCTAGCTCCCAGCCAAATACCCAAGACGTCCTCTTCGGGGAATACGATAATTCCGGCGCAGGATCACAGGGTACTCGTGCAAGTTTTGCGAAGAAACTTAGCTCACCGATTGGTATCAGTTCTATCTTGGGGGCCGACTACACAAGCTGGGTTGATACTTCTTATCTGTCCTAGTCACGATGGTTCTTTCGTCCCTTTATAATTTGATCTGTGAAATATTTTGCAAAAACTTGTCTTGCCTTGTATACATCCAAATTATTATTCAAAGAGCCAGTGGCGGCATGGCCGCTTTTCATCATAAATTACCATCAGAAGCAATCGAGGATACTTCTGTGTCTCAGGCATCTTGCACTACCTCTGTAGTTGTCTCATATGTCCATAGATAAGATACATAATGTCTACTACCTAGGTAACCGTCAAAGATTGCCATTGTCCTCTCTGCTCTGCACAAGTGCAACTGGGAACACGAAAGTATATTTCCTATTCCGGAAGGACTCCTTTTTGAGTATCTTCATTTTGGAAGCAGGATCAAAACACAAAATACGGTGAATAATTATATAACAGACACGTTTAAAATGGCTTTCCTTATTAAGAGAACACATCTGAGGTCATTTACTTGAGGAATGGCTGAAGAGGCCAGACCTTGTCAAATCCTAGAATATTTTCGGGGCCTGTAGCTGCCAGCGTAAAGTAGCACCCTGTGGGATGTACCCAGGTGATGCTGACAATGTCTATTTCTTGCCCGTGATACACGAAATGACATTTAGCTAGCAGTATGCATGGATTGAGACGTTTTCAGAAAGGATTATTCAATGGACATTGCCTATTTTGCCATACATTCTACGACTGCTTTATGGGCAGGTTAGGCAATGAGTTGACAATACTCGGCAAAATTTCGACATCTACCTATGCATTGTCCACTTATCTCCGTACGAACCATAATGCCAAAAATCGGGTCTTGAAATGGGAATGGATGAGAGAAGAAAATAAACAAAGAAGCAATTTGCCTCGTTGTCTCGCAGCCTTAGGCCGTGGGGTCGGTTTTCGGTTGAATTCGACGTCCGATTCTCCTTTTATATGCACCAATCAACCTTGATATGGTCACATGTCGATATGTATCCCCACCTCTACATTGTATACTTGCATTATAATGCGCATTGTGCTCATTATTCTGTTCGGATTGATGCTGCTCAACACGTAAGCTATAAACGGAGTTATTGAGTAATTCGCCGTGGAGTCCTTGGAGATGTGGATGTATTGATTCCTAGGTATAAAAAGAGGAAATCTGACTGCCCAGTTTGATAAGCATCAGAAGAACGTAATCAAAACCCTCTTTACTTCAGACGAGCACATACAAGCCTTCATCGCTATGTCCGGCAAGAACTTTATCGAAAAGGTTGCCATTGTCGGGGTAAGCACCCTCATTGCAGACTGCATCTAAGACAATATTATCAGATACTAAGCATGTATAGGCTGGTGGCCAAGTAGGCACGTTCATAACCCAAGCCCTTCTCAAAACTGGCAGACACCAAATCACTGCCCTGTCGCGCCAAGGCAGTAAAAACATCATCCCAGAAGGTGCCACAATCAAACATATCAACTACGCTGAACCATCCACGCTCGTCGAAGCTCTTCGAGGTCAAGATGCCCTAATCTACACCCTATCCGTGCTCGCAACCGATGAAGCAGACAGACTTATCAAAGCCGCTGCTGAGGCCGAAGTACCCTGGATTCTTCCCAATGAGTTCGGATACAATTCCGACAACGATGAGGTTAACAAGGATACACTATCCGGATTATCAAAAAAGGCGCAACGGAAACTAATTGAAGAGTTAGAAAAGTCGTCTTGGGTCGGGCTGGCGAGTGGGTATTGGTATGAGTATAGCCTGTCTGTTGGCGCATGGTCGTTTGGATTTGATATCAAGGGGAAAGAGGTGACCTTCTATGACGAAGGGGATGTCAAGATCCATACTTCGACATGGCCGCAAGTGGGACGTGCAGTAGCGAATCTGCTTTCGCTACCTATCACCTCAGACGACGCGACAGCGACAAGTCTGTCTCAGCTCAAGAACAAATTCGCCTTCATCTCGTCGTTCTACGTCAGTCAGCAGGACATCTTTGCCTCTCTGCTTCACGTAACAGGCACAACCCGCGATGACTGGAAAATCTCCAGCCAGCCAAGCGCTGCACGATTCGCGCTCGGCAAGCAGATGTTACAGAATGGTGATCGACGCGGATTTGGTCTTGCGCTGTACGCACGCACGTTCTTCCTGGATGGTGCTGGTACACATCCAGATTCGGCAAATGCAGCGTTGGATATTCCAGAGAAAGAGAATTTGGATGAGTACACCTCTGTTGCAATCCAAATGGCCACTGAGAATTATTTCGAGACCAAGGTTATTGCTAGGATTACCCCGGGGGCTTCTTAACCTTCAAACCGACGAGGAGACACGATTGTTCGGGTAGTGCATTTTATCAATGAATGATTCGTACTATAAGTGACATATGTAGAAATCCAGTCAGCCATTCAATGTCCAAAGACCATCCTTAGAGAGTCCAGATAGTTATAACCATTTATAAGCGGGAATATATACTTGGCCTAATTATCCTAATAAGGATAAGTCACCCGTCAGTCTCGCCCTACTCAAATTAAAGCCGACAAAACCGAGCTTGCTTTGTAACTCATTTCAAAAGCTTCACGACATTTGTCAACACATTGGCGAATCAATGTGAAATAAGAAATACTAGGGGAGAATTTAAGTTGTAGCTGAGAGAAAGATACTAGTATAAGTAGAGGAAGAGGTTTCTCAATATGGAACGAGATATCCTCTCTTTTTCCATGGGATCACAGTTCAATTTGATCGACTAGAAATATCGAGATCCGCTTTCAGAGTACAGTCCCTCTACCGTGACAAGCTACCTATCTGAAAATTACAGCATCTCAAAACAAATCATGCATTTCTTCATCGCAGGCGGAAGCGGTCAAACCGGTACCCATGTCATCAACAAATTAATCCAACAAGGGCACACCGTAACGGCTCTCGTCCGCAACCCATCCTCCATCACTCCACGAGTCGGCGTAAAACTCGTGCAAGGTACGCCGTCAAACATCGACGATATCCGGAAAGCGCTGCAGACACCTCGAACCCCAGACGTAATAATCATAACACTTGCGCACGTCAAAGGAGCCGTATTCGATGACCGCGGAACTACGTTCTTGACGTACGTTGCTCGAAATATCGCTCAATGCCTAGAAGAGTCGCAGATGATGACAACAAAAATAATATACATGTCTGCTTTTGGCGTGGGAGACTCATTTCCGAATCTCAATTGTTTGATGAGAGTGCTTGTGCGAGTATCACCATTGGCAAGTCAGTTCAGCGATCATAAGGGTGCCGAGGATACGTTGCAGTCAATCGCCACAGATGCTGATGGGCGGAAAGCTGTCGTTACTATAGTTAGACCGACTATGCTGACAAACGGCGAAGAAGCAAAAGTGCAATCATTGGGTTCTCGTGGAGAGAAGGCATCGTTTATGCCGAGCATTCCGAGGGCGAGTGTGGCTGACTTTATGGTTGATGCGGCTCAGATAGACAAGTGTGATGGCAAGGTTGTTGTTATTGCTAATGCGAGTTCGTAATCTAGATTCTTCTTGGTAGTTAGTCAGTTCGACAGTTAGTCTGTGGTTAGTTGTCTTGTCAGTCAGTATATGTTCGAAAACGAAACAGCATGTACTAGAATCAACGCTGGTTGATATTATTCCATATTCCTGGTACAATACATGATGATCGATCGTATCAGACATCCTCGAAACCTCAATAAGAAGCGTCATCGAAATTCCGGCCAAAATTGAATGCGGGGGGTAGTGTTGAAAGTCCCGTTTCTCATATACTGACGTCAAGTTGTACAATCATAAACAGAAGCCGTTTCGATACAAAGGAGACAAAAAGGTCATAATCATTCACCACTGGGATCCCAGTCCCAGTCCTTTTTCCTGATTCATTAGTCGTTGAGAACGTTAATAAGCGTTGAGCTTCCATGTTGAAACACCTCGCTAACATGCAATGTTGAAAAATGGTGGAAGAGCACCATTGGGGTATCATGTTGAAAATGTTGAACTATGGTCAAAAGACCAAGGGTATAATGTTGAAAGATGGTGATAAACCATCGGGTATCAATGTTGAAAATCTGAACAATGGTCAAAAGACCATGGGTATCATGTTGAAAGAAATGTTGAAAAAACGCCTGTTGAAATGCTGGCTAAAATGCAGGTTGAAAAAAAAAAAGATCCCAAAATCAAAACAAAACCTGAACGAGAAGAAACTTCGGTAGTACAAACGACAAGGCAATAGGCATTCGTAGTACATCACTGAAGATGTCCACCAGCCATGGCGAGTTTCGACTGCAATTCATCAATTGTAGATTGCAGGTTCGCTTGAATGAAACTGCCCATTGCCGAGTACATTTGCGCGCAACCGACCGCAAAGGCGGCATTCGAGGTCTTGGTCTCAATGGGACTGCCGGCTGTTGAGGACGGCGAGATGGGTTGATCATGGCAACACTCTGATCCGGAATATAGTTCGATGTATTGCTTGATCGGCTTCGACATCATGCGCAAACGATTGAGCACCAACTGGATCTTCATCAGATCACTGGATTCGTCATCCAGTTCGTAGCCACCGACGCTGATGGGACGATGGACGACTTCTTCCTTGACACTGTTCCCGTTGCTGTTACCGTCAAATGCCACATCTTGTGTTTTGACTGCGGCGCGGTACCAGGCCAAAGCTTTAGAAAAGATGGTGCTGAGAAGCATCGGGAAGGACGAGTCCTTGGCGCAGCTACATGATAGAATGGTGGAGACATTCTTCATTGCATCGCTGTTGATCTTGAGCACCTGGTCGATTGTCGGACGCGGCTGCCCCTCTGCGGTTCTCTGCACGGTGGACGGCAGACACAAGGAAGTCATGGTCTCCAATGCGAGATGTGTGCAGTCATGGGAATTCTGCTGCGACAACAAAGATGGGCCCAGGTCCTCGAATGGAGAGCTCCCAGTTGACAAAAGCGTCGACTCAAAAGATGGCGCATAGTAACTGCTAGGTGAGAGATAGACATTCTCGGGCTCATCCTTCAGTGGCTTTTGCATCCCGACGGGCGATTGAGGGAAAGAAAGGAATGCATCGTCTGATTGGCTACGAGGGTTGCTGTATCCGGCAGAGAGCGCATCGACATTCATGAGATCGGCAGTCGAAACAACAACGTTGGCATTGTTGGTGTTGCCGTTGCCGTTGTGCTGGTCGAAAAATGCGCGGAACGGATCTGCCGCTGGAGTGGCTGACGCAGTATTGGCTGCCATGTGATCGTGGGCGGCCAGGAGATTGTCGAAACTCCAGTCGGTGGACCAGGGCAGTTCTGTTGTGGGAAGCACCACATTATCGTTGTTGATACTGCTTGGCAGGGGATTTTCAATCGCAGAGTTAACATGCGACATGTCACCTGGTGCTGGTTTCCCCGGCAATTTCGCATTCATCATCGCCTTGGCCTTGGCGGACTTGCGAGGTTTGCCCATTCGCATAGACCGACTGTAATGACACTGCGCCCCAATGGTCTTGCATCGCTGACACTCTGGTTTATCCTGGCTGCACTTGATTTTGTTCAATGAGCAGCGATCGCACGCTGACCTCAACTTAATCCGCTCCTCTCGTCCGGGGACAGCAGCTGGTTTTGTCTGTGCATCGGCCATCTTACCGATCCTCTTTGCTGACAGTCAACAAAAAAGAATGAAATATAAAAAGAATGGTGTTAGAACTGTTAAAGAGTATGGGTGAGTTGTTGTCTGAAGAAGAAAGAAGAGAAAAGGAAGAGGACAGACAGGCGGGGAAGAGAAGTCGAGAATAATTGCCCTTCCTGAAACGGCTAAGCGCTGACGCCGCCGGAAGATACCGCGAGCAGAACAGTATAAATTACTAGCGCACTTATATTAGTACACATTTGCATGTTTATTTCACTGTTGTTTTCAGACTAACCATCTTTCTGCGTCTTCCACGGCTGTTTACATGGTTTTTATTGGCTGTATGCTACGAGAAACATACACTAATAATTTCGTTCGTATCAAACAATTCCTCTATTCTTCTCCGGACGCAAAACTCCGTTTCTTCAGCCAAAGTTCTTCCGCCCCAAGCGTTCTGCGTTAGTGGCTCAACGAATCTTCGGACCCGAGCTTGACTGTTTCGTCTCAGCGTGGGACATTCGCCGAATTTTATTAGTTGACTCGTTCGGAAAGGTATATTCGGATCACTATTGGCAGGTCTTGAGACACCAGGTCTCTGTGCATGCATCCATGTCGATAATCTTTCTCTACAGTCCGAAGAAACGGAGTTGCTGACTGTACATGTGTCTCTGGGTGGGAACGAGGAATTCCTTTTGACGCCAAGCGCTATAGGCTATGACAGACGAATCGACTCTTATCATGGCCAAACTGCACCAGTGCAAGAAATGGCCCCATGCATGATGCATCGGACAAGCAGTGATTAGATAGTTCTCGTTAGTCAAGTCTGGTCATAGACTCTCAGCCTGGCCGAAGTCTTGAACTTCTACAGTAAGCTCATCTCGACACGGCCGAGCTGATGTTATGCATGTCTTCGTCAGTCGCTATCGGATACTTATCTCGAGGCAAGACCGATAGCAGTCGTCTGGAAGCATACTCCTCCATATCATGCGCTAGATCACAGGCATCCTATAGGGTAGATACCGGAATAGTAGGATGTGTATGTTGCATTGGCCGACGGGACCCGGGACCCGGGGTACATGGGTGGATGTTCACTCCGCTTCCACAGCCTTCCAGTCGTGAGAGAGCGCAAGGTTGGCCGTATCCAATCGAGCACTGCCCACGACGGCTTTTATCGATGCCGGAGAACATCCGGCCGGACGACTGCCATCACGTTCTTTCCAGGCGGCATCACTCTCGTCGCTAATCTGGCAGTATACAGCAACCTTGGGAGGACGTCTCACCGTTCCTGGTCGTACTTGTCCAAATCCGCGGGATTGCCGCGAAGTTTGCTTTGGTATTTAGTGTCTTGTTAAAAGAGACAGAGAGACAAAGATGTGGCCATCTGCATTAGGTGATACGTCCACGTAGGTATCTTATTATATGTGCCGTATTAATATCCTTGAACACTGGATGCTGCATGATTGCTAGAAAGAGTTTGTGCAATCATCTTTGATAATAGACGAAAGTCATATGTTCTTCCATAGTTTAGGGGCTTGGTATAACGGTTGACGATGTAGGCGGGGTAGTGTAGGTAGTTACCTCACGGAAGTCGAGTTGTAATCCCATTCTTCCTCCTTCCACAACCATACCGTACTCTGAACTACTAGACAGCAAAATTCCCACCATGGCTAGTGAATCTGAGCCTCGTAAAGGTTGTTTTGCCGGTTGCTGCAGTGGGAAAAACAAGCAGGTCAATCTCAAAGGTTACGGTTCGGCAGAGAAACAACAAGAAGATCCTAACACTCCCAGTTGCTGCAAAAACAAACCATCTCCCTGTTGTGACGTCTCTTGCCTTGACCGTATCGCTCTTCGCCAATGTGATAGTGTATCACCTAACGATGCATCTCCAAGTGAGTTCAAATCACTATATCTGGCTATAGCCCATGGACCACACTAACACCAATCCTCAGAACCCCCAAATGCTAGCTGCAAAAGACCCGACGGCAAGCCATGCGACCAACACAGCCGTTCTGCACGCGCTGAATACGCAGGCGTGCTCGAAGCTCTAGGCTGTATTTGTCGTGCTTTGATAGCCCTTGGGCAAGAATCCTGTTGCACGCCACCAAGAGGTTCTTCCTCTGGAAATGAGCGTCATTCGGCGGACTCTTCTAGGGCTATTCTGCGTATTTCCATTGACTCTTGCTGTGAGAGATACGCCACTGTGTCTGACAGACGCCGTAGCGCCAATCCAAAGGGGAAGGGAAAGGCATGTTCGGGCAGCTGTTGCGGTTCTCCTAAGGCTCCTGCATCGCCTGAGAAGTGTGTTGACAGTGAAAAGAAGGGACCTATCAAGTCCGGTAGCTGTTGCGGCAAACCTAAGGCGTCCGAAGCCGGTGAACAACATATGCCACTCACGGAGAGCTGCTGCGGTAAATCAAAATGCGAAAAGCCTTTACCTACATCTTGTGGAAAGGGAGAAGCCAATACCAATAGCTGCTCTGCCGGCTGCTGCGGCGAACCCACATCCCCTTTCGGTGCCTTGTCGCAGCGAACGCCTAATGACCCGTGTAAACGGGCGGTTTCTGGATGTGCCGTCGCAAAAGAAAGTCCCAGGGATTCCATAGAGGTCATTCCACGAACCGCTGTTCCTGACCTCGAAAAGGGCTTTCTCAACAAGGAACACATCATTTTGAGCATATCTGGAATGACCTGCACTGGATGCGAAACAAAACTTAAGCGGACTTTGGGCACACTGGAATCAGTCCAGAATCTCAAAACCAGCTTGGTGCTCTCGCGGGCAGAATTCGACCTCGATGTCAGCATTCAGTCGCTCGACAAAGTGTTTAGGCACTTGAAGAAAATTACTGAGTTCGAGTATGAAAGGGTCACAGACCGAGGATCACAATTGGATATTCTCGTCCCTAATACCTCTTCTGAATTCGTGAAGCAAGACTGGCCTCGTGGTGTAACTGAGATGACTGTTGTTGATGAACAAACTGTCAATGTCTCTTTTGACGCTAAAATTATTGGGTCAAGAGATCTCCTGGAGCATGGCTGGGATATACCCCTTCGTTTAGCTCCTCCTCGTCCTGACGCAACTCTGGCGGCTGGAAACAAGCATGTGCGCCACATTGGATACATGACTATTCTATCCATTATCCTGACAGTGCCGGTTTTGGTCCTCTCCTGGGCGCCGTTGCCTGAGAGGGAGATTACTTATGGTTCTGTGTCGTTAGCATTAGCGACAATTGTGCAGGTAATCATTGCCGGTCCATTCTACCCAAAGGCATTCAAAGCCTTGATATTTTCCAGGATCATTGAGATGGATCTACTCATTGTACTCAGCACAAGTGCAGCGTATATTTTTTCCGTGATCTCGTATGGCTACCTTGTAGTGGGTAATCCACCCGCCACCGGTGAATTCTTTGAGACCAGCACTTTGCTCGTCACTTTGATCATGGTTGGTCGGTATGTAGTCGCACTCGCTCGCCAGAAAGCCGTCGAGTCTATTTCTCTGCACTCACTGCAGACACCTACTGCAATCCTGGTGGATGAATCTGGACCGAATGAAAAACAGATCGATGTTCGTCTCCTTCAGTATGGGGACATTTTCAAAGTCATTCCAGACACCAAGATTCCAACCGACGGGACGGTTATCGGAGGATCATCCGAGGTCAACGAGTCAATGGTTACCGGAGAGTCAATCCCTGTAGAGAAATCCCCTGGATCGACTATCGCAGCAGGATCTGTGAATGGTTCTGGCACTCTCATTGCCAAGTTAACTCGTCTTCCTGCTGATAACACAATTGCTGTCATTGCAGGGATGGTCGACCAAGCGAAACTATCCAAGCCGAAGATACAAGATTTTGCTGATCGAGTGGCAAGCTACTTTGTACCTGTTATAGTGACTCTTACTATCGTAACCTTCGTGATTTGGATTGCTGTGGGGATAGCAGTGAGAAATCAGTCTGGATCGAGAGCTACTACCGAAGCAATAACCTACGCTATCACAGTTCTCGTCGTCTCTTGTCCTTGTGCTATTAGCCTGGCTGTACCCATGGTCATCGTTATAGCCAGTGGTGTTGCTGCTGAGCGAGGCATCATTTTTAAGGCTGCTGACAGCATCGCGGTCGTGTACAAGATCTCTCATGTTGTATTCGACAAGACCGGAACTGTCACCCGAGGCAATATCGCGGTTGTAGTTGAACATGCCGACAATACTAACGGTTCGATGGCCCTACTTCTCGGGCTGATTAGCGGCAATAAACACCCAATTTCCGCCGCTGTCGCTACACATCTGACGGCCAAAGGAATATCGGCGTCAACTGTCACTGATACAACTGTACTGACTGGTAAAGGTGTTGAAGGGGTTGCACCCGGCCTCATCCTGCGCGCAGGAAACTCACGGTGGCTCAATCTCTTATCCAATCCGCAAGTCCAATCTGTTCTTGATCAAGGCTACACGGCATTCTGTTTTACAATTAACGGCGATCTCGCCGCTGTCTTTGGCTTAGTGGACTTACTCCGCCCGGACGCACTCGAAACTGTTACTAAGCTCCAGGAGCGCGGTATATCCGTCCATCTCATCTCAGGTGACGATACCGGCCCTGTCAATTCCATTGCTAGGCAGCTGGACATCAGGACTGGGAATACCCGTTCTCGATGCACCCCAGCCGACAAGCAAGCATACATTCAAGCCCTCGCGAGCCCACCCCATGAACCACCACATACGAAGACCCCGATAATTATGTTCGTTGGCGACGGTACAAATGACGCTGTAGCGCTTGCTTCCTCCACAATAGGCGTACACATAAACCAAGAAACCGGCAGCGACGTCGCCAAATCCGCAGCAGACGTTGTACTCATGAGACCCAGCCTACTTAGCATCCTGACAATGATCAATATCAGTGAGAAAGCAGTACGAAGGATCAAATTCAATTTCGGCTGGAGCTTTGTGTACAACCTGTTCGCGGTCTTGCTTGGTGCCGGTGCGTTTGTGAATGCTAGGATTCCGACGGAATTTGCGGGAATGGGGGAGTTGGTTAGTGTTTTGCCTGTTGTTGTTGCGGCTGTGCTTTTGAGATGGGCGAGGGTTTAGATGCAATGATTCATGCGGCTAGGATAAAACAGTAAGTCCGGAAATAGTTTTATTCTCTGTTTTCTTTTTCTTGACTACTTAAGTTCGGTTATGTCATGCAACGAACGTCTCCAGTTATGACCGCTGTATTGATGTTTCTACTTAGAGCAACTACAATAGTCAGTTACGAAGTTGATTCAACATGTTTGAAGCACTGCGGACATTTATCCTATCACCCCCCATTCTAGACTTCTCCCATTGACTGAATCACTACAGGATAGCATTGCAGTAAGTAGATTGATCAGACAAGTTAGCAACAGAATCTGTCCAAGAGAAGGCCCTTCTCACCCTTGGCATGTTAAGCCCATAAGGACATTAGGAGTCTTCAAGCCAGAGATATAATGGACTCCAATAATGGCTGTATAATATGGGCTGTCTTGTTATATCCAGACAGACTAGAATCTGTCCAGTCTATTGCTTTAAGATGACACACAGAGGGGCTGAATCCTAACTGAAAGCTGTGTGGAGATCAAATTCCGAAGTAGAACTCAAGAGCCAGGAGAGATTTTAGGATTTTACTAGATAGAACCCGCATATCTAGGCAGATTCTCTAGTCTTTATTTAAGTAACAATTGGAATTGGTCATGTATCACTAAAACTCCGCCCTGTAGTTTCGTGATGCTATCATATCTGTCCCGATGAGTTCTCGCGTCTCTCTGTGGTACGCATGCATAGTAGCCAATGTCAACGAGAGTGGTATTTGCAATACTCAAAACAGAATGGTTCACGCGAGCATTGCCCCAGTAGTATCCTTCACAAGGTATGCATGACGACCACTAAAAATCCGAAATTCAGTTTGGTTCTCATAACTACCTATATGAGAAGGCGTATAAGTTGGTGCTGAAATGCGTATATAGAGTAATCGCGAGAGTACTCTTAGATATCTTCAGATAAGGAGTAAATACACGCAGTCGAACTATCTCGATCTCGAATGGTTCTCTACGCACTCTCGAATTTCTGAATATATTGCGGTAAAGTCAAGGTAGCATCAATCTTATTCAAGCAGAGAGTAAGCATTGCGATCTAAAGAAATCCGGCTTTGGGTGTGACCTTAATTTCTCCATGAAATATTATTGAATGGACCCGTGGCTGATTAGTTGACATACATAGTCACATACTAGGGGGCATGTAAGCACTAAATCACTTCGCCCTTTTCAGGAAAACCTAACCCTAATTCGAAACCACTTAACAATGTATTTTTAGTGATTTTATTGTTTCATCTTCATCCTGATCCATCAGGGTGGATAAACTCGGTTTACTTAACTTAGATACAGTATTTACTGAATAGGATCCTGACTCATTCATTTCTTAAGCTTATTACCAGATCGGTTCAGCTGTTGCTGATTGATCACTATCGAACATCTCGGTTACCACAATATGCGGTGGCGGTTCTGATCAGCTCCTTGTGTAAGAAGATGTTGGTTCTCCACAGGGTGACGCAAACTTGGGTTAAAATAGCTGCCTAGGATGAAATACTTCCAACACTGTTGAATGTACATGTTGGCTGATTTTATGTCATATGAACAAGTATTCAAATTACGGAACACAAGAAACTCACAAATCATGGTCAAACAGCCATCGTAGTAGCACACTGTGCTTAGGGCTTATATGCACTTGGCACCGATATAGTGTCCAGGTCATGTATGGCTACGTAACATCGTTTGCCTTATCCCAACGCGGAAAAAGGAAATGGGGGCTTCTGATTGATTGTGAAGGTTATGAGGAAATTTCCTAGCTGACAGCTTATGGCCTAGTGGACTCTCTAGGTAGCGTTTTGCAATGCCAGCCCAACATGCCTGTGGACCCTTCCCTCTTGTCTCCCGACATCTGATTGATGGCTCCAGGGGCAATCGCCAACAATAAGGGTGGTATTAGGGTTTGCAGGTGGGCACCGGTGGCTTCGGGACTTGTATAGTTGAAGCTGTTCCTTCATTCGAATCTCACTCAAACTGCTACGATGTTGGTCCCCATATAAATAGCCCATTGCTCCCACTGAGGATGACTTTACAATTGACAATTAGTTCCTAGTATAGGATTGTCACACTCGTTTCTCAAGTAAGTATACTTCGGGTTCTCACTCGATAGGCATCTACTAACTGCACCTAGGTCATGGTCGCCCACGGCTTTCTCGCTCGGCTAACAGCCGCAGCTCTCTGTCTCCTTGCTATCCCTATATCGACCGCTGTACCTATTGAAAAGCGCACTGGCGTTGTGCCAACTCTCTCTGGCGGAGAGAATGCTATGGGAGGCGGCACTTACCCTCGTGCCAACTATCTTTCCGACGGATCGATCATTGGAGCTTATACAGCATTTTCAAATGGCGACAGCATCCTTACCGTTGTCCACTCTACGGACAATGGGGTTACCTGGAACCAAGTTGGCACTGTGGCTCGCGGGGCCACGGCCACAACTGACATTGATAACCCATATCCATTCCAACTCCCATCAGGCCGTATCCTGCTCGTCTTTAGAAACCACGATCGCTCTAACGGTGGTTATACTTTCTTCCGCATTACTATCTGCTACTCTGACGACAATGGCGTAAACTGGAGCTACCTCAGCACTCCAGCCTCTGACCCCGGCCCAATCAACGGAAACTGGGAACCGTTCCTCCGACTAGCTGAAGATGGCAAGACTTTGCAACTTTATTATTCTCGCGAAAACTCTGCAGCCGACCAGGACAGTCTGATGCGCACTTCGACCGATGGTGGTGCAAGCTGGACTTCGGCCACTGTCATCTCCGGCGCCGACTCCAACAATCAACGTGATGGTATGCTTGGTGTTGCGCAAATCTCCGGTTCCAACCTCATCGCAATCTTTGAATCTGAGACAAACGGCGGTAAATTCTCAGTCCACTCAGTTACCAGTTCCGACGATGGCAAGACATGGGGTAACCGTAAGACTGTCTATGCTCCTTCTGGCTTCAATGCTCAAGCTCCACAAATCACCAATGTCGGTGGTACCCTCGTTGCTAGTTTCCAGACTGATGAGGATGGTGGTTCCGGAGAGGCTATCAAGATCTTGACTAGCGGTGATGGAGGTGCTACCTGGGGTAACAAGTTGACTACCTTCCCTGCAACCAGCAACTGGGCTGGTCTGTTGACATTGAACGACAATGCCAGCTTCTTGAGTCTGGCTGACCACTCTGGTGCCAAAGCTCAGAAGGTTACCCTCTCGTAGAGGTTTAAATAGGATATCTCTCATTTAATCCTTTCACACTCTCGTTCTTGATACGGCAGAATAGTGCCCGCACCAATTTCTTATTGTAAAAACCTGTACACAGTTTTAGTACATAAATATTCATATTGTCATCAACGGTTTTTAGTCTTGCTTGGTCGCCTGTATTGCCTTTGATCAATCACTTCAATTATCGAGATCAAGTCAACAATGTCTGAGCGTTCCTCGGCTTTTTTTGCCCACTTTCTTTGCTCCTGCTAGTCAATCGGCGCCTCTGATCGATAGGCGTTTGTCATTTAGATTTGGAGGCTTGTAATAGAAAAAACTTTACAGGATTGCTCATTGACTTGCCGTAGGGAGGTTGTCGTTCACGCATATGTGAGGGTGAGGTAGTCATGATTTGAGTCTTGTTCGAGAACAGACAGCGCCAACTGACTCGTGCAGCCCTAACCCTAAGCTCTATAAAAACATGTGACGTCAAAAGACATGGTCTGGCCAGTCATAGGCCTTCGGTTACGTCTATCAGCAACCAATGAACGCTCTCTCTGCGAGCTCAAAGACAGCCCCGCAGGTACCCTAATCCCTAAGCAGACTAGCGCACGATTATGTTAGAACTTTGGAAGAGTCGAGACGTGCCTTCCCAATGTGGGTACTGGGTACCTTCCTACAGCCAAAGTAACTTCCTCGACTCTCTCGAAGACTCTTTTTCTCTTCTCCTTCTCATTTACGTATCAACGGTCCTTGCGGCCATCAGGATGTTTAACAGCGCCGCCCCCTGCCCATCCCAGACACTGATGCGCAACGTGCTCTGCGCTAGCACGTTCGCTCACTGGGCTCTCTATTAGACGACACGAGGGAGGAGAGCAAGGATGGCGGCGCTGTCTGTTCTTCCTACGTTCGATCAATCCCCTCCTTCAGAAGCCGAGAAACGACGCATTCGTGATCTTTCGAGGTAAGAATCGTCTTTTGTTCGGTCTTAGCCGTCTTGAAGAGTGCTTACAATATCTTTCATAGGTATTACTGTGCCTTTCGCAACCCGCCCGCTTCTTCGGATGACCTCCTCACCCCAGTCGAGAGTGACAATCAACTAGGCCCCTCGCTTTCGAAAGATATCGTGCTGACCGCATTGGTCCAGCTGGGCGTATATCGCTTTGGTTGCAATCGGGCATTCGTCTCTCTGATCGATGGCCAGAACCAGCATATCATATCCGAAGCAACGGCTTCCATCTCGCTACGGAACAGTCGCAGCCATCTTCCCGACGATGGTTTATACCTCGGTGTGACGAGTCTCGACCTCGTCTTCGGCGTTTGTCCCCATGCGATGAAACTGTTCTCCGGCGAGGACGTGCCGCAACTTCGGAATACAGCCAACGTGACGGCCAATCCGACTCGTTTCATTGTTCGTGACTTCACGCGGGAAGACAATTTCAAGGATAGACCGTATGTTAGCGGATGGCCTCACTTCCGCTTTTACGCCGAGCTGCCTATATATAGTCCTGCAGGATACGTATTGGGAAGCTTTTGCGTGGTTGATGACAAGCCACGGCAGGACTTTATGGAGGCGGACGTTCTGGCATTGCAGGAGATATCCGACTCAATTTCACAGCATCTTGAAAACGTGAGGACCGTTCACTCCCACGCACGATCAGATCGACTAGTTCAAGGCTTGACCAATTTTGTCAAAGGACGACCAGACGATGCATCCACATCTTCAGTAGCGAGTCTACAAGGACTGGAAAACCTCTCTCATCTGCAACAACGATCATCGGTGGGGATAGCAGAACCTTCTTCGCCGAATATTGAAGCATTGTCTCTGGCAAGCACAGTAAATGACGAAACCTCACAATTTCTATCCACACAAGACTTGCCCACAGTTACTAGAAGCACATCTCTATCTTCGCCGCCTCGGGATAGTGCCACATCCTTCCCAACTATTGACAATACCACCAAGGACGAGCCATACGTGACGTCAGGAGTTGAGCGCCAATCCGTGGAAACAACTGGTCCTGATACCCCCCTTGTAACCGTAAAAGAAGGTATCCCCATATCAAAACGTGCGGATGCTTTGTTCTCTCATGCAAGCTCCTTGCTGAGGGAATCCATGGATTTGGATGGTGTTCTGTTTCTAGATGCTTGTCATTGTAATTATGGAGTGTAAGTATTTCTCCATGTGTGGTAAGTACGCGCACCAGATTCTAACATCAAGAATGCAGTGGACCTTCCGCGGACTTGACGGACTGGGAGCCGTTCCCAACACCTGTTGATGCAGATTTCACTGCACATCCTATTGATACCACATCTGACAACGACAAGGACGCGTTCTGCAAAATTCTTGGTTCAGCCACAGAAATCACCAACGACACTCCTCTAAATACTACAGTCAAAGGCTCAATAACCGAGTCCTTCCTTCAACATCTGATTAGTAGATACCCCGAAGGGGAGATATTCGATCTAGACGGAGTAGTACCATGTGACTTAGAGGAGTCAAAAATAGCGGAGGTCGAAGATAGAATGCGTATACGCCCATTCAGGAACGGTCCCCGGTCACCAAGAAGTGACCAAAATGCCCTTCAGATAACAGCAGCACGCTTGGCAAATCACTTTCCTGACGCAAAGACCGTGGTTTTCCTACCTTTGTGGGACTGGAATAAGTGCCACTGGCTGGCAGGTACCCTTATTTGGAGTCTAGACAGCGAACGGCCTCTTGAACTTGATGAATTCCACTATTTCAAGGTCTTTGGCGATGCTATCATTTCAGAGATCACAAAAGCAGAGTCGTTCGAACTCGAGAACTCAAAATCGGATTTTATTTCCTCTGTCAGTCACGAGCTTCGGTCGCCATTACATGGAATGCTAGCTAGCGCAGAATTGTTGCTTGGGACTCCTTTAGAACCTGAGCAGCGCGATTTGGTCAAGATGCTTGAAACATGTGGTCTCACTCTTCTGGACACGATGAACCATCTGTAAGTGAGTCCCTTGAACTGCGTGAAACAGCTTGCTGACAACGCTGGGTTGCAGTTTGGATTTTACTAAAATAAACAACCTGATGAGCATTGAAGAAAACGCGAACCCCTTCCATGGTCCTGCCACCACCTTGGCGAGTGTGTTTGACCTCGATATTCTATTAGAGGATGTTGTCAATGCGCTTTATACCGGAAATCTGCACGTTTCACGATACCTTGGTACTGCCACTGATTATGAGAAGCAGAAAACCAAACAGGACATGGGAAGCATGTCTGTCGTGCTACGTGTGGCGGATCAGGGCAACTGGAAACTCCGATCTATTTCAGGCTCGTGGAGACGCATCATCATGAGTATCTTCGGCAACGCACTCAAATACACCCAATCCGGTTTTATCGAGGTTTCATTATGCAAATTCAGAAAAGAGCCAGAAATATCTGCCCCGGAATTTGCCCACCTCTCTGTAACCGATACTGGATGTGGGATGTCGGCCGACTTCCTGAAAAACAAACTATTTTCAGCTTTTACGCAGGAAGATACGCTTTCTGAAGGTGTCGGGCTAGGTATGAGCATTGTACAGCAACTTGTTGGTATCATGAAAGGAACAATTGATGTGAAGAGCGAACCTGGAATCGGTACCCAGGTGGACATATTCATCCCCATTACATTGATTCCACACTCACCTGCGATTCCAATCTCTGTGGCCTCTTCCAAAACACAGTTTTGCCTCATAGGGTTTGATGGGTATTCTGACTTGACAGAAGTTCCGACGGGCAGTTTGAGTCGGGAGGGAAAGCGCAGACTCTGTATACAAAGTTTCCTCGCCCATGTTATAACACTGGATCCAAACTGGAGTGTCTCTTTTGCTGCAACACCTTCAAATGCTTGCGGCGATGTTGTCATTATAGAAGAAACAACCCTGGAACAGATGGCGGCTAACGAGTCGATACAATCGTCAAAGGTGGTTAACTCCAGCCGATTGCTGATTTTGCGCAGCGGACCACCTTCATCAGGCGTGATTAAACCTGCCAATATCAGTGCAGACGTTGTTCATACAATATATCCACCGTAGGTATTTTCCTCCCGTCAAGTATTCAGCTATTTACTCATTTGTCACTATCAAAGTTTTTGCCCACGCAAAGTGTTAGAAGCTCTGAGACGGACTCTAGAAATGACTAGCGCGCAGACACTGACTAAGCCACTTAACTCATCGACAAGCCCGATCATAGCCCTGGATTCTTCAGGCATCTCATCGACTGATGCCAGGAAACTAATCCCATCTTTCGGCATGATTACACCTATGACAGAACGTCAAAGCTTTTTGAATGTTCTAATCGTTGATGACAATGATATCAATCTCAAGGTATGTAGGAGACTAGCCACTTGTTAGTATCTCATTTATGTCTACTTCACATGAGTTTTCTGGCAGCTTATGCTGAGTTCATCTCTGTTACCAGGTTCTCTCAACGTTCGTTCGGAAACTAGGCCACACTTTTGAAACCGCGTCGAATGGTTTGATAGCCTTGAACAAGTACAAGGAAAATTCCTCGTCGTTCAATCTCGTGCTGATGGGTAAGTTGTATTTCTTTTCTGTTCCGTATTGCGACTAACCCTATCCGCTACTTTAGATATTTCCATGCCAGTGATGGATGGCTTGGTTGCTACTAGTCAGATACGAATATTTGAGAAGCGACAATCCCTCTCACCAGTCACAGTGCTCGCGGTAACTGGAGTTGCGTCGGCTACGATGCAACAACAAGCTTTGGCAGCGGGTATTGACAACTATCTAATCAAGCCACTTTCGCTGCAACAACTTAAAAGGGCAATAGCGAAGAGCACATAGTCTCTCGTTTACTATGTGGAATTCATGGTTTACGATTTTTTGGTATCGTGGGAAGTGTATATATGCATACGAGTCATATACAACGGACGGTGGCGGAGTTACGTGGCTGAGAATTTAGTCGGCGTTCATGTACATAGCACCATATACCTATATAATACGGAGGGTAGCGGTGTCGGTCTGTTTTTAAATATATAGAGCATTTGCTCTGAGCATATCCAGTCTCCAAAGCGCCATTAATTGATTATACCTACCTAGGTAGATAGAACAGTCCCGGGTATGTTGGAAAACGCTAATTATGCCTCAATCCTCAATCCGCAATCCGCTCAACCCCCAACCGAAGGCTGCGCTACACATCGGATCATATTTGAATAGTATCGAGATTGTAGCTTACCTGAAAGAAACACTCCATTGGAATAATTCTATACATACGTAACCTGCATACTACCTCCTATAAACTCTTTGCTCGCCGTGAATAGTTGGATCCAATAGAAGAGGGGAAACAGTAGGTGGAATATCTCCCAGGATACTTACTAATAATCCCATTTCACGATTTACAAATGATATGACAAATTTCCATAAGATTCGCATTTGATGATTTATCAAATAGATCTTTTGAGCTACGAAGAGAGAGAAACATGAAGGGTTCTATGGTCGTTGGTCGATGTCTCCGAAGGCCTTGGATATGTCTCCGAGATCCGCATTTTGGGAACTACCCTATTGAGTGATGTCTAGATTTCCAGGGAAAAGTATATAAACCCGGTTCCAGACAAGTCGAGAGTGTTCGTTCTCCAGGAGGAAGCCTTATTGAAAGTGTAGTATACGAGAGACGATTCCATTCCCGGGTCGGGTGTAGCAACTACCTACTCTACCCAACGCAATTGTTCCAAACAATATACATCTTCAATAACTTTACAAGAATTAAAATGCTCTCACCAACTCTCTACGACGCCCTCATCATTGGCGCTGGCCCAGCAGGCCTCTCAGTCGCAACCGGTCTCGCACGCCAGCTCCACACAGCAGCCGTCTTCAGTTCTTCCGTCTTCCGCAACGCGAAAGTAAAACACATGCACAACGTCCTGGGCTGGGATCATCGAAGCCCCACGGATTTCCGTGCAAAGGCTCGCGCAGATCTACTGGCTCGATATTCGACGGTCCAGTTCTATGATGAGGTTGAGATTGAATCTGTATCAAGACAGTCGGATGGAAGGTTTGAGGCTAGAGATGTGAGAGGGGATGTTTGGAGGGGGAAGAAACTTGTCCTTGCGATGGGTGTCAAGGATATCTTTCCCGATATTGAGGGTTATGAAGATTGCTGGGGTGAGACTATGTAAGTTTCGTCATTCTCACCACGTTCCCTGTTCGGTCACTAATGGATGATTGGTAGACATCACTGCCTCTTCTGTGACGGCTACGAAAAGCGTGGTGCCCCTTCGGCAGGTGTTCTGGCGACAGACGTACTTGAGACTAACCAGCGAGCAATGCATGTAAACCGCATGGCAAGGCGACTTGTCGACAAGGTCACCATCTACACCAACGGAAACAACGAGCAGGCATCGACATTCCGTGAAGCAATCGCTGCTCTCGATGGATTCAAAGTCGACCCTCGTCCGTTTATGAAATTAGAAAAGAAGCGTGAAATGGACGGAAATGAGCCTAAGATCATTATACATTTCAAGGATGGCACTTGTGCAGAAGAAGCTTTCTTGGTAGGCGTCCCCTCCTATACTGTTACTCTGTATTCGAATGCTGACAAGGAGTCGTTATATAGGCACATGGACCTAGATATGTACTCAACGGTCCCTTTGCCCAACAACTAAGTCTCGAAACAGTCGAGACTGGAGAGCTTAAGGTATCACCCATGTTCAACGAGACATCCATGCCTGGAGTGTTTGCTGTTGGCGATTGTGCTACTCCTATGAAAGCTGTGACACCGGCTATTGCTATGGGGACGGGAACTGCAGCTGCTATTGTGATGCAGCTTCAGGAAGAGAAGCAGGTCTAACGATGAGCAGAGTAAGATCAATAATGCGAGAGCTTAACTAATTCCCACATGAGTGCGGTCAAAACGTATGGCACTGTTCATGATCGATTGCGCTGCTATATTCATAGATTTTGCTCCATTCAATCTGTGTTCTAAGGTTCTTCTTTTGAATTGCTTTCCCTAGATTTTCAGTCAAATTTCACCTGGTCCCAGGATTTGTAAAATCAGAAGAGATACTCATAATAGCAACAAAGGATCGCGAGCACAATATGTTTAATGGCTGTAGTCTCTAATCAGTCTCCATCATCAATGAGTGATATATAAAAACATCATCTTCCGAAAGAATCTTTTATAATCCACTCGCAAACTCCTCCAGCAAAATAACTAGCTCCTTCGGCCTTTCCAGTGGAATCCAATGGCCGCATTCGAACCTCTCAATGCGTCGGTTTGAAAGATGTTTTTCTGCCGCCGGTATCTGGAATTCTGGGCGACTGCCACAATCATACGCGGCCGTAACCACCACTGCAGGAATGTCAAGGTTCTTGCTCTCATCGGTGGTGAATCTCTCGTACAAGGACTTGTCTATCCCCCGAATGAATGATTTATACCTTGCAGCAATGAGTAAACGCGTTAAAATATAGGTGGATAGGTGTTCAGACCAGTTTAGAGGACCTGTATATCCCCCTTTTTTGAGGAGTTGTACATGTGTAGCAATCTCCTCATAGCTCATCCATGGTGGAGGATGAGCAACTTTACCGCAACTCACCCATTCCTTTGCACCGCCTTCGGCGCCCATATGAGCTTTCCAATCATCTGGTTTTGTGGAATACAACATTGACATTACTGAAGCCGGGTTCTTGTCACATATAGCTGCAGCGCTATCCTCATTAAAAAAATCCATGTACGCAAAGGCTGGGTAACCAATGTACTCTTTAACCATCGTATTCACAGACTTTAGATCAAAGGGCTCTGGGGGGACGAAGCCAACAGCAGTGAAAGTCAAACCAGAGAAACGATCTGGATAAGTCAGAGCAGCCGTTGACAGAAGTGTAGAGCCCCTAACGGATTCGCGATTAGTATCAGCTAATGTACCGATCGAATGTTTTTTCTGATGAATTAAGATACAATGGTTAGATTTACCAGTCGTGCCCAACGCCAATGACTTGTTCTAGTCCTTCACTCAAAATAACCTCAATGACATGGTCTGCCATTCGTTTGATCGAGTACGCTTCCACCTCTGCCGGGTTATCAGAGTCACCATACCCGAGCAAATCCGGAGCTATAACGCCATAACCACGATCCTTCAGTAAAGGCAATACATGACGCCAATCGTAGCTTGTACTTGGGAAGCCGTGGAGGAGTAGAAAGGTAGGCTTGTTAGAATCCGATGGCGGGACGTGGATATATGAATATTTTGTGCCATCTCGAACAGTAGTGGTCTTGCTAATTTCAGGAAAGAGGTGAAGTGCCATTTTTTTCTACTTTGGTACGTGAGCTTGCAGTAATCAGATCTGAAGGAGCCATCACTTTACATAAATTTGTTATTCTTTGGTATGCTCAGATGTACCTTGGTAGAAAGTCTCCGATTCTTGAAAAAGTCTCCGCGAACGCTTCCTTTTATGATGACACGAGAACATGGTCTGTTTTCATCTACCTAGGTACAGACAAATTAAGTTGGTTTTATTTGTTCTTTAGCGTATAATAAGATTCTTCTCTTTGCCTACTCGTCCAGGTCGTGACGGGTGTTTCATTTGTTACATGACTAGAGTCCATACAGAAATCACTTTTTAAACTCGAAATAAGGGCGATTCAAGTCCGCAGAGGCGGACGATGCGCCTTTCTTACTAATCATATCTACCGAAGATATAACCATAATTCCGTTATCATGAAAAGTTCTTCCTCCGATTCATTCTCATATGGCTCTTTTCGTCCGCTTGACCCTGAACCATCAATGGACGCCATACGAGTATGACCTGACCTCTTAGCTCGTGAGCTGTACGGCAAGTTGACAGGCTCATTCGGCTTCTGCTTCGAGCAGGATGAAGAGCCTTGTTCGCCGGTAAGAGGTTTCTTGCTGACGTATTTGCGCCAAACGGCTTTCATCGAGGCAGCATTTGATGCCATAATGGCAACGTCGAGTTCGATCGCGGATACAATAATCATTTTACCCATTGTCCAAGTAAAGTCTGGGCTGGCCTGGAACTCGTGAAGGACGATAATGCGAAGAAGAGATACGACGGTGACATAGACATACCATCGGGGCCACACTGGCGAATGCACTGTATTTCCTCGCAATCAACCCGTCAGTATACCAAGAACTTCAACGACAACTCGATACTCTGTTTCCCAGCAATTCTTTCACATACGACCAAGTGCGTCACATTCCTTACTTAGAAGCAATCATCAATGAAACTCTTCGGCTCAAGCCGGCTGTACCTAGCGGTCAGCCACGTGTAACTCCTCCAGAGGGTCTTCAAATAGATGAAGTATGGATACCGGAGGATGTAGATGTTATCGTGCCTCAGTACATTCTTCAACAGGACAATAGAAACTTCCCCGAGGGCGACAAGTTTGTGCCTGAGAGATGGCTTGTGGAGAATAACGGCAAGATGATATTGAATGAACAGGCTTTCTTTCTATTCTACTAGGTGAGTCTAATTTATTGTCTCCACATTAAGTCTATTGCAGGATTGCCGCGAATAATGTTGATATGAAATAGGTCAATACTCGTGTGTGGTAAACAACTAGCTCTCATGGAACTCCGTCTGGCCATTGCACATGTTACTCTTAATTTTGACATATCGCTACCTCCGGGAGAAGATAGCGTGGAGTTTGATCAAGGGGCCAAAGACCCTTTTACATTTACAATATCTTTGCTGCAGGCTGTATTGAAGGAGCGTGGCAGGTCTTAGTATGCATTGGATCTATTTGCAAATCGTTATTAGATGCTTTAGATAGCCGAAGTCTGCGATTTACAATACATTCAATTAGTAAACAATTTAATATTAGTACCCTACTATGCAATGAGATCACTTCTGTGTAGAGGCAGGATCTCATGTGAAGCAGCAAACTCTCTTGTACGATATACCAGCTTATAGGAGTTGACTTGTCCGCCATCGACGGACGAATCAGGGATTATTATTCATTGATTCTAAGTTTTGGTGTACGTAGTTAACCGCATGTCTTGCCCTATGGTAGGGGCTCTAGGGAGAGGAATGAGATCTGCACCAAGTTAGGGCAACGGGAAAAGACCACATTACATTCCCTGACATTCCCTCATATGTAATAACCTGAAAGAACGAGAAAAGGCTTTATCTCTATGCGTTTGCTTCTCTGTAATCCAATTCATACAAGGATCAAAAATAAATCCGGTATGTTTATTTTGCTCTCAGGGTATCATCATATTCGTGAATAGACCACATATTTAGGAAAATAAGATACATGCCAATTTCGGAACACGAAGGGATAGACACATTCTATGGCTTCTTATACCGGCCCAATGGTAGGTGTGCCTAAAGATGACAGAACTCTACTTTTATTGACAGAATGCTCATGATTTAGATGTCATTCGGATACTGCGGCTTCTCAGCGCAATCCCACTTCCAAGCCATATCTTGCCAGAACAGATACCGATACCGGGCATTATGGTCACCGCATATAATACAAGAGACACTGCCCTCATCAACATTATCAGCTGCCGCAGAGCGACATCCTAAAAGAAGAACATAGTCGCCGAGTATAGCAGCAGGATTGGCCAAAACGGCAGACGCGACAGCAAAGACCACACCTTCGCCAGAACCAAATCCGAAGAGGATAACATGTACAGCCAAAGGAGCGGCGGCACTAAAGAGGAGCGTTTCATGGTTGCGAAAATATTCTACCCTATGCTCCGAGCATGTTGGTTCACCTTCGCTCCCTCCGGCTTCGACTCAGGGGATACCTATGCAATAGACGTCGAACATCAATAGCAATAAGAAGAGTAAATCCCCAAGACGTTCCTTGGTAAATGGATGCATGGAACGGGTCAAGAGCTTCAGAAAGAAGGGCAGACACGAGAGCAAGAAGTATCGGCAGTTGGATGATTCAGATCAGGCAGGTTAGTCTCATTAGTAAGTGGGAATGAATCTACATGCATATCAAAATGGTTATATGGTACGCTTCTGTCAAGCCATTATTCTTTGTTTTTGGGTGGGTTCTTTTCCTACAGTACGATATCTTAGGGTTAGGGATTGCGGGGTGAGGAGTTTGTTGGTCATGTGCACATGTACATTACAGGAAAACCTTCATGACCGACATTGATCATTTGTATTTGGAGCAATAACAGTAGGCTATCCCGGTAGGACAGTCCGATCCAACATGCTCTCTGAAAGGCTTGGATACGAGCAAAATACAACAATATCATCCTCCAAACTAGGAAATGATATCCATTCTTAGGTGGGATACTACACCTGTCATCATTCTTATCTCTCACCACCTTCGCTATCTACTAAAGTCTATACATATCTCATAAAGAGAGAAAGTAAAAGTCCGATCGAGACGGAGACAACATCATGTTGGTCGCTACGATCACGGTCTTTGCTCTTTTGCGAGTGCAAGGGGCGCTCGCTCAAGCCAGCAAAACAACAAACATTCCTCGCTGGTGTGGCAAGCCTTACAAGAGCGGGTACATAACATCTTTATTCCTTTGACAGGCTGCACTGACGACGCAAAAGTTCCCCAAATATCAACCCCGGCGGTCAATTAACCCAACCGCAACCATCACCGAACCCATTGTTATATGTACAAATCGAGCCCCGGCACAGCATCTACGTATCTTCGGAAGAATCGGCAACGTTTATAGTTGACGCTGCGCTCTCTGACTACTATGGCAGCCCGTACTCCAATTCCACCCAAGTCCTAGGATCATCAACACCAGAGCCATTTTCAGATTTATATTTCAGTATCCTCGCAGAGTCCATCGATCAAGTGCTAGTCACCAACAGCGTGAGAATAAACACAACAAATAATCTATTCGACTTCAACATTGCACAACTCACGCCTCAATTCGATCCCTACGACATTGTTTTATATGGCGCCTCTTCAGACGGAAATCAAACATACTCCACAGCCACAAAACTATTCTACCTCCCCGACAAACAGCCCGGAAGTATAACTAAAATTGACAATCTGAACGGAAATCTTCTGTACAGAAATAACGCGACTAACAACACATTCGTTCCCTTTTTCGCGTTCGGATTTTATACCTCTTGGGGCGGATATTTGGAACCGAGTCTTGAGAATTTGAAAGCATATTATGATCTCGGGTATAGTGCGGTTCATCCCATTCCATCGTTTTCGGACAATTTGACAACTGTCTTGGACTATATGGATGAGTTGAACTTGATGTTTCAGTATGATATGCGGGGGACGTATACAAATCTGACGTCCGTGAAGGAGCAGGTTAATCTAGTCAAGGATTATAGTTCTTTGCTCGCCTGGTACACAGCTGATGAACCGGATGGAAACCAAGATCCTCTTAATGCCACGACATTGGCGTATGAAACCATCGGCCAGATTGATAAATATCATCCTGTCGGATTGGTGCTGAATTGTCAGAACTACCATTTCGAAGAATACTCTGCCGGGGCAGATTATTTAATGGAAGATGCATACCCGATTGGCATTAATGCGACGTGGTCCAAATGGGGTACGCTTTGTAATGCGACATATGGGGATTGTGGGTGTGACAATTGTCTCGGCGAGTTGCAGGATGTCTCTAATCGTATTGATGATATTGCCGAATATCAAGAATGGTTGGGACAATGGTCAAAGCCTATTTGGGCAGTACCTCAATCATTTTATGGCGAGGGATATTGGGACCGGAATCCAACCGCCGAAGAAACATGGGTCATGAATCAACTTGCCCTTAACCACGGAGCAAAATCCATCATGTTGTGGGCCTTTCCGACGGTAGATGAATTAGCCACGGCCAATTCGCAGCAGTCAAAGGTTCTGACAAAGTCGCCTGTGTTGGAGTTTGTGACTGGTGGTCAACCAACACGGCTCTCGGTTAAGGCGTTTGAGTCGCTGGATGTCTCGTATTGGATTGTGGGACAGCAAGCGCTGGTTAGTATAGTAAATCTGGAGTATGCTGATGCTTCTTCCGCTATCAAGATTGTATTGCCGTTCCCTGCTTCGTCAATTGTGTCGAGTCCTTGGGGTAATGTCCCGTGGGAGCTCTCTGAAAAGACGTTGAATGTGCAGACCTTGGATGCTCTTGTAACAAGCCTTGTCATACTTCATCTGTGATATCGAAAGTTTAGCGCAATCGACGCGAATATGATTTAACCAGCACTATAGGCAAGCATATTCACGATCAGACTTGGCTCCAGAGAGGACGCCATAGTGTCCACGGGTGTAGTATGCAGATGTGAAGGCGTACTGTTCCACGTCAAAACACAACTAATGCGCTAGTATACATATATTGTATGTACTGCCACGACACTTGACATCCGGAGTTCGCAAAGGGATTAAACCAGGCCATAAATGTTCTCAAGCTGAAGTCCTGTCGGGCGCTGACTTGAGCGCCAAGTGTGTTCTATAGTGTCGTTACATGCCAAGTTCTTGCTAATAAATCCTACTGAAATATCTTGATTGAGATTACCTCTCAGAATCAACCAGATAATTCATGTCCGACCATGGAATGTCCATATGCATCTTTGCTGCCTGGCCAATGGTTAAGAAAACCTTTTTCTTGACCACATCGAATTTTGGATGCGCGTACGACAAGCGTACAGCATCAGGTATTTCAGAACTATCCCTGACCTGATTGACATGTTGTGCCAGGTTCTGTCCAGAGAGCACGGATTCCAACGGAAAATCACTGCTATAATCCGTGACACAGTCCAAAGCAGCAGCCTCTTCGATCTCGATTATCTTTTCAGCAACCATTGCACTGAGATAACTGTTAAACACCCCTTCTTGTCGAGGTGCAGAACGTAGGACCTCAACGGCTTTTCGACGAGTAATTGGATCTCGGCACAGTGTAGCAACTTCGTAGAGAGGAGCTATTACGCCGTTGTCAAGGGAAAACGCCGGCTTAACCGACGATTCTGCATGAGCATCTGTAACAGAGGAGGTGACTATCGAAGCGGCCAGTGACACAATTTCCGCAAACTGGGAATTAAATTTATCCCAAGAAAAAGGTGGTATGGCATCGGAATATCTTCCCATCTCGCAAACCGTCACGTATTCGTAATACATTAGCAGGTTATGCTTATGGATGTTGAGCAATTTAAGTCCTATTCGCTCTTTGGAGGTTAATGAATCACTGCGACGTTCTGCAAAACGAGCGAGAGCGGTGCACCATTTATCAAGACAGGTTCCGTATTGCTGAAGCAGGTATTTTGACATTTCTGGGGCCATTGTATCCGATACAGACTGCATGACTATCCGATAGTGGTTCACACATCTTTGATTTAACAGTTCAAAGCTATCACGAGCCTCGGCAATTGAGAGAAAGATATCCGGGATGTCATGCCAGAAAAGAGAAGTGTCGGGTATTGCAAGTTCCTCTTGTGTGAGATGATAGGTATCGGCGCGAGTCTACTCTGCATTAGTCTTTGCAAAAGCGCACCCAGTAGTATGACTTACCAAGGTTAAAGCTTGCCCCTGAAGGCGGAAGAACATTTTACGCAGGCTCTCCATTTCCAGACTTGACACGGTAGAAGGACGAAGGTGTGGATGTCGGAACGTTCCACTGCTTGGATCATGATAGACCTCCTTGAGGATTTTGACTCCGCTTTGAATATGATTGATCGCAGAACCATAATGACCAGAGATAATCTAGATATGTGAGTGATTTTCTAGATGCTGCGATCAACAGACATACCTCGAAACAAGTAAAGAGAATACAAGAGATTAAACAAACGTCCACCGTAACATTTTCACTACTGCTTGTGGACGGTCCCAGCAATGCTCTAATCGCAGCCAGATATTCACAAATAGCAAAGTCATTCTGTTGCTGAAGGAAAAGATCAAGTTCAAAAAAGTGGTCGTTGTTCTCAAAGTCCTCATGTAGCGATCCCAATGCAATCAATGCATGCCAAATGGCCTTCTCATGCTGGCTCGCCTGCAGCACCAGTCGGCTCCAGAATTCCGATCCGCAATAACCTGCTAGTGCAGGCACGGTTCTTTCGTAGAAGAACTGGAAACATCGGGTTTCCCGATCATTCTCAGCGTAAGGGGCCTTGGGAGGTGAGAATGCAGGTACAAGAACGGCATAATCCTTGCGTGGCCTGTACCCATCGCATTTGCGGCCTGTTGAGGAGCATCGCAGACAAATGGGTCTGTTCTCATCACATTTTACTCGTCTTTCTATTGATTGGCAACGTTATCTTAGCCAGATGAATTGGATCCGGATTGATAGCGAACATACTCCTGAAGTGTTCCAAGTACGTTAGCTAATTCATGATCGGATGGGAGCAATTCTGGACTTACTTGCACGTCAGACACCCAGATTTGGACTTCCTGTATCGGTACGTTTCGAATTTGTCCAAAGGGTCTTGCATGGTGTGCATTGTCCAGCTGTCCAGCTGTCCAGCTGTTTAGCTTGAATGTTGGATGGGGAAGAAATGTCCAAGTCAAAATTTGTTGTCGTTCCTGTTAGTCATGTGATTGGCTAGCCTCAGAAGAAAGAACCCCCCTACGGTACGGCGGACTATACCGACATTTCAAAAAAAAGCTTTTGTTTTTTCGAAGTCTAACTTTTCTGCTGGCAGAATCCAAACTTTCAATTCAGTCTTCCTAGGCGGCATGGACAGTATAGCGATTAGAATCTTGTTGAAATTAGTTAGTTCTTGACTTTGAAATTCAGAATTGAATTGAAGAAAGTAGGTATAAAGCAGGATTGACAAATGAGAAGGCCAGTTTGAACGACACATAAAGTTTGAGATGCAACATCAAAACAAAAAATATATCGGATTATGAGCTGAGTTTCATCAACTATAGATATGCAGATTGTCTTCTCGTGCGGTTTGCAATATGTACGTTAGCAAACCTATGCTGGCAATATACAGCTAATCTGGATTCAGACTCACTGGGGACATCGTCAAGAAACTGCTTGAATTCGTTGCCGTTAAGACTAAGTTCATCAGATGATTAGATCTATTATCGTTGTTATTATTGACCTTGTTATCGTTGCTATCTCTTTTCAAGTTAGCCGCAGAAAATGATCTCTTATATGTGAGTGAAAAAGGCTCCTTTTTTCTAACTATAGGCTCTAATGTAGCTGTAGATTTCTTGACAGTGGACTGTTTGACTTTGGCAGTTTGGCTTCCTGCTTGACTTTAGGTTCTTGTTTGACTTTAACTTTCTGCTTAACTTTGGGTTCGTTCTTGACTTCGGGTTCCTGTTTAACTTGGGATGCCTCTTGCTTTGACTTTCCTGCTATCTTTCTTGGTTGGTTGTGAAGTTGGTGACAGTTAGATAGGACGCGAAGGCTGTGACGGCGTAATGAGGCGATCGGTACCGTATACTGCCGGGCGACATAACATGTTCCCAATTATAATGTCTCTAGCCTCGAACACAAAAGATGATTGCTGGCGGTATTCAAAATCCAAAAGATTAGACAAGTTGCTCCACATTGGACTCACCATACGGTCCATACCTACATATACATGAGTTATAAAGTTGTAATCATTATTAAGGTATTGCCATATAGTCCTTAGATAAGCTATGAAGTGGTAGATACCCCATTTACAGCTAACTTACTCCCTGCTAATATTTGGCCTGGACAGGATTCTTAGAGCAGATCGAAGATTTTGCATCGACCACTGTCCCGGCCTTGAACTTAGAGAATTTCAAAGTATTAGACTACTCCACTGTCAGGTTCAATACTAGTATCTTAGGCACTCAGGCTGGGGGTAAGTATATCAGGTATCTAGGATTGCCATAACCACGTTTTACTGCGAGGGTGATGAAGGTATCAATTTTCCAGAACATCCGCTATGAATTGACGGCGATAAGAGAATGATTTAGTCTGACTAGAAATTCAGGTACACATTCGCGTGTCCAACAAATTGAGTTACCAGTTCGATATTCTGTATGAGGATACTGTGTTCTTTAAGCCTCGTTATTTTATTTGGCTCTTCTACATGTACAGGAGAATCAATCATGAATACATGGAACAGTCTGTAATATCAGTTTTTAAAAGGCATCTTGAATATATATATATATATTTGAAACTGGTATAGTCATGGAAAAGTGGGAGGAAGGAATGTAAACCTCGGGTCGGACTGCACCTTATTCAAAACCTGTTTTTTAACTCCCTCGACAGAGCCTGGTACAGTGAGACGGTGTAGGGGATACTCTCCCGCACGCCCTTCAGCCTCGAGGACCAAGTAGCCCGGGGCATAAAGCTCAACATCATCCATCCGTTGCCCTCGGTCACATAAGTTCATCGTTGTTGGAAGTTGGTTAGCGGTCTTAGCTTGACAGAGAATATCGATGATCGGTAGGTCCATGTCAAGTCTGATATTTTGCATTAGTATGTTGGTCTGTATTGGTAGGACTAAAGGATATTCACGGCGGATTTTGGTGTCTATAGCCACCCTGAACATGACGGATATCATCAAGACCCATCATAATCTCAGAAGCTGTCGGAACGTGAATATCAAACCCTACACGTTTTGGCACCGGACATAGTTAGTCTGACGCGGCACGTGCGTGCCGTGTATATCTAGCTAGCTATCCCCGTCCCCCTCGTTCTTGGGGACAAGTCACAATATTAGGAATCAAGATATCTTCATATTGTCAGGCTCATTAGGCCGCTTCGTGTTCGCGCCTTACTACCGTCTATGCTTCGTGATACGGACCGTAGTTAAACCAACAGAAGCATTCATATATGGCATTCGCATATTGAACGGGCGAATGTGAATAGCATCCTTAACAGCCCCATTTATTTCATACTCGACCATTGTCAAACGGCCATTTCTCAGGCCTTCTTCATCAACCAACATATATGGGCCTGAATAACCGAGATAGAGTATGGTGCCAGTATGTGTGAGATAGATACTCCTGAAGTTTGCGGTCTCCAGATCCTGCTAGGACAGAAAGTCCTCTATTGAAGGATCGGTGGTGGTTGCTGGATTCAAGATAGCCTCTGAGCATAGTCAAGCATAGAGAGACTATGTTTGATACAATATAGCCAACATAGCCAGGATCGAACGACTATGCCAGGAGAAAGGCATTTAAGGACGCTCATTACTATGTAATTAGTTTCACTTTATCGTCTTGAATTAACCGTGTTAAGACAGTTAAGTACCCCTTAACTGTGATAACTTGAGTATACGTTCTTCTATCGAACCGGAGATTCACCCTTTTGTTAAGCCTTTGCTTTCAAGAAGCCTTTCGTACTCAGAAGCCTATTAACTACGACTCGTTAATAGCTATCCGAGATATACTCGACGGTAGTTACCGAAGTTTCCGACACCTCACTGCGTAATCCTGTGCTTCGTGTTATCAGGACGTAGTTAAACCAACATATATCAATGCCGTCTATTTTATGCTTTCTAAATTTCTGGCGGAGAGGTATTTGTAAAAATAACCAAGCTATATCTGAAAACAACTACGACCTTGATAGTGGTTCTAGCCAATTAGAGGAGGTTATGCCAGCGTGAATGATAGGAGAAGGCGGTCATAAAGGCGGTAAACTAACTTCCCAAAAAAAGTTTTTTCAATGTTGGTATAGTCCACCGTACACTCCCCCCACAGCTTATCTCTTTGCTATTTTCAGTATGCTTTGATTTCCACACCAGCTGTCTTCTATGCCCCTTTGAGTGTTGATTTTGAAAAGATAACTCCAAAAGAAAGCAACATGTTGTCCTATCCTCCAGGCTGGGAATATGAGCACGTGATGAACTTCTCCAGTAAAGATTTGGCCTCCCTTACCGAGGAACAACACACCACCCTGTTAACGGCCTCAAGAAAGCAGGCCTATACTAGGCTTTCGAAGACAATTGCTCCAAAGAGTCAGAGAAAAGGTGGAAGCCAAACTACTCGCCAAAGAGGCCACCAAAACAGAGGAGTAGAAGTTCGCGGATCGCGTAATCTGCGCTCCCTACATCGGTACCCTGAAGAACGTGTTTTAAGTTCGAACCGGTCTGGTCTGAATAGGGATTCGTAGTCTTTCGCGCTACCTCCTATGGACGTGAGGCCGACGCGCAGTGGGTGCAGTTTCGCCAGCGCTAAGACCAGACCATCGAGGAGGAGCACGTAGATGAGCGCGGATTTTATCCCAAGTCAGATCGGGCGATTGAACTGTTGCGGTTTCGTTGGGTGGGGGATCCGTCGTTAGCAGGGGCGTCACCACTTGAGGTTTCTCGATAGGTGTCCTTATGTAATTTTTCTTCTATGTCTCTAATAGCAAACGGCGCTTCGACGAGATGTGGAAGGATCTTCCCACCGGACTCGCTACTTCTATTTGTCTCATGGTGACTCCCGAGTCTCGGCAATCGGTTCTCAACGCACCACTTCCCGAGTCTGCACCCCTGGAGAATCGCAAGGAGATCCCATATGTGATTGCGGTCTCCAAAATCGCACGCTATCCACGCCCGCAGCTCGCCCCTGGCGAAGAAGCTGAAGATGTTTTCGGTCGTGATTTCAAAGGTTACTTTGATGTAACAGTTGAGAGTCTTTTGAGAAATTTGTACCCCCTGGTCGCTCTGGATATCATGGATCTTCCTCGACTGACGATTAACATGCAACATGACAAGGATATGTGGTTCGATACGTCTCGAGGGGGTATACGCCACTACATGGAAGAGTCCAGTTAATTAGGCGTTCTTTGTCCTTATATGTTCAGACACTTTCAGCAGTTATGGCTTAATGAATATACATAACAGCGCTATTGAGATTGATGAACCGACACCAATCAAGTCTCCGGTTACACCAGCATTTTCGAAGCCATCAATCCGTCCATCAACTCCTCTTGCGGGAATGTCCACCTGGGCATTTACTACTGTGTGCTTCCGACGGAGAATTGGAATGCTACGGCCACACCTACCGTGGTCTTCCCTCCCACCGGCAACCCGTCCGGAACAAGCGCTAATTGTTACGAGCGAGTGTGCTTGTCCGCAAAACAAATGCAGCAAAATGCTCACACTCGGTAGATATTATGTCATCCAATCGGGCGACAACTGTGTTCTCCTTGAAAACGAATTCGGCATCACAATGGCGCAGCTTCAAGCCTAAAACCCGTCTCTCGACTTTGATTGTTCCAATCTCGCCCTAAGCGAAGCCTGCTGCGTCAACGGAGCTACACAGCCAGTTTCTTCATCTGTAACCGCTACATCATTGGGCAGCGTTGCCAAACGGACTGTAGAGATGCATTAACCGACAGCGTCCAATCCAGCGCGGGCGTACGCAGCTGCGGCACAGGTTGATTAGGATCGATGGTTATGAAAATGACATGGATCGAACAGAATTCAGTTAAGGATCCCTCTCCATCAGCTTATAATTCCTATGCCCGGCCGGCCTAGGTGCCTGTAATAAGGTGGTGAACGGTAGGTTCAGATGTGGGTTTAGATTACAGAACACTTGAAGCAGTGATCCGCTAAGAATTTATAAAAAGGATGCTAAAGGAAGTTTTGAATAATAAAACTCAATACGGAGTAGTATAAGAATAATTATTTTACTCTAAAAGCATTAATAAGAATTCACTTTCTTTTATATATTCAAGAATAAAAGTTGTTCGTACCTTTTTTTCACTGCACACCCAAGTCTCCAGCTTCATCGTGCATTTATAATCCATTCACCGTGTCTACTTCCCGATAGACACACATATCATTCTGTAGGACTACTGCATAGACATGCTGTTATCACCTACAAAATCCTCGGTGAAGGACCCCTCCACATTCCTCCCAACCTAGTTCCTACTCTGTGGGTACGTGGCATCGTTTTACGTACTAACTGACCATTCATTCATGAGAGAGACAACATTTCATCCCACTGTGCGTGGGGGAAACAGGGCCGGGGTCCTGGCCGAAGGTCATCAGTGCATAGTCCCGACGAATTCCCGTGTCTTTTTGTGTGTTTTCGGCAGATTTTGTCGGGGTATCCGGGGTAGATCTTTTCTTAATCCTACCCAATTGAAGGTTTCATTCGTCCGTTCGTCTTGGACGCGGGGTTCTGGTGATCCCCCGTGCACGTATTGGTTGTTTTCTTATCGATGTACTGGCATATAAATTGGGGGGCCGGGAACCCCAATTTTCCCCCATCTGCTTATTTTGCTCTGTCAGCTGCACTTTTCATATTGTTTCTCGTAGTAGATAGCAATTGCAAGTCAATATGGACGAGGAACGCACAAGTCTCGACAAACAGCAGCAAGAGTTCATCGAAACCGAAGAGGCTGGCCCTGCCAAGCCCGTATTCAACGATGAAATCTTCATGCCTCCAGCCCTCGCGGCTCTCAGTGAGGAGGAGTATGAGAGAGTCAAGAAATCCGCTGTTCGGAAACTAGATCTTCGCATCATGCCTGCTGTTGTATTGATGTATATCCTGAATTATCTGGATCGTCAAAATATCGCGAGTGCTAAATTGGCGCATCTCGTCGAGGACTTGAATATGACTAGTGTTCAGTATCAGACGGCAGTTAGTCTGTTGTTTGTTGGTTACAGTGAGTTTTTATCTCACTCCTCAATCTCATTTCAAGATCTGACTATTTGCAGTCACCATGCAGGTCCCTTCAAACATGATTGCAAGTAAAATCAAATATCCCGGTATCTACATCAACGTCGCAATGGCCATCTGGGGTGCAATCTCGGCATGTACCGCTGCAGTTCATAGCTTTTCCGGACTGGTAGCAGCACGATTCTTTCTCGGTGTTGTCGAAGCTGCCTTTCTACCCGGTGTTGTCTACTACATCTCGCTGTTCTATAACAGACAACAAATGACCCTCCGCACCGCCATATTCTACTCTGGCTCTCAGGTCGGAAATGCCGTCGGTCCGCTGATTGCTATTGGAGTATTGAATCTAGATGGTAAACAGGGAATCAGCGGATGGCGCTGGTTGTTTATCATCGAGGGAGTCGTTACTATCTTCTTTGCTATTGTATTTGCACTCATTCTGCCGAGCTCCTTGCAGGCGATCCGCGGCTTCTCTAAACTCGAGAGTGAGTTTTTGTTGTACAACTATGCCAAGGATATTGGACAACAGGATCACAAGGACGAAGCGAGTGCATGGAAGGGTGTCAAACTCGCTGTCATGGATCCGAAGACGTGGTTGCTTCTGGCCACTTTGTGGGCTGTAAGTTCTCGTTGCATCGTATCTGTCGTTCAACATGTGATGCTAATTCATTCTAGACCTATGTGTCCGCCGCTGTCGTCAACTGGTTCCCATCGGTCGTTGCTACTTTGGGATATTCGCGCAACACTACCTACGGTCTCACTGCGCCGCCTTATATACTCTCGTGTATTGTTATCAGTCTCGTGGGTTGGCATTCAGACAAGGTATGCTCATTCCTCGTTGGATTGTTTCTCAAAGCTTACAATTCATAGAAACAAGAACGATTCCTTCACGTTGCTATTCCACTTGCAGTGGCTGTGATTGCAAACATCATTGCAGTCGCTTCCCTGAACACAGGCGCTCGATGTATGTTCCCTTTTCTCACCCCCCTTTTACTGCCTCCCATACTAACTAGAATAGACTTCGCAATGATGCTCATGCCCGGAAGCTGCTACTCTGCTGCCATCGTTATCCTCTCGTGGGTTACGGGTACTTTGTCCCAACCTGCCGTCAAACGTGCCTCGGCCATTGCTTTGATCAACGCCGTCTGCAATACACCCAACAGTAAGCCACCATCTTATAAACTTGTTTTATGACTGCTGTACTGACATGACTAGTCTGGACTTCGTATATCTACTACGGTGCGCCTCGCTACCTAGCTGCATTCCTACTCAATATGGCCATGGCAGCGTTGGCGATTGTATTTGCATTTGCTTTGCACATCTATCTCCGCAGAGAGAATGCCAAGTTGGATAGGGGTGAGGATTCGGGTAAGAATGGGCCTACAGCTGCTCAGCAGGCTGCTGGATTTAGATATTTGATCTAGTTCACTGGAATCGTGCTGTGATATATGTCGAGATTTGTATGACTTAAGGATATGGATGAAATGCTCTGGATAGAGATAGATGATTTATATGATATAGGAATAGAGTGTTAGACATGAGTGATTATACGCATATCTTCTTTGATTATTCTACCAATTAGCAATCATGAAACCCCAGACGCCGAATGGATGCAATCAATATACATGATACCTATGGATATATAACACTACAACCACCCTATCTCACATATAATCTTGCAGCTTCATAGAAATTACCTCGTATCATCCCCGGTAGTCGTATAATAAATCCAACTCTTCAAATCCTCAATTTTATCCGGCGCAAACTTGACCGCTAATAATCCCATAAGACTCAAAACAACCACAAATCCCAATAAGAACATACACAAGACAGAAATCAATCTATTCTTGCGAGCCCTATAGCTATCCACCAGTCCACCGGCAGTACGGACTGAGAAGCCGACGATCCGCTCGTAGCCGAGCATATAGTATATAAGACCTAGGAGGGCGAGTGTGTATCCGCCGACTTGGAGAGGAGTCATGGGTGTGTGCCAGAGGATGAGGGATGAGATGACAATTAGGATATCTTTGAGGATACCGCAGAGGCGCATAACGAGGGAGGATGTTTTGCTTATCTGTCAGAAGTTAGCGGGATGCCGCTTCAATGGGACAGGGAAAAGACGAACAAGGAACACAACAGAGATATTCAACGCAAACGCCACTACAGCGTTGGATATAAGCACCCAAATACCCACATGCCAAACATCCTCCATCTTGAACCTAGGCAATTCCACAGCCGCCGCAACAGCACCATTCATAAGCGCACAGACAGGCGCAAAATAGTACAACGAGACCAACGGATCCATCTTAAATTCATCCGAGGACAGCAACCGTTGCACCATTACCAGCCGAATAGCTTCAAACACGATTCCGCCGATTTGGAACAATACGCCGATAATGACGAAATCGACTTCGCCGAAGCAGGCAATCATGACTCCCAAGACGATTACGCAGACGTTCATGAGTTGTCGCAAGTTGTAGGGTTCGAGTTTGAAGACCCATGTGCAAAAGAGGATTACGACGGGTGTCGTGGACTGTTATCCAAATCAGTCTATCATCTAATGCATGAAGGAGATGGACGGTACCTTCAACATCTGTATAAATGGCACACTCAAATATAGATATGTCACGTTGCCGCAGATCAAACTCAGACTGAAGAACAATCCTATCGGCACGATGGCCCGAAGATATACGCGGCCGGTCATTTTGACTCGTTTCCGGCCGTCAAGAAGTGATGTGAAGCGCGCGAGGAGTTGGGTCATTATCGTGGCAAAAGTGAGGTGCCATGTTGTTAGAATAATTGCTGTTCAGACATTAGTTGGTGTTGCCGGAAGTTGAAAAGAAGACCTACGGTATGCTATGGTAAATGTTAGTATTTATCATATTGAATGAATAGAGAAGTAGAACCTTGGAAGACGAACCAAAATGTCCATATCCAAGCACCTGCTTATTAAAAAGAATCAATGTCGAACTCAATGCAATCCATGCTCTGTGATGTCGCGTCAGTTTCACCCAGCCCAGATCTTAACACAGAGACGGAACAAACATGATAAAAAACGCCGGATGTAAACCTTTTCTAGGTTGATTTTCATGTTGTACAGGTTTCTCAACAGTCGGTAACGTAGGATCCAAACGCGCTGATTCTGATTCAATGTCCTCGGCAGTCATGATGGCGGCTGATCCGGGATCGATGGATAAAGGAGTGAATATGGTATATCAGATTAAGAAAATAAAAAAAATAAAATAAAAAAAATTAGAACGAAAGATAACGTAAAGACCGTATGTTTTGTCAGGTTGTATATTGCACAATGTATGTCCGGTCTGAAGCTAGATACCCCAGAGTCAGTCAACTCTGGATAGGAGTAAAGAGTGAGTAGCTACAGCCCAACGACCGGATGAAGGAGTGGGATCATTCTATCAAGCTTCGCCAAGGGTACAAAGGGGGTGAGAAACGAATGTGCGTCCATATCCACTACATAAGCGCGTATGTACTCTGTATAGATACGATGGTGGAAAAAAAATAATTCAGTTTCTTGCCCAATTTGCGGCTCAGATCGAGGCTGAGGAAGCCGAACGCATTAACCCGGTATGGCATGACGAGGGGGAATTACCAACACTCTATTGGCCTATCGGAGTCTATAATCGATTCATCATGACCGGTTCTTTGGAACCTGACATGTCTATTGGTCATCAAAACACGAGGGGGCTGTTGGATAAAGTACTATGGTAAGAAAAATAGAAAGCCCGCCGCATCCGGGATAATCGGAAGCGAAGCCAATTGCAGCCTTGCCAAGAGGCTCCGATGCTAAACGAGTGAGACAAACTATGCCAAGCGTTTAGACATTTAAATAGATGAATTTTACGAGCAGTGGTTGGACTTGGAATTTTGCGGTGGGCGTCTTTCGCTCGCCCTATGACTAAGTGATGACTCTTGGTAACTAGATAACCATGTATTTAACAGTTACGATTACAGTGATGTATCGAAAAACTTAGTATGTGACCATTCTTAGGAGTATTGAACAGGGTTTTGGCGATTGAAAGAGAGGATTCCATTCCCTCGCTTGTTTGCCCCGACTGAGCCCTCTAGAACGGTATCACTCGCCTCGGTTCAAGATTTAGGCTCTGCCGCTCATCCTGTATTTGGAAAATGCTATCTTCAGAATGCATTTCTGTCTAGCGGTGCAAGCCGACAACCGTTTGTCAAAGGATACCAAGAGCCCAAGACATATGTACCCCAACTCTCCACTGAAATCTCCACAGAGTCAAGCCAGGATTCCCGGCAGCGTGCTACAAGGATCACAATAACGGCCGCTAGATACACTATTGTTCATTGAAGAGCTGATACTGCGTACTTGGACAGGGGATTTAATATACAAGAGGTATTCAGAGCCAGGTTGAAATTATGCGATGATGTCCGCATGTTTAGGTAGGCTGAGGCCTGAGACATGCTTGCAGTCTGACCCATTCGCATAATTTTTGGTGTTGCGGAGCGAGTGCCTAGCCCTAATTCCCGGATGCTGACATACAGTTAAACAGCAAGCGACGTCGCTTCTTCTGAAAATCGTTTGCAGACCAACAATAGATGGAGGAATTCCGGAGACTATTGAAGCTTGAAAAACATTAATTTTCTGAAGGACCAAGTACGCAGCAATCGATACCACAGTCCCAGTATCTGAAATACAGCGATAGGATTGCCAAGAAATCCATACGTAGAGTACTGGAAAAGTGAGACAGTCTTAGCGACTGTTAGGAAAAGCCTTATCTCTCATGCGACCTACAGCAGCCCGTTCTAGCTATTGGTTGTTTCAACAGACTTAGACTGTCATTGGGTATTATTTCAGGGCTAATTTTTAGAAATATTAATGGTGGGAGTTATGGAACAGGTGATTGGTCTAGATTTCGAAGTGGCGGACTCTAATAAAGTAAGTAAAATAAGTCAGTTGATTCAGGGTCATGTAGCGATTGCATGTCGTTTACGCTGGTGATCTTGTCAAGCGAGACATAATGCTTCTTCAATTACGGAGTATGGTGGCATTTAATGCCTTATTATTGTGGCCACAAGGAATCAATACAGGATAACAGCCTGATACGCAGAGTGGGTCCATCTGCTGATCGACTAGCGCCGTTTCCGTCCGAACCGAGCATCTGATTGGCTGTGCTGCCTAGAAAAAGGCGACGGTTGCATTAAACTTTGTAAGATACTCCGTATTTTTACTCCAGCTGTTTTTGGCCTCATCTTCCTCTTCCTCTTCCTCTCTGTCTCGTCTCTTTCCGGCCCCTCGGGTGTCATCCTTCGATCTCTCGCTGGTGTACATTTATTTTTAATCCTTGTTTCTGTTCTCATGACATAACATCTTCTCTAATTCATCAACCACACTCGTTTCCGGTCTCTCGTTTCGTTCGCTATTTTCGTCGACCCCATTTCTTGTCTCATTCCACTCCCGGTGTGAGCCGTATTACTCATTCCGATTCACTAATGAATGCCATGTCGCGCAAAGCGGAGTCTTTTGATTTCATGGTATGCTTCAACTTCTTCTTCTCGCCCACTTATTCATGGACTTCTCAGCGCGATAGTTCGAGAGAATGAAGGCGACATTCTAACAGCATGATCCAGTTCCCACCATCCGAACGAAGGCGCAGACTGCCAACAAACTGTCGATGGCCGCTATCCATTGCCCTCGTGGCCATCACATTAATCGTCATTTTCTTCGCTTATCATAATCCTTCTCTGAGCGATTCAAACATTCTATCGTATGTACTTTCATCTATCCCTTGCGTCGGAAAAAAACACGTGCTGATCGGATAACAAGGGGCTACTCACTCGAAGAAATAAAACCAAGCTCAGACTCCCGCTACTCCGACCTTAGTCGCTTGATCCCACAATTGTACAAACCGTTCTTGCATCCTATTGACGCAGAAACATTCATCGGCGAAAATGAAGTCGAATACAAAATCGCTCAGAACCCGCCTCGATTCACAAAGTCGCTTGGAAAGAAAGTCTTGTTGCTCGATGTTGATACCCGCGCGTTGAACGGCGAGGGTGGCATGATGAATGATCATATCAGCTATCATGACCTTTCTCCTCATACCGCGGGCATGTTGAGCCATTACTTGTATGGTGGGTTGATCCCATCCCGATTGTCCTACGAGCCCATCTACTAACTCATGTAGCAATGATCCACGGTTACGAGTACAAATTTATCCAAGCCCCATCCTACACCGACCGACACCAGACCTGGGTCAAAGTCCCCATGATCCGTGAAGCGCTCAAAACGTACGATTACGTCGTGTTCATGGACGCCGACGCCGTCTTCCACTACCACCATTTACCCTTGGAATGGCTCTTCAACCACTGGAACATTACCAGCGACACCATGCTCGCCATGGCCCTAGACCCAGACGCAGACTTCAACAAGGACGAGCGAGGAAACGTCAACCTCAACACAGGCTTCATCATCGCTCAAGCCAGCGAGCGCACTACAGAAATGTTCAATATCTGGGAAGACTGCGTCACCGACAATAAATACGCCAACTGCTCCAAATGGCGATACGAATGGAGCCACGAACAAGCCGCTTTCAGCAATTACTTGCGCTATGAATACACCGGCCCCAATGAAGTCATCTCGCTCCCCTGCGCAGAAGCAAACGGTTACCCCAAAAAGGCGGATCTAGGTTGCACAGGCGAATTCGTCCGTCATTACTGGCTGGACAAAGGTGCTACAGTGGGTGCATTGCAAGATGCCGTTACTCAATATGCGGCTTTGAGGTTACATGATCAGTTCCATAGACATATGAAGTCTACCCTTGTCAACGCGACGGGTACTACCTTGCCGTTGAAAGAAGGGGAAGGAGTTGTTGTGTAACCGTTTTTGCTGATATAAGTACATATAAGTTTTTATTTCTTGTGTCATGTACTGCACGTGACGGTTCTATATTTCAGCGTTGGTGGTTGTGTTTGATACAGGAGTTGATGTGTAGAGGCTCTTTCGTTAATTTTACTTTTAATGTACATATTGATACCACCGTAATTAGAGACCACGATATAGTATATTACTCTTTTAATGAGAAGATATTCACCCTCGACTGTCTGGATATGTACATCTAACCAACATACAGAGTAGAAGTAGCATTCAAATCCTCTTCCACGAAGACCGTTCTCCCATACCCTTCAGTCTCAGTCACTGTTCCTAGGAGCATTTGTCCCTGGCTGTCGGTTACCGGGCTGCGATTCTTTGCATCACCTAGAACAGTAACCTTGACAATCTTGACGTCGGTATGATATCCAAATCGTCCATGGACATGCACCTTCCCAGTCGCGGCATCATAATCAAGTAGTATATCACTCGTTGCAATCCCATCTTCTCTTTTCGCTGGTACCACACTCTCCCCATCATCCAAATACAATCGTCCGCTCGCAAACCCCTTCTCATCCGGAGCAATGGTCAGCTCAAAATCGAGATTGCGTAGTTGCGTAGTCGTGTTCGCGCCGTCGATCCGCATGGGTATAATCGTGCCAGCACGGATGTGTACTGGAATTTCGTCGTATCCGACGTTCTGGCGGGTTATCCATTCGCCTTTCGCTGTGTTCCCATTTTGTTTCTCGTGTGAGGATTGGATGGTCAGTTTCTCACCCGTCCAGAAATCATACCATATGCCGGCCGGAAGATAGAACGTAACAGTTGTCGATTCGTCGTCTGTCACGGGAGAAACAAGTAATGCCAAGCCATAGAAGAATTGTAATTCGATATCCAACGTGACGGGGTCATGAGGATACAGATAAAATAGAGGCAAAATAGTACTTGGCGTCCCGTCGACGGTCTGGTAATGGAATTCGGTATAGAAATAATCCAATAATTGATAGCGAGTCTTGATTGCCGCTCTTGCTGCGTCGGCGACCTTGGGCCATCTATAAAATTCCTGGAATGGGGCTGTGATATCAGCATGATTTCTGTAAAATGGGTACCACGCTCCAAGGACTGCCCATCGAGTGCAGAGGGTCTCCCAAGTCTCAAAGTTGAAGCCACAGACGTCAGCGCCGATAGTGGGCATTTGGAAGATTGCAGCGAACTCCATGTTTTGTCTGATAGAAATTCGATAGTGGTCCCAGGAAGATATGTTGTCGCCTTTTTTGAATTAGCATGGTCAAGTATATTATGCTGGGGTTCCTACCAGTCCAATGACCTGATCGCTTTCCATCTCCTGCGAATGAAGATCGTGATATGATTAATGGACGCCTATTAGGTCGTCGCTCCAACATGGCGTTTCGTGTCGCTTGCATCATACTCGAAGCAAACAGGTTCTTAGTGTCGTAGAATGCATATCCGCCATATTGATACCGATCAGTGAATATCGTGCCGCCGTAAATAATCCCATCGACCGTGCCGAGTGGGTAGGGAGGATTCAGCAGATCTCGCCCAGGCAATCCAATACGTTCTCCACTGGCTTGTCGTTTGCTTATGCTTTTCGTCTTTGGTGGTTGGAAATCCTTTGGAAATCCAGGCAGATCACGCCACGAGTCACGTAATGGTGGTGGTGCAGGGGGTACACCTGCAGCTTTGGCCCAGGCTATTGCGTCTTCGCATGGATATGGGCAGAAGTTTGCCGGCTACAGAATTAGCCATGTATGATAATACGGTTGACGGATACAAACCTCATTCATATCAATCCAAATTGCATCTACGTCGACGCCTGTTTTTTCATCAAAGAACGATGAAATCAGACTACTCCAATATTCTTGTGCATTCGGATGGAACCAATCCACAAATGCAGTAGCGCCAGACCACATGCCTGCCAGAAACACGGAGCCGTCATTGTTTCTGAAATAAGCCTCGCTTTTCAGGAGTTTATTATAGGTAGCCGGGTCATCCACTGAAATTGGCGGGTCGACCATAACAACGTAGTGTTGGTCGTGATCATGAAGGTAATCCACGAGCTCACGAACTTTGTGTATAGGGAAGCGCTCGGGATCCAATGTCCAAGTACGTCGTAGATTCACTACTTTGTCAGTCTGAACATAGAACAGGTGCGAGTAACTAACTGTAATCAATGTCGGACCAGACCGTCTCAAGAGGAATATTTGCCTCGGAATAGTTGTACACCATTTCAGCCACCATCATCACGTCTTGATATCCGTATTTACACTGATGGAATCCATATGTCCAGTATGCTTGTTCGGCGGGCTGCAATTATTAGTATGTAATATATCAAAGAGATTCTTGACTTACAGCTCCCACGACTTCTGCATATTGCCGTCCAACATCAAACGGACTAGGTCCAGCGAAAAAGTAGTAATCGAGCACTCCTCCGATAATATTATATTCCAGGTACTGCTGACCCTTGTTTGTTTTGCTGATGAAAATATCCATCCCATTGCTACTGGCAATGTAGACGCCGTGGGCTTTGCCATCCCTCATCTCGAGATAAATCGGGTGACTGCTGTATAAATTTGCATTCTTGGGTAGGAAAGCGTCTCCCACATTGTAGATTGTCCTCTTGTAGTTATTTGTCTGCCGACGGAATGAATCTACATCTTCACCTAATCCATAGATATACGGATCTGTTGGCATCCAGGTCCGTAGGTGGACAAATTGTGGCTCAAAGATCAACGGGCTAGCAGATGTATTGAATAATGTTTCGTTAGTGTCACTGCGTTGGACAGCAAATGAAAAGGGCGATTCAACGTATGAAAACTTCAACAATGGATCTGCGGTGTCGTTACTTCCTTGGGGGAAGGACAGCACTTCAGGCGGGATTTGATACACGTCTTCTGCTGCGTCGTAGACTTTGACGTGAAGACGGCCGTCTACTCTCGTTAGTACGATTCTAGAATATTTAGGTAAAGAAGCTACTCACCACTTTGGTATTCAACCAACAACTTCAAATCCTTAATGTCACGACCGTACAAATTACATGGCTCTCCAGCCAATTGCAGGCTTGCTGTCAACGAAGATGTCGTCCGTGCAACATGCTTGAGCTCATAGCCAGGACAGCGTGAAATGTCGGCTAGCGCTACAGACGATGAAGACGTCGATGTTGCTGTCGACGAGATAACACCTGCCACGCCGACTAATGTTTCAAAGATGTTTGGTCAATGATGTCTCGTGTATACACCGCCCATTTGTCTAGAGTGTCGACTAGACGGGCGATATACGTCGAGGCGAGAGGCATGATGCCGGTTCTATAAGGGAGTGATGCGATCAACCGAATCCATGTACAATAATTCTTCTTATAAGCAATGAACAAGATGTTTAAGGAAGAAGAAAGAGACGTCTCGTGACTGCCTCAGGTACTTAATATATGCGGGGAACACTAAGCCCAAAAAGGTAAGATGGTCAGGAGAATACTCGCTTACGATTGGCCGCATCACAGTTGGCTTTGGAGGAATGATGTCACAGGAGCTGTACCCTAACCCTAACTGGGCCAATTTCGGAGCTGTAAACTCTTAACCCTAGGTCTATTCATCTATACAACTTCAAGCTAGAAATTGTATAGCTTCTCCTGTAAAGAGTGGCAGTGGCATCTTCCAAGGTCGATGTCACTAGGAGTGGCCACACAAGCAATCGAGGCACGTCTATATATACTATATATTCATGCACTGGTGTGGATGTTGGATTGGGGAAATGACCTCGGAACTGGAGATTCAGGGAAAACACATAAATTGACAGAGTACCTAGAAAGGTACTGTGCAAGGAAATGCTGGTTATAGGAGAGAGATGATAGGTTTCTTTCATGTTTCGTTCTACTGTGGAACATCCAGGTTAGGGACTGTAAGACGACTAAGATGGAATTTTCCACTGCTAACAATTATTTTCACATCCATCTACTAGTGCGATCCAATGATATTCAGGTCAAAGAGGACAGTCACGCAAAAAGTTATCAAATATCGAAAAGCCGCCAAAGCGATTAAGCAGGAAGGCGCCTTTTCGTCTTTCTGCTTCAAGACAGATCAAGAAGGCGCATACCGGGCAGTACCTTCACCTTATAAAGATGCTGACAATGGTAACTGATCTTTATCTTCCTCACACATCTTCATTGCAATCTTGCGTATATCAATTGTGTATGCTTTTATCATCCTCGACTGAAACGCAAATCGGCCAACATGCGAGGAAGAAGTAGGTTGCCTTTCCTGCTATCAGTTCAAGAGAAGAACTGACAGTTCAAGGATTGTACCGAGGAGCTGGGAGAGGACGAGCAAACGGCGGCCGAATACCTCGCGCCCTTCGCTTCACAGGATCTTCCAGCAGAGAAACCGTCAGAAGAAACACTGCTACCAGACAAGCCTGCACCTCGAACCCCAGTACAAATGAACCAGCAAATCAGGTAGTATCCCAGCCGGCGGAAGTTGACAACTTCGTTCAAACTCTCGACCACGACGCCGTGGAAATAGACTCTCATAGATGGAGCAACATACCTGACCTGGTAGACCTGTCCAAACTTCAAGCCGATAGAGTCCCCGAAGCTCTATTCGGACCCGAGTCAATGATAACGCCTCCATACGTCGATGATCTGGGAGACGTATGCCCGACAAACTGCACAATCTTTCTTTGCGTTTTCGAGTGCGGATATTATGCTTTCTTCACGGCGCAATGTTTGAATCACTTCATGGAGAAGGAAAGGCATGGCAAACCGACGCCGGGGATTTGTACTCCGACTATTGCTGCGGAGCGATACTGTGTGGCTTATCCCTGTAATCGCGACATTTGTCCTGCCTGCAATGAGGTGAAGGAAGCGCCAGCTTCAGGTGCGAATCAATGCAGTCCGGTAATGCTGAATTGAGGTGTTAGGCGAGGAGAACGTATGTATATGGACGGACAGAAGAGAACAAGGATAGGCCGCATGAATTTTGACTGTACTTTTAGCGTGTTTGGCTCTGTGTTGTTACCCTGTTATTGGTTCCGAAGCACTGTGTCCTACTCTATCACTCCGTCGCCGTTCACTTTTGCTTTACAAGGAACGAGACATGACGTATATTTATTACTCCATAGCTGCTGGTCAGTAGTTGTTTGTTTCCACCTGGACCATATCGACGGATAGGATATGGAGGTACTAGAGATTCGGAATCCATATATTTCCATAGATGCAGTTATAACAAGGTCTAGCCATTTACCACGAGGAAGAATTTTTTCAACACATCACCCTGAAAGTACGAATAGGCCTATTCAAGACTCCGGCGAGGGAGTCGAAGTGGCAATCTTGACGTCCGCCTCGTTCGTTTTCTCAGTATATTGTTTCTTCTTTTTCACCTGGGAATACCACGTTTGAAGACATAGTGCAACAATTTGTAACCAAGCAGCGCCTGCCAGGGCACAGATAGCCGTCAAAGCATGACGGTATAGAGGTGCATCTGAAGTTCGGAAGATCTGCGAACCAGAGATACCCGAGCAATTTGCGGCCATGACGATCAGCCTATAGAAAAAGTCTTAGTGGTTATAATCAGTCAGTTAGGAGGTAAGAAGACTCACGCCATGGCAACACTGCGCTCCTGGGGCGTCTTGCAATATACAGAAAGCCAGCCGACGTTCAAGACACTACATAATAAATTAGATCCCTGCTGTTACTAATGTTTTGCTATTCTCTTACTGTACGCCAGCATAGAACAGATCTGCAGCTACAATGACTCCGTATCTGTGCCATCTGGAGGAACGACGAGACGTTTGTCGGAAACAGACGTAGGTAATTAGATTCCAGGTTGCGCCGAATAGAACTGCTGGTCCACGATGACCGAATTTGTCACTTTGAATGTGTTAGGGTACTGGCCTTGGTAGATGTATTCTTGTTGCTTACCATAAATATGAAAGAAGAATCAGCAAAACCATGAAGCAGTATATCGGCACTGAGGCTAGGGCATTAGCTCGCACAGCGCTGAACCCGAGCGATTTGATCATTGAAGGCGTGTATTGCGTTAGCCCTTGTACGGCAGACATCGATACCAGTGTGATGAACAGGTGCTGAATGATCCGTGGGTTTCGAGCGGTTCTAAGGATATCTTTTCCAGTGATCCGGATGTGGCCGCGAGCCTTGATAGGGTCATCGATTATCACACGGTCCTTGATAATGCGTGATTCTCGTTCGTTAAAGTAGCTCCATCGCCCGAAAGATACAAGCGGACGTCCATCGCCGACTCGAGGAGGCAGGAAAAGGACGAAGACGATTCCGGCGAAAATGGTGATCAATCCTTCGACTGTACCCTTTATTAACTCGGTTACATTCAGGGCTGCACGTTCTAGAGCACTTACCCAGGAAAATCCATTGCCAACCCGCCAATCCACCCTTTCCGGCAATCTTAAGGAGTCCAGCAGAGATGAGACTTGTCGTTGCGCCCGCGAATATCTGGCCAAAGAAGAACAGACTAATCCGAAGACTGGTCTCGCTTTTTCGGTACCACGTTGATATATAATAGAGTGCTCCTGGAAGATGTTGGCCGGCTATCTATACAAATATTGCAGAACTAATGGTGTACCTGGAATGAACCCTCCCTCAAGCAAGCCCAAAAGAAGTCTTGTAACCAGATATGCAGGATATGACTTGATAAATGCCTGGAATGTAGCGACAAGTCCCCAGGCGAACAACTGAGCAGATAACCATCTCTGAGGACCAACACGTTGCAAGATGATGTTCGAAGGTATTTCAGTTAGAACGATGCCGGCGGACAGTAACTGAGTTCCGACGTTGATCTGATTGGTGGTGATGCCCAGGTCGGTTGTAATGGTGGATGTCAGCGCGGCACTGATATTCCCACGGTCGACCTGCAGAGAGAAGAAGGCCAGGCCCAGAATAGGTAATAAGATAAAATCGACTCTGACAAGACTGCATGTTAGCAACTCACTCAACCTTTCAGAAAATATACCGCTGATCGATAGCTTACTTGCGCCTGACGCTGGCTTCTTCCCGATGATCCCAGTCCACGACAATATCGGAGTCTAATCCGGTAGCATCACCATCAGAGACAGGCTCTGTCTGAGACAAGACGTCCGCCGGAGGTTTTTGAAGCGTTGGCGAGCTCATTGCGAAGCTGCTGTCGATAACCAGAAGGTCTTCTACTCGTATTCGTGCATATTCCCAGCGTGAAATGGATTCTTCGCTTCATATTTATACAGAGATAACCCCGCTGTTGAAAATTTAACCCGCTTCCAAGGCTGAGAGTTAGCTTATCGACCTAAGCATGACTTTGTTTGCGACAGGGGCCCGCCAAATGGCGTGATAATTATATGGATGGCATACTCCGGGCATCGGAAAGCAAACCCTAAGCTAACAGCACACCGTATACCTAGTTAAGACTGTGTGGAGAAGCTTTTCAGACTAATATTTTATCTGTATGTCTAGTTCTTTAGCTGGCGTGTCTTGCTATGTGCATCTTTACGATTAGGAATACGGCGTTTAAAGATGGGAATTGGATTATGAGGCTGACAACAAAACTATACATAGGTGCTCGATGTCTATACTCGTTTCCTCAAATCTTGAACCGTGCTACGCGATTCTTAAGTCCAGACCTCCCAGCTCAGTCCATGCCGGTACACAAGTGGTTCCTGAGGTCCCTCTGCATCGAGAATCTGACCCAGCTCGCACCGGCTAAAAGAAACACTAGGTTGATGCTGATAAAACGCATCGTACATCTCGTGCAAAGCATCTTTAAAAGATGATACTGCTCCGTCACTGTGGAGTGTATTCCATGGGTTAATACATGTATCGCCTTTGCATGATTTTAAGACTAAGAGCAGAGAGTCGAGCCGATCGATGATCTTCCGCAGGTTGAAGCCTTGTATCTGTCGGTTAGATGAGTCGACATTGTAGTATAAGTTATTGAGTTGGTAGCGATCGGTCTGTAATAGGTGAGTAACGGGTAAAGAGGCTTCAGATAATAAGGGCTTCTCGGATTTACTCACTGTAAGGTCATAAAGTTCATGTTCATTATTACACCATACTGAGTAGTACAGGTCGAATCCGTCTCCAATCAATCGAACCGACTTGTAGGTGTTATTAGGCACTACTGGTGAGTTGTCTGAATAAAGTCAGTGAGACGCGGATTCAAGCCTGAAGAATATGCATACCTATCGCGCCTTTCAACCCCTCTAGATATCCACGGCCCCAGTACTCTACAGCAACGTGCTCGTGTCGAGTCTCGTTGGAGTTAGGGTGAAGGGGCATCGGTGTCCCGTCCAAGTCATCCCGTAATGGGATGCCGGCCAATTTTAAAAGAGTCGGTGCAATATCAATATGAGTGGTTACCGCGTCCTGATCAGCACCTTTTGCAATTCCGGGTCCTCGAATGAGAAAAGGGACACGGATATCTTCCTCAAACCCACAGGCCTTGCCTGGTGGTAGTCGGTGCTGTCCGATATGGTAGCCATTATCCGATGTGTAGATGATGTAGGTGTTGTCCAATTGATCACTGTCCTCGAGTCGATTGACTACGGCGCCCACCAGTTCATCGACGCCCTGTAGTGCCCGCAACCGTTGGCGGTAGAAGTGGTCGTTGTATTCGATCGTCTGGTCGTCCTGCTTGGGAAGATTACGAACCCAGCTCACGCCGTTAGGCTAGGAGATTCAAGTTAGCAGACGAGATTGTCGGGCTAGCAATTTACATACTTCATCTGGATTGAAATGCGCCGTCCGTGGTACTTTGGCATCTTGAAAAAGATTCTCATGCCGACTCAATGGAATTGGTTCCGTCATGACTGTCGGGGCACCGTGATCGTCCAGAGCTCCCACATCGATATTCGAATGCGGCGCAATGGGCGCAATAACAAGGAAGAACGGCTGGTCTTCAGCCAGCCCATCCTCTAAAAAGCCCAAAGCTTTATCGGTGATGACCTCGGTGGTGTGGTGGCCCTTGTAACTCACTGGCGGTTCACGATTTCTCTGGAAGGTCGCATTGAGATAAGAATATGTGAATGGATCCAGGAGAAAGTCCGATCCTGTAAATCCATTCACATAAGGACTGTCGTAATTATCCACGGTATGAAAGTTGAACAACTTTCCCGTGTAGAAAGTATTGTACCCCGAGGTTTGCAACCATACAGGAAGAAAATCATCGTTGAAGCCACGTTCCACAAACTTGGGATAGCCGCCTGAAGTTCAGACTATGAGTTATCTCATCTCATCACCAGAGAGCTCATCGATTGACTTACCGTATGGCGGACTTACATCTGTCACATTGGTATTGTGAGCTTGCCGTCCTGTCCACAGACTGACTCGCGATGGGCAGCACAACGCCGTGGTCACGAAATGGTTTCTGAAAAATGTGCCTTTGGCCTTCAAGTGGCGGCTAACCAGTGGCATATAGTGTAGGGAGTCCAGCTCAAGATCTTGGTCGTCGGTGATGATAAAGACGAAGTTCGGCGCTCTTGCCGGTGCTACTTGTTGCTGCTCGGACCATATTTCACCCAGTACCTGCTGCCATGCGCTGTTTGCCAATACCGGGACGACGCATGACAGCGCGCTCAATACTGCTCGATATCTCATGGTGCGATGAGGAGGAGGATGTCTGTGTCTCGCCAGGAGAGCAAGAACATGGTGTATGATATGGAAACATGACGGAGATAGATGTGCAATCTCTACCCGATCTCGGATTATCTATCTTTTGCTGCTCTTTAACGCTAATTATCATGTTAATCTATTCTGCCCACGAAACCCACTTTGTTCATCACGCCAGTGAAAGATTAAATGATGCCATCCGCGGGTGCAAATCCGTCTTATTGGCCAAGAGTCTACTACGAGAGAATTATTTTCTTCTGTCCCAAAACGACTCTTGGCTATTCTATCAACAACGTCTCGGTGTTTGGTGAGTCTGTATAAAGTAACTGACCATCACAGCTAGCATGGCTTACGGGACGACCGATTCACCTGGTGAGGAGCAAAGTCAGGGTAACAATATCCAAACTGCTCCTAATGATCAAACTGCTCAAGCGCGTGGCTCAGAAAGTCCCAGTCCAAACCATGACGAGGAGAATCCGCTGCTCGACTCGGACCAGACGAGTCAAAAAGTAGCCAGCATCTCCAGTATCATCGCAGTGCTGTTGCTCGGTGCGATTGCATATGATCCTTTTGTATGAACTTTACTAAATATTATATAGGCGAATTTATCTCCAATGCAGATGCCACAATCATCATGGCGGCTGCAGGCCCCATCGCATCCCAATTCAACCGGCTACACGATGCCAATTGGCTATCCACGGCATATACATTAGGATCATGTGCCTCACAGCCTATAGTATGATTGATGTATCTTTCTGCTTTCTGCAGTACGTCCAACTGACATATCATAAAGTATGGTAAACTCAGCGACATCTACGGCCGAAAGCCACTGTTACTGGTATCTTACTTTTTGCTCGCGTTGGGCTGCGTTATCTGGTGAGCGCTACTCCTTTTGAATGCCATTCAGTCCGGTCTGACCCAACCTAGCGGCATTGGTCAGGTAATGCCTATAGTGATCCTCGGCCGTATCATCAGTGGCATGGGCGGAGCTGGCATAATGGCCATGAGTGCAATCATCATCACAGGTGCTATCTGCCACCAGTACTTCCTTGACACATGATCTGACTTATATAGACATCGTACCCAAAAGAGACGTTGCTTCCTGGAGAGCTTACGTGAACATCGCCATGACTCTTGGCCGGAGTGTCGGTGGCCCTATTGGCGGATGGCTCACAGACACTATCGGATGGCGCTGGTAGGATTTCCACTGCTCGTCTTCCGTCGCTGACTGACAATTTTTCAGGCTCTTTCTTCTTCAAGCCCCGTTCCTAGGACTTGCATCTCTTCTTGTAGTGATATTCCTACAGGGACTTCATACTCATAAGACTTCTGCGCAACCAGACAAGAATATCTCACCCATTCGTCGAGTGGATTTCCTCGGAACGGGGGTGCTAGCTGTTTCCATCGTCGCAATCATATTACTCTTCGACCGCGGAGGGCAGGCCTTCCTCTGGCTCTCGGGATATGCGTTAGGTCTTGCATTAACTGGAATATTAGCGCTGACACTTTTTGTCTATGTGGAGAACCACGTTGCCCCTGAACCTATATTTGATTTACGCATATTCCGAGACCCTAACATTATACCTAGTTATTTAATCGGTGGCTTGCAGACATCAGCCCAAGTTGGTATGATGTTTACTGTGCCACTGTATTTCCAGGTCATGACGGGCACTACCTCGACAGTTGCAGGTGCACATTTGGTCCCAGCAGTTGTAGGAAATACAATAGGCGGATTATTGGCTGGAGCTTTCATTCGGCGTACTGGCCGATACAAACCTGTTCTCATTGCAGCTGGTATTGCCGCCTCTGTATCGTATGTACTACAATTCTACCTCTGGAACGGGCATACTGGATTCTGGGGTTCGCTATATATCGTCCCTGGCGGTATGGGCACTGCCTTTGCAGCAGCCGCGGCATTTGTGTCCATGACATCGTTTCTTGAACCAGTTGATATTGCAATGGCCACGGGGGGATATATCCTGTTCTCGACCTTTTCGGTGACTGCTGGTGTAACTGCGACCAACACTGTTCTGGGCATCACTTTTAAGAGAGATATGGAGCAAGGGCTTAAAGGACTTCCTGACAAAGAAGAGGTAGGATGTCGAAAAGTAATCCGGAATTATTTTTGTTAACAATTAATAGATCATTCGTCGAGCAATGTCCGATACGTCCTACATTGCCGGCTTAACGGGAAGGGTCCGGGATATCGTTCTTCAGAGCTATCTTTCTGGTTTACGCGGCACATATAGTAAGTTCATCATCATGTTGCGAGTCAAAACAGTCACTAATATTACTGTCAGTCATTTCATTTGCCAGTTCCATCGCGGGATCTCTAATTGCATGGACTGTCCGAGATTGCCATCTTGACTAATCTTCCCCCAAAGTCTACAGCTCCCAGCCCTAACCACCAGCCGGAACTTATCTCCACTATGTTACAAACATGGACATGAATATCTAAGAATGAGTCTGTATGCAACGATATATACAAAAGAATATGTTCAAGAATTGAAGACATCCATTACATAGTAAGACCCATATTAGCAACGAGAACAGCCAACATGCCACCCTGAACAGGCCGGTTGGCAAATTGATAAACATACCTATCACGGAAAGTCATTCAATATCCAACTAATGAGTCGACCCAATGACCGTAGGTGATTAGGGAACGATAAACTTACTCTCCGCTTTGAGTCTCATACAAGTCACCAAAAGGCAGCCACTCGGACGTAGCAGCAACCCACGTCGCGACAGCATCAATCATATCCTGACGAGTGCTGTTGCCTGCAGTAGCAGCCGCCCAAATCTGCCAGTCGGTCTTGGACCATTTGTGGCGTGTATCCACAGGAATACCGAATGTTTCGAGAACGGAAGGGTAGAATTCGCTTTGTCGGTCGTAGATGGATTGCGGGATGATGCCGAGATTGAGAGTTTTGTCTGCGTAGGCGTTATAAAGAAGGCCTGTTTAAGTAGTCAGCTCTTTTTGTTTATATTTGTGTTTGAGTAGGTTTGACCCACTCCATGTGCTTGAGTTTTCATAGTCCAAGGTAGTATGAGGGAGTTCAGCGGTGGTATCGTTGGCCAGTTCGACCCACTGAGTGACATAGCCCGAAGCAATGTCGCTGTAGTTCGATACATCGGCGGTGTTACCGGTCACATTTGCGATAATAGACATGGCCTGGATGCCAACAATACCCTGAACTTCGAGATTCGTCTGATTGGCTAAAGGGCCCTCGAAATCATCCGTGGAAGCCTGGTTGGCAGGTATCAACGAGTCGGAGACAAGCTATTGAGCCCATTGAGATAACATCGAGTAATGTGATTTGGGGTAGCTGGCATCTTTGGTTACAGCATAGTACATCAAGGCCATGATGATCATGTTACCGGATTCTTCAACGGGCATGGCTTCGTTGTTCCCTTTCCTGTATCCCGTGGCATTAGGGTAGTGAGAACCAATGTCATGCATGGCGTAGGTGTTAGGATAAAGTCCAGCTTCCTGGTTTTGAAACAAAGGCTCCATCAACAATTTCAAAATCGTGGCATTGGTGTAGATGAATGCCGGATGAGCAGGGTAGGGAATATCAACTGTGTTCATGTTACCGTCCGAGGAAATTTCCTTTATCCAGACAAGTGGTTCATCCTCGGTACCGGTCCACTGTAGGCCGCCGAAAGCCTGGCGTAGACCGAGAGTCGTCAAGACAGCGTAGTTTTCGCCGTTGGCATTAACAGAGTCGTCTTGAAGTTTGGCGTCTAGGGTAGTCGACATTTCATATGCGGTAGGGAAGTCGTTGTGAAAGAAACTCACCTGTGACAACAAGTCAATATGCGACGACTGAAAACTTCATCCAGCCGGTATAACATACAGCATCAATTTGGCTGTCAAAAAAGTTTCGGTAGTACGCAGTCTGCTCAACAACACCAGATGATGTAGTGTACTGGATAGGGTTATCGTGGCACAGGCTGATGGAGAACAGACGGGAGACAGGAGTAGTACCGACAGAGCCGACATCGTGAGAGTGGGCAAAAACAGGCCACTGGCTATTGATAGGGCGGTAGTTAGCATCTTTAGTATTCACCAAAGCTCCGTGGTTAACGAATTGTCCCCAGACGGGGGTATCTTCGCCGCTCCGATATGTATAACCATTTGTCGTACTAGTGGCCCAATGCCAGTTACCAAATTCAGTCTGGTCAGAAATCTCACTCCAAGCCTCTTGATTCTGACGGAAGATTTGGTGGTATGCGACGTTGTTATCGGTTGTGTTGTAATCCCATTGAGCATACTGACTAGAGTCACCGGAGACCCATTCTGCAGACACCATGTATACTTAGTAGAAGGAAAGCCTTCGCAATAGATATCGAACTTACCAGCACTTATATCAACATAGATTTGAACGTCATGAAGCTTACCATCAATGGACTCGACGGAAACATTCAAGTAAGAAAAGACCAGAGATTGACGTTTCCAGTCATCTGGAGTGATAGGAGAAAGGAAAGTAATTGTCAATTTGACTTTATCACCCACAGTTTGGGTGTAAATGCTCTGGGTAGCTGTGTATTCATAGCTTGTCTGAATAACTAAAATTTGCCAGGCATATCCCCCATCCAGTTGTACGTAGCATCGTCAACCTTGATCAGACCTTGCCACCCGAGCGTTCTACCATTCCAGAAGCTAGGCCACTGACCTGCGAGATAGCCTCCATTACCACCACTACTTCCGACAGACTGCCAGGTACTGAGATACGGTGAGCGGACAGCCAGTGGTTGCGAAGGAGGTTTGACCGGTGTGAATGTTGACTTGGCCGTGACGAATGTCAGCGAAGCCAGCATCGCCAACACGCTGATGATCTTCATTTTTACGGAATTTGGTGGGTTCCGCTTTTAGTATTTTTACATATGTAAAAAAAAATGACAAAAAGGAACCCATAAAGATCTGATCGTGTTTGTCGATCCTGAGTATTGTAATTATAAGACTACTATTTGGCATACGATCATTGAAACTTATCATTCTTGCCTTCTTTCGGGTATGGTTCTTTTTCTTCACGTACGACTTCGGTAGTCTGTCAGCAATAATACACGCCGGTCAGCAGAAATCCGGCAATGGAGACGAATTACTCATGTCAGTCACAACGCTAAAAGCGCCATCCAACAGACCAGGCGTCGGACTACTGCACTTGTTAAAGAGGTAAATGTCACTGCATTATTTCAAAAATAAAGATATTTATAGTAGGAAAGTCTTTGCTTTAAGGGAGAGAACAGATGGACTACATGTACCTCGCCTCTCGTCAGCTGCATAATTAGCCCTAATCGCGCTATATTAATGTAGACATATTTACATGTCTTGAGTTCTCACAGTTACGTATAGAGACAACTGAAATATTGTATAAAGAACGGTGCTATAAACACAACAGCTACGAAATACGTCCTGCAATGACAGAATTCCAACATGAATAATGTGAAATATTATGGCAGAGAGTGGTAAATAACCTCTAACTGCGTCGACTTATGACATTTGTAGGCATGCCAGTTCTTAGCAATCCGGGAGCAATAGTGGAGATTGAACCGCGAACATAGTTCGAATTCCAACATGTTTTTGACGATATAACTTTCGGCGCAAATTTCATAGTATCAACGCATCAGAGGTGCATACCTCAATATGATTCCCTGAAGTACAATCATTATTTGAGCGTAACAGAAAGAGAAAAGCAGCAGTGACCGCGCCCCAATTCTAGGGCCAAACTACGGAGTAGTACCCCACCAACTCCACGAGCCAGGCTTATTCGACTAGCTAAACTCCCTGGTGGCGGCTGGCTTAGAATCTTCTGGTCCTTAACTTCGCCGGATTAGCACTACCAGGCAGTTTGCTAAAATTGTAGACCTATCATGCAGTTTACATGTGTTGGCAAGGATGAACATGGAAAGAAAACCTCAAATGGTCAATATCAGAGCTGAATCGTGGGTATATACTTCATGGGAGCTCGGAACCCTTAATTCGGTGAAAAGGCAATGGTCTCAAAATCCTGAAAGTCCAAAAATAAGAGGCTCTAAAATGTATGAAATCCTAACCAAAATAGTTTCGTTGACTCTACTCCACCGACTTTGGACTCCGTTACTGTCACGCTTACGGCCCTAGTTAGGGTAAACCAACACTGTGGCGCAAGCTAAGCTTCTTGTACTGCAACCCTAGAAGAGAAGCCTAAATAAAAATCATGAGAAGAAGTCGCTTCTATGTACCTGGAGGTTGAATGAGCAAACTCAGCAAAGGAACGAATGGCGGTATTAAGGCATGCAACAGTGTTTATAATGCATTCATTGTATTTGCCCCTGCAGTGACTGGGAAAGTATGGAAGTAAAAAGAAGCGTCCTTCCAAAAGTAATTTCTAAAAATACCTCTCTACTCAGCTACTGCGGAGGCTGCGAGTCAGTATAAACGATGATTCTGCGTAGTAATTACCAATGTAAGCAGTGATCGTGGCTGATTCTGTAACAACTTTTTCTCAGCCACCCGTTTTAGTCGTTTCAACAATCCAACGGATAGCATCACTGCATTTGAATTAGTCTCTGTAGTAGAGATATTCCGTACTACGAAGCACGTTTCTTCGAATCACTGCAGACCTACAATAATCAAGGATTATCTGACGGCTTTCTTCGCCGCCCAGGTGTTGGATTACTTGACTAATTAGGAAGATTGTGCGGCGTGAGGTGGGTGACATTACGCGGATAGCCCTAGTATGCGAACTTGGCATACCTTTACAAAAGTTCATTCTTTTTTTACACCGGCATGTAGAATGACCTTGTAATACACTTGCTGAACGAACTGGCACTCCACGAATGAAAACATTCCTATCCAACATCAGAACAACACGAAGCCTTTCAGCTGAGCTCGTGATTTTTGAGTCACTATTGATAGAAACATAGTAGGGCCCACTACACTCCTGCCAGAGATTTATCTAATCACAAGTAGTTAACTAACTAGTTAGTTAACTAAGTTAAATTACCTCAGTTAAGTTAAGTTACCATAGCATATGTTTTTGTCAGCACAGAAGCGACAATCCTTGAAGGATTTCGGGCCGAACAAGCACAATCCCTGACGGTTCAAGCATAAACCATTAAGATGCCATATGCCAGTAACACCAAAGCTTCACAGAAATATGCAATATTTAACCTAAGAGTTCCTGTGGTCATTTGTACGTATACCAAGTTCCATGCCAGGTGTCTTGAAGACTCCAGGGCTGGTTACTGAAATTCATGAATTCCGTGTTTATGTACCTAAAGCAACCTTTTAGGCATACCGGTAGGTGATCGATCCACTGTAATAGTGGCAATTCTGGTAAACTAAATCTCAAGGATCTTCTGAAAATCTTACCGCCAAATACGTAGCAAGCCTCCATTTCGGCTCCTGAGCATAGCTCCATGAAATTATTCCGCAAACGGTAAGATTCATGCATCAGTCTTCCATTGGTCTTTGCGAGAAGAAACTCGTAAGATTTTAGATGCTATGCGATGCAATAAAAAATATATACTTTTTTTTCAATAAGAGAAATATTCGAAAACATAGCCACGTAGCTAGTAACACTGCCGAAGGAGTTTCTGCACACTGCATACGACCCTGCCAGTTTGTATGAGAAGGCCAGATCTCGATCTTGGTTGCTTGAGGCATAAGCATACTTAAATATTAATGGTGAATAATTGTGGAGCTACAAAAGTCTGTCTGGAGCGGGGTGCACGACAAACAGCTTAGAATTGCCAAGGTTGCTGAGGAGCATTAAGGCCTCTACGATGTAACACTCAGCTAACCGTAGTATCTTCGTATATTTGCCGGCGAGTCGGAGACATTGTTTAAGCTAAGGCGCGTGACGGATATTACCAAGGAAGAAACATTTACGGATGGCCCGAGTTATATACTTGGGTATAAAACCCATTGATGCCCATTTTAAGGAACCGGCGAAGTATCCGAAACAATCCCAGGTGTTTCCCGTTCATTTCTTGCCTGTCTACCAAGATACACCGGGTGATAGACAGACATGTTCTTCTCACGACCTGTTCGTGACCGCTTCAGTAGCGTACTAGCTCTGTGCCTCTATGTTACAGGATCCATCGCTGGACCTTGTGACATCTACTCTTCTGGAGGTACACCATGTGTCGCCGCACACAGCACCACTCGTGCCTTGTACGATTCCTACACCGGGGCGCTATACCAGGTCTCCCGTGGATCTGACGGGGCTACAACTGATATATCACCTCTCTCTGCTGGGGGGGTTGCTAATTCAGGTGCCCAAGACTCTTTCTGTGCTAATACAACCTGTCTCATTACCATTATTTATGACCAGTCTGGCCATGGTAATGACCTCACTCAGGCTCCTCCTGGAGGCGCCGCCAGCGGTCCTGACGCCAATGGATACGATTACCTGGCCAGCGCCGTCGGTGCGCCTGTCACTCTGAACGGGGAAAAGGCGTATGGTGTATTTATTTCACCCTTCACAGGCTACCGAAACAATAATGTCAAAGGTACGGCCACAGGCGACGAACCAGAAGGGTTGTACGCAGTGTTTGATGGTACACATTACAACACAGGCTGTTGTTTCGACTACGGTAATGCTGAAACAAATAGCCATGATACCGGCAACGGCCATATGGAGGCTATTTACTTTGGTACCGGTGATGGTTCTGGACGTGGTACTGGTTCCGGTAGTGGTCCTTGGATCATGGCTGATCTTGAGAACGGTCTTTTCTCTGGTTATGATCCTATCAACAACGCCGCAGACCCAACTATTACCTCCCGATTCGTCACTGCAATTGTCAAGGGAGAATCAAACCAGTGGGCAATTCGTGGCGGTGATGCCACCTCCGGGTCATTATCAACTTATTACAGTGGCATTCGCCCTGCTAACGGCTATAATCCAATGCAAAAGGAGGGAGCCATTATCCTAGGTATCGGCGGTGACAACAGTAATAATGCGCAGGGTACGTTCTACGAGGGTGTCATGACCAGCGGTTATCCATCAGATGACATCGAGAACCAGGTGCAAGCCAATATTGTTGCTGCTGGATACGCAACTACACCCCTGACAAGCGGCCCCGGACTAACTGTTGGCGAAAACATCTCCATGCGCGCTACTACAGCATGCTGTACAACTCGTTATCTTGCTCATACTGACTCTACTGTAAACACCCAAGTCGTCACCTCGTCCAGTGGCACCAGTCTCAAACAACAGGCCAGCTGGACCGTCCGCACTGGTCTCGGTAATACTGCTTGTTTCTCATTTGAATCTGTCGACTCTCCCGGAAGCTTCATCCGCCACTCTAACTATGAACTCAAGGTCAACGCCAACGATGGTAGCAAGATTTTTAGTGAGGATGCTACTTTCTGCCCTCAGGCTGGCCTCAATGGTCAAGGAAACTCTTTCCGATCCTGGAGTTACCCTACCCGTTACTGGCGCCACTACAATGCCGTGGGGTATATTGCTAGCAACGGTGGGCCTCATGACTTTGACAGTGCTGTTTCATTTAACGACGATGTGAGCTTTGTCGTTAGTGGCGGCTTTGCCTAAATCTATTTGACTTGTATTTGTTGAGATAGCCATGATGTACATAGCATTTTCTCTATAACTAATCCTTAGGACCGATATCTGTCTTGTCACAGTTGTTGGCACGAACAGGCACAGGGTATTTGTACATAGAAATCACCATTAGTATATATATTTACTGTAATGATTTTGTACAATTCCACACTAATATCCATAGCTATCCCGACTGCTTTAACTTCTTCACATCCCGGGAAGAAGTATATCCAAACAGGACTCTGAGTGGTGCTTCTTGTGGTTGCTTCAACTCTACCTCCTTCCTCCTAAGCCAAAGGATAAGGCCAAGACAGATTGACTGCGTAAACGGCAGTACTTAATCATATTTGCTCTTTGGAACATTCATGGCCTGGCCGAAATCGAAATATCCTTCTCCTAGTTCCTATCGTGGTGCAAGGAAGAGGTTTTCGAAGCCAGAGACAATGTATAACACCAGTGCGTGCAGTTAGCAAACCTCGTTAAATCTTTCGATAACATCAAGATATAGCAACAGCTACACGCGTAGAACCGGTGAATCAGAGGTCAGATAACGTTCAGATCCCAACAGGCACAAGGTGCAAAATATTTTGATTACATATCTTTCAACTTTGTCAAAAGGCTTCTAACCACAGTTGAAGATTCTTCAGCTGCAAGGCTGAAAGAATGCAGGCTTACGTTTTGACACTAGATTTGACAGTGAAGACGAACATAGCTATTTTCCGCAAATAGTACGCCTAGTACTATTGTACTTAGAAATTTGAGTTGTTCGTCTATCCAACCAGATTCATTCTTCTTTCTTCCTGGCATCTAAACGCTTCAAGTCAGCAGGTTTCACGACACAGCTCATAACGATCCCGCGAGCGTCTGGACCGAGTCCAACATGGACCTTGTCGCCGATCCTCCAAGGCCCAAAGATGAACGACTGCGAATTAATCATATGACAAGACCCGATGAGATGGAATTTTTCTGTCTTGGTAACGGCCACGTCGTGCCGAACGATGTCGTACATTGCATGCTGAACTAGTCGTTGGACCACATATGCATCGTCACTCGCGGGCAAGAGGGGTTTGTTGGACAATCGTTCCAACAATGATACCCATTCATCTTGTTCCATATCCCCACCAAGACGGATGCCATTACATGATGCATCTCGTACCGGTTTAACAATCCAGTCGTTCTTTGCGAGGGGATCTTGTCTGGTACCTTCGAGTAGCTGCCTGAGCTCCTGCGATCCTGGCGTCATGGTCTCCGCAATACTGTCATGCAGAATTCTCCCTTCTTCTGCTGAAAGCACGTGTCTTGTCACTAGATTCGCAATTTCATCACGGACAATACCAAGTATACGTTTGTCGTGGATCAAGAAGATGGTACGAAAGTCATTGACACTGCACGTAGCCAACTGCTTCAAAAGGGCGGGATCTATCTTAGCAAATTCCTCTTGAAACAATTCAACGGCACATTGCTCGACTTTGAGTAGACCAGACGTCTCCCCATCGTTCCCGCTGACGTTCGCGTACAAAGACCATCCTGTCGGCGAATTATCGTCTACTTTTAGCTGCAACTGGGATGGCTCAATCTGCACTACTCCTTGACCAGTGGCCTGCTTGTAGTCGCAGCCAAATAAGCGCGAATCCACTCCGGGCCATTTCTTGAGAATATGGAACATCGGTTTTGATCGATCAAAACAGTCAAATAGTACCTCCCTCGTGTCCTGCCAATGAGTTCTGGTTAGCTCCAATGCAATTTATAATATATCATATGTCATGGAAAGAGAAAGACCTTGAGATCGCTCGGTGGATCGAAGCCAATTTGGTTTGCTCCAAATGTCATTGTTGCTTTACGATGCAAACCAGTAACATAGAACCCATTAAACGGAATGCGCGCATTTATTTCGCAGATTGTTGGTTGTTCGACATTGCGGTCCTCAAACAAAATATCCGTTCTCCACATGCCCGAACATTTACCAAAGTTCAGCCTCTTTCCCAAGTCCGATTCACTATATTCCTGATTACTGATCCATCCAAGTACCTCTTCTTCGTGGGGTTCCAAAGGCATTCGAGACGGGAAGTCGGCCTGTTTATCGGTAAACCATCGTTCCACAATGTCTACAAGGGCCCGATCGAGTAGACGATGTATAACTTCGAGCTTTTGTGCAAATTCCTGTGTAATGCAGATATTGAATGGCGACATGCGATGATGAATAGGTATTGGAATGCTTGCGGAAGCAAAGAACGCTTCGACATGTTCACGAACAGCTTGTAAATCGCGTTCGAGACGACTCTTATTCGCACATGTCGCGGGCGCGATTGCATTTCGCTCTACACTGAGAGACAGAGACACCTGTTCGATGGAAGACATTTCGGACATTCTCGCAATGAAAGAATATACACTTTCAATGGCGTGATCTAAACAAGCCACAAAGCTTGAAGCAATCAATTTGTCTTTTTCTCATTTTTATTGATGTTTCCACGCTGCCTCAAATTAAAGAACGAGTCACATGCAAGACTCGGAGCTCGCGTTTTGCTCCGTATGTAACGTCAGCAAGAAACGGACTCCGTAGTCTCCAGCTGCTTGGCACAGCGGCCATTGACAATTGCGAGATGATGGAGAGAGATTTGATCCTTTATCAGTTGATTCTGACGATGTGAAGTTGAGAGTTGAACTGTCGAGGTTGACTAATCACAGTTTTGTCAACTCGGCAAAGCACGGCGGAAGGAAAGAGCGACCTGCCGAAAACATCACGAGACCCGCGCACCTTCCCAGACGGACCTAGCCTTAGATAAGCTCCATGTAACCTTCATTAATCAAACGTCCTGTTCCTCTCTCTCCTCCAGCAAATAACAGCCATCGCGTCCCTGAATATCGTCGCTGATAAGCTCGACCATCGACATGGAACCCCGCAGCTCATTGCCCGACAAGATAGGCATGCGACAGGGGTCGACGTGCGTGATTCTCTTAAAATCCCGCTCTCACCCCTGGAGTGTCATCAGGAACAGAGGAATAAGGGACGAGGTTTGACAATCTGATTCGACTGGGAGCCATGTTTTTCCTCAAGATTGCCAGTGTCTCTGCTTTGGCGGCCCTTGCTGTGGCTGCTCCATCACCAGTCAAACATGTTCTTCACGAGAAGCGTGGAAGTCCAGCAACCGATTGGGTCAAGGGCGCTCGCATTGAGAGCTCTGCCATTCTGCCGATCCGAATTGGATTGACACAATCGAACCTACCCAGTGGTCCTGAACTCTTAAGTATGTACTTTCATTTTTCTGTTGTGTGAGCAATTTGCTGACTTTACTTAACAGAGGCGGTGTAAGTGATTTCGAGAAATTTTCACCGACTCATTCGTAACAAACTAATCAAATGAGAATACAGATCCGACCCCCGCTCTGAGAAATATGGCAAGTATCTCTCCATGGAGGAAGTCCATGACTTGTTTGCACCGGTGGAGGACCACGTCCAGAGCATCAAGGATTGGTTGCACCAAGCAGGCATTGACAAGTCGCGAATTGTTCATTCCGATAACAAAGGCTGGCTCGCTTTTGATGCCACTACCGAGGAGGCCGAACGTCTGTTCCAGACTGAATATTATGAACACGAGCATGTGCAAAGTGACCGCGTCCGAGTTGGATGCGATGAGTAGGTTGATTTCTCTATTTTTCTCAATGCTGCGTGCTCAACGGACCATGATAGATACCATCTACCCGAACATATTGCTCGGCATGTTGACTACATTACTCCTGGAGTCAAGATGACACAGGCCGTCAAACGTACAGTCAAGAAACAGAAGAGAGCCAGCAATTCTCAGGCGTCCCGTACCTCTATCCATGCTCCGGTTCATGACTTTGACCTCGGAAATGGTCACTCCGGATCAGACTCCGACCTTGCAAACTGTAGTTACAACATGACGCCCCCATGTATTCGTGCATTGTACGGCCTTCCCCTGCCTACCAATAAGCCTAATCCCGATAATGCACTGGGTCTCTATGAACAGGGTGACTACTTTGCCAAGTCCGATCTTGATCTCTACTGGAAGAATGTCTATACCCAGGTGCCCCAGGGTACCTACCCCAAGCCGCAATTGATCGATGGCGCCAACTATTCTGTTCCTGCATACAGTTCGTTGAATAACGGAGAATCAAATATCGACATTGAGATGGCGTATGTGTCTTTCTTCCCATTTTCAAACGAGTAGCCTCTGACTGTCAGCAGATTCTCCTTGGTCTATCCTCAAGAAGTTGTTCTTTACCAGGTGGATGATCAGCTGTACGAGCCTGCTGAAGTCGCAACAACCAACTTGTTCAATACGTTCTTGGATGCTTTGGATGGTGTATGTATGATTCGCTCTTGTTATTAACTGCTTTCTAACCATATGCAGTCTTACTGTACCTACACCGCCTACGGCGAGTCCGGCAATGACCCCAACATTGACCCTGTGTATCCCGATACTCGCGAAGGTGGATACAACGGTATGCAAGCTCAGTCTTAGTGATTACTATGATTCAACTGACAACATCAAGGTCAGCTCCAGTGTGGTGTTTACAAGCCAACTAATGTTATCTCCGCATCGTACGGTCAAAGTGAAAACGACCTTCCGATGAAGTATGTGGAGCGCCAATGCAACGAATTCCTCAAACTCGGACTTCAAGGCCACACCATCATGTTTGCTTCCGGTGACTATGGTGTCGCATCCTTCCCTGGTGACGGAGGTAACGCGAACGGCTGCCTTGGACCTGACGCTCAAATCTTCAACCCCCAATACCCGTCTGGATGCCCCTACGTTACGTCGGTCAGTGGCACGATGCTTTATCCAGGCCAGAAAGTCACCGATCCCGAGAGCGTCATGTCCGTCAATCTTGGTGGCACAGCCGCCAATTTCTCCTCTGCCGGCGGATTCTCAAACTACTTCACCCGACCTTGGTATCAGGAACTGGCCGTCGAGGAATACTTCCTCACTGCTAACCCTCCCTATCCATACTATGCGGAACTAAACGTTAACTTCAACACGACAAAGGGTCGTTATAACCGTATTGGTCGTGGCTTCCCTGATATTGCTGCCAATGGAGCTTACTTTGAGTCGTACCTGAATGGCAAGCTTGTGCATTTCTTTGGTTCAAGTTTGGCCAGTCCATTATTTGCCTCTGTTATTACCCTTGTAAGTTCAACTATCCTTTTTATCCTCACTTTAGCGACGAACATTCACTTACTCAAACAGATCAACGAGGAGCGCCTGGCTATCGGAAAAGGACCCGTCGGATTCATCAACCCCGTTCTTTATACAAATCCTTGGGTTCTTAACGATATCACCAACGGAACCAACCTGGGCTGTGACACGCATGGTTTCGCGGCCACCAAGGGCTGGGACCCAGCTACTGGACTCGGAAGCCCCAATTACGCCAAACTCAAGGAGCTGTTCGTCCATATTCTACCTTAAAACTTTCTCCTAAATCTTGGAAAAGAGATTGTAATTAACACAGACGACCACCAATGTTACATACCTCATTCTGATGTGCCTTATCGCCTTCCCTATTTCTAGTAACAATAGCCCTAATGCAAGTTACTAATCACTATTACGGTAGTTTACGCACTTAGACTACGTAGGTTTCAGTGATATAATAAATCCTCAATAGAAGGAAAGTCACCAGTCATCTATGCCTTCTTTAACATTTGCTATACGCGAGGCGCGAGTGTACATGTAGTTAGGGTTAGGGTTTTATGACGACCATCCATAGATGTCAAACGTCCAATTTTCATCACTAGAGGTTACTCACGCAGAAATTGAATGTAATTATGACAAGAAATGTTGAGATCTAACCTCAAGGAAATTGATGACAAATTGAACATATATCCAACGTCTAGAAATTTGAATATCAATAATGAATATCCGATAAATGGTCGTAACAACTAATAAGATCCAGTCGCTTGCACAACCAAAACACTGGCCCTGGACTCCTTACGCACAAGAGCGTCACCGACCACACCCAATACTGAGCGTGTATCAGGTCTATCGCTGGTATCAGTCGTCGACGAGACACCACCTACACTTCGACGACCAACCACAATAATCTGGTTTGTCTCGCCACGTGCTTGGTTGGCTTCGTTATCGGCGGCGTCAACTGCCAGTTTGACTGCATTGGAGTCTGTGGCTGCTCCAGATACGGTACTGAATACAACGCGAGAGGAGAGCTCAGATGAAAGGGAGTCGCGCATTGAAGCGAAGAATATTTTGTCAATCTCTGCTTCACTCGGTTCTGTCTGGGAATCGCTAGGTCTTAGGTGGTTCGGGACATCAATATGAATAATCGTTGTAGTCACCAGCTGATTGCGCGCGAGTTGAAGGACAAGGCGTAAGGCAAAGCGGTCATCTGGGCCACCAATGTACAAGAATAAGATATGTTGATTGCGATTTCCTGCTGTCAAAGAAGCAAGATTGGTCCGAATGTTAGGAAGGGACACGGTGCTAGCCGCTCGTCGCAGGGTATGGCGTTCCTGACTTGGCATATCCAAGGCTCGGTCAACGAGAATGCCTACAGAAGTGTTTGAGGCACCACGCAAAACATCCGCAACGAATGATGGGTACGGCGCATTTGTATTGTCCGATGCACTCTCCGAGGACCACACACTCTGACGGTCAATTATACGGCCACTAGCACTCCACGGTAGCAAGAGGAAATTCGAGTTGGTATCACGAGCCATATCAAGCACGGCATCTGCGAAGGAAGTTTCGGGAATAACCGAAACACGTCCTTCTGAGGGGATATTGTTGATCTGGCCGAATGATCGAAAGACGTTTACAACCGGGTCCCAGGCAGAATACTCTTCGATTTCGGAAACCTTCATGGTACTAGACAATCGATCAGAAAGCTCCATCAGACGGATGCCATGGGCATGCAACAGTGGCTTTTTCTCGGATTCGCCGAGATGATGATTTTCAATCGAAGATTCTGCTATACCGTTTGCTGGGGCTCGCTTGGAATAATGCTCTCGTGGAGTAACCTCAGCTGGTTTGCCGTCGGTACCGAGAAGTCCGATGAAAGTGCAAACATTAGCCACACTGTCCAGGCGAAGGTAGACAGTGATCCGCTCAATTGGCTTGGCGGTTGGCTTCTCAATAGCATCACTAGATGAAATTGTTGTGGTTTGATCTCGGACAGTGCCATCCCAGTTAATTTCACCTCTTCTCCATCGGGTAACCTTGTCTTGGTACCATTTAGGATACAGGGCTAGGGTGAGTGGTGTTGTCATGAACGTAGTCACTAAAGCCATGACAACAAACATGGTAAATGTACGTTCGCTAAGGATCTTAGCTTGTCGACCAATGTTCTGCAAGTATATAAGCTCACAGTTCGTATATGTGGAAGAATGGACAGAGATACCAAGACAATGAGTTCGACAAGCCCCTTGCAACTCATTAGCACACCAACTGTGAGACTTTCCCGCCATAGGAGACCAGTAACCTTAGAGGCCACGGTTCCTCCGATAACCTTGGCGAAAAAGGCGATAGCAATGATTCCAATGACATAACCCCAGACCTTTCCAGAATCCAAAAGACCCAAGTTTGTCTGGAGACCGGATAACGCAAAATACAAGGGCAGGAAGACAGCAGCCACTAGATCCTCGATCTTTTCCGTCAAGCTAATTGCAAAACCCTTTTCATGTGGACAGATCAGCCCAACAACAAATCCGCCAAAAATGGCGTGAATGCCGATGGCTTGAGTGAAGAACGCAGACGCCAAGACGAGCAATAGTGTTACTGTAACAGCTGATTGGCTAGGGCCTTTTTCAAGATTGCCAGTTCTTCGCAGGTACCACACGAAAACAGGTCGTACCACGAGGAAAAGGAACAATATATAGCCGACACCAACCAGCAGCACCCACAATGCCGTGATACCGCTACCGGCATTGACGAGGGCTATGCAAAGAGCGAGCAGAATCCAGCCAGTCACGTCATTTCCGACTCCAGCTGACAAGACAATCACACCTACATTGGTATTCAACAATTTCAATTCGGTTAAAATGCGGCAAAGGACTGGAAAGGCCTAACACCGAACAATTAGTAGCCATAATATGTCACGATTGTAAGCGTGGTCTAGCGTACTGTAATGGCCATAGCCACACCAACAAAGAGTAAAAATGTTCCAAATTCGACAGGAACAGTGCCCGTATCATTGCCAAAGTCATTGTATAGGCCATAAGAAATGGCGCACCCTATTGGAGTGGAGATGCGTCAGTCAATGCACGAATAATACAACCAGGATGCAGATGAAGCCCCACTGACCTAACCCAAAGGGTAGAATCATGCCCAGTAGTGACACGCTGGCGGCAATCCGCCAGTTACTCACTAAAAACCTCACATCGGTTTCCAGGCCTACAAGGAACAGGAAAAATATCAATCCCAGATTGGCGACAGCATTCAATGTCGGGATTGACTGTGAAGGGAAAATGGTGTTTGAGAAATTCGGTATATGGCCAAGTACCGACGGGCCAAGAAGGATACCTCCGATGACTTCTGCAATAACGCGGGGTTGGCGGATTTTGGAAAGCGGCCAGTGGAGAAGCCAGCAAAAAATGATGATAATGCCAGCCTGTGATATTCCATCAGATAATCAGATACTCTCTGCTCACAATAGCGATGGAATGAGCGCAAAGGCCAACCTGGATAATGAACACCAAAATGGGGTTGCTAGCATCATACACGGCTGGGTTCTTGCCGCTTAGGATGCCGGCCTGTGCGACCTTGGTGGTCGTCGAGTTGGACGGCATGATGTATGCCTGGAGACACAAGGATAAAGTGTCACACAGAACGCGGGAGTGTGAGGTAGAGTAGAACGATACAGAACTTCCGGCGTGGATGACAGCCGTCGGACCTGGGGTAGATAAGGCTCCGCTTGCAACGAATATTTATAGCGGTGAGCAGAGCATTCTCCCGATGAAAATGGACTGCAGCACTTATATCCGTAGATATAGCGACAACTATCCAAGCGATGTCGGGAGTGTAAAAGATGGGAGAGGGGAGAAAAGAAAGGAGATGTAAGAGCTGAAAGAAAAGGTCTGGAGAGCTCTTTCCGTCACAGCTTCCCTCGTTGAGAATACGGGATGGGGAAGGAACAGCCCCATTATTAGCTGAAAGTGGGCTAGCGTCACGCGGACCACGTTCTGACTGCATCAACCAATAGAATGCTTCAATTTTTGTCCCTGACTAAGCTCAGCTCCATCCATCCGCGCTTTTTATTGGCCATCTCACAATCGCGGATTTGTTGCCATGACTCTTTTCGGTCTGGGCAGCTCGTCATGCGGATAAAAGTCTTGGCAATCTTACCCTAGCCCTAACCCTATTTAATTCTATAGATCCTATCCGGTAACTACAAGTCATCTTTCAGTCCCAGCATCTCCAATGAGTCCTTCCACAACCGTGCTTCATTCTCGGCATTATACGTCTGTCGTACCCATCCTATCCCAAACACATTCTGATCATCAGCACCTCGCTTGGCTTCCTCACAGTCCTCCAGATACTTCCCTCCCTTGTTCTCCCATTCTTTACCGATCGCGGCAACTAACGTGGTAGCGGCTCCCTGTTCGGGACTCTTCATGGTATGCATGATATCTTTCAGTGTCTCATAGACCCGTGCTACGAATTCGGGGCTCACGTTCCTGGAGATGTTTGTACCACCGATAGCACCGGGGTGTAGACTCGTCGCGCGGAGACCCCTGTGACCGTAACGTCGATCGATCTCATTGGCCATATAGATACTTGCCAGCTTTGACTGTGCATATGCCACTCCAGCATCATAGTTTCCCTTCTCAAAATTGTAGTTGTCGCTAGCACTAAGCTCCACGGAACGATGGGCTGACGAGGAGACGTTCACAACCCTAGAGGAGAACTCAGGCGTTGCGCTAGCTAGCAACGCAGGTTTGAGAAGCTGAAAGTATAGAAAATGACTCAGATAGTTGGTAACAAAATGAGATTCAAATCCCTCCTCTGTTTGTTCCAGATTAGGAATTCCCATCACACCGGCGTTGATGATCAGGATATTGACTTGATTATTGGATTTTTCGAGAATGTCGTCTGCTGCATCTCGGACGCTTGAAATCGAAAAATTGTCCATCTTGACTAAGTGTACTTGATCTGACATCAAAAGATCGTGCAGGGTCGTCTTGGCCTTTTCCAAATCACGGACGGTCAAGAACAAAGTTGCACCTGTGATGATCAACGCACGTGCTGTCTCGAGACCAATTCCGGCTGTTGCACCGGTAATGACAATCACTCTTCCGATGAGCCGATTTACCAGTTTCTCGTCTTGGACGATTTGCGCGGCCGTTGGCCGAGCATCTCGAGGACCTTGAGGGTTGGCATGGACAGAGGTATATCTACCCATAGTGACGGTAATCGAGAACTTGATTTGTTACAAAAAATTTCGTGAATATTATCTTGAGCTACAAGGCAGATTTTCATTATTTATATCCTTGATCAAAAATTCTGAGATTGCAGCTTTTTACCTAAATAGGAAAGACACTGGCAGGCGGCCGACAGGTCGGCCGCAGCCTTCCATTTATTGCGGCCACGAGTCCCCGCAACTTCCCATTTCTTTTCCACTTCCTCCATCTTGCTACACTATGATTCTTCTTTCTGGCATTTCAATCCTTTTCACTTGAAGCAGCATGAAAACACCAGGCACTGGCTCTAGCGCCAACCATGCACGTTATGTCTGCAGATCTTGCAAAACGCGGAAGCGAAAATGCAATAAAGCCTTGCCCGGATGCTCTTCATGCTCTAAGTGAGTTGATATCGGCCGTCACTTGTCTGCTTCCGACATGTTGACTTATCTAAATCGCATATGTGTCTAGGAGGAATGTAACGTGCGAATACTCCCGGCCGAATTCAATCCGCCATTCCGCCTTTTCATCCGCCTCCAGCGACCTACAATGGAACCGCCTTTCTGTCGATGAAGGTACTCCTAGCCTTCCAGAAGTTCAAGCAGTCAATTTCCCGACGTTGTTGTTTCTGGATCCGTCTATTCTACAGCATGGGCACTTGGAGATTCCTTCACCTGCTACATCGGTCCCGCAACATATTCTACGTCTGATAGGAGACCTGGATGACATCCATACCACTGCATCCAAGTTCTTTGATCACATTCATTTGTGGATGCCGTTTATTTCAAGAAAGCGCTTCTATGACATTCATATTCGAACTGTTCCTCCATCAAAGCCGGATGTTATCCTTCTTCTACTTTGTCTCAAGCTTATAACAAGTTTCCCCCCTGCTAATCCCCGTGACCCTCGGACTCCACTGTATCATGCTGCAAAACATTTCTTTCTTGATCTTGAAGGTGATGTCACTTTGTCTCTCCTCATCCTCCAAGCGGGAGTACTTCTTGCTCTTTACGAAATAGGACATGGTATATACCCCGCTGCTTTCTTGACCATCGGCACTTGTGCCCGGTATGCACATGCTCTTGGCATCAGCGTTAGTAGAGCGGTAGAGTCACGGAAAGTCATAACGCTGGTCGAGCTCGAAGAAAGAAGGAGGGTGTGGTGGGCAATTGTCATTTTGGATCGGTTTGTTGACTATCCATCTGCGCTTCTCTTGGCTGATGGCTGACGGTTTTGTCAGGTTCGTGAGTATCGGCTGTCCGGGAAGACCATTTGTCACTGCGGAACCTGAGCTAGATGAATTGTTACCGGCGGATGATGCAGCCTGGGATCGAGGGGTGTGTCCGGTGATTACATCATGCTCTGGTTTACTTGCTGATGTATTATCCTAGGTCATCAACCCGGACAACCTTACTACGCTGTCTGAGCCATTGAGTGGCCATATGAGCAGATTTGCTTTGTTGTGTCAAGCTGCAAGATTGCTAGGTCAAGTCTTGCTCCATCTGTCTAGTGACTCGGTTGAGGACGACAACGTCTGGATGCAACTAGACCGAACTCTTCAGTCTATGCTTGCTGCTTCTTTGGACGTTGATGTTCCCGATGATGATCAGATTGGCTTCATTTACAGGTGTGTAGTTTATCCGTTCAGCAGGAAATTCAATGTTCCTAATTTTTTTTTTTTCATCATATAGTACGCTGGTTGCGCTTCATACTCCATGGTTAGCATCTTCGAGTGGTAGCAACATCCAACGCTCTCTGCGTGCGAGAGAGGTTATGCAACAAATCACGGCCAGAGTGAAAATGAATCTTTCCGAACGACAATGCTTTGTGGGTCGTAACCCAGATGACATGTCACATTGGGGTCTATTTTTCGCATATCGGATATGTGCATATCATATTTGCTCTCGCGGTAAGAAACCGTTGGAACCGGATTTGGTTGAAATGGTGAGAAGTATGAGGGAAGCTTTCTCTATGATAGACGTTCGGTGGAATGTGGCAGGTATATTGTTGTCGTCTTCATATTCATATTACGAGCTGACTCCGATCGTATGACAGGTGTTTATCTTAAACTACTTGAGGCCCAAGAGGCTATGAGCTTGTCCTGATGCAAGAATCATGATACCTGTTCTACAGCCGAGGTCCGAGTGAATCTGTCGAAATCATGAGCAAATCTTTTATAAGGGTCTGTTTTCCAATCACACGTCTAATGGGATGACCACTTAACTGAAATCAGGGACTCCAGAAAAGATTACGCTCTTACAAGGAAAACATATAATTCATCAACGTTTCATTAAAATAGCAAGCTTCGTCCTAATACATTATAACAGAACGCCAATTGATGGGAATTTCCAAAAAAGCGTGTTTAGTAGCGACACACATATGAGGGATGACTCCCACGTTTTCTTCTCATCTTGAGGATATGACTCAGATGAACGAATCGATTGATCTTTTTGGTAGCGCCTTTTGATGACTCTCCATGAGCAGCGTGGAGATGCATCGGCTGAGAATAACCCTGGACGCTTACTCAGGGATCTCGAGAACGTACCGACCGGCGATCTTGCCTTGTTCTATTCAAAACCATCAGCTTTTGATTCTACCTCAATCTCAGAAATAGTCGACTCACCCATCATCTCGAAAATATGAGGAAGTTCTTTCAATGGCACAACCTTATAAGGAGCCTTGATCAATCCTCTAGCGAAAAAGTCGACAGCTTCCTCGGCATCCAAGCGATTGCCGACGTAGCTACCCTTGATATTGATCATGCGTACGACTGTGCTGAAGACAGGAGCCTTGAGGAATGCGTTTGCTGGGAGACCAATGGCGACGACTGATCCGCGAGGTCGGACGTACTCTGTGGCTTGTTGGAAGGGCTTTTCGGCAACGGCAAGCAAGAGAACACCGTGAGCACCAAGTCCCTGGGGACTTGCTGCTTTGACATCTGCGACAACGTCTTTTGATTTTGTGAAATCGATGTATGCCTGTTGCACCGTTTAGTACAAATGTTTCGTTATCAAGAGAATCATAACTCGCGGATGATTTACCTCTGCTCCCAAACTCTCGCACATGGCTTTCTTCTCCTCACCACCATCAATGGCAATGACACGAATTCCCATCGCCTTGGCGTATTGCAGTGCCAAAGATCCCAAACCACCACCGGCGCCGACAATGGCCACGGTCTGCCCAGGCTTGACGCCAGCCTCCTTCAATCCCTTGTAAACAGTGACACCGGCGCAGAGAACGGGTGCAACGGCGTCGAGGGGAACGTTCTTGGGGATCTTGGTAGCGTGTGCTGCTTTTCCAATGGCGTACTGCTGGAAAGTGCCATCGACGGTATACCCAGACAACAAGGCATCGGGACATAGAGACTCATCGGAGCTTTTGCAGAATTCGCAGGCAAGGCAAGACCCATTCAACCACTTGAGACCGGCATGGTCGCCAATTTCGAACTCGTGCACCAAATTACCCTTGGCGACAACCACTCCGGCACCTTCGTGGCCGCCCACCAAGGGCATCTTTGTGTCTAGGGGCCAATCGCCCTTCAAGGCATGGAGATCGGTATGGCAGACACCGGAATATCGGATTTTGACAAGGACTTCGTCGGGACCGGGTTTGGGGACTGGGATTTGCTTGTAGACGAGGGGACCGCCTGTCTTCTCGGCCACTTGGGCCCACTGGAGCTCTGGGAGAGACATTGTGTGTCGGTGTTTTGGTAGATTAATCGAAAAATATTTTGCAGGTCGTGCAAATGATGGTCGCAATAAAGGGGAAATGACTTTTGTGTATCTGAAAAACATGGAGAGGAAGTAACACGATGCGTTCACAGACAGCTCTTATATACCCCTCAGTCTTATCTATCAGGCCACCGCCAACAAATCAGAAGCTGACGTCACGATCGGGAGAATTCTCGGAGACTCGAGACAGAAAAGAAAATACTCGACATCCGGACAAGCGGAGCAGCCTTCGAAGGATTGTGTCTCGTATGCTGGTGTTGTGTACCTTTTTCAGATAGTCGGCGAAAAAGCTACGATAAGCCGTCAAATCGGGTGGTGCTGGTTGCGGTCCGGTGTTGTATTGGGCGGAAAGTCTCATGCTCAGTAAGGGAACAAGGTCAGACCATAAAACTTTCCTTCCGTATTACGGTATCGGTATATCCACTTGGCAAGTTTAGCGATATACACAACACGCGCTGTATTGAATGGCAGTGAGGCCACAATCGCGTTATCCATCTCATTTAAATCAGCAGCCATCATTCGATGCTCCCGAGATATCTCCGCGCTTCTGCGGTCTTGATCTACTGTCGCAAAGTCGACAACTTCTTGTAGAGCTGATCAAAAATACAATAAACAATATTATTTTCTATTCACAAAGTCTTCAATTCGAGTCCTCGTATACAGAAACTATCGCGCGAAAGCCACGATGTCAATCTAGATTCTACCCCGCACAAACCAAATCGGATCGGCGCAGGGGAATCCACAAACGGGATATGCCTGCGAATCCGGCCTTTCTGGGCCGTGCTCTCCAGGATAACCTTTATACGGACGAACGGAATCTCTTATGCGGGCACAAATCAACGACCAGGTTCACGAGTTTATGGAATGAGAAAGCGGAGGTGTCAGGATGAGAAAGCGGGGGATTGATGCCTATAATAGAAAGGGACTGGGGTCGCAATCCGTGATTTGATACAAAAGCTACCAGAGCAGTTCCGTGAGGCCGAGATACAAGGACAAGGGCGTACGGATGCGAGCGCAGAATCAACGATCCACAATGCGACAAGGACAAGGTCACTCACGTGGGCATACGGACGAATGCGCAGGTTGATGCGAGGGAACACAGTCCTGGTACGAGCGGAGACGGTGGATTGATCGAGGGGTGTGTGCGATGAGATTGGGATTCTTGGGATGCTGGATGGATTAGAGAACGATCAAGGATCACGGAGTTGTTCGTGTTTGGTTTGTATGGCCTATTTGCACTGTTTGTTATTTCTCGGTGCCGGTATATTCAGGCAGCAATCAGGCCACAGCTGTCCACATAATCTCACCGGAAAAAACAACAACATTCGATCCATCCGAAATATCTCCATGTCGAGTCCCACCGTATTACTATCGACTCACCGGATGAGGACTTAGATATTTAGCTAGCAATGTCATCCGACACGGGTCTTGAAACGCGATTTTGCTGCCGTGACTTTTGTTGTACAACTGGACCTTTCTGCGAAATGGTCGAAGCTTCTATGATATGAACGATAAGATGGTCTCGAATCTCTGCTGAAAAATTGCGCCAGCGGTCTATTTTAATTTCCGCTTTAATGGGCGCACTATCGTGGAAAGATCATGAACTTCATTGGTTTCTATCTAGGTCTCCGGGGACCAGTAACTAACTAACTAAGTGGTGTCACGTGACAGACTGTCGCCAGTTGGAGCCAGAATCACGTGACTAACAGAATACGGAAGTCGGACTACGGAACGGTTCGCAAATACCACAAAAAACCAGAATCCCTTGAAAGGCGTCCTTTTTGGTGAAACGGTTTAAGTTCCGACAGCGACTGAGGTGCGCTGACTGATTTGCATTAACTAGGAACTGTTTTGAGGCAAGAAAACATGTGTTTTTAGATCGATTCGCGAAACGATATAGTCGCAGAAATGTTTCAGAAATATCGCTACGGACGGAAATACCGCCTGGTGCGAAATCGCTCCATTGCGAACGACAGTCCCGCACATGGTTGAGTACAGACATGCGAATCTCGTAGCGTCACGAATCTATCTCATGCAATGCAACCACTCCTGCTCGAATTGTCAAAGCAGAATGACAGTCTTTCTTGCAATCGGCGTGTCAGCCACGGAGAAGAACACAGCTAGATCGACCATTCTCTTGTTTGCGATGCACTAGAAAGCGGCGAGGTGCATTGGTGTTGGTTTTAGCGGGATATCAGTGGCAGTGCGACAAGACAAGTGTGGAGGCAGCGCTAAGAAGTTCATTTTTATTTGCTTGAACGCCTACTACCCTGGCACATTTGACTGCGCCGTATTTAATAGACAGTAGACCACGGGCCGTTGCAAGTCTTTCTTATATGGGTACTTTCTCATGCGTAAAGAGACATTTCCATAGACAAATGGTATATAGATTAGCAATGGACACGATGTATTCAACGTACTCCTGAAATGAAACTGATCAACTGATTGTAAGAAGACCGACACAATACCCAGCCAACAATGGATAACCTCGACGTGATACAATTTCCGACATTGACAGTCTTGTCATCAAGCAGCAATAACCAATCTTCTGATACCTCCAACTTACCTAAAACAATCAAAAAGACTGTCAGGAAAAAATTGTATAAACGAACTATAAGACGATCGTCATCAAGCAGCTCAAGTCCTCGAAGATCAAGCACCAGGAAATCATCTCCGCCATTTACAAACCGAAGACATAAATGGAGCATACTTCAATATAAAGAGGGCAAGAATTGGTCTTTCAAAGGGCGATCTCGCAAGGCCGTTCCGGAGAGTGATACAACACCGTCATCCGCCAAAATACCCACCCCATACACGCCTCGGTTGACGAGTTCAGTTTCCTATGGAGAATCGCTGTCCGCTCCGCAATCTACTCAAAGCCCTATAGTCATTGATAGCGAACATGATGAGGACCCGCTCACGCCGTCTCCAATCCGCAACTCCCCATTATATGGACGAAGAACCAGACGGCAAAATATCAGCTTTCGTGGAAGGGCACGATCATCTTCTTCTGTGCTATACCGCGACCTACCTACAGAAACACCTAAAGCTCACTTTATGCCTCTGTATCCGGAACTGCGAGATGACACTACCACCGACATGAGATTGATAGAAAGAATACTCAAAGGACCGACAGCCGAACAACGAGATCGCAAACGGGGCCTGTTATACACCGCTGGCCTAGAAGGTGAAACTCGCTACATTAAAATCGGGTATACCGACGGCGACCTTCAGACACGCATGAATGCACTGAGCTCTCCGAGGAAGACGGGAACCGTATACAGTATAAACGACCTCACCCCTGGTGGCCAAAGCAGGTTTCTGAATTCCCATCATGCCGAACAGATTATCCATTTAGAGTTGTATAATCGACGGCACCGATTCATTGAGAAAAACCAATGTGAATGGTTCAAATTGGAAATAGAGGAAGCCCACCGAGTCTGCCGGAAATGGAGAAATTGGTTCAGATATTGGGAGCCATATGACGAGAAGCAGCAACTCAAAGAATTTTGGAGGGAACGGATAACCCGAATACAGGCCCGTGATCCTTATGATGCTGCTAAACATGGCAGCCTACATCAGCGGTGGAATAGAGTTTTGAACCCAACTCGGTTTGATACGTTTTCGTACAGAGTTGGGATTGTCTGGAGAACGCTTCACAGATGGCAGACGTGGTTACGCGAGCAATATCTTTTCATCTCCGCTGTTCTGGTACTCGCTTCCTTGGCCATACATGTATATGGTGTTCTAACCTTCATTCTGTGGATTGTTGGCCCTGCTGGTTTTGTGGTCTGGATTACAGAGACAAACAACCACGGAAAGAAACTTGAAAACAAAGGGCGCTGATTAGTTGCGAGAAAGAATATAGATGTCATGACTGTACCCGTTGCTTTTCTCCAGGCCTACTATAGCTTGGTATACTTCGCCACACTAGGAACTTGTGATAAAGTATTTTATGGAAGTCAGAGAATTTTGTCTGCCTACTTTAGCATCCTCATTATTCGCTGCTGTGGATCATCAAAATACGCGTTGATGTTATACTAACTACCCCGTTTCTAGGGTTAGGGCTAGAGCTTTGCTCCGTCTCGGCTTAGCTCCCTCGAGATTTCTACGCGATTGACGTCAAAGTTCATATTCTTCCTCCGCGTTCCTTGATACGCGATCAAAGCAGCAGTATATTGTAACAAGATTTACTACATTATAAAAATCTGTTACCAGTGGCTTTGATTTGCATCAAATGACAAAGAATTTCCTCATTACCGGCGCTGCCAGAGGCATCGGCCGAGGGTTGTCGCGACTTTTGCTCCAGCGAGGTCACAGCGTCTTCCTGATTGACAACAGCAAGACTGAACTGGAACACACAAGCGATTATCTAGCTCAGAATTTCTCAAGCAGCAAATATTCTGTGGCACTTTGCGATATATGTGAACCATTGCAAATAAAATCCGCCATTGAGAAAGCGGCAAAGTTTTTCAACGGGCACTTGGATGTCCTCATCAACAATGCCGCATATACCGGGGCAGTAGGAAGCGCACCTTTTGCTGAACTGAGCCTTGAGATGTGGAACAAAAGCATCCAAACAAACTTGACGGGAGCAATGTTGATGAGTCAGGGCTGTCTACCCATGCTAAGAAAAGGCGCCGGTCGCCAGAGGGGTGGCTGCATAATTCATATGTCATCAACGCGTGCACTTCAGTCTGAGCCAAATTCCGAGGGTTACGCAGCTACTAAAGCTGGCTTAATCGGGCTCACGCACGCGATGGCTTGCAGCTTGGCTGGCGACAGCATTGCCGTCAATGTCATTCTCCCTGGCTGGATTCATGTTGCAAATGAATGCAAAGACGGCGGTGCATGGGAAGATCTATTATCAAAAGAAGATCATAGATGGCACTTTTCGAATCGTGTGGGTAAGGTGGAGGATATACTACGAGCAGTTGAGTATCTAGCGGACGCTGAATTTGTCACCGGGACTGAGATGGTTGTGGATGGAGGCGTAACTAGAAAGATGGTGTATCCTGAGGTATAAGTTTTTGTCACCTTAGAAAAGTGTACAATAAATTAAAAGTCTATTTTCTTGGTTTGAGGAATTAACAAAACAATGATTTGTCCCGTGAAGTCACTCAGTACTTGACGCTCAAAGTGGTAGATGTTAGACAAAGATGAGTAACCATATGCCCCGACCTCATAAATTAAGTGTAACGGAGCTGGAACGTGGAGAAGAAGAACAAAAAGCTTATCTGCAATATTGTTACAAGATGTCAGTTGTACTCCAGGCCTAGACAACACTGGAGCGAGTCGTTTTGTTTAGACTTGACAAACCGGAGTCTCGCAGGACAAAGCCTAGACATATTTGTGTCCATTGTCAATAATTTCCGACAATATGTCGCATAACTGCCGGTTCAGATGTGTATGCTGGGAGATTTCAACTTTCGTACAGGATTCACAGTGACGATACAGGGATTTTCAGGAGTCCCCATGGCCTGGAATCATGGCCATGTGTAGGACGAATAACATAAATCTGTTTGCTATTGAAGTATTCCCCTGAAGATATTCTTTATCAATCCTCAAGTCGGTCCTTACACTTCAAGCATTGTCCAAGACCCTCACTGTCGAGGCTCGGTCCTTTATCGGATATAAAATGGACAATCCCTGCCCTCTTGACGCTCTGACGGCCATCTGTGGATAGCCGGCACGATCAGCTTTCAGATCGTTTCTATCATCTAGTGAATTCAATTTGTCTTCTTATTTTGCTTTCGCTACCTTCGACTGATTGCTCACACCATTTCCTACTGGTTCCTCTACTGCTCGACATCAATCCCAGAGAAACCACACTATCATTTCAACGATGTGACTTTTATTCTTCCTACAGTGGATGCGGGGAATAAGGACTTGGTAAATGATTGTCGTCTATTCTCAAAATTTTCAAGGAAGATCATCGTCGTCGTCCCGAATAATGGGATGGTGAAAGCAGCTGAAAAGACTTTAGCCTTGGCACGATTTCGATCAACAAAAGTTCCTATTCAAGTCCTAGGAGCGGGGAAAGCTAACAAACGTTTACAGGTTGCGTGTGTAATTCGTCACGTTCATGCAGCCATTACCGCAAAACTGATAATCACGTCTGATGTAATTATCATCTTCACATTTGAGAGGACCAAATAAGCGGAAGAAGAGCAACTCATTCAAATATCCATTTAGGAAACCAGGAGACTGCAAGATTGAGGTGCGATGAGCAGAAGTCCATCCGGAGTTGACGAATAGACCACCATCAAGCGCTTTTTTTGCCCTGACGTCGAAATCCTGGCGTTCAAGATACATGACACCAAGCATCTTCCAGAAGGCTGCTGTTGTAAAGTCCTTCTCAATACGAAGCGCACGTTTACTCGTCTCGACTGCACCCACTTTTGGGTTTTCAAAAGGGGCGAGTACGGTAGGAAGAAACTTCAGGCTTCGCCAAAACCCGTTACGAAGTGCGGCATGATTGGGATATCAACATTGTCCCGATGGACTTATGGACTTATGGAGACAACGTTGGGCAGCTATCCCAAATACTCTTCGCAATGTCTTCAATGGTCCTGAACGTTATAGCGAAGCAATTCTGCTAGTTTGTTTGTGGATCGTACAGTGTGACGTCGACAACCCTGGTGTGTATATGCTGTGTACATCACAAGCTTTGTCAACTTTGCCCTCTTCTATGACTCTGCTCTTGTCTACTATTTCAGTCAGACCTTATGGGCAAGCAAATATGTAATGATAATACTGATTCGCTGGATCATCTCGAGCAAGTTGGTCAAGCTGATACCTTACTTTATCCGGCATCCAAAGAACAAGATACCAGGTGTTGATCCCTAAGATCCTGCCTCCAGTATATGCGCACATAACGAATAACATGAATTCTTTTCTTCGAAAAGGTACATATTTGTAAGTATTGATATCAACAACACATACCCACTATTAGTGACTCATCCGGCGAGAACTTCCCTTTCTCCTCAAGCCGACAAATAATGATAGCAGTCCACCGAATCCGGCCAAAGCGGTCAAAACACGCATCAAATCCTGAAAGCTCAACGCATAGGCTTGCGCAGCAGTGTGGTGTCTATTGTGTATACTCATTCGGGTATGAAAAGCCGAATCTGCGCTGGCAATTGCTAAGCAAAATCCTGCCGTTCGAACAAAGTTTGCTATCAATGCTGTATCACGCTGTGGGTGTACCCCCCTTGACAGGTTATGAAGAGCCATGTGAGTGGCAGATATTGTGATACCGTGACCCAAACCCATAACAATCATAACAATGACACAGACTCGAAGTGTTGTACGCGTATTAAACAAAGCCGTGCTTGCAGAGGATATAATATTCAGTGCCCATCCGAGCCACAGAGGCCATCGATAATGATAGATTTTGGTAGGTACAAAATCAACGCCAGCATTGACTAGAAGCATGGTCGCGAGCATTGCGATTAGAATGAGTCCAATGGAAGTAGATGACAAATGATGTACTCCTCGAAGGTATGCGGGAATATAGACTAATTGTACGGAAATCTGGCTTGTCAGTAAGAAGCTATTCTCTTCCAAGTATTGTGCATTAGGGCAACTCACCAAAAGGCTTTGTACCAGCACACATACAAATGTGACAGGAGATACCTTTAAAACAATAACGGGCAAAAATGGCCGTGATGCTCCTGACGTCTCATATACCATTGTAGCCATGATCCCAAAGGCTCCAGCAACGAGCGCCACAAGCACTTCCCATTTAAGCTGTTTCTGAAGACTCGAAGCCCACGTAAGACCGAGCAGTAGTGCAGCCATACTAGCAGAGAACAGCAACATGCCAGTCCAGTCGACATTCATTAATCTCTTCTTTGACTTCAGGGATTCTCCAATTGGCTGGACAGCGAAAGGAGTCACGAGAAGTAGCATAAAGCAGAACGGAAGTGAAATATAGAATATCCACTTCCAGGAGCCTTCCCTCATGAACAGCCCACCCAAGACCAGTCCCAGGACCGCACCAATCGCGCCGCCGAAGAATATGACAAAGTTGTAGATTGTCCTGCGTCGTCCCGAAATCAAATCCATCAGCATGACGGAAGGAATTGAGATCATTGCTGCTGTACCAGCCCCTTGGATACCACGGCCGACTAACAGTACCAGGAACAGTGAAGGTGAAGCTGAGAGTAGAATCAAGCCTATAGTAAACATAGATAGCCCTCCTATGAGAATGTTTTTCTGGCCGAAGATTTCCATTAGAGAAACATAGCAGCGTTGCAGGGTTGCATTGGCGAGAGTATAGACAGTAATAGGCCACGTCGTATCTCTCGATGGGCTGGAGTGATATTTCTCTGCGATTTCCTAGGTTCTATCATGAAGTGATTCGAAACATTAAGAGCATCATTACTATCTAACTTACTGGAAGAATCGGGATTACTATCAAAGCATCCATGGTAACCATCATGGTCATAACAACAAAGCAGCCCACCATCCACCATTCACGCGAGGTCAATATCCAACCTTCATGTAGAGGTTGATCAGAATGTTGAGTTGTCTGCAATTCGATATCATTATCGTCACCGACGTTATTGCTGTTGATGTTCATTACAGTCCGGGAAGCTGTAGAATACGTTGTGACAATCGTTTGGTGTTTTGTGTCGTTTGTGTGGCCATTGGCACTGACACTTCCTCGGTTTTCCTTCATTGGTGTGGCGGCTGACTGTGAACAGTGTAAAGCCATAATTCAATTCTCCGAAGGACGATATCATGGAACCCTAATTGAGTTGACTGCTTTTTGGGAGTGCCCGTGTCTTAACTGGACGAGACACTTTTAAGCCTCGTTGTATTAGTTTTTTTTTCCCCCAATAATTCAAATGTTTATCCTAGACATTGGTCGGATTTATGGTGTCTGTCTCTAATGCTTATCGATATAGTACTGGAATGCTGCTGTGCCGGGTAAACGGGCCGCATATGAGATAACAGTATTCACTTTCCCACAAAATGCGGGTCACCCTACGAAAATAATTCAGTATTAGCAGGAGGAAAAATGCTTTAATTGCTTTTGAACGTATTTATTGGTTGATGCGACTTCAACTACGGTGTTACAGGTCAAGATCTGCAGGTGCTGGAACGTGGCAGGTAAGGGGTTCGGGATTGCTGAGGAATGACAGCTCCCTCTCATACCTTGACATGCAGGACATTACCGTAATCAGTTATTAACGACTATCAAGTCGTCTATATTTTAATGCTTTAGTTTATGGTAGGGATATGTGGTGTAGTATGTAGTGTTGTACAATAGCTTTTGGATTCGCTCCTCTAACCCTAAACTACTGAACATGAGGTGTGCTCCGTACGGTATCTCCCAAAACCATTCATCACCTGGGCATTGGCCCCTCTGAATATCTTCACATGCCGATATACAGTTGCAGTTCGTACATTATCTTCGATATACTCAGGGCAGTGCATAGTTGGTTGTCCGCTGGGGTGGTATGATGAATTCAAAGTTTGCCTTTTGGTCTCGTATAGGTAGCAAAATCATCAACCACAGAACCCAAACATGGCATGAAAATACATCACTATGCGGTCAAAAGTGAATTCTTTTCCACAAAGTATTTCCCAAGCGACGAGAGAAATGGTCCTGAATACCTTCCGCCATCCTATCGAATCACTGGGTCATTCTGTCAGTCCCAGGAGGCCGTTATCTGTCCAAGCTCGTCTGTTCCACAGTTGACATCTTGTCGTAAAGTTTTTTGAGAATTGTAAGACGGTCGTTGTTTTATTGTTACTTGAGCTAATGAGAGGACATTGGTTAGCATACGTATCAACCGTGTAGAATTAGAGCCGTGGGCCCTGATCTTCGCGCTCTTACCGCTCGTTCTTGCGCTAATATCCAAAGTCTCTTTCTCCATCCCGATGACGAACTCTGGCTGCTTTTGGTTGCTTTCTCTTTGAACATTGACATGCTGCTACTAGCCAGACTCTGAGCATCGGAATCGGTATCATCCTGCTTTGTAGCATCCATCTTGGACTGCTCAGCGGCGCGCCGGTTGGCCATCACAACCTCGTAGTTGGATGGGATTTGTCGAAAGTTAGGAAATCCGGAAGGCATGATTGAGTCTGAAATGGAATTCGTAGCAATCTGAGATATGGGCGATGATGGAATGATGTTCGAAGGCGTATTAGAATAGTCAATAGTCGTCGGTCGATGTGTGCACCGTTCAAGATAAGAAATTATTCTTGATAAATAATAAATTGGATTTATCTGGGATTATTGAGCAGATAATCAAATAGAAATCTCGTCAGAGCGTATCTACTCTATTTATAGTAAAGCCTTGAGCTTGACAGTAACATGAGCATGTACGTACGGTGTACATACGAGGTGCATGAGTGAGTCATGTTTGTACAATTCGTATCAACATGGTAGATCTCGTATTTGCTTCGTCTACAAGTTTATGCTTCCTATTATGGAGCCCGATAATCCTGTATAGGGGAAAACTAGACGAATTGAGGCTGTGGGAGGAAGTTAAAGTGCAAACAATGCAAACAGAAGTAGAAATACGGATGCTGATTGGCTGATTTACATTTGTAATTCTGATTAGTCAACAGACCCGGCAAACAATGCAACGATTATGACTCTTCCACTCCCTTTTCACTTAACCAAGTATGTACCCCGACATGGACCATAATATGAATGAGGCTTGGTCTAGAAGGGGTATCTGCAAAAATCCGACTTCGGAACTCACGAATATCATGTTTGTGAATTGTCACTGCTTCCATTTCTGTCGTGTTGGTCTATAGCCTCAATCGTTTCCTTTGGCCGCATCAGGTTCGGTCCTCCAAGTGCTCTATTCTACGCTCCTTGCAAATTCGATCCAGTACTCCTGCACGACGTCTACGGAATGGTTTACCTCATTGACCTCGTAATCAGTGGCGCCTGAGAGTAGGGTAATTGGTTGCGTTGTCAGTTCCCCAAACGACCTATTCTTACTTCCCAAGTGTAAGGTACAATACATCCCGCGGCAACCTCTACAGGATCGAGATAATTGTTGTGGATCACGTATATGAGAATGTATTTCCGCAGGTTTCAGGGACCGAAGACAAGAAATGTCAGTGCAGTTCGTGACATCGAGAGGCTGATCATATTGAAATCGGTAGTTCTGCACGGAATACAATGATGACATGCAGGCAGCGTCTGCGATACCAACATTCCAACAAGAATTATCAATTGCATCCATTTCAGTCCAGTTGCCTCCATATTCCAATGTGTGTAACAAGAAACTCCCGCCCCCGACTGACGTGCCGAACAATGTCACTTTGCCCGTATCCTTCGAATTGATGAATATCCTTTTGCACCCAGCTTATAGCGGCATGTTAATCAATCACAATACTGAGATTTCTTTCATGCTCTGGCTCTTTACTGGCCAGGAAGTCATATGGACCATCCCGGCAATTGAATACGACAACGATGATATTTGCAGCGCTCGCTTCGACGATACCAATACCGTTATAATGGGTTGGATTCCTCCACAGACGCGCCTCCTTGGATTTATATCAACACTAACAGACAGTTCTGTTCACTTCGTGGGTACATCAATCATTTTCTAGACAGATCGGGGCGTGTAGATATCTATGAAAAGATAGTCTTCAGACATTGTACCCATGTCCAGAACTCCGCACCACCATGTATCCGATTATTCGCTGAACCCACCACTAATTGGATGATAAGTTTTCGAATATTGTGCTTGTCTACCGTCGACCAAACAGTTCCTGCACCTCTGCTACTTCATCGGGCCATTTCAATTCGTCATCTAGAACTGTTGCTCATTCCGGTGCTCCGATCCTGATAGCACTCAATCTCGCTGAGTAGAGATAGAGGAATCGGTACGCAAATTGATCACCACCAGAGAACCCCATCAAGAAAATTTTATCTGTCCGAATAACTACCCACCGTAGCAATACCTCGTTTGATATATACGGAAGTTCCAAATGGATTACAAAGATTTATGATAAAGCATCTCGTACGAATCCAAGTCGTTTGGACCATCCAATCCTGCTAGGGAGAATGGCGCAAGGTGTTAACAGTGTCTGCATACGAGACAAGCTCTTCATAGAGTGCACTCAACTTCCGGCCTATTCCATGCAACCATACCAGGAGTGGTAGTTTTACAGGATTAGAGGTTGTATCGTAGCGTGTCGGGAGGATGTAGAGAGGATAAGAGGCCCGTGGATCGGCCTGCACAGCTTTCAATGGGGTATGACCTATCATGCAGGCGACTTTGAGAAGTATACTGGGGATATCGGTAGTCAAAATCATTTCGTTCGTTCTATTGCCCGTTAATACAGTACCACTATTCATGAACCGATAAGATGCTTGTCGTTTGTAGGCTTTGTATACTTGGGAAGGTTGAAAGCGAGCTTCGCAACGGAGGGCGAAAATAGGCCACATAGCCCTGTTTCAAATCCACTACTTAATCTCAAGGGTATATGCGCTTTTGAACCGAGGAGAATAAACTCAGGTTACAATAAATCCTTCCATATACTATCTCTTGTCTTCGCTGCCGATAGTTGGCATGTCCGAGAATGGCTGTGATGGACTTGCCATAATCTCGGAAATGTTCAGCACGAAGCGAGCGACCAACCTTGGAAGTGGTTATGTACCTATTCACTAGTAAAATCTATGTCACTGGCTGTGCATGCCATTATTTTGCTTACTCTGTACCTAGGTATACCACGCTAATACGACTTCGACACTTCGTTCCATGGGCAAACATTTTTCCTAGTATCTGTGTCAATAGACTCAAAGTCACTTTGCAGAAATCAAATAGTATACAGCTCGCTTAAGTATCATGATTTCCTATATTCAACATTTCTGAGGAGACTTTTCACATAGATAGATTCAATCGGGAATATAAGACTATAAGCGTCAATTAACTAGTGCATATAAGGCCAGTTGACATGACGTAGAGGTTGAAGGAGTATGTGCGGATTGACGGCCTGAAATGACTAATTTTCCGTAGCTAACTTCTCTGTCAAGGTTGGTCAACAAGACCTCGCACATTGTCGTGCGATCGACTGTGTATGGCCTCATTTTATCGTAAGCGCCAGCGGGAGGTCCGCCGCCAGCCGGGAGAGGCTCGACAGTCAGAACGTTGAAACGTCCACCGAATGATCTATCAAGTAAGTCGACTGATTTCTTGACAAACGATTTCCACACTTCGGGAGTCAACGCTTATTGTAAACCAAGGATGCCATCTTCTGATATTCGGAGACAGTACCCCTGGGCGCGAAAATCTCGTTTGAAGTCTCTTTCAAAGAGCTTGAACGGTATATTATGCTTTTTCGAAGCTTGAGCCAGACAAAGCCCGCGCAAGCCAGCTCCGACAATAAGTACTGGTTTCTCGGCAAAGGAGCAAGTGGGACTCATCTTGTGAAGCGTAGAGTATGGCTTTCTTGCTGCTGAGGATATAAACGGCTAGGCTGCAAGTAAACCCACTGCATACACCCAAATATTTATACGTCAAGCGCAGTAGCATGATACCTTGACAACATGAGCGATGCTAGGTAACTGCAATAAGTTACGGAGTAGGAGTTCGAGATGTTGTCCACCGATGTGATGCTAATCCTGCTATGGCTTAACTAATTACTATAGTAGTAGAATAATGGGTTATGGAGTGTAGGTGAACCATTGCAGCTAGCAAATACCCAAAACCCACTTAGAAGTAGACCCTCCTATAAGACCACAGCAGCTATGGAAATGCACCAAAGAGTCTCTTATTTGTATATAAATCTGATACAGAACTTGAAGCCCGAGGATTACCCCTCGGCGGCCTATGTCCCAGTAGGGATCGGTGGGAAACGTGCGAGTCACGAACCACGGCCGTTAAATACACACACACACACACACACACATCGACAGCCCTACTTTTGGATTCAGGATTGCTATTTTGCCACTATATTGTGTATATAAAGAGGATCAAGATGCGTAGCTAGCTGTGTTTTTTAGAGAGTGTGCAAATCAGTCAATTATTCCTCACCCAGATTGTACGCTCCTATCAGAGCCTAACCCCGTTCGGACTAGTACCAAAAGATTCCAATATGTTTACAAATGCTGTCTGGGGTCGACTGCACAGAGGATGATCTCGTCCGTTTGTTCCTGTCGGAACGTGAATATCAAACCCTACGCGTTTCGGCACCGGATTAGTTAGTCTGACGTGGCACGTGCGTGCAGCGTATATATCTAGCTAGCTATCCCCCGTCCTAGTCATAATATTAGGAATCAAGATATCTTCATATTGTCAGGCTCATTAGGCCGCTTCGTGTTCGCGCCTTACTGCCGTCTATGCTTCGTGATACGGACCGTAGTAAAACCAACAGATACTATTCAAGATTGGCCTGGAGTAAAACCAACAATCCGACAATCTTTTGATTCGATTAATTACCTAACGGGACTTAAAGGTCTTTCAGTTTGTCATTTCCGTCTTGTATGTGTATACCTTCCTTCACCACTGCCGATTTTTGTACATTTGACGGCCATATTCTGTTGTTAAACACACTTTCAGACCGCCAGGGATCTGGTGTCGGGAAAACAGTCGATAATCCTCACTGATGTTTTCAAATTCGTCTATGAGTGGGTAGTGGTCAAAAATCTACTCTGCCGTACGCACGCGAGGCATCACTTACCGTCGTACGTAAACATCCATGAGGGATCGTATTTTCCCTCAATCACAAGGTTAAGCAGATGTGGGTAGTACTAGGCAGACACCAATCGTTAGACCAGCTTCATATTCTTTTACCATGTTTCTCTCGGGGAAGGGTAACTAATACTTTTGGCCCGAAATGCTGCCCACCTCTCACAGTAATTCCCTTTTCCATTAACATTCCGATAGGAAAGTCATTAGTACCCCAGAAGAAGTCCCCAATAAGCGCAATGCGCCCTCCTTTGCGAGTAGACTTGAGGACAGCATGCACAGTATCGCCACTATCCGTTTCAGCTTTCATATACCGCATAGCCGCGTGCTTTGGCGTGTTTATACTACGGAATCCACTGGCCTCTATGCCACAATCGAGCCCATGAGGTTGCACCGATAGAATGTAATCGGACACGTTGGGATGGGCTACCACATCGACAGGGATCATACCAAAACTTTTTGCAATCTGTAATCTGGTTTGATCCTTGTCCACCGCAAAGACCTTACTTGCTCCACGCAACTTTGCAAGGCGTTGAATCGATAAACCCACGGCTCCGCAACCCCAGACAGCCACAATGTCACCTTTCCCGACTTCGGCTAATTCACATCCATGCCAGGCTGACGCTGTCACATCCGCCAACCCTAGAAGTTTTTTCGGCGAAATATCGTCTGGTGCTTTGATGCAAGTAAGATCCGCGTTTGGAACGCGACAATACTCAGCTTGGTCACCGGAATATCCACCCATCAATTCGGAAGAGCCGAGAATACCCGAAAGTCGATATCCGTATTTGGCCTCCATCTCCTTCGATCCGTTGGTATTATCACATAATGAGAATTGTTGTTTCTCGCAGTACCGGCATTGCCCACAGGCGATGATCGGTAGAATGATGACGCGATCGCCGACCTGTAGGCGACTGACTGAGCTCCCTATTTTTTCAACAATACCAATGGCTTCATGACCCATAATCCTCCCTTTCTCCATATACCTATCCAGATCGCCTTCATATATGTACAGGTCCGAGCCGCAGATTGTAGTGTGAGTAATGTGAACGATGGCATCGGACGGTTCAGTGATGGATGGCTTGGCAACCTCAGCGATTTCGATCTTTCGTCGACCCATCCATAAAGCTGCTTTCATGGTTTCTGTGGGATGAGGCTTGTATTGTGAAGTGGAGATAGGTATTCTAGATGTCTGTGTGTCAGCTCAGCTGATGCTTAGTTTTTTGTACCGAGGATCAGTGACCATACTGTTGCGCCTCTGCCATTGTATTTGTGTCTGCTGTTTAGCTGAAAAGTGAATTTTTAATGTTAACCTGTTGTACTGAAGGTGTGCAGTGGTTATGGTTATTGTAGAGGATACACAAATCGCAACTGATTCGTTTCAAACCCTATTTTATTGATTCCAAGTTTCCTAGCGGCGTTTCTTCTGAGATTCGTAACTTTTTGGGAATGCAAGAGCATAGAATTTCTGTATTTGTAAACGAATATCTTGTGTCGAGTTTTAAGTTATGCTGAGTTTCTATCGAAGTACCTTCCGGATCACCTGTGGCAAGCGGAACGTGAAGCCGCGGGGATGACTTAAATATTAGGTAGTTTCATCGTCGCAAAGTGTATTATACTTCGTACGACGCCACTGGCAATATGAATGAATTCAACAAATTCCCAAGAGAAGGATTCCTTCCTGTAATATCCATGGATCTTACTCTAGACCGATATGTATATTAAATAACTTGGTGGGACTAAGCGCATGGTGATATGGTTCAAGACTGGCGGAATCAATATAAAGTCGATTATAGGAGTTCCAAGGTTGTTAAATGATTCCACTGGCTTTCGCAACGCACCACACGGGTCATTCGGTCAACCTCATCAATTCTTCGCCGTCGCCCATCAATATTCAATATTTGAAGCCCAGTTTTCCTGAAAAAAAACCATATAAAATCAATTAACTAGTTAACTAGTGCGATTAGGACATTGCCTTCGATTATAAGAAGCGCGCGGAGCGAAGAATTGATGGGGTTGACCGAATGACCCGTGTAGTACGTTAGTATAAGGCTCTGTCAAGTTGGCTCGATTTAGAGGGAGATTTCTATCACAGTAGATACACACTGAGATATCAGGGGTCATAAATGTATCTTCTACTAGGAGGCCAGGAGTCTCCTGGCAGCTCTGTCCGTTTATCCGTCATGTGGCTATCTTCGTAGTCGAGTCATATGATTCAAATTTATGAACTTGGAGTGCAGGCTGACTAAAACCGCTGTAGCTTTCGCATCTAGGCACACAAAAAATGTGATATGCACAGTTTTGTATAGGAAATTCCAAGGTTCATGAGAATTTCGCCCAGATATCCAAAGTATAGTTAACGACTTATTTGTACCTAGATAGTATGAACGAACCGCGCAAGCGGATAGAGAGAACTGTTCCTTCATTTACTTTGTAACCGCTGTGCCGAGCTCTTGCTTAGAACTTCCACCGAGACGACCATATTTTACAATAATAGCGGGGGATATTGCTGCATAATCATACGGGGCATAGGTTGATACATGTCGTATGTGTCGGAAACTTCGGTCAAACTACCGTCGAGTATATCTCGGATAGCTTATAACACGCTGAAGTTATAAGGCTTCTAAGTACGAAAGGCTTCTTGAAAGCAAAGTCTTAATAAGAGGATGAATATCCGGTTCGATAGAAGAACGTATACTCAAGTTGTCAAAGCTAAGGGGTACTTAGCACGGTTAATTCAAGACGATAGAATAAAACTAAATACATGCTGTAATGAGCGTCCTTATATATTCCATCATCAACATAGAAATCATAGACTTTCTCTGATTTCTCTGATGCTTAGATCATATCCATCATAGAATATCTCTGATATCTCTGATACCCTAACCCTACTGGTTACGGATAATCCTCGCTTCCGTAGTGCAGTAGTGTAACACTATCTAGTCAATCCATTGGCTGCGGATTCTTGTTTCTTCTGACAGTATGGTATAAAAGGAAGATTCCCAGAGACTATAAACTCATATAACCCCGCACAATATTACATCAGACACAAGGGAATATGCTTCTTCTAGATCCTCAATCGAACTCTATTAGAGTACGTTAGGCTTCCACCACCTATACCAAAAAGCTGCGCGCATACTAGATGATCTAGTATGGTAGTATATAGATAGGATCACGTGTATGAGGTGAGATTCCCAAGAGAGTATTGTACAAATCCGCAGAATACTCGGATTAGGAGCCCGTCCATTAACTAAGCTTGGGGCGGAATCGGGCATCTAAAAACCGAGTCGACTATTCATCTACTCCTCCGGTTTTGTCAGCGAGCCCACAGAATTGGCGTGAGTGAGTGCGTCAAGCCTAGGTAGGGGCATTGCTAAAACAGCCTATCGTTTGGCACAATCCCGCTTATACTAAAACCAGCCAACCAGCGAAGCCGCCAGCAGATTAACTCGTAAGCTATTCGAATGGTCTGCAACCCTAACTCCAGATTAAGTGTGCATTTGATTATCTACAATACTACAGTACCAACAACTAGAGGGCCGTGATATGGGTTGTGGCGTTGAAATGGTCATTCGCTTCGTCACACATATAGCTGGGCATCGTCCATGAGTTTGAATCAGTTTGCTTTGTAACATTAGAACTGCTTTTAGCAAGTGAATACTCCACATAGGACTGGAAAGATCCAAGTGATACGGTTCTCTTTTCTTTTTCTTTTTTTTTCCCTTGTGATTCTGCGGGGGTGCACTAGATCAACGTGGATCTGGAGAGGAAATGCGGAGTCAATGATTCGACCGGCACTTGAATAATACACATGCATTGCATTGTTCCACGGGGTCATTTAGATGTGGCTTAATGATCCGTCTAACTAAATATCCTCAAGACAGCTAATTGGTGGGTTCCCCCGATTTTCTTCTGGACTTTTAGATTTTGATTAAAATGATTGCATCCGCCTTGCTTTTTATGGCACTTGACAACCATGGACTAGGGTCTGTGGCTAGTAACACTGACCAAGCTTCTACGTAAACATGGAGCTGACGTATAATTTTCACGATGTGACAGTACACGGGGGAAACGGACCTCATTAGGCTCACTAAAGAACCGTTCCAGCAAGTGTTGGTCTGAGGCATCGGCCTTCGTGGCGTTAGTGCCATTACACCTGCAAGTCAGTGCAGAAGTCATCAGGCCCAGTAAAGTGATTGAAAACAGGCTCAATGAAGAGCTGTGGGAAAGGAAGGGAACTGATTCCCCGTTTCTGCAACGTTCTCGCCCAATATGTATACATCATCAAAGGAAAGCTCGCCCACACATTGAGCTGGTGGTGTTGCTTAACCACGATGTTACCGTGTGCTCCGCTCTGTGCCAGCTGTCGGAAAGGAATGAACTGCCAGAAGGAGAACATCGCAGTTCTCGATCGCGTGAGCACTACAAATGAGACCCCTTCCCCTCGTGTTGTCTCACGCTGTCTTCCTCCCTACAGCGCTTCCTGTCATTCATGTTCAACGAGAAGCTGTCTGACAGCAAACTTTAAGTTAAGCATCATGCGCTTACTCTCCTTAATTACGTCTAGCATATTGCTTGCTAGTACGAGTGCAGAACAATTCCAGATCCCAGAAGTACAGAGTGCAGTCAGCTCTGCCCTCAGTCAGTACTCAAAGTACGTGCGCTATGACGGGCCAACTGGAACTGCAGCTGCGGCCGTCGCATCGGCCACTGCAGAAGCACATGCCTTCCAAGCAGCTGCTGTGACTGATCCATCGTACTGGCTGGCGGATATCGCTCATCAAGGATTTGCACCGTATGCAGGAAGCGGATACACAGTTTTCAGGAATGTCAAGGATTATGGTGCCGCTGGTGAGCAAATGCTCAAATAATTGCACATTGCGAAAATTGCATACGCACAGTCATGCTAATAACTATGGTTGTCCGACTTAGGTGACGGTGTGACTGATGATACTGCGGCTATTAATAGCGCCATCAGTGGTGGTGGCCGCTTCGGTCCTTCGTCTGGAGAGACATCTTCAACCACGCCGGCTATTATTTACTTCCCTGCAGGAACATACGTAGTCTCGTCATCGATTATTGACTATTACTTTACCCAGCTTATTGGAAATCCCAATTCTCCGGCTATCCTCAAAGCAACTGCGGGCTTCACTGGTCTCGGTTTGATTGACGGAGATGCGTATCAATCTAGCGGTAACCAGGGATGGACTTCAACAAACGTTTTCTATCGCCAAATTCGAAATCTAGTGTTGGATCTTACTGCTATCCCAGCATCCGGTGGAGCAACTGGTATCCACTGGCCTACGGCCCAGGCCACAAGTCTACAGAATGTGGAAATTCGACTCAATGCTGACGCTGGTACACAAGCCCAGGGTATCTTCATCGAAAATGGTAAGTGTTGAGCTGCCCTTTTGTGAAGCCGTCTTGGAGTCGTACGTAGACAAATGCGTTTTACTTACAAATTTCTTGTATTGTTCAGGCTCTGGTGGGTTTCTCACCGATGTCACTATTACTGGTGGCCTCTACGGCCTAAATATCGGTAATCAGCAGTTCACCATGCGAAATGTCACCATTTCTAACGCTGTGACTGCCATCAGCCAAATCTGGAATTGGGGCTGGACTTACACAGGCCTTACCATTGTTAGCTGTAATACTGCCTTCGACTTTTCTATTGGCGGGTCCTCTGCAATTGCCGCAGGATCAGTCACAATCATCGATAGTACCATTAGCAATACTGCCACCTTTATCAAAACAGCATGGACTACTAGCTCCTCTCCTGCGGGTGCAGGGAATCTTATCATTGAGAACGTGGTCTTGAACAATGTACCAACTGCGGTTCAAGGCCCGAGCGGCGTTTACTTGGCTGGTGGTACCACAACAATCTCCAGCTTCGGTCAAGGTCATGCATATACACCATCAGGTCCCAATACTTTGAATGGTGCTTTTGACGCAGCACCACGACCTTCCGCGCTTTTGCATGCCGGTTCATCCAATTATTTCACCAAGAGCAAGCCGCAATACGAGTCTTACGGAACGGATAGTGTGGTAAGCATGCGCAGCTCAGGAGCAAAAGGTGATGGCGTTACCGATGACACCGCCGCCATTCAGGCTGCGATTAAGTCGGCCGCATCTTCGGGAAAGATAGCTTTCTTTGATTATGGTATTTACCTTGTTACCGATACCATTTATATCCCCCCCGGCTCTCGAGTAGTCGGTGAGGCGTATCCCTCTATTATGGGAAGTGGCAGCAAATTTACCAACAAAGAGGCCCCTTATCCGATCGTGCAAGTTGGTAAGAGTGGAGATTCGGGAAGCATCGAAGCTTCTGATATCATTGTCAGCACCCAAGGTGGCGCAGCTGGCGCTGTTCTGATCGAGTACAACCTCAACGGAGCCCAAGGATCCGGTCTTTGGGACGTTCATACTCGTATTGGTGGCTTTACGGGCTCTAACTTGCAAGTCGCCAACTGCCCGAAGTCTGCAGCAGTGCGTGATACTTGCGAAGCAGGCTTTTTGTCTCTGCATGTCACGAGTTCAGCAAGTAACGTTTACCTGGAGAACAACTGGTTTTGGACAGCCGATCATGATATTGACGATCCTTCCAACACTCAAATTTCAGTTTATAGTGGTCGCGGGGCCCTGGTTGAAGGTAGCAATATTATCATGTGAGTGTTCCCGTGAGTATAATGAGTGGGATTTCTTTCGGGCCATTTCTTGTTCCGATGCCTTTTTTCCACTACTGGTTTGTGTCTCGTGCTGATGATCTCTTTACTAAAAACTAGGTATGGAACCGGCGTCGAGCACCATCAACTTTATCAGTACGAGTTTTCCGGTGCATCCAATGTGATGGCCGGATTTATCCAGACCGAAACGCCTTACTACCAACCACAACCAGATGTCAAATCAGGTCCTTATGCGTACAATGCAACCCTTAATGACCCGGACTATAGTACTTGCCTCCCAGGCAACTGCGATGCTCTAGGATTGTACGTCACCAACAGTCACTCAGTCTACATATACGGAGCTGGTCTATACAGTTTCTTCAACGATTACAGCACAACCTGCTCGAACGCTGGTAACGGGGAGGCCTGTCAAAGCGAGATTTTCCGTGTAGATGGATCAACAACTGGATTGAGGGTGTATACTCTCAACACTGTTGGAGTAACCAATATGGTTGAAGTGGATGGTACCAGCAAGGCCGTATACTCCGATAATATCAGTGTCTATACCGACGGACTCGCGCTGTTTACATACAACTAAATCAGCTCCGGTATTTGATAGTTTGGAACGCAGTTGCCTGCTGAGCGTAATAGTGCCGGAGGTATAACTACATTCACTACTGGGTATAGCTAGCATTCACTTTTTCGTTCATATTTGATCAGCTTCGCTAACCTATGTTGCCCAAAAATCAAAAGAAAAGAAGAAAAGAAAAATTTGTCTTTCACAATTATTCCGTGCTACTAGTAGTTACTCCGACTAATATCTACCGCTGACGAGGTGCTTCATGAAAATGAGATGGGTGACAACGTGCTTGCGCGTCTTATCGGATCACTTCTAGAGTCTAGACCTCGGGCAAGAGGAAAACCACAGAGGATCATCCACTACTTGTGCATCGGCCGTTTTATTTTTACATCAAACTGCCAGTGTGTTCCGACAGCCCCGGCTAGCGATATCAGCTCTCCAATTCCAGGCTCTTCTTATCGTTACAACACGTGTTGATACCCCAGTTTTTATCTTGATGGTTCGATCAATAAGCGATCCATCCATAGACAAGGACCCAATGATTTGCCTTCGAATGGGGCTAAGAAGGCAGTTATTTTAACCTTATTTGCAGAGCCGGCGCTATGGCGTTTTCATGTGGGTTAGCGGATCCATGGGTCTTTCATCTATTTTTTCTTCTCTGTTTTTCCAGAACGTCTGCAGTCCTTTATGAGTGGACAGTATAGCAATATCGCGCGTTTTTTCCCTGTTTGCTGGAACTTGTACCATGGTTCGGTCAGTCGGATAAAAAAGTAATTTGCAGCCAGCTGCCACAAAATGGAGTACGTTACCCCCACAGCTAATCAACGCAGTTTCCACAGGATGTTGAGAACCCGGAGCCATGGGCCACAAGCCTTCTTCTCGATGCTGTATCAGGCACAGGCACAGAAACACGGGCACAACCACCAATTATTTTGCTCCTTACTTGAGTATGATAGGATATTTCTGACCATTGATCGGCGAATTACTATCGGATAGAAAAATGAGAAAATTTTCCTTTCTTGCCTTTTTTCGTTCCACGAAAATGTCTTACGATGTAGAGTTATCGACGGTATAAAAAGAGACTACGAGCCCATCGGTCTCCTCATCTCCCCTCTTTTCGTGTTTCACCTCATTCTACATCAAGGACAAAAGCTCTTCTTGAAGGGCGTTCATTCTTTCACTCACAGTCGTTCTTTTTGACCACTCTGTCTTTACAGTCACTCTTTGACGGACGATCTCTCCATTCATTTATATACGAAAATAAAATCAAGATGATGTTCACCAAGACCATTGCTGCTATCGCCTCTCTCGGTGCTCTGGCTTCTGCTCTTCCTGCTACCTTCGACCGCCGTGGTAACAGTGCTGCTGGCGGCGTCGATATCATCAACAACATGGATAAGACCATTTACCTGTGGTCAGTCAGTAATACTGCTGACGCAGAAATGATCACTCTCCCTCCCGGGGGTCAAGGCTACTCGGAAGACTGGCGCCTTAACCCCGACGGTGGTGGTATCTCTATCAAATTGTCCACCACCCCCGACCAATCCGATGTCTTGCAATACGAATACACTCTGGTCGAACCCACCATCTACTGGGATCTCTCCTGCATCAACATGGGCAGTGGCTCTACATTCACTACTGCTGGTTTCGCTGTTACCTCCAATGACTCTGGCAATTGCCCTTCTGCTACTTGCAAGCCTGGCGACTCTGCCTGTGCGGATGCTTATCTCATCCCTACCGACGATCATGCCACTCATGGTTGCCCCGATGCTGTCCGTATGACATTGAACCTCGGTTCTTCCCCTGCTGAATAAGCTTGTATATATAAATTCAGATTGGATTTTATCTATAAATAGTTCTTTTTTCGTGTCATCCCCAGCTGTTTAGCGAACATCCATGTACTTCAGCAATCATTTTGTCATGCGTTTATGCGTGGGAATATGTTGACGACGTTATGGCGATGCTAAGGAGTTTATGAGGGCTTTTTTGTGATGATGTATGATACCATGAACATTGGAAGTCTGTAAAACTGTATGAAACATACTCTCCATATGTGTGCTCTGTACATGACTTACTGGTACTTTTCTTATGGAATGAGTTTCAAATACAGACGGCAGCATGCGGTATCAGTCGTGTGCTCTTGAGTGTGAAGGCTGGCCAAAGAAGACTGCGAAGCAAAAAGCGATAGAACGAAACGCAAATTTACGGGACGAATACTACCATTACATTTCAGATTCCTGCTCATATCATCTTGTTTACGTAGATGAATCTGGATGTGATAAAAGGATAGGATTTAGAAAGACTGGCTGGTCTCCTCTTGGCGTAGCGCCCTGTCAAGTAGCCAAATTCCATCGTGATCAACGCTTCCAGATTCTACCGGCCTATGCTCAAGATGGGGTTGTATTATCCCGGGTCTTTCAAGGCTCTACCGATGCCCCTGTCTTTGAAGATTTTATCGAAGAGCTACTTCATCATTGTGGAAAATGGCCAGAGCCGAAATCTGTTCTTGTCATGGATAACGCCTCATTTCACCACTCGGAGAAAATTGAGCAAATTTGCATAAAAGCAGGAGTCAAATTAGTATATTTGCCCCCATACTCGCCCGATTTGAATCCGTTCGAAGAGCTCTTTGCGGGGCGAAAAGCCTTTATCAAGCGGCATTGGCAAGCCTACGAAGACAATCCCAAGCAGGGATTTGATTCTTTCCTTGAGTGGTGCGTCGAAACTGTAGGGGCGAGGAAGCGAAGTGCAGAAGGGCATTTCGGAAACGCCGGCTGGACAATCGAGGAGCCGTGATGCCAGTATCTCTGTTCTTAGCTTTTCTCCCGATCATGCACTATCTGCCAAAGCTATATAATAATCTCGTCAAATTGAGATTATAGCCAATCAAGTTAATTATATGGTAGGTTTAGAAACCAAGAGTCTGTAGCATTTGGTCTTTTTCCATCTCTTTCACGCACTTCCTCTTTTCAAGCGTCTTTATATGAAGGTTGTTCGCGATGAAGAAAAAGATTTGTGAAAATCTTGCCAATAGTCGAGTCCTCCACAATCTCATCAATCCAAATATCTCCATTGTCTTTCTTCTCTTTGATTCCCCTTGCTTCGGATGTCCAATATTCCAATGTGATGCACATTTGATTACGATCAGGATCCCCTTGTCAGGAATTCCAATATTTCTGATGGCTCGGCTTTGAAAGTGTCAAGCCATGTGATTTCAAACGCACCAAAAGTTTCGGTCAAGTGTTTACTCGACTTACAGACAGATTCGAAACCTCCCTCACCTTTTTTACACACTCTCTTATTTATTTCGCCCCACCTTTAAGGCTGTTTCCTGAAGCTAGTTCTAATACGGATTGACTTGTATTTTATATTAGGGTTAGGGTTAGTGTTATTCCTTAACAGAATCTTTGTGCTGGTGTCAGATAATCCGGATTTCCAACGAGGTATAGAATCCAAAGGCCATCCTCAAATATATAAAACTTCACCTGGTGCACCTGAAACTCGACTTGAGACGTCATGGCCGTATTCCTTGGAACAGTGAGAACCCCAAGTCTGTTAGTTGATACACATCTTGGCAAAATATCTATATAAACCCGGCTTTGGAACCTGATGTACTCGGAGAGGACAGAGAAAGAGAATACATACACAATCGCTAGTTACTTCTTATTTTACCATCCTTGTAAACAATTTTTCAGGATTGGACTGGAGTTAACCCACCAATCCGACAGCTGGCCCGATAATTAATTGGTCAAAGGTATTTCTGATGATGGCCATGAAATTATGCTAATCGCCAACGCCACAATTGTACTCCCTAGGTCCTGTCGAATTTTACTAAGAAAGGTGTTGTACGGACTCCTTCTGCACTATCACTAACAGAGTCACATGTAGATATGCTACGTAGCAGTACCAAAAGTTCTAACAGTCAAATTGAAGTAAATTAAAGGGTTCACTTTATCTGACGCGACCAAAGAGCGTTGGACGACAATCAGGAGAAATTGCAAGGCATCTCAAACTTTCGACTTTGATTCGCTTTGGCTTGCATGACATCTAGGCTAGCCAACTACTCAAACCCGTTTTTCAACGCCCTTAAAGCCAAACGGTAGCAGGTATCCATCGCGAGGCAAAAGACCCCAAACCAAAACACGCCGCGCGGTGCCCACGCCCACGTACCGGGCATAGTGAACATTGTCTGCTTCTGTGGATTGATATTCCACCAAGGCAAAGGTACAAGACTGTCCAGTATACGATTCCTCACGCTCCAAGATAACCCCATATATCTTGTCCGGCATCAACTTGACCGAATTTTTGAAATGCAATGTGCAAGCATCGGCCCTGGTTACATCTTTCAGGTTATGCTGCATAAGCCAATCACCGGAAGTGGACTGAAAATCCTCACTGCTTATATTCAACGCCACCACAGATGGAAATAACCAAGAAGACAAAGTTGATACCTGCAGGCCTCTGGGAGTGATTTCGCCTGATGTGCTCCCCAAAACATGGGGCATACCGGAAAACTGACACACTTTCACTGCCCATCGCATCCCGTCATCTTCAAAACGTGGCTCTTCCTCAAACAAGATGCCGCACGGAAACTCGTCTAACATTCTGTAAAAGACACGCATTCGCTCTCCGGGACCGCCCTTGGCGTCTAAGATCGGTTTGACGTCCAGATTCAACACACCAGCCAAGATGATCGGACGATCTCCGGGTTTAGTCGCAGTGCGTGTGCCCACGTTGTATCAATTCGCGGACAATAGGTGACCCTTGTCAAAAACTGGTTCCGCAAACGGGCTTCCAATAACCTCTAATGTCCGTAGAAATTTCGATGCGTAATCGATCGATTCCTTGAAAAACATGAACCAGACCGACATCGCGTGATATGCGACTCTTTCTTGCAAGATCGGTAATTTGTTCTTGTCAATTTTGGTGAGAATCTCGTCGGCGATGGTGGATATATTGATTGGCTTGTCGGAAAATAGCATATAAAGACAGTATTTGGCCGCAAGGCCTTCTTGAAGGGTCCATAGGCGGCGCATCCAGCCTGAGCAAAATACGACTCGTATCAGAAGCTGGGTCCGCGAGATAGAGTTAGATTCGACTTGCCGCATTTCGGAGTCAAGGATTAGCACTCGATATGCTGATATCGTAGATGAGCTTTTCTTATACTCTAGAACCTTGAGAGAGGTCAATAACCATACCGTCGAGATAGACCTGGCGAATCCGCTGAATTGCCAAACTTCGCACGTCCCGTTGATGCGGGATACACAACGTATCAATCCACACCAGTACTGACTTATCCTTACCACGAGCCTGACTGAAAGCAAAATGAGTCAGTCGAGACACACCGGTTTCAATGTGCTCCAAGGGATCGCCGACTTGTCGTGGGATGTATTCCTTATCTGTCACGAGACGCCTCGCCTGCTCGTAGAGAAGTCGCACCTGACAATTAGGGAGCGAGTTACCATTGGGATTTCCCATTCCATCGGACCACACATGCGAGATCGCCACGTATTGTCTCCCGGTTCGTTTGCGAACAATCTCAACCTTGAATCCTGCATCTTCCTCCTCGCCAGCCAGGGGTGTGATTTTGACAAGAGGGATGCCTCCATCCTTTAGAACGGTATGCAACTGTTCAACATCCGCCTGTATATGATCGCATCCACATCCTTCTGTAACGTGCCTCATCAAATAATTACTTTCATCAATATTATGTGCCACGCATTCCGTCAGCTTACATGCAACATGCGTCCTATTATCCCACGTCGGTTTTCTGCGATTAAGCTGAAGCAGATACGCTATAGTATCAACATGGCAGCCCGTGAAACGCGATTTCATTACTTCCCATGGACACCATTCGCTCTTGATCATTCGAACAGTCTCATAGGTGTCACTTAGTAGCCACTTCGAAACGTGCCTGGGTTGAGTCCGGGGTCCGTCTCGTTTAACAGAAGTATTCCAGAGGGCCTGACAAATCAAGCGTATTGCTAGTTTCATCTCATCCCGAAGAGTGTCCTTGAATGTCTCCAGCTCTTTACAGACCTTTTCCACGATTGTCACGGCTCGTTCACCGTATCTTTTATTCTTCCACTCCTGTACATTATCCACATAATCACGTAGATGAGTAGTAGTCAAGAACTGCTCCGGCCCTTCCAAATTATCTTCACTTTCTTCGGAAAGAAGAAAATCAACCTGGTTCAGCTTTTCTCCAAACACGTAAAATAGCATTCCAAAATAAAGCCAACACTCAACCTCCTTGTCGTGTTCTAACGAGAAACCAATCCATTCTATGTCACCCTTCTCGTTTTTCCATCCATGGCGAGTCGGGTATTCATCCCACTCGCCTCCATCGTATAGCGGACCTTTATATTCTATCCGAAGAGGATTTTGAGGCTTTTCAGGGAAAAATAGATGTTCCGCCATTGTAAGTCTTTTGGCGTTTTCTGAGATGTTTTGGTTAGTCGCCCAGGTATACGCGTTTTCTCGTGTTTCAGCCCCACGTTGGTTCTACCTCTGTTAATTTACATGGGTATTTTAGTCAATTGACATAGTGATGGCTTCAGCTGAAAATATCACGTGAAAAGCTGGACATGTCAAAAAGACAACCGCCTACAATTTTCAGTTCGTGATTCTGGGTAAAGTGTGGTTAAAGGAAATAGAAGTACACATTGGAGGGGACAATTCCTGGGCTAAGTCGGTAACGAGTACAGACCTGTACAGACCTACTATGCACCGTTGCAAACGAAGCATAAGAGACAACAGCGGATCCGGCGTGGAAATACACTTCTAAAAAAAGCATATGAACTCAGCATTATGGCTAATGCCGAGGTTTTCCTTGGGATGAGATTTCGTGACACTGGTCGCATCAAGACATTTTGTGCAGATACAACTGGGATTTGGTCATCGCATTTATTGCATCTGGTAAGCTTCGTCACCTTTTTGTCTCCAGAGCTGATCGAAAAGGACTCGTATTATCCTTTACCAGAATAAAAAACACTGAGCGATTTTTCTGAAAGCACTTTGAAAGAAAATTGGAGGAGAGAGCAGCATGACACTTGAAGAGAGAAACTTATAGTATCACAATGAAAGATAAGATACCTACCTAATCACATACCACGCTATAACCTGATGTAAGAAACCAGGAGAGTTAGTCCATGTAATGTCATCTCGATTTTTACACAGTTTTTAGTGCTTCCACTAATGTATCTCTCTCAGCAGCATCGTCCTTCGTCCTCCGTAGTGGATGTCCAAAGCCTCCAGGACGAAGATTACCAAATTAGGAAAAGATTACCGTAATGGGAAAAATGCCTGGCATACGAGACTACGTATCATGTCTTTCTGGAAAAATAAGGTAGTATTCATTCGATGCTTCCCTTTACACAAAACATGTCCAGTCTCTAATGTATCGTAATAAGGCTTAGTCTAGCCCAATTACCGGAGACCTACTCTTCCCAGACAGTCGATGCAGAAGATTACGCCTAGGTAGACAACATATCCGATGAAGGTGATATAGAACTACCAATAATTCCTTAGCCCACAACACCCACTAAGAACCCTCCCACTCCCCGGCCTCCATTCAGGATACCATTATCCAGGTCAGTGCATGATTGATCTGCTGGTTGGCCAGTATAAACAGTAACATCAGCCTCATTTTGTCCTTTCTCTGTCGCAACACAATATTCGGCGCCAGCCCATCCACTGAATTGTTGTTCGGTGTCGGTATCAGATGTGAAATAGATGCTGTGGGCTTCGAAGCCAATAGTCATGCAGTCACCAACAGTACCTTGATCGCCTTGGAAGTCCTCATGACTGGAGAGCAGATGATTAGTAGACCATTGCAAATATATTAAAGATCAAGAAAATACCTAAAGTCTGTACCGTCTCCCGAGCAGTCCGTGCTAGAATAGATGATAAGGGTGTAAGCTTGAGAAAGGGACAAGATGGACGCAAAAGCAAAAATTGAAATTTTCATTTTGTGAAACTTTGGCCGCGCCAGAAATAAATGTGATTCGATTGCCTGGACAAATATAGGGAACTTTAGAGATGAATCTTCGTAACAGATATGATGAGAAGATAAGATAGTTCGAAAATTTTGCAATGCCTAGGGTATCAAGCAGTCTTTTATACCCATCAATTTTTCTTCCAACACGACACTCTTACCTAGGTAGATTTTTCAGTTTTTGTGCAAAGAGTTGATCTATGACGTTCTGTAGCTCGTATTCATTTCGTGGCTGTTGGTATTTCCATCGTGCCAAAGTACAAATATCGTGCGCGGTAATCTTAGCAGCCTATGAAAAATTGAATCAACTTTCTCTCTGTTGGGATCAGCGACCTCCAAGACTTGCGTCTTTTGTATGTCCTCGAGAACAAAAGAGACACGAACGTACTTGATATATAAATAGAAAACAAGTACTTTATGATGATATTTCGGCCCCAAACTCGTCGTCGATCGATTCGAAACAGGCCTAGTTGGCGATCTGAACTTTTGATGATGGATGTGTGTCTCGTAGGGCCGTCAGCACCTAATATGTACCCGCATTTTTGCGGCTCGTCATCTCTTACCAATCACAGAAGGGCATGGCTACTTAGGTATGTACGTAAATAGAAAATTATGCTTTGTGGAGAGAGCACTATGGTCAGTGTTGCGACTTACAAATGTACCATAATGTATTGACCTGTGTTTATAGACATGTGTGGGACGACGGCGTGAAAGAAACATACTGTTAGAATGTCGGAACTAAAACGTAATACCATTTCACCAAAAAGGACGCCCTTAAAGGGAATTAGGTATTTTTGAGGTATTTGCGAACCGTTCCGTAGTTCGACATCTGTATCCTGCTAGTCACGTGATTTTATTTCCAACATAGAACCAAAATCACGTGACTATCATAGCAGACGTCACGTGACATTATTAGTTGTCGGAACGTTGGTTTACTAGAGCGATGACTAAGCGAAGGCAAGCACTTAACAATATGTATACGTATATGGAACTAGGTCTATTTTCCGGCACTCTCCCTAAACCTCTATCTAGGAATCTTGAATCTGTTTTTATATACAAGCCTCCATAGAAGTGATATCACCAAAAGTCGACACCTGTGCAAATCTCCCAACCGGAGACCTAGAAAGAGACCAATCAAGTCATCATCATCCCACTATAGTGCGTCCGTTATAGCAGAATACGGAAGTCGGACTATGGTACGGTTCGCGAGAATCGCAAATACCCGTGCGGCCAAGCCCGCGACCTCACGCTGCGCGTGAGGGTGCTTGTCACATAAGTGGAATTGTCACATAAACGGAAAATCCATTTTCTAAGTCTCCCCAAAGCATTACAAACCCCCAAAACACCACCAAAATGCCGTCCGAGGAATCAAAGATTCAGAAAGCGTTAGAGTCATATAGCAAAAATCCGAAGCAAAAAAATCGCAGAGTTGGCGCGAGAATTTGACGTTCCTTACGAGCGACTCTGGCGACGCGTACAAGGGAGTGCTTCTCAACTAAACCGACGACCAGCGCACAAGCGATTGTCGGATGATCAAGAACGCGTAGTAATTATATGGCTTGAAGATCTAGATGATAGAGGTGTCCCCCCAACCATCTGGGTGATCAAAAACTACACAGAAAAAGTGCTCCAAAATATGCATCCTAACGCGGATCCCCCTCCTCGACTCGGGGATCGTTGGGTCTACCGATTCTTCAAAAGACTGCCTAAGGAATACAAAAAGACTATCGATCCGGATTGCTATCTTGCTGAGGATCCAGGTGTCATAGAAGCATGGTTTGACCGTCTAAGAATCCAACTAGAAACGCATTACACCGCCAAAATGTCTATATAAACCCAGCTTTGACCTGATGTACTCAGAAAAAGACAGACAGACACACACATACATTCTTGTTAGTCATAACTTCTTGCCCTATCTTTACTACTCAACGTAAACAGTGCGGAATCATACGCACGTAAACCACCCCAGGACAAGCCGTCAAGGACCCAGCTTATCCGACAACTATCGATATTGGGGTCAGTCCTTAACACGGTCCCTCTCTGTTTTAGTGCTCACCTATCGCCAGGTTGGCTCACTGAGTAGAACTCAGCCAGTCTTAGGTTTTGTTACAGTTTAAGTTCTAAGATACGTGCAAAAAGAATAAGGGACACAGGGTCATGGGCATCGCATCTATCATTTGCTACACCACAAGTGGTAGGAGAAGAGTAAGTGAGGATTTTTACCAAGTTACGGAAGTATTACCTTATTAGAAAAAAAAAACATGAAATAGTCAATATGAGCCCAATAGTCCTCTACCGGTTTTACTATTGATGCTCGAGTTAATTAATGCAAAAATTTATCAAATTTTATTGTTGATAATTTGAAGTGGACGAACAAGATGATGCGATAAACCAGTTAATAAGATAAAAGTAGATTGCATTCATCACGGTATAAGTGCTGGCTGCAATACCCCGTAGTATGGTTTTCTCCTCGAATTTTCACCAGCCTTATTTGTTCAAAAAACCTAGATTTCTTCTTTCCTTCATAATGCATCTTTAGATCGGTTGGCGGCGTAGTACAAATGGAAATCACTTCAGGTTACCGGATTTGGCCTGAGAGAATGGACATGTAGCTACGCCTCTCGTCCTGATAATATCCATATCTGACCTCATCTCTTCCATTCCTTTCCCTTTCTGTGGTTCCGGTCCGATAGTCATCAAGTTGTATCCTTGTGGTTCATACCGGTCTCCGCGAGATCCTGGCACCTTGCCTCCTAGTATTTTGACCAACAATGCCCCAGGTCCCCATTTCGACCAGAAAGTAGGTCGGATATACCATGGTTGCAGGCTCTTCCGCTCGAAGTTGTATAAATTCGTTCCAGGATTTGGCATTTCGTGTACTAGCTTGACGGCTAGGAAGGGGGGCCGCGGAAGGGCAAGATATCGAAGAAATAGCCTTCGAAAGTATCGGACGAGGCCCAGTACCATAATGAGGATAGGATTGGGGGATTCAATACTAGGATCATAGCAATATACGTGAGCTCACGATAAGAGTGAAGGCCAGAAGCATCCCTTTGAAATCATTCAGGAAATTGAGAGCTTACCAGAGACTCGTTCTCATGATCTTGTCCAAGTCAGCACTCAACATCTGTCGTACAATTGTTCTTAAGAAACTGGGTAGTGCTGAAATTGCCGAATCGATGTAGACCCTAACGTATTGATCGTTCGTTGCGGTCGGCCGTGCGACTTCCTCTTCATAAGATATAGTCCACTTCCTCAATTCCATCGCGAAGTGCAGGCCATCTTTCCATCCTTCTGCTTTTGACGGAAGTTGATCAAACGGTATTCCCATGTCTTCACCTAGGTTTTTGTGGAAGATACCAATGGCACATTTCTCAACATCGGTAAGTTCCCGCCATTCTTCTCTCTCAATTACGTTTAGGATCTCCGCGAGACCGTCCCCCAAGGTATGGAGGAGATCATTATTGGTTATTTTATTTGCCCGTCGGTAACGGGCATGGCTAGTAGGCACCACGAGTCAGTAAACGCTATCATTCTTCCTTCAAAGAAAGCAATACGACCGCAAGGGTATCCAACATACAGATAATTCATTCGCGCCACGGCTGTTGCATAGCGATCAGAATCTCGAGACTTTGACTGTGCCTCTCGCAAGAGGATTTCCGTGTCAACAGCGCGCTTCCCCGCGTTACGCCTATTGTTCTGACCTGTGGCTGCGAAAAGCTTGGACATGGTTGGGATACCACCTGCCTGTTTTTGAGACTCATAAGCTTAATCTGGTCCTAAAGGGTTACTTGTCATACCTTTAATAAAGCTATCTGACGAGCCTTAGCAAAAGCATATGGAAATTCAAGTTCCTGTAACTGAGCCATAATTGCATGCGCTTCTTTGGTCGTCATGCTTGATAATTCTCTCTTCCCATCGGTGAAAGGGCGCCCAATCTCTATCATACGGCGGTAGCGATGCCGTCTAACCAGGGCTAAATAGATGGTAAGGGCCAGAGCAATAATCAGGTGGGTGTTGTTGTATAGGGTGTGAAAGGGGCCAGTGTTGTCAAGCATCCTGCCAGCAGTCATTCGAATTTGTCCGTCGCTATATCTCAGAGAATTATCCGGTCACTTTTTATTTTAGGAGGTGGTCAAGGCTATTTAAGAACGAATCTCAATGTAGCGACATCCCAACAAGAAAATAGATGGGGATGGGATAATTAGTGGTTGAATTTGTTGGGTGCTGATTTACATCCGTGGATTGATTTTTCCGAGGTAACCTTTGAGGTTGATGCCGATGATATTATAATCAATCACGACAGGAGCACTGAGGTAAATTGATTGATGAGGTCCTCGAGGTTACTCGCCAAAATCCTACTCACTTAAAATATATATCTGAAAAAGACCTCAAAATATCATTCTTTTTTCCGTTCAAATGGCCGCACAGTGCTGTAGTGTTTTGCGTACAAGGTTGGGAATATCTCGGTATGTGTCTATCTCATTGCAAAGCAGGTGCCAGAGGAAGACGCTAAATGGTACCAATGTAGACTGCAAATATGAATAGATATTGCTCTTCCGGAAAGTCAGTAGTACGGTAGATTCAACGTTGGTTCAAGAGGAAGCTGATATGATTATATTATATTAGCTAGATTTTGTATATTCCAGGTGCTGCATGACTTTGAAGACCTACACCAATACGAAATATAAAACTAGTCTTTTTGGACAATTTAATTTGTTTTCCGAATGCAACCTCGGAAGTCATCTGGTTCTCGCCACGTGTTTGCTAAGATTTACTTTCAAAGCTCAGTAAAGGGATAGCAAGGAGATGAAGGCCAGTCCTGTGAGCTTCACGCTCCTGATGGAGATAAAACAAAAAGTGAGGTGCCCAACACGATATTTACATGTGAATACCTTCACTTCTTATTATTGTTGTCATTGTTGTTATCAAATCCGAGGACTAAACCCCTTCCTTGGACGAAGAAGCGTCTGTTGCGTCATACTCGCCAACAATAGGCCCTTCCCATCCCACACACGACCTTCACTGAAGGCTCTAGCATTTCCTGCAATAGCAGTCCTTGATTCCATAACATGGCAATCGCGAAGATCGACCTCATGGGTAAACAAGCGAGGCGAGAAATCCAAACTCGTGCAAGCACTCGCGTCCGTAAGTGAATATCCGCTATGACTAGCGGGAATATAAGCCAGTCCTTTGTCCATGTAAAACGTGAAAGCTGAGATCCGTTCTGCTTCGGTATTAAAGGTCGCCTAAATTTTGAAATGTTCTGCAGAGATCTTTGAAGAAGCGGAGGACGGGCCTGAGGTGCTGTCCTGGCTGCCAAATTCCATCCCTGTGTTTGCGGTAATCGCTATGGGCTTTATATCAACGAGCCGCTCAACGTGACTATAGAGTCCGCTCTCGATCGGTTTGGCATTGAGTGCCAGACCAAATTTCCCATCGCTGCTGCTCTCCGTACCATGTAAGTTCCTACTTCAAGGAGACGTGGAGTAGACCACCATGGATCTGGGTTCTAGAATATGAAAGTCCGCAGAAGCAATTAGACACAACTGCCGAACTCCATTATTAATCTCCTGGAACACCCTTATGTAGCGTGTCTGGAATGACCGAGTGTCCTTGAGACTTTCAACTTCACAGATTAGCTGGCGGCCTGTATCTGTGGCGTGGACAAAATGACCACAGATAGAGTAGAGATGATGAGACGGTTTAACTGTCTGATATGCCGCGTTGACTGCAACGCCGAGCGTATTTCCGCCGAAGGCGAATGAAGCTCAATCTCCCATTCGAGTGGGAGGGAGAACAGAACGATAGCAGCCAGGGCTGATGTGCTCAACTGCTAATTGATCTCTGAGAGTAGACATGGTGTCTTTGTCTTGTTCTTGCAAGATGATTCCATCAAAGAGGCGCGAGAAAGCGCGTGAACGTAGTCTGTCTTAAATTTACCTGGGTTGAGGGGCTGGTCGACTTTTGAATCTGCATCAAGGACATTAGGAGCAAGAGCAACAAGCGTTAGTACCGAGGCAAAGATTAGTTTCGTGACTTGATGGTATCGCTCTTAATCAGACATGATGACGGAATCCGGGCCTGATAACCGACTGACAAGCTATTAACACCAGAAAGACGCCGAAACAGAAGCAGTTCATAAATGAGCCAGTGGGACAATCAAATCAACATAATTTATTTATTTTCACATTCTTCAGGTTATTTTCTCGGCTAAGCCAATCATGAACATCATGGCTGAAAGCTTTAATTCCGAGTATCCTCAGACTTGTCCAAAGGATAAGATTATGAGAGCATGGAACAATTCCCAATTCTAAAAGTAATATCGATTTGTTGGGGCCGACAAACCCTAATACCGGTACCGGATCTGGACCCAACGCTTAATGAGATACCGAGGCCCGCTGCAATTGATTATAATATCATGGAACTTAACAGGAGAATGACTCTCAAATTTTGCAATCATTCCCAGTCTCCTTCTCAACTCTATTCTCGAGTTCGCACCACATCCAGACGTTAACGGAGTTAATACAAGCTCTTCTTTGAAGACCGAGACTTCACCAGGCTACTTTCCAAGTCATGCCAAAATCGAAATGGTCGATACAACAGAATCTTTGCCCACCAATCTACAACTAAAGACGTCGAAGAGCAGACTCGGCAGCCCCCGGCATAGTCGCAGGGCCTCCGGAAGGCCTAGGATTGATGCTCCCGGTGTAGCAGTGTTGTCCAAGGTGAGACAAAATCTTGCATCTACACTTCACGTCCATGTTAACATTAAATTCAGGATCGGAGAGACCAGGTACGACGAGCCCAGCAAAAGCACCGGCTTAAGCAGAAATTAGCATTTGAAGATGCAGTGTCCCGGCTGTCAGAGGTAGAAGCACAACTGGAAAGAGCCAGAGGTGCATTTTCCAATTTCTACAGACTAGCCTACCTGTTAGGGTTGGACGTTAGCCATCCGAGTCTTCATATACTTATTGAGGAGCTGCGAACGGTTCTGGACACGTCCGAATCGTCCCAGTCGGCGGAGAAGGAGGGGTTGAAGGAAAATACCATTCCAGCTGCTGTTATGACTAGCAGGGATCGTGATTTGTGTGAGGTATTGGCGGCTCCTAGACATCGAGCCCTGAACCAATCCTCGGCCGTCGTGCTTATTGAAAATTCGAAAGAACTTTATAGTGCTAGAGTCCACTGCTCTCCAAGTGAGACCGCTTCTGACCCACAATCCATCGCTCAGGAGACCCAGGACAGAGCACTGACTGTCATCAATGAGCTCGAAAGACCTTTCAGCGGCATTCATCACATAACTTACAGCTTTCAAGAACATACATTCGTCAGAAAGCTACACCGATACTGTCTAGAATACGCGTTTCGTCTATTCATCGACCCTTCCGCCTCTCCATCAGCCACTTACCGCGTCTTCAGACTCGTTCCCTGCATGCGGGATAAGAAGAAGATGTACCCTTACTTTCATAGACTGGTTACCGGAGGAGCTCAGGATGCGCTTGAGCTCCCTAGTCTCCCTTTCTATTGTGTTGGCGGTGCGGGGACGCACTACCCTCGGACGGACGACTCAGGAAGGCAGATATATCCTTCAAATATGCGGTTGCCGAGGAGGGTGCTAGGTACCTTGCCTATTATTACAAGCGTTGAATCTGACGACCCTGGTGAAGACGCTCGAAGGCTACTCAAACTCTTCGACCTCGGGGGTGAGTATTTCGATTGCAATGATATTGAGGGATATCTTCGAGCCCGTGGTGTAGATTTGAATCAGAGCTGTCTGTTCCCTCCAGTGTCGATCCCAGGGAACAATGATATACCATACCAGACATATGATATAATGCAGCTACGCTCGGGGCGGAATATTTGTCCTCCACCCACCCACACCTTGGATGTAGAATCTTTCTTTACAAGTATGTGTCAGACCATATCTCTCTCACTTTTCCAGTTTATGCTTACCAATAATGCAGAGGTAGTTAATGGTGTGATCATACTGGGCCGAGTCCCTGGCTTCCGAAGGGATGATGTTGAGCGTGCTTTTTATTCTTCGCTGAGGAGAAAAGCTACGGCATAGCTAGGCTGATCAGCCTGGTTTCTTTTCGAGGATGGCGGGACTATCCTAACAAAAGTCGAAAGCAAGAGATACGATACGCAACTGGTCATATATCTAGGTGGATACTTGTGGACGAGAATAACCTCATATGTTCATACTAAGGTATTTTCATGCATACTTATAAGAAGCATATAAATGGACCTATTAATCAGGTCCTAATGTACACCTTGTAATAATAGCAAGAAAAAATAATCAGGATATTATCAGGCTCATCCAATTGCTTTTCCCAACCAAAAAAATATAATTTAAATAAAGAGATGTCAGGGTTGATTGACATGATATCAACCAGAGTCCTGATTATCACTGTGCAGCGTGGATTCTACATCTACAACCTGTTTTCGTTCCGAAACCTCTCTAATTTCGAGTCTTTGCCGTAAAGCTTGTGCATTCATAAGCGTCAATCCTTGGGATGATGATCGTGCGACGAATTCTTCGCGAGAAGGTTTCGTTGTCGTCGTCGAGTCTGTTGTTGTATGTTTGACGTCAGGCTCGGGATAAAATGGGTGTAAGCGGTTAAATGATGTGAATCGTGCACGATCATTCCTCGTGACTGGTGATTGTCAATGGAGAGGCTCAGAACTAAATGATAATCGGTTGAGGTGAAGGTAGACGTCGGTTCCATAGCTGCCAACATTTCATGGCTGTGGGCAGAATTCTTATTGCACCGGTTAGCTCAAATTAGCTGGCCAATCAGCGGTCATGGGTAATATTTCTCCATAAAAGCCAAAAGCGATTCCCCCATTGTTTATTTTTACCGGAAAGGTCATATTGGAGAGCTGGTTTCAAATATCTCCAAGAAGATGACTGGATAGTTACAGTAAGCAATAAAGGATTCTCACATCATCAGATTGCATACGATTGGCTCAAACATTTCAACGGACATACACAAGAACGAGCTGGGAATAACCATCGGCTTCTTATTATGGACAATCATACGGCTCACCTCACAAAGGAGTTCCTCAGTTATTGCGAAGAAATAAAAGATCATATTAGTTGCTTGTACGCCTCATACAACTCATATTTTACAGCCCTTAGATGGGATGCCATTTTTGCACTATAAACACGTTCACACGAGGGCTATAAACGAGCAGGCTCATCTCGGCGGCTACTTTTACGAGAAATCGACTTTTTGGCCAATATTGCTCGCGTACGTGCTGAAGTTCTTACTTCACGAGTAATCCGTATAGGATTTAGTAACCGTGGGCTTTGGCCCTTCAATCCAGATATTGTTGTTGATCCCTTACAAGCAAAATTTGAAGCTCAAATGGAGCAAAATATCACAAGTTCGCCTACTAATGTTTCATTTTCTCCACCAACCACCGCTTACAAACTCCACAAAAGCATTAAGTTACTAAGATTGACGCTTAATTAGGCGAGCTTAATAATGTGATCCCAGGGATCCGGAGAAGCCTAAAAAAGATTTTTGATCGAAGCCTTATGCAGTTATCATGGAATAACAACAGGAGCAAATTAATCACCTTACAACGCTCAACCAACGCAAATCCGCTAAAAAAATCTAAACGCCAAGATGGAGGGGTCCTCACTGTAAAGGATGCGAATCGAGCCATTAAAAAGCGTGCTACGAAGGAGGAATTGAGGGCTGAAAAGAAGAGGCTCAAAGAGCTACAAAATGCGCCGCTGGGATCAATGCCTCCCCCGCTCTCAGCAAGTGACGAGGCGGCCCTTGATTACGACGAGTGGAGGAATATGGTTGACCCGTTTACCCTCGATCGTCTGATCAAAGATTAATTCGTGTTGTTGAGGATAATGTGTAATGTGTAATGTTCTTAGCTATTTCCATACAAAATTCCATTTATGTGACAATTCCACTTATGTGACGCGCACCCTCACTGAGGTCGCGGGCTGTCGGAACTTAAACGTAATACCATTTCACTAAAAAGGACGCCCTTAAAGGGATTCTGTGAGACAACGCCTAGCAAATCTATGTAGATAGTTTACAGCGTGGCAGCGCCGGGACGGCGCTGCTTAGGTAGCCAACTGGAACACGCTATTCCAAAGCATTTAGCGGGTCGTGTTCCAGGAGAGAGTTGAACTATGTACAAAGTACAGTTGCTGGCTAGTTGTTAGAGAATCTACTTGTTGGAACAGAGCTTGGCCTCCGCGAGTCATTTCCGGCTAACGTGCTTGATCTAGCGGTTGATAACCGACCCTATTTCTAACAGAATCCCTTGAAGGGCGTCCTTTTTGGTGAAGCGGTACGGAGTATTACGTGTAAGTTCCGACACATACGTTTCGTCAAGCCAAGAGTGTATCAACAGACTTCATATGTGATACTGTTATGGGCTAATCGAAAGACATGTAGCCGGCTCCTATTCCAGCACAGTTACACATTTCAGCATATATATCAAGCCGAAGACCAACAAACACATATGTTACGGATAGCCACTCCATCACGTAAACCGAGAAGAATAACTAGAGCAAACAGCGAACACAATGAGAGATTTAAATATGCTCTGTCATCAATTAGACCGTGTATGTACTAATTATTCATGCTTATTCACGTCTTACCCCTTGAGCTAGCAGGGTTAGCCTATCATACAACTCTGCTGGCTGAAGAAAGAGGAGACAGCTCGCTCACCGCCTAGCATTTGCTGAGTCATCGGGTCCCTAGCTGAATGTGCAAGTGGGTCCGATATCGGCGTCATTGGTTCTCAAAGTTCGCGGGGAAATCATTGTCTGCTCAGCTGTCTTCTATGTCTTGTTGAATTCAGACCTTCATTAAACCCAAGAAGTGCTTCACGACTCACTACTCGAATACTCACTCCTCGGTTGCCGCGAGGAATCATTTCATTCGCCTTTTTCACCTCTCTGTCCTTCTGTCTTTTTTAACAGACAACAATGACTACACCATTCCCTCCACCACCCGTTGATACCATTGGTGAGCAATTGGCCGAATCTTACAAGACATATCTGTCAATCAATACTCCATGACTAATGTTTTGTGTGCATCTTAGACTGGAACAATGTCGGCTTCAAAGTTCGTGAAGGTATGAAGAGCATCTCTCATATGACAGAATAGAGACTCCTTCAGACCTATTTCTAAGACTATATCCAGTCAATGGCCATATCGAATCGCACTTCAGCTACTCCGGCGGCGGCACCTGGTCCGAACCCAAATTCGTCGCGTCCCCCCACCTCCAAATCCACGGCATGGCGCCAGGTCTGAACTATGGCCAACAAGCCTACGAAGGGATGAAAGCCTTCCGCTCTCCTGGCAACAAGAAAGTCACAATCTTCAGACCGAACCGTAATGCAGTTCGCATGCAACATTCTGCCGATTTTGTCTCCATCCCACGTGTCCCAGAGGAGCATTTCATAAAATGCGTGAATCTGGCTGTTGCTGCAAATGCCGAGTTTGTACCTCCACACGAAACTGGAGCGGCCATGTATATCCGTCCTTTGATTTTCGGATCCGGTGCTCAGTTAGGCCTCAACCCACCGGACGAATATACCTTCGTCGTGTTTGTGATGCCAACCGGTGTGTATCACGGTGTACATGCTGTGGATGCCCTGATCTTAGAGGACTTCGACCGCTCCGCACCCGAAGGTACCGGATCTGCCAAAGTCGGTGGGAACTACGCCCCTGTTCTGCGACACTCGCAACGTGCATACGCCGAGAAATATGGAATCACGTTACATCTTGACAGCAAAACGCGCTCAGAGATTGACGAATTCTCAACCTCAGCATTTATCGGCGTTCGCAAGAACCCCACCACCAAAAATGACGTGACGATTGTTGTCCCCGATAGCAAGAATGTCATTGACTCCGTCACCGCTTCATCTGTCTACGAGCTTGCCTCAAAGGCTCTTGGATATAAAGTCGAGAAACGTCGAATTCCATATGAGGAATTGAAGGAATTCGATGAGGTGTTTGCGGCAGGAACTGCGGCTGCATTGGTGCCTATCAAATCGATAACCATGAAATCACGAAATGACAAATTCAGTTACAATGTGGGGAGCGACGAAAGTGGTGGCGAGGTCTGCTCGAAGCTGTTGAAGATGCTTAAGGGGATTCAAAACGGGACAGTGGAGGATAAATTTAGCTGGAACTTTGTAGTAACGGAACCTCCCAAGGGATTTGTTGAGGGTGCTGGTGCTGGGCGAGATGCTGACGGGGTGAATATTCCATGATCACATTTGTCTAATGCCATTTGGTCGAACGCTATTGTAATGCCAAAAGCTGTCACAAGGTCTAAATCCCTTGTGGTCCTTATCTACTCTTTCTAGTATCTCGTCTCATTTACAATGTAGGAAATAGGCAAAAAGTGGTATCTTCTGTCTGCGATTTCTACGAAATCTTTATTAAGCACAGTTCCTTCATCGAGATACATACATCCACGAACAAGTTTATTCGCTAGCAGCCCACCTGAAATGTCAATGAGCTTGACTGGATACTAGTGCTCGTAGCAGTCGATTTGGCACAGAAATCATCGAATATGACAAAAGCAATCAACATATCATACAAATTTCCCCGATTGCTAGTTCACATATCTTGCGTCAGCCCTAGAAGTCAACACTTTCATGACAGCATAGCAATAATCCATGCTAAGGTACAAGAGAGAAAGGGTGTTCCACTCTAGCTTTTCACAGGCTGCACCTTGGATCTGAGTGACTGCATACCTCGAGCCTTGCCATTTGGCAGGATGCCACCATTATCGTCTTCAGAGCTGCTTTCCTGATCGCGCTCATTCTCGCTAGATGTCATTTCGTACATGTCTTTTTTGGGATTGGATGTAACTGTGTTTTTCTTCCTAAAAGTCGTCTTTCCAGCGCTCGTGTCTTTAGTGGGCGCAACTTTTGGTGCTTTCGACGATGCATATTCGGGTCCCCAATTGCGCCGACGTGCTTCGCGGACCTCATCTAAGGTAGAAGGAAACCCATTGTTCGTCGGCACCCAGGCACTAGGCTGAGAGTTCCGGATTGATTCCCGCTTTGCCTCTGGTTTTGGGGCATTACCGAAGAGCTCTGCATCAACATTGTCAGATTCACTACTCGAGTCACTTTCAGTAACTGCAGGAGGTTTCTGGTTTTTGACTGTGTCCTTGCCCTTGGACTTTCTTGCTTCGGGAGCCTTGACCCGAGCACTATGTTGCGTCGACTGTATCTTGGAAGACTTTGTCGTGCGACGCTGCTTCCTTGCCAAGGCTCTTTCCAGGGACTCCCTGAATGTTGATGTCGCCAAATCTTCTGCAGGGGGGCTCTGTTTGAAAGAATCTTTCGCCAAGTTTGCTCCAGAAGACCTCCCAGAACCTTTTTGATTAGCAACACTTTCCGTCGATTGTGATTTGGGGGCGCGCAAAGTAGCACTATTCTTTTTATCCAACTTCTCCTGTCTCATGTCAAGAGCTTCTTTTTGCATTTCCGATGAACAGTTTACCTTGTTGGGTGTCGACGTTGGGGCAGCAGATTCGATAGACGCTCTGACTTTCCGTCGCTTCTTGCTTGGCGGTGGACTCCCGTTTTCACCATCATCAAGTGATGCTGAATGCCTTCTAAGCTGACCACTATCAACCTTGCGCAATGCTGGCCGTATACATGAACGCTGAGAATGTGCATTGCCAGACTCTGAAGTATACGCAGGTAATGATGGCCGGCAAGGTGCGCTTGGGCTACCGGTGATTCCTAAACCCATGCTGCCATGTGGTCGATTCTTAGTGACTTCAGGAAATTCGAGAGGTTTAGGTGGACTAGAAAATATTCGCAAAGCTCGTACGGATCCTACTCCAGAAGGAGAATTCATGCTCTCCGCCGGGGCTAGTTTGCGAGAAGGTGGCGTGGAGGGCACCGTCGTCAGCTCCAATTGTGACGGCTCATTGAGACTCATGGGCTTTCGCTTCGCTGTAGAATCACGGACCACTTTAGTTTCAAAAGTGGGGCGATGTTGTTGTTCCTCAGACGGCTCTAGCGGCGAATCGATAGAGGAAAAAGACTCTGTCATAATATAATCGTCGGATGCCGCAACGCGTCCATTCCCCATATCTCCTAAGTCGGGACGGCCATCCTCGCTGAATGATTGAGTAGCGACGATATCCATGGTCGAAGGCAGTTGTTCTTCATTTTCGACTGCTTGAACACCATCGACAACTGTCTCGTGTCTGAGAGAGTTTTTAATAGGCGTTTCGACAACTTCAAGTCTTCGCTCATTCCTCAACGGTGAAGGCGGCCTCGGATCTGGAGCGGATATACCCAGCTCTTCGCTTGGCTGGCGTTCACGTGGCGGAGATCCTTCGACATTCCCGCCCTCAGAGTTCGACAAGGTGCTAACAGGCGATGGCTCACGATGATTGTTGTCTGCTGACTTTGCGCGCTCAACAATATTGACGGGGACGTAGTGGGGATGATCATTCTGAGAGCGGCTAACATGAGAGAAGTCACGAATACTGGGTTTTGCAGACTCTTCGCGCTCCACAGGGTTGACCGAGGCGGCGGGAAGAAACTCATTATGAGAGGTTGGAGGACTTTTAGGGCCATCTTGTCCAAGGCCACTCTTGTTTGGTTCAGCCTCGCTCTGATGATCGTGAACGTCAATCTGCATGTTTTTGACCCCATTCTGGGTACTCTGGTTCTCCTGGGTGCTCCTTGTTTGGCCACGTTCAACATCAACATCAATCCCATCATGCTCGACTGACTCCTTAACCGAGTTCTTAAGAGGCTCCTCTTCGTAGATGGTCATGATGCTGGGCTGCGGACGACGCGAGTACTGAATCTGTTGTCTGAATGATGTAGAACTCTCAGCTGCTGCTGCGGCCCAATCCTGAACAACCGAGCCTTCACGTTCGAATGTGGGCTGCGTAGTGGGTTTTTGAATCACGAGCACAGTCCCATGCTGGTCTTGTCCGTCCAAAGCCGCCTTCCCATGTTGTACGAATACGTCTGCGACGGTGAGATCAATAGTAAGGTTTTCTTCGGGCTTTTCGCTGTCGAGGATCTTTTTGATGTCTAGAGGCCTTTTCAAAGGTCGTCAGACGCGGTTCCACAATGCCAATCTGCTCGAGTGGAATGATACTTACCCAGCGTTTGGTCGTAGAAGTTTCCATTTCTCTTGGATCAAACCCGCTAAAGCCCCCAATGTAATTGAGTCTGGGTCACGAACAGGAAGTTGAAAAATAATGACTTTTTCTAGCGCAGCTCCTTTCACAGCAGTGACGCTCTCCTTGTCACCATTGCTGATGGGATTGGGGGCCGTGGACGAGCCTACGTCTTCGAGAACTCGGTCTCGAGGGAGGACCTTCACGGTCAAGCGCAGGAAAACCATAGTGAAGTGACAGTCATGCCGTAGTGAGGTTACGGAGAAGTATGTGTGGTGGAAGTGAGTCGTGTTCTTTTTGTAAATGCGAAGAAAGAGAGAGGTGTAGGAGGTGAGATTAAGAGGCGACTGGAGACTTAAGGGAAAGATATGTACAAACGAGGCGCAATCGAGGTGAGAGAAAGAGGAGAGAATTGTTGGGGAGTGACATTTTTTGTTTTTCTGGAAAGAAGTTGAAGTTCGCACCTGCCAAATGGAAGAAAAGCTCGGACCACCCTGTTATCGGCTTATCGCCATCTTTATCCTTATCGTTCGTAAAGGGAGAACCTGTGAATTGCCCGATCCAGTTAGTTTTACCTGTTCCAGACTAGTTCCCGAATACGTCGTATGGTCATCACCGCCCGGCCGCCTGTCAAATATAAAAAAGCCCATTCCCTCGCCGTTCTAATGTTCGGCCTTTCCACTTCTTCATTTTCCCTCTGTCTCTCGCATAGTTGCGCTTTCTTTCAAGCGCGGCCCTCACTCCTATTTCTGATCGGAAATTGCTGTTGCACCCTCGTCTCGCGTCGTACCCACTGCCCAGTTTCTTTCGCCCCGTCCGGATGAGTTGGCGATGGAGCTGATACGGTCTGCCTGATTCTACTTCCCTTAACTGAATATGTTTATACTTTCTATTTTTTGAAGCTTTTTCAGAATCTATATTCTCTTTACTTGATTTCACTTGTTCTGGTTGACCTTCAAGGTATCGGCTCATGCGATTCGCCTCTCAAGAGATACGCCTCTCAAGAGATAGTGACGCTGACACACTCTCCCAGCGGGCTTACAATGTTGATTCCTGCTTACGCATCTCCTCACACTCCTGGGCACAGCCACCACTGCTACATCATGTTTCGCACTAGTTATGTCGATTTCGCGTGCCGTGGTTGCGCTGTCGGATAGTCAAGCTGACAGCGACATTGCACTAAGGAGAGACAAGACCAATGGCATAAATGCCTCACTCGTGGTTCATTCGGTGATGTTCGCTTTCTAGACCTTCGTTCTTTTCCGATCTCCATGTTGAATGGAAGTCCCATCGTTTTGCTCCGCCTCTGTGCCTGATTGCGTTTCCTTTCTCCAACCGGGGCAAATAGTATCGCAGTGTTACCCAAGTTGAACGTTCCAAATCGAAGTCAGCTCGCTGTGCCGCTCAGTCCCTGTCGTTGCCCCTTTCCGCCAATGGCAATATGCCGCATCAAGTTTTCCCATTTTTGAAGCCAGCCGGTCATTCCATTATCGGACACAGCTCGACAGTTTATGACGGCCACATCTACAAGATTTGTGCTTTCTACCGACTGGTACCATGAACGTCGAATTTCTCTCTCCTGCAGCATCTGCTTAGCTGCGTCCGGATACATTGGCACTACGGCATCTCGCCGGCGTGCATTTAAGCATTTATTCGCTCAAATATGATTCCAATGACCCCTAGGACACTAGTTTAGGACTACAGTATAATTAAACAGCCTCGGCGATTCCCCGTTTTGGAAAATGCAGCATGATTAAGCCGATGGATTTTAATGGTTTTACGCGTCGAGGACCCGCCGGAGGAGCCGTGAAATCATCAACAACCAGACACAATGACTTTAATCCATGGTAGTGACTTTTTTCCGTGTTCTCTTGCGCTGTCCAGGACTAGGATCTCAATGCTGGTCACAGATGGGAAGGATCTGGCCTATCAGTTCCTATCAGCTTGGAAATGTGGCTCGATATCATACAGTGTACAGTGAAGTCTGTCTCAAAAAGTAGAGTATTCACACTCACCCTAACCAGGTAAGAGGATACGTCAAGAGTGGCACAGCCATAGCTCTCATCTTGGGTCTTAGTTGACCAGTCGGTGTATCGGTGTATGATATCTCTGGTAAGAAATCGGCGAGTGTTGCACTCAGCCAGGCTCCTCGTACTGGCTGTCCCAAAGTAAAAATGCTCAAGGAGAACGACAGTATGACGGTCATTCAAGGCAGGAGATTCATATGCGCACGCATTCTATCGCTTGGCCGCATATTGGATTCACCGAAATTCTAAGCTGGTTCCTTCATCCATGGATACATTCGTCATTACAGAGGTGGACATAATTTGCTCCGGAACTGGCCTCGAAATACTCGATTCATCAGCAGTGGATGATGCGAAAGCACACGAGAGTCAATTCTACTGGTCGGGCGCGAAGCGCTATATGTACGGAGTACTATGTAAGCGACGAATCAGTACGCCAAACCTAATCGGGATAGGATCATTCTCGCAGGTCACTTCAACTCCCAGCAATACTTTGTCTTCTGTCAATCTGCTGTTTTTCTTCTCACACTGTAAAGAATATGATCACAAGGTCACGTGATGACTAGTGATTCCGAGGCTAATTATAGTCTCAACCCCTGAGTTGTATGTAACTAGAGAGACAAGCAATACACAGAGATTCAACGCATCGAATCATCTCCTTATTAATACTGACAAGCAACTGATCATTGGTCACTATTACTGAACGATATCAATCCTCTGAGTCTATACGATCCATTCACCGAATTCTTTACACACACAAACCTCTGTTTGTCTATTTCCTATGGCTTCACCATCTCCTATCCTGAAGCTTGGCCAGTGTCTCACCGGCAGACTCGGTACATATACAGTTACGAAGCAACTTGGTGAATTCATCTGGCTGGGAAAGTACATAATAATCGCACATCCTCCTCATTTCAATTTGTACTGATATGCATACCTTGTGAATAGTACTAAAGTTGGCGAGACTGTAATAATCAAAACTGCACGCCATTTTCGCATTACCAATGAAAAGGATATTCTTAGGAAGTTCCAGTCCAAAACACCACATTTGCGTCCCTTGGTTGACGATATAATTGAGCTGCAAGACCCACCTGCCATCGTGTTGAAACATCTCGAAGATGATCTACAGACCGCTTCAGCAGCTAAGAAGCTTAATGGGAAAGAGATCAAATATGTATCGAGGAGGGTTCTTCAGGCACTGAATGTTTTGCATGAAGACGGTTACGTGCATACAGGTTAGGATTTAACCCTATATAAGCCTTTAAATCTAATTACTAGGTTCTGACAAAATAACTTACAGATATTAAAATAGACAATGTCCTCGTGAATTACGTGCCATCTGCCCAAAATTGCAGTGAGAAACGCTTCACAGACGTTCAGCTTGCAGATCTGGAAAGTACAGTTCATATAACCTCCCGCTTCTGTGAAGATCAGGATGAAATTGGGACACCTATTTGGCGGAGTCCGGAGGCACAGCTAGGATTGAAATGGGGCCCACCCACTGATATTTGGTCACTCGGGACACTGGTAATCAATATCTATGCCGGCTTATATTCGTCTAGGCTAATTTTAGTGGTTTTAAAGGTTATATCGATGATCTGGGGCGACAATTTCTTCATCTTTAAGCCTAAAGTTCCTCGCAGCGATGATGAATACGAACTGGAGACTCTTGCCAAACATCACATCTATTTTGGACCGTTTCCACCTTCTTATGCCGATCTTGCCGACCAGGAGACATTGGGAGTTCTGTCACTTATCATGAATGATGTGCCGCCTGAGAAATTAAAGCCATTCTCACTGGCTAGTCAGAGGGAAATTCCAAAAGAAGATAAAGAGTTCATTTTAAAGATAATGAAGCTTGATCCACGAGACAGGCCGACTGCAAAGGAGCTCCTTGCAGACGAATGGTTCAATCAAGTATAACGATATACCAAGTCTTGCGCTTCGAAGACTGAGTGAATATAATGTTAGGATAAATAGTTTCCTGGGAGGACAGCAGGGTAGATTCGAATGTATTGATCTAACAGTTTGAAGGATGCGTGAATAATTCCATTACTGTGGACAATCTTTTAGTTGTTATGAATCTTGGTGCTGATCAACCCGCGGTATGCCACCGAAATTTCAAACTAGGTTCCATTGCTAATTGAGCCAATAGTTTGAACATGATAGCACTTTTTGAGCAACATATTTCACCTCTGGACGAGTAAGACGCCGGTCGTTCGATGCATGCAGTATTTCATCATCTAAGTTTCGTAGTAGGATGAGTGCGGGAGGATCCAAGGAATTGTCAAGTATCTCGTCAATTAACGGGCGAATATAGAGGGTTTGATTCTGAAACCATCGCAAATGTTTCGTTCGTTCTGCAACCGAAAGCATTGGATAGTTTTCGCCACAACTTTTCTCTTGATGCTGGCTTCTATAATCGTTGCTGTTAGTACTTTATTCTAAGAAGCGAGCCAAATATGATCCTGTAGTGATTTGAGGACTGCTGTTCTTTGAGTGGGAGATTTAGCGGGAATATTTGCCATAACCGCATATAATCCCAGAGCAGGGTTCATTGGATCTATAAGTTTTTGCTACTTTTGCATGTATGTAACTATGATGTATAAGAAGTAATTTTAGAATTAGAAAAACCAGCGCTATTCAAATATATTATTAATAATTAACGAATTGCTTAATGCTTATATAAGCTACAGGAATTACTAGATTGGGTTGAAAGGGGGTTGCGAGCAGACTTGCCGTATTTGAGATCCTCGGTGGAGCTTCGCTTTCTATCATCGAGATTTTGGTGGCGACACGGAGTCAACTTGAACACTTGACGTGGTCAGCTTAATGTCATTTGCGTTAGCCATCAGAGCTCAAGAAACAGAGCTGATAAAGTTGCATATATCCAGTATTGATCCTACCTAAAGATAGCAGTAGTATACTATGGTACATATCAAAGATTCAAATCCTAGTAATATCCAACTTCACATCAATCTAGATCTTCTACTCTATTCTATAAGGCAAATTGCGCATTATTCGTACCCACTTCCTGGGGATGTGGCAGGATTCGATTCTGATCCAGCTAATAGCTTCAATTACAGACAGCAGCCCGGCGTTACTATACTTTCGATTCCATCTGCCCTAAAAAGGCGGCTAAATGATGACAAGACAAGCGCATCGCCCAATTCATTAAGAAAAGAATTTCGTACTACAGATAACATGATGTTTTTCTAGAAGAACAGCAAGCCCCCAGCTGGTTGTATTATTTGAAGAGAGAGTGACATGTCAGCGGTTACATTAATTTAGGAATGTATCGTCTCAATTTACCACGGTGACGATGCATGAAGTCAGGGTCGAAACGCTATAATAACGGAACATAAACCACTTTTCGGTCAAGTCACGATAGCGCTAAATGCCTGTCTCGACAAGCGGTCCTTTGTAGTAATGCCGGGCACGAACGAAGTACCAGCTCATTGAGAATACAACAATAACCCCGTAAATAAGAACATTATAATTCATCGTTGACGCTTTCACGTCCTTGACAGTTGGCCAGAAACTCCAGAAAAACACCAGGACGAGGTACGAGCAGGCAAAAATGTTATTGAGCAGGCCAAACGGCTCAGGGATCTTCCAGGGACCCCAATGGAGACTGCTTGGGTGAATAGGGGGGTCTGGGTTAGCAGGACCTATTTGCCAGTTCAGGCGTGTCCAGAGCAGAAATCCCGTGACGAGCATATATAGGATGAGTATAGGCAAGCAACAGTCAAATTGACAAGATCAGAGAATCCGATGGACGAGCCGAGCAGGATCAACGACAAGAGCATCGCGATCAAGCAGTTCACTGCCAGGGATCGAAGGGGGACAGATTCCCGGGAGAGCTGATCATTTCAGTATTCATGTTCTTGCTGCTGCTGCAGAACAAAAAAAAAGAAAAGAGAAGAGAAGAGAAGAGAAGTAGCATACCTTACTCAACCAGCCGGAGAAAGGAACACCATGATCGCGCGCAAAAGACCACAGCATACGCGAGGCAGTTGCAAAGCAGCCAATCATACATGCACCGGCCATAATGAGAATAATGACATACATCAACACAGTGCCAGTCTGGGACCGCACCGCTTGTTGGAAGATCAGCAGAACTGGGCTTTCGCCTGCTGCGATGGCTGTCAGGACGGTGTCGAGATCACCAATCACATACATGGTGCATGTCACCATGACAAAACCTAGGACACCATTGACTTGTACGCGTTAGTATTTTGCCATGTCTTTATATTTCCGGGGTGTGTTTACTAATGAGACTGAACACGAGGGACTGAGGGACCGCCATTGAGGCATTGTATATTTCCTCCGACATCTGCGTAGCGTCAGTAACTTAATCGAATCATTTTTATGAGACAAGAGCAGTATTTTACGTGTACAGCACTATCTGCGCCTGAGATCAGTTAGCCTGACTCAATTTTCCTAAAAGGGGAGTGACAACTTACCGAACAGAGCAAATCCCAAACCCGGCATCCCCACGAAGAAAGACAGTGCCTGCGTCTGCCACCCTCCACCATTGACAAAAGTGCTGAAGATGGAGCACCTAGTGTTGGATTCTGCCGTGTTTCCTCGGTGCCAGTTACTTGACGATTGACTGATTTTACCTAGGTAGGGATCAAGCAAAAAACGCAGTCAAAAACCATCCACTACGCTATAAAATTGCGCATTCTCATTAACCCAAGCTAGGCCATTTTGATATAACAAAACCCTGTTCTGTTTCGGTGATTCCACCTAAGTCATATAGAAGTTCCAGGGATAATTCGATGTAACGGATAATCTGCTCTCCTTGTGTCTCTCCCGTCTCGCTCATATCCTTGATTCTTGGGCTTGAGTCGACATAAAAATAATTGGCCTGCGTTGATATGCATTAGGGTGTGCAGGTTTATAGATTTTTGTGGCCGATTACCGTATATTACAACCTACTTTCTGGGCTCATTCGAGTCGGATGGCTGTAGAGATACCTTTAAATTCAAATAAGGGATGACACAACCGTCTTTTCGCCTTATCGGACCAATCCAGTGATAGACTGTGTCTCGCCTATGGTCTCTTTATTCAATATTTTTCGCATACAGGCTTGGCTGAGTCTGAACCCCCCCCCCCCACCCTTTGACCGGTTGTCTCATTTCAAGGGGGGAAGATCGGGTGTTATTTTAAGTAGCGAAATGATCAAACACCTAAACTTGCTGAGGCGACATTGCATGAAATTCGAGCCATTATCCATAACAATAGAATAGCAATCCGATTTGGTCAAGTCATGATAATACCATGCCGGAGCCCGAGGTCGCTTCATTCGAATTACTAAAATACTTCTTGTATCATGTCATCAAACCGTCTATAATTTATACATAATTGTTGATATAGTTAAATACTAACCACTAAATGCTTGATATTAAATTCTACTTTACATACTCTTTTGTGAATGAGCGAACCTCGACCGTCCGACATTTGGTCCCTATGTAAGTGGAGTCTCTTTTGCACCCAGACCGATAAAATGAACCTTGTTGAGTACAGATATAGTCACACCATTGAAATCTGCAACAACCAAGTATCATTCAAATTGAGTCTCATAACCTGGATATGGACACCCCGTGGGCAGGCGAGGATGTCACGCCTAATAACTACGCCGCGATTGTCCAGGTGATAACATGGATGCTGATGGCGATAAGCGGTCTAGCTTTGCTCATCAGACTGATGACCCGGTTCTTCCTGACGAAGCGATTCGCCTGGGATGATGTCCTCATTATCGTAGCATTTGTGGGCCAAAAGACACAAACATTGTACATGCTATAAGTCTGACAATGACAGGGCTTTTCAGTTTGCGAGGATGTCACGTATCTAGTATCTGCTGGCCAGGCATGGGGTCAAGTCTTTGCGAATGACTTTCCGGCAGAGTCTCTCATGCCGGCGTTGAAGGTATGTTGAAGACGTGTAATTGACGGATTGTTCATCATGTTGACGAGTCAGGCGCAATATGCTGGCAATATTCTATTCATACTGTCTACTGCTTGCACGAAGATATCGATTCCAGCTGGCATTTTGCTCATTTCCCCTATCAAATGGCACCGTGTCGCCTTGCAGGTCCTGGGCGGATTCATCGTCATGTGGATGGTGACCTCAGTATTTGCGCTCACCTTCCAATGCCCGCTGCCGGATCCGTGGAACTATATTACAAAGACCTGCCCTAGTCGTGTGAGTTTTATCACTAATTGGTTACTTCAAATGCTAATGCCAGACCGGATCAGCGTCCGATTTTGTTTTATGTGACCAGTTTCAGCATCCCACTAGAGGTCAGCGCCGTCGCACTGCCAGTGTGTATCCTCTTGCCATTGCAGCTGCCTGTATACAAGAAGATTACGGTGATACTGAGGTTTTCATGTCGCATTTTGTGAGCTCGTATTTTCGGGAATCGTTATTGTTATTCTTACAAATTCATCTAACACTTGTGGGTTCCAGTGTCGTCATTGCAACAATCTTCCAGCTAAGCTACATTGGTGGATTGTTCGAACCCGATTTTATGTTTGCGTCGTATAAATTCATCATTTGCACGCAGGTTGTTCAGACCACCTCGATTGTTACTGCGTGCATCCCGCACTTGCAGTTGTTCATGACGAGCTTGCAGTCCGGCCTTATCACGGCGGACGACGGCGGACGACACTGGCCGTCGAAACGCTCCACCAATCTGATGTCGTCTGATACATCGGCGAAAAAGAACGGATACAGGAATATTGACGAGCAGAGTGACATGATGCCGCTGGAGACGATGAAGAACACGAGCAAGCAGAAACTCATACCCGTGCCAGAGCCAAGGTCCTCTTACTTCATTATTGTTAAATCGAATATTTCTATTTTATCATGCCATACGATGTATTATGCTCATGTAAACCATACGTTGGTCTCGATCAAACTATGTCAGCTATCAATCGCTCAATTTCCACTTGTGAATTACATGTATTTGCAATGTTTAGTTCTGGAGCTTTTATATGAGCTTATTTATCTAAGTTCGATATACATGCGCCCAGCCAACACGTCCACCTGAGGACACGCCACAACCCGCTGTCCGTTTTTTTCGACCGTCAGCTCGTTCATGTTGAAAATATTGACGCGCGTCGCCTTGAATGGGGCTGGTGGGTTCATCCAGACATGATCGACGGCCGGATGTAGTGTTTCCATGTTGATACCGCGGAAACCCTTCGCCGCCGCGTCCTTCATCTCCCAGTGCGCCATCAGTTTCATTAATCCCATTCCTTCGTAGTCTGCCCGTGTTGATGTTCCTGTCCGCATGATGACCTGACCGGGCGCTGTTGGCTCCCAGGATTTCGGGTCACGCTTATCGATCGTGTGGAAGTGCTCATGCATGGTTGCAAATAGCGGGAGTATCTCAAAGAAGTCTTTTAAATTATCAAGATTCAGAGGGTAGAAACCGTCGTATGCAAGGCAGATCGACACCAGCGGACTGTCTATCTGTTCGAGTAGCTGTTCCGACGTGGCAGTGAGGTCGGTCTGGTCCCAGTACAGAGCGCCATCAGTGGCAACCGACTCTGGCCGTTTGAACTTCCATTCCTTGTCGAAAACTCCATAAGTCAACCCAGACTCAATTGCAGCGCGCACTAGATAGTCGACTGCGTTGAACACATCATAACATCGCTTTGTCTGGTTATCCGGGTGTGCGATTTCCCACATGGGCGAGTGGAAGATGTTGGTTTCGGACAGTATCGCTGAGGCGACGGCCAGATGCTTGGCCTCGAGCTTGCGCACTTCGAAGCGCGGAGTAAGGTCTGTTGGGATTGACATTTTACCAAATAGAAATAATTTGTGGTCTGTTTTGTAGACCAGTGATACGGTGTAAGAAAGTTTCGTTGTCTTTTTACCATGGAAATCGCTTTGAACAATAGTATCTGGTTTTGTAGACAGCAGTGTGTTGAGAGCAGAGGGTCCAGATAAGTGCGGTTCAGTTCTGTCAGGTCACAGTACTTCTCGACTAAGATGTGCAATCATTCTGGCCTAGAGAAAATATAACTAGCTTCTGCACAACAGCCAGGGTCGGTGGAAATTCCACTTGCGGCTAGTCATTCAAATGTTGCAGTGCAGCAGTGGACTAAATTTGAAAAGTGACCAAATACAGATGTATTTTTACCATTTGTTATATTAGGCCTACCTAATGCTAATTTCTTATTTTTACATCATTAAGGAAAAACAAAGTGAAATATGAAATCTACTATCTATCGATCTAATGGAAACCCGGGGCAAATGTCAAAACTACCTTACATTAAACGATGGTTATGACAACGAAGCATTACCTGAAGACCGACTTTCAAGTCCATCCCCTGAAATCTACACTTGCACAGCCAGAATACAATTCATTTCTTGGAATGCCTAATGTTGATATAAATCCTTCAGAATCTGCCTCACAGTCATTATCCTGTCTAACAACTTCAACAGCTGCAGATTCTTCGATTATTTCATATACCTCCCGAAATCTCCTACCTATAACTAAAAAGGAAGCATGGCTCTAGGCTTACTTCAGCAAGAATGAGGTTCCATGTGAGTGATATATAAAGAAGCACAAGAGACGGAAATTAATGGATATGGATATTCAGTGTGCTATTGTGGACAAAGATACTGGCAAGTGTTGTAGCTGGGTTACAACAGATTCAAAGTAGCAGAGTTCTACTAGCAATATAACACTCCATCTCTTATGAAAGCATTCTATTTATCCCCCTAGTACTTCAATCACTGAACCTATTAAAAGTCTAAAAGGAACTCTGCCTAGCTTATGGACAAAAAAAGAAGAAACCCTTACTTACCAACAACAGCTATAAAAGGACATCCTCCGCTGGATTATTATTGATAAATAACCTTTTACAACAATTGAATCTCCTGAATTTCAGCAGATCTTCTTGAATATCCCAGGTATCGCACTTCCATTCACTTCTCGGCATACCCTCCGACAACAAATTATGGATGACTTTGATATACAACATGCTCAGTTGAAGGATGAACTTAGATTATCTTGCAAGACAATTGTCTTATCTCTTGATATTTGGACAAGCAAAAACCACCTTCTAATCCTAGGGATAATTGGCCATTGGCTTACAGAGAGTTTTGACTATCAAAGAAAAAGTTCTTAAATTCAAAGAACTTTTAGGACCACATAGTGGAGAGAATCTGGCTGCGGCAGTTGAGGATATGCTTCTAGAACTTGACCTTCAATCTAAATTAACTACAATAACTGGAGACAATGCCAGTAATAATGAGAAGATAGTTTCAATTTTATCTCAAAATCTAAGGCAAAAACTTGGAGTTAATCCTTTCTTCCGCGGTTCAGAAAGTTACGTCTGTTGCTTAGCTCACATATTAAATCTCATTATCAAAGATATCTTGAGACTTTAAAATCTGGCAATATGGAGGAAGCATATATCATATGTGATTATTTTAAGGAAGGGGAACAATTATCTATTGTGTCTCAGGAATCTTTAGCAAGGATTTATATCCTAGCTCTTTGGATACACCGAAGTCCCCAACAAAGGCAGAAATGGAATGAGGTTTGCAAGATTATTAATCTCTCAAGCAAATACATCAAATATAACGTTGATACAAGATAGAATTCCACTTTCTGAATGTTAGACGACACACTGAAGGCAAGATGCCAGGTCGATAAATTTCTACAACTCCAGACAGATTTTCCTCAGTTTACTACAATGGACTGGTCTCGGCTCTCGCAGATCCACAATATCCTTTCAAAATTCAATAAGTTGACTCTGTTCGTGTCAGAGAAACCTCAAATTAGTCTTGCAGTCCTAATCTACTATGAACTTCATGATTTACTCGATGAGGCATCCGAGCGCAAGGAGAGATTCCAAGATCTTGACGAAGATATATCATTGGCTGTGAAGGAAGGTATGAAGAAGTATGAAAAGTACTATACCTTTATGGATGCTTCTGATACATACTATACTGCCCTTATCTTGGATCCTCGCGCCAAAGGTGATCTCCTTCTCGACGAACTGGAAGACAAAGCTACTGGAAGGGAGATCCTTCAAGCTCTCCGTGGTAACCTCCACTGTGATTATTCAGTTGCGACTATGGAATCAAGCTCAACTACAGGACAATCCCTATTAGAGTACAACACTGAGCATAATGATGTGGGGAACATTTTCTTTCTCAGCTCGTTGATCAGGTCGTTGGAAATATCAGTGATTCCGTCGTCCTCATCAAAGAGACAACCGATCGCCGCCTCATATTCAAAGGACAGGATACATGCGTCTGATACCTTGGCCGGGAGGAGTTTTCCAGGCCAGAAGACATCTGCCTCGGAGGTTCACGGTTCTTGATCGCCATGCAAGCCGTGGACAAACACAATACTGCCGGTGCTTATGGTTGGTGCGTAGATATTAATAGAAGAGACTGGACCGATCTTACTCGACTTTGGCGTTGGCCGGTTCCCGAATAACTCTAATAGACATCTTGAGGATGTGGATGGATGGCATCGGAACAGCCAAAGCTAGCAAGCAAGCAAGCAGTGAAATAATCCTGCGCAGCTCTTATGAAAAGCACAGTGCAAGAGGAGTGACAGGTAGAAGGGGTACGATATACGACTGAGATAGAAGAGTGAGGAAATGGCACTAGATGACAAGATACATCTCGAGATATCCTTGTCTGCTACCCAATCGTAAGTCTGTATTCCCCTCCCCCGCCAAAATTACAATGACTGGCTGAAATACCACTTATTGGAAATCCCTGCACTGAGCAATACATGACTTGTGCTGACAAACGTCAATGTCAGGTTCATGCAGGACACTCAAAAAGGCAAGAACAGCAGTCATGTTATTGGACTAGCTATGCTCGGTTCCTTTTTCCCAGTATCAGCTCTTACGAATAACCCCCACGAAGGTCATGGCTGGGGCCCTTTTGTGCTAGTAACGTGTCGTGAAACCACTAGTTTACGGTTCTGACAGCAGCATAGGACTCGCTTGCCAACTTTGAAATGAAGCTAATTCCAAGAGGGCACTAGCGTGGAAAGCTCTGGAAGGGAGAACTGGAAGCTGGAATGTCTGATTGGATATCTGGAGCATAGCCTCATGCATTTGGCTTCCTGGCTAAAAAGAGCCTCTTCATAACGGTGCACTCCCCACTTTTATTATTGGCAAGGTCGACTGAGTGACCTGCAACTCCCTGGGACAAACAAACTCCGGCATCCTGTGTACCTTAATCATGGCATCGACTACTTATACTGGCGTGAACCATGGTCTCCAGATTGGAAATAACCATGGTTCTATCACGGCTGAATTTCATCTTCCGCGGGGCAGGTTTGATCGGTATACGATAGACTGATTTGAAGTTAACGCTGTTTTTAGCGTACACCACCGAAGATATCGATCGATTTTGTCTCCGAGATCTACGCTGCCCAGACTCGCTGGTTGTAAAGAATCGGTTGAAAGAGAATAAGGACAAGTTACTCTCCCAGTCAATCGAATGGATTCTTCAAGACCCGCAGTATGAGACTTGGCGAAATGGAGACGATGTCAGCCTGCTTTGGATCAAGGGGGGTGCTGGCAAAGGGAAGACCATGATGTCGATCGGTCTTATCGAGGAGCTCACACGGGCACAGCATGAATCTACTGTGGTGACTTACTTTTTCTGCCAAAATGCTGACTATGAGCTCAATACCCTTGAAGCAATTATTAAGGGTTTAATCTTACAACTAGTGAATCAGCAAATTGTGCTTAAAGAGTCTCTACGTAGCCGCTGGGACACTGTGAACAATTGTTTCAATGAGGACGTTACCTCGTGGCGAACTCTGTGGAACATCCTTTTGGAAATGTTGGACCGGTGCAACTGCTCAAGGGTATACATGATTATTGATGCTCTTGATGAGTGTGAAGACGATGGCATGGCCGACTTCCTGAAATTAATCGTCCGAAATGGACTGGACCATCCCGCCAGAATCAAATGGATGTTGACAAGTCGACCGTTGGAGAGCGCAGAGCGGGCATTATTAGCTGGACATGACCAGGTGCAAGTCAATTTAGAGCTCAACTCGAAATGTGTTTCCGAGGCTGTGAAGACTTACATCACTTATAAAGTTGATGAGCTCAGTCATCGCCACAGATACGGAGAAACACTGAGGAGAGAGGTAGAAACTGAGCTTACTGAAAAGGCTGAGGGTACCTTTTTGTGGGTAAGCTTGGTATGCAAGAGACTCGAGAGTGTCTGCCGAGATGAGGCCTTGGCCACAATTCGAAACTTGCCACCAGGTCTGGATCGCTTTTATGAACAGATATTGAATCAGCTTAGGAAGGGTGAACACGCTGATGTACAGCGGTGTATGCGACTTCTCAAGGCGATGATGCTGGCATACCGGCCTTTAAAGGTGGAGGAAGTTCCTAGTGTGACTGGCCTAACTGATGGGGAGGACACTATTATAGGATTAGTTAATCGCTGTGCTTCATTCATCAGGATGCGGGAAAACAACATCGAGTTCGTTCATCAGTCTGCTCGGGACTACCTGGCCGGGGAGAAGGGACTGTCTATACTCGACTCACATGAATGCTTTGGACATGATGAAATTGTACTGGGTTGTCTGTCTTATTTATCCCAATGGCTCAAGGTCAATCTCATTGAATTGCCGCGACCTGACGCAACCAGAGAATGTTTGAAAACTCTGATAGATGAGAAAGGAAATGGCTTACTGTCTCGTGTGGACTATGCAGCTACATTCTGGGTGCAACATCTCCAGAACACTAACCGTACTACAAATGTCCAGAATGGGCTCACTGAGAAAGGCCAAGTTAGTATATTCCTCCACACAAAGTTGTTGGAATGGCTAGAATGCCTAAGCCTATTAGGCAGGCTACCACAGGCCGTTGACGCGTTGAAAGTGTTAGAAAATATATCAGAAGTTAGTATTTAAGACTTCTTTGACGTTTATGTTCTTTGCTAACAATCTTGTTAAAGAACCATTGTTTAGCATTATCATTTGTGCAGGATGCTACGCGTTTTTTATTGCGACACTACCACACTCTGACTCATTGGCCATTACAGGTCTACAGCTCGGCCATCGTCTTTAGTCCCGAATCAAGTGTTGTGAAGAGGGAAAATCTAGACAAAATCCCTGTATGGCTGAGAAAAGTCCCTCCTATGGAGGACAGTTGGGCGTCTCTGATACAGACGCTAGCAGGCCACTCGTGTCCCGTCCTGACTGTGGCTTTCTCACCAGATGGCAACCAGATTGCATCTGGCTCTGATGACAACACTATCAAGCTTTGGGATGCTACCACAGGTGACCTCCAGGAGACACTCACAGGCCACTTAGGCAGAGTCCTGACTGTGGATTTCTCACCAGATGGTAAGCAGATTGCATCAGGCTCTGATGACGATACCATCAAGCTTTGGGATGCTGCCACAGGTGACCTCCAAAAGACACTAGCTGGCGATTCAAGAGGAGTTGTGACTGTGGCTTTCTCACCAGATGGCAAGCAGATTGCATCAGGCTCTCATGACGACACTATTAAGCTTTGGGATGCTACCACAGGTGACCTCCAGAAGACACTCGCAGACCATTTAAGCTCAGTCTGTACTATAGCATTCTCACCAGATGGTAAGCAGATTGCATCAGGCTCTCTTGACGATACTATCAAGCTTTGGGATGCTACCACAGGTGACCTCCAGAAGACATTAGCTGGCCATTCAAGCGCAGTCATGAAAGTGGCCTTCTCACCAGATGGAAAGCAGATTGCATCAAGCTCTGACGACAAAACCATCAAGCTTTGGGATGCTGCCACAGGTGACCTCCAGAAGATATTAGCTGGCCACTCAAGCGGAGTCATAACTGTGGCTTTCTCACCAGATGGCAAGCAGATCGCATCAGGATCTAATGACAAAACCATCAAGTTTTGGGATGCTGCCACAGGTGACCTCCAGAAAACATTAGCTGGCCACTCAAGTGCAGTCGTGACTGTGGCTTTCTCATCAGATGGCAAGCAGATCGCATCAGGCTCTTATGATTGCACTATCAAGCGTTGGGATGCTACCACAGGTAACCTCCAGAAGACACTAGTAGGCCACTCAGGCCTAGTCCAGACTGTGGCTTTCTCACCAGATGGCAAGCAAATTGCATCAGGCTCTCTTGACGACACTATCAAGCTTTGGGATGCTACCACAGGTGACCTCCAGAAGACATTAGCTGGCCATTCAAGCGCAGTCATGAAAGTGGCCTTCTCACCAGATGGTAAGCAGATTGCATCAGGCTCTGAAGACGATACCATCAAGCTTTGGGATGCTGCCACAGGTGACCTCCAGAAAACACTAGCTGTCCACTCAAGTGCAGTCGTGACTGTGGCTTTCTCACCAGATGGCAAGCAGATCGCATCAGGCTCTGATGACAACACTATCAAGCTTTGGGATGCTACCACAGGTAACCTCCAGAAGACACTAGTAGGCCACTCAGGCCTAGTCCAGACTGTGGCCTTCTCACCAGATGGCAAGCAGATTGCATCAGTCTCTGATGACAAAACCATCAAGGTTTGGGATATCGCCAAATCTCTGAAAGCCTCACAATATCTTGGACACACTTTTAGTAGCCATTTCAAGTCCCGATCGTGGAAGGAAATTAAGACATCAGAGCAGGTGTATACCATAAAATTCTCAGCAGATCACCGATACCTTGAAACAGACATTGGGCCAATCATACTTGAGAGCATCCCGATAGACAGACAGGACATGAGCTTGGATTCGTTACGGCATCTCTACGTCAGAAATCAGTGGATATGTTATGGAGGGATGCCTATCATTCGGCTATTGTCAGATTCCCGGCCGATATCTTATGATGTACAAGGTGATCAAGTAGCTGTTGGATTCCTAAATGGGCAAGTTTTGAGCTTTGATATTAATCGATGTAGCTTACAGTCAATACTGGGATCACACACAATTGCATCCGGCACCCGCCAAAGAAAGACCTACCCGGGCGAGCATTTTGTGAAAGCTATCCCTTATTTGGTGACTGGTCGGTCTTGACAGAATATCTTGCAATTTTGAAATTCAAATTAGCAACCAAGCGTCTTAAAGGTCGAGCGCTAGCTAACTATATATTACCACTTACCGTATCATGACCGTTTTGTCCAATCACAGGAAGACGCTGTGACGTCTCAATAAGCCTATTCAAATGATAATCCTAAGCTTGGGAGAAGAGGAAGGGAAGGCCTAAGTTACAAACAAGTTGGTTGATATGATCTTGCAATTCTGCCATTTTAGACCGCTTTCCCCATAAGGCCTCCATCCCATGACAGAGTGTATTTGGAGAGCCTCAAGGCTCGGCGCCAGTTTTCCCCTTTCTTCTTCTTCTTCACACTTAGTTTTCTTCGTCGATACTGCTACGCTTAGAAATGAAGTTGTTTCTGGGCCTTGGGCGTCCATCACAGATGGGCTCATCTCTGACGCGTCCGCGATCAGGATGCCTCTCATCTAAATACCATATAATTGAATCACCAGACTATAAGACCTGCCCAATTGATTACACTACTAAAGTTCCTAGCGGCCATACTCGTGTTAGCGAACTCAGGACTAAGAGGAATTCGGTCTCATCATAGCCAGTAGAGTGAGTGAACAATGAAGGCAAATTTTCAATATAAGTCATTTTCCAGTCATCTGAATTGTGGATGATGGCTCAATGCTGCAGTAGAACCCAAAAATTGTAATTTCTGTCAACTACTCAAAAGTAGTGACGGTGCAGATGGGGAGGCGGTGCAGGAATAAGGTTGATCCGCGCAGGGGGGAGGAAAAGATGCTTGGATTAGCAATTCGCGTCGTTTCTTGCTAAGGCACATCGTTCAGGGACGCACTTGCGGTTTATATAGGCCTCGCGGAGTGGGGCGCTTCCAGTTAAAGCGGCGAGAGGACCGCTATACCTAATATGGTATACACTGTACTTCCACGGCGGCGCGCTAAACGGGATCGGGGAATTTCTTTTCCGTTCCGTTCTCTGGTTGGTTGGGAGCAGGCCTCCATGATTTAGCTAGTGCGTAGTTATCCTTCCCTGGCTTTTTGAGTGGTATAATCTTAGCGTTCCGCCATTGAGAAGGGATTTCGCCATCTTTAAGTGATGTTTAGAAGATAAGGAACACCCTATCTTTAACCACTAGCCAGAGCTGTTTCCACACCAGTGCTGGCAGGCCATCTTCTCCAGATGCTTTTCATAGTTTGGCTTCAAACACTTTTTGCTCAATCTCCTCCATAGTTAGATTTGGCATATGTATTGGCTCTCTTTGTTGCTAAAACCTCATCCTCAATTCTTACTGGGAGAGATGGGAAGAACGTGGCAAGCAGCTCTTTAGCCTGTTCCATTTTATCTTTAGTAGTAGACCCGTCTGACCGTATTAATAGTGGTATTTTATTGCTGAATGAGTTCCCACTGGGCTTTAGATACTTAGTTGCCTGCCATATATTAGTATTATTAGCAAGGAAGTCTTCCCAGTGTGCCTTCTTCTGTTTCCGGATTACATCATGGTATTCTTTTGCTGCATTTTTAGCCTGTCATTCAAGCTCTGGATTTGCGTTTCCTCTTCTGCGTTGAGATCTAGCCTGATTTCTCCAGTAGGTGTATATATGGCGAAGTTGTGTTAGATCTCTTATCCACTATCGCTTGGCGTATGGTGAGGGCTTTGCTTTCGGTGTTAGCTCTAGGACTGCTTTCGTGACCACTATCATGAGACGATCCGTCTGCTCTTGTACAGAGCCGCCTAGAGGAACCGCCTGTAGATTGCTGGCTACTCTAGATCTGATCTCAACCCAAGGCGCATTTTTTAAGAGTAGCCTCTCATTAACTGGTCGATCTGGAACTGATATGTCAAACTCCGTCTCAATTGCTTGATGATCTGATCCATGGTTTGTATAGTGTATGCCACACTGTACCATCTCCTCTACTAGCTCCATTGATGCTAGTACTGAGTCAATTATTGTCTCTCTATCCTCTAATTGCCATGTTTTCGTGCCCCTAGGTAGGAGGCTGTGTAGAGAGTTTTTCGCTCATATAGTAAATCAGATGGTCAGCCTCTCCCTGTCTCGCAGAAGATATCTCGTCTTTTCCCCAGAGTTAGTCATGCCTGTTGAAGTCTCCTATTATCAACACATCTGTCCGTATTCCTCTCCTGCACCGGATATCCGCTACTAGGCTGCGTAGCAATCTAATAGTGGATGTCAATGCTTCCTCACTGTTTCCCTCTACATAGACCGACACTACTAGCACTGCCCAGTCTGGGAGTTGTAGTACCGTGGCTGTTAGATCTGGAGATGCTACCGGGATCTGTTCAGCCTCGATATTACTCCGAACCCATAGCATACTCCTAATCGGCCATCTTCCACATCATGTCTCTCTGTAGGTATCATCTTTGTCTAGTAGCAGTGTCCCATCAGGCTTGTCACCACGGTACTTTCGATTACCCGTGCGTATAGTTCAGATATTGCCACCACTCCGTAGTCTCTAATTTTGTCATTATTCATTAGGCTTTATTATACTGCGTCTCGTTTGCCAACATTCAGTTGTAGGATGTGAAGTAATTTATACATCAGACTGTAAGAGGCAAACTCGACAGTTTCTACTGAATGACTCGTGAGGTCTTCCACAAGGAATGCATTTTAGGACCAGGGCCAGGCAAGTACTGTGATGGTGTCCCTCCTTTGCACATTTACCACATGTCTGAGTCTTTTTACATGAAAAAGCCTTATATCCTATCTCTTGGCAGTTATAGCATTAGAATGGTCCTATGCGTGGTTCAAAGGCTCGAGTGTATGCAGATTCTCCTGCTATATCGAAGTAGTTGCCTTCTAGTAGGCGTTTAGCGTCTGTTCCTTTGATATAAACCACCATAGATCCATACACTTTATTAGAGTCCCTCTTGCTAAGCTAGGTGATCTTGGCAATGTCGACGTTGTTCTCTTTCCCTAGGGCCTCGGCTGCTCCTGGTAGGACATTACCATCCATATCCAGGATTGCTGTCCGGTTGGCATTGTCGATTTTAACTGGGTAGAGCTGGTCTCGTAACACCCTCCATCCCGGTATATTTAACTTTTAGGCAGCCTCTTTGACACGTAGGATCTCATCCTCCTGTCTGCAAATAATTTTAACTTGGTCAGCATTCTTTGGATCCTTAATCACTGCTGCACAGCGCCAGGTCTCCATTCCTTCATTTCCCTGTATCTCCTTTTCAATCATTTATCTGACGTTAGCTATCTGCGCCTTGGCTTTGTCTTCTTCTCTGACGCGAGACGTGTCAATTGTGCAGAATAGTGTATTAGCCATTGTAGGAGGCACTGGAGGGCCGAGAGGGCCTAGGCGTATACCATGCTGGTGAACAGATTGGCTATTGATTATGTCTGCAAATGATGGCTGTGATTTGGTCTGCATGAGAGCTGCGTTAACTGACGCTTTCGCGATGGTATCCAGCTGCTCCCGGAGTTGCTTGCAGTCTTCCGCAGCTTGGCTTTGGATTACTTCTATTTGGGCCTGTAGTCCCTTGATCATGTCGTTTTATTCCTGGATGTTTTTTTCCTGTTTACTGAGCGTTTCTTTCAAACTTTTGACCTCCCGATAGGTGCCCTCCAAGTACTGACACATCTTTCTAAGCATCATTTGGTTTTCGTCCTGAGCGCACTGTCTCTCCTCAATCTGATTAGCAGCCTTCCTCACTGCAGTTGGCTTCACTTTTGACGTCGTCCTCCTAGTCGCAGTGGTGGCATCGGTGCTGTCAGCACCTTCCAGAGCTTCTCGAGCTCTCGTTGACGGCACTACGACGCGTCCTACGCGCGTCGTTACGGCCGGATCTTCCTCCATCGCGCCTCCGGCCCTCTTCGTCTTCAACCCAGCTACCCAGGGATATCTCCTTTAATCACGCAGATCGTATTTCGATAATCAGAAAGATCAGTTCTCCAATAGTGTTGGATCAGAATGTGTCGCCAATGGATTGACTAGATAGTGTTACACTACTGCACTACGGAAGCAAGGATTATCTGTCGGATTGGTGGGTTAACTCCAGTCCAATCCTGAAAAATTGTTTACAAGAATGGTAAAATAAGAAGTGACTAGCAAGATTCTGTCTGTCTCCCTTTTTTTCGTACATCAGGTTCCAAAGCCGGGTTTATATAGATATTTTACCAAGATGTGTAACAACTAACAGACTTGGGGTTCTCACTGTTCCAAGGAATACGGCCATGACGTTTCAAGTCGAGTTTCAGGTGCACCAGGTGAAGTTTTATATGTTTGAGGATGGCCTACGGATTCTATACCTTGTTGCAAATCTGGATTATCTGACATTATCCGAATAACCACTACCCGTCGCGTCGCCTCCCCCCACCTGGCGGTTGGGAGTCGGCCCGGGCTCAAGGGCCACCTGGGCTCAAGGGCCAAAATATTGACTACATTATGTTCAATGATCTCTAGTCCGCCAACGCCATAGAATTTCTATATAAAAACTAGACAATAAATAATACATATACGGCTTACCTATTTCCCTGAGTATCGATAAAAAAACCGAAATTTTGAGGCTCTGTTGGGGCCTCTGCTTCTGCCGGCTCTTCCATGCCGAGGGCATGGCTCTTATGAATCCTCAATAAATCACCATCATGACGGCGTTTTATGAGGCGATTCGCATCTCCCACATAAAGCGCACCACTCGCTTTAACCTGCCTTCTTGTAGTTTTTTTATTCTTGCGCGCTGCGGTGTCACGAACCTTGGCGAAGCTCTCACGGTGTAGATCGCCTAATTCGGCCAAGGTGAGGCTGCGTTGATTAACCACTTTTATACGGCGTGAGAGGCCCGGGCTTGCTTCGTCTAATATATCCTTTATACTGTCAATTGATTTCTCAATCTTATTGACGTAGCGACGTAGCTTTGCAACGGTTGACGGCGGAGAGATTGATTTTGTGGTTGGAGAGCTGGGAATAGCCTCATCTGCTTCACCGTAAATTTTTAGTGTATCCCCCTCAGCAACCATAGCCTCAAAAGCTTCTTCTGGTGAAGGCATTTTATCGAGTATAAGGCTAGGATTAATTGGCCAAATCCCACGTTCTCTCCAGCCATTCCGAATCGTTCGGTTAGTAAAGGTTTTGAGCCGAATATCATGCAATTCTTCAAAAAAGTCGTTTTTATCAAAATCAAAGCCTGCTAAGCGCGCAACTTTGTTGACAACCCTCCCATGAACGTGTTTATATTGCTGAAATGGCACTCCATCAAGAGGTTGTAAAAAATGCGTAGAATGCGCAGGAAATCGGAATGGCCGAATGTGAAAGATTTCACAATATTCAACAAACTGCATAGTAAGATGAGTTGTATGATTATCCATGAGAAGTAAGCGCCAATCCCCCCATTTTTCTGGCTTTGTAAAATGATGAAAATGTTGAAGCCATTCGAATGCGATCTCATCTGTTATAAAGCCATTCTCCGCAGGTGCAATAAGCCAGTCGTCATCCTTTATATGTTGATACCATTCCTCCATATGGACCTTGCCTTTTGGAATCAATAATGGTGGTATAACCAATCCTTCAGCGTTTATACACTCAACGACAGTAATAGATTCTCGCGATGACAGGCTAGAGACTCTTTTTGATGTTTTTGGGTATGCTGTAACCACTGCTTCGTCTTTTCCGCGTCCGACAATGAATCCAGTCTCGTCAAAATCCATAGATTTTGAGGGCGAACTTTATAGTGTTGTATAGCGATTTTGAGATCAATAAACCAGCGCTCAACCTCACCGTAGTGCTCCGAAGCGGTACGCTCCTTTTCTTGAGGCTTTTGTATGATTCGTACATACTTTTCTGGTAAGCGGTTTTGAAAATCGTATGTCCACATTTTCCCAACCCGGGGGGGCTCTCCGGAGCCAGTAAAATCTTTAGCAAGCAAATAATTCGCACTCGCCTCAATTTGCTCGCTTGTAGGTGACGCACCTATATTATCTAGATACTCAAGCCATAGAAAAATAGCTTTTTCTTGATCTAAGGATAATACGCGGTTGGTTGGGGGGCGTGTTGAGCGAGAGGGTAGGCCATTCCACCGACGGGAGAGCTTTTTGCGAGACACCCCATATTTACGCGATAATTCGCTAAAATTCGGTTTTTTTTCGTGTTGCCATGCGCCGAGGATCTCTGCAATCAGATCCTCCTCCGCTTTGTATAGGCTAGGGGTCATATTGGCAGTGTCTTTGACGTTTGTAAATGATGGGTTGAGATTTTGAAGATTTTGGCCCTTGAGCCCAGGTGGCCCTTGAGCCCGGGCCGACTCCCAACCGCCAGGTGGGGGGAGGCGACGCGACGGGTAGGGTTAGGGTATCATCCCCGATAGAACATCGGTATGATAGGAAGGATACCAGGGATACCTTATGGTATGATGGGAATACTACCCGATATACCTAAGGGTATGAAGGGATATGACGAAGACAAGATATATAAGGACGCTCATTTACCATGTACCTAGTTTCATTTTATCGTCTTGAATTAACCGTGTTAGGCACCCCCTAACTGTGATAACTTGAGTATACGTTCTTCTATCGAACCGGATATTCATCCTCTTGTTAAGACTTTGCTTTCAAGAAGCCTTTCGTACTTAGAAGCCTTATAACTTCAGTTCGTTATAAGCTATCCGAGATATACTCGACGGTAGTTTGACCGAAGTTTCCGATACATGGTAGCGGTGATAGAATCGGCGAATCCAGCACTCTACAACAAGATTTCGAAGTATTTGAGGCATTGGAGGTAATCTACGAGATGAGAGCCGATATATGATTAAGAAGGACTTCTTCTTGGGCATCTGTAAGGAGTTTGCGGCGAATGGAAGTTGCTTCCTGGTTTGACACGGTCTGGCCTTTATACCGGCGCCTTAAGGTCGCAGGCTCGTGATTATATCTCCTGGCAGTTCTCACATATTTAGGCTTTTTTTTGTGATTCTGGTCACTAATTGCCTTCAAAATATCTGCTTCGTTGACCATATTATCGAATTCTGAAGATTACTTGTGGGAGCGGGGTAAAACGGGCATCGAGTGAATCGGGGACGATAAAACGGAACGGGAAAGTCGAGAAGCGTCAAAGGAAGTCCGGTATGTAGGTACCTATGGCTGAAGTATGTACATGTGTTTTCTCATCTCAATAGAGTAGCAAATTTCTCGCTGGTGAGATAGTAAATGGTATAGATACATGTGTACATATATACATACATACCTCGGTCACCTTCTGGAGGCAATACAGCCTGAAGACTTCCAAGACCATAGACGATTTGCATCACAAACAACCTCAGGCTCCCTGCACATAGAATGATAGTCCTCGAAAGTAAATCAATTACAATTAGGTATGCTCCAACTCCTTAAGCTGTTCTAGGGACTTGCCGGATAAGGGCCCCGCATGATGTCACCCTTGCTGAGCTTCCTGTGTAGATAGCTTCACACAACTCCATCACTGCCACTTGCATTGGCAAAATATCAGAGTATGATTGTGCAACACAGTCCCTTACTGGTAACTCTTGCCGTCAAATACTTGGTGTCAAAGATATAAGTGAGGAGACCCCCGCCATAGGGATTCCCCATCGTGTCGGACAGTTGAGCCGATGACTCGTCTTTTCCCACGATCACCGGAAACGTGTTACAACAATCGCAAACAAAATGTCGGACTTGCAACCAGAACCGACACCGAATAACAAGGCTATGGAAAAGAGATCGGTGGTATCCAGCTTTCTATTCAAGCTCTGCGATAGTCAGGCCCATACCACCAAAGTCGCCTTGTTCCGACGGAGCAACAAGGTCCATACCTACCAGTTACGTTCTTGTCTTATCGCCCTGATGAATGCAATATTCTAATGGGATAGAATTATCTAACTGGATTGCGCGGAACAGACACCATCTCGCCCCAATATCCGGCAGTATCGATTCTCAGACTGATGCGACACCGGTAGCGGCAGCATGGAGAGAACTGAAGGAAGAGACTACTCTGACATCACCAGCGGTCAAACTATGGCGCAAGGGCAGATCGTTCTCCTTCCAAGACGAATCAGTTGGCAGAGAGTGGACTATCTACCCATTTGCGTTCCTACTCAAACCGCCGGCTGAAGGGGGGCCAGAAGCCGCAAATAAGGTGGAAGATTCTCATAGTGATGACGGCGACGGCATTACGTTCGACTGGGAACACGATTTTTACAATTGGCACGATCCGGACGAAGTACTATCACGACTGGACCAGGACGGAGCTAATGCGACGATTTGTGGCCAGAAACTCGTACCGCGCATTGCCGATTCATTGAGGAACGTTTACCCGGAATATCACCTTGGGTCTACAGCGGGGAGACGGCTAAGAGAAGGTCTGCAGCAGTTGCAGAATGATCACGAAAGCGGAGCAAGAGAGCTGGCCACCATCGCTTTGAATATACTCAAAGATATCTTGATGGAAGTGCGGCCGTCAAAGGCGAAAGAGAACGAAAACGAGGGCAAATGGGACGCCTGGTGGAGGGATGTACGGCTTATATCGTGGCATCTTTGGACGAACGGTAGGGAGTCAATGGGTGCGGCAATCGGTAGTGCTTTGCTCTCTGTGCTTGCTGATATTGAGAAACTGTATGAAGAGAGGGGCAGTGAAGACGAGATCATTCGGATCGTTGACCGCTCAATCCGGAAAAGAGAAGCAATGACGACGAGGTTCTGTGAGGCGTTAGACTCGTACCTTCGGGACGAGGTAGTCGCGAAGGGAGGTATCGAACGTGAGAAGAAGACCCTGCGGTTAATGACATTGTCAGCAAGTTCTACAATCAGGGAGTCCATCCTACACTTTCTCAGGAAAAATGCTCGGGACATCTCCTTTGAGACGCTAGATGTGCGTGTCCTAGAATCAAGGCCTCTGTACGAAGGCGTGTCTCTTGCATCGACCCTATCATCGTCATTTCAGTCGACGGATGATGACTCGACCGGGCCCAAAATCAGAGTAACCCTATTCACAGACAACTCAGCAGCCCTCGCGGCTAGAGATGTCGATGTGTTATTGATAGGCGCCGACCGTATCGCAGGGTCGAATGGGGCTGTGAGTAACAAAACAGGCAGCTTGCCTGCGATACTTGCAGCAAAACACGTCTCGCCACAGGTCAGGGTGCTTGTCGTTAGCGAATTAGACAAAGTCGCCCAAGCCGAGGCTATTGAGAGCCACCCTGAAGAAGACAATGATGCGGAGGAAGTGGTGCGTGCGTGGAGATTGGCTGGGGTAAAGGGTGCTGACGTAATTGACGGCGTGACAATCAAGAACGTCTACTTTGAATGGGTGCCAGCAGAGTTGATCGATGCTTACATCACAGACGAGGGAGTCAAGGGTGTTGCTGGTATATGTGAGCGATCCACTTGGGTCAGCCAACAAGTCCATAGGTTTTTTGATAAGCTGTGATTTCCGCGCAAGTTGCAAGTGGCCTGATATAGGGACAGCGCAGTACCTATACATTGCGTGAGGTCAACATAGTCGTTGTAACACTGTTTGTTTAGCTATGTTTACCTAATATGCCCTAGAGGAAAGATGGCCATATTAAGCGAGATTATCAAGTGGCGAATTGCAAGAGCGTGACAGACAGCTCGTTACCCTAATATTATTCGATATACAAGCCAGGGGGTTGGCGCACCAGTGCCAATCAGGGATCCAAGAGAGGTCATGAGACTTACTTCACAACGCAGATTGTTTCGAAATTAGGCAGACTGTCTGGGCCGGTCACTGTATAGTTATCTATCGATCGGAAAATAATTAGTAAATGACAGAGTGAGAGCCATGGCGGCGTGACTTTATTATAAGTATATACAGTGACAGTGGGTCGAACGGAATCCGGGGGAATCCGCCACCCCCGGATTTCTTATGGAGTAGAGTTTGGACGACTCCACTAACCCCCCACACTCTTATCGTCCTGCGTGTACTTTACCTGTACCTGGTACTTGTGAGATACATGTCTCGGCCCCCAATAGCCTCCGCCAGACGACTCTGCTAGCCAACCTACTTCCCCTCCTTTCGCTACCTTTGATAGCCTATGATTCGTGGTCTCTCACGCTGGTGGCGTTCAGACTGGTTTCTAGCCCTAACTGGCACCCTCATTCCAGGCATCTTGTCAGGCAACAATGGGGTCATCCAGGTCCCTGTGGGTGGTGTGACCTGATGACTTATACTCTACGCGCCCGCCCCCTCCTCTCACCTTCCTCCATCTCTCTCACTTCTGTCCCTAAGTATCTGGCCCATCCCCTACCAGCCCTGGACTCTTTCATTCCATCAAGACGGACGTCACTAGTTAAAGGAGTACGCATTAGACGAAATCTCGACTCCCTTCTACTTATTCTGGCCTCCTAAATCGCTTCTTAGTACCAAGCAGCGTTCGCTCAACAACCTCGTTACCGGGTCATCTCGTCTATACTCATCATACGTCTGAAATCTCCACTCAAATCAGAACCAAGTCATCATGTCTTCCGCCATTGCCTCCCAAGCAGGCCAAATCCTGCGTGAAATGTTCAAGATCCCCAGTCGTGCCCGGGAGCAAGCAGGCACTACCTGGAGGAGTCTCAGACAAACCGGTTTGTGTCCTCCATCCTCTGGCTTATGTTACGCAAAAGGAAGGAAAAGGTTATTCTGACTCAATCGTTCGGACCTGAAATAGAGAAACCAAAGAAAGAACTCCTTCAAACCTCGCTTATGATCCATCGGCCCATCTGGATTACTGGAGTGGCGGGCACTTATACAACGGCTTATGCCTGTTACCTGACTATGAAGTACCTGCGAAAGCTGAAGCGTTAAGAATATGCCGCTCTGCCAATACTTCTGCTCAATCTCCTTACTGTTTGTCTTTTCCAGTTTACAACTTCCCGTCTCTTCACTACCGTTTATGGAGAGGACAATCTGTTTTTTTGTGGTTGACAATTCGTTATTCTTCAATGCCTGTCGTTTAGGTTTCTGTCCAGGTATCCAACACGAAATATTATACGCATTCAAATCATTCTTCCGGTAGTGTTCTGCTGATGTGGGGAGTTTGTCCAAGGTGTAGGTAGATTGTGATGGACTGTGTTCCCACATCCAGCTACAGCCTTTTCATTCTCGTTCTGTGCCCAAGACTCCAGGTAGCTTCTGTTTTACCCATTCCAGCCATAGGCAAGAAGCTACAAACGTCATGGTAGCTTAGTTGTGGGTGGTTACTCACTGTGTTCTTCTAGTTACGTTATATGTCGTTTCTAGTAAGACGCCTCGGTAGAATAGGACCTAAAGAAACGTACAATTAGCGGACGATTTATAGTCTAGATCTGCTCCTGCTACCTAGGTATAACGTACATCAGTAGAAATCCCGTAACGATTGCCAATGAACATGCTGGCATATGAATCTCTTGAGTTTACCTAAGTAATTGATTGTGTGTCCAGCCTTGTAAGCTTTCGAGGTCCCCCAGGGCTAATCAGTACGTGTATCCAACGTGACTAGTTTTCAGCGTTAGTTCAATGAACGTGTTATCAATAACCTTGGAAGCAAACAATTTAAGTATGTGATACTATGATACTGCTCATATTATACCTAATCCAGACAGTGGAGACTTATATAGCTTAGAGATTGTGAAGCGTACCTACTACGTACGCTAGATAACTAAGTGTTATTAAGTCTCTAATTTAGGTAAGAAGCCAACTGATTCTAAAAGATTTCCTGGGCAGGTGGCTATAGAGAAACAACACGTACATTTTGCCATTTATGCTTATAGATGCTTTTAACCCTCGCTGTATTTATACATATTTAAGTGCAAAATCGGTATTACCGGTGATGGAATCACAAAAGTGCGGCACAGTTATGTTAACTATCCAGAGTACTCCGTATTGCCATATAGTTTCAGATCCGCATCAATCGTTATAATATTTAATCATTAATATCATGTAGCGGCAGGTAATCACTCCGGCGGTGTGAAATATCGCTTGAACCTCTCCAACCGACACAAATCCAGCTTTACCACAACATTATGGCAATTCATCAATAATGAGGGAAATCTCACGGCCCAGAATCGCAAATAGCCTTCTGGTAGACCGCCAATGTGCGCTTTCAGATGCTCCGACATATCATTGTAATGGTTCCGTTTGTTGCGTAGAGCGCGGAGTAAGTCGAGCATGCGTGACCCTGTGTATTTACGTTGTTTGCCAAGACTATCTTTGAACTCCTTTGGTAAGAGTTTGAGGAAATCCATTTCCGGGCCCATGACATTGCGGGCCACAGATTCAAGATACTGGAGCGCAGGAGATGGAGGATCACGAGGTTCAAATTCGAAATGGTCAGACACGTCGCATAGGAAACTCAGCCGATCGGCAGCGTTCCAGAAAAAGGGATGCATGAGGACGGCAGTTGCGTCGGGACTAGAGCAATGTATTAGTGGAATGTTTGAAATTGATCATAACTTAAGTAGGATAAGGGTGTGCTGCATACCGACTACGAGGATTCAGTGAAAGCATGCTGCGGATAAGATCATCAGCCTCAAACGCATAGTCACCCAACCGTTCCAAGTCCTCAAGGTTATAATTGCCCTTGACAATATTGGCCTCGCGCATAAACTTGCCGTCCTTATCGTAGGGATGTCCTCCTCGTGTGAGAACGTAGTAAAACACGCACCCCAAAGAGAAAATATCGATGGCACGAGTCGCTCGTCGGTTTGTCTGTGGATCTACCACTGCCGGTTCTGATGACTCGGTATGGTTAGAATGCCCTCCACCATTGATGGCTATAGCCGACTGTTGATCTTCATCCACCAGCAGCTCTGGTGCACGCCATCCAGATGTGCCTGCTGCATGCGCTGTAGTTGCCCGGAAAGAGCTTTGATTATCTTCGAGTTTCTTACACAACCCAAAATCTGAAATCAAAAGACGGAGTGCCGGAAACTGGCTACTCATGCTGCGGCCTCGTGGCGCAGCAACCAGGATATTTTGTGGCTTGAGATCTCGATGCACGATCTTCAGCGAGTGTAAATACCGTACACCGAGGGTAATTTGTCGTAAGACATCTGGGACGTCTAACCCGCCTTTCACTAATTGAGGATACTCGTGCGGTTTCTCAACTACTTCTTGTAACGAGGCTGGGCAAAGTTCCAAAGCGATATACAAGAATCCGGCCGCCTGTTCACGGCAATAATATCGAATGACATTGCTGTGGTCGTCGCTCTCTTGCAACAAACCAACCTCGTGTGACGCGATGTCAAAGAATTCGACCAGCATTCGCTTAACAGCCACATCTCGTCCATCGAAAGATCCCTTGTAGACAATGGTTCCATGACTGCCATGGCCCAGCACTGTATCTGTATACACCTTGAGTTGACCAATACGAATGGAGCAGTCGATCTCGTAAATTTCATTCGAAACTTGGCGAGACAATTGTACGTCCGGTTCCAGTCCCGACGGTGGAGCCAGTGATTTGACCTGTTCTACAGCCTGGGACAGAGCTTTTTCCTCGTCCGAGCCAGGCTTTGGCTTCCTTTTATGCGATTTGCCACCTCTCTGACCCCTCTGGCGTTTCTTCTTCTTCGTGGGCTCCTGGAGGTTCAACTCGTCTTTCTCATCATCAGGTCCTCGGGAAGGCTCGCGGATCCGGACTCGAGGCGTCGTTTCTGGATCGTCAGATCGAGACGAAGTCCGCTCATTTCGTGGAGTCGATTCATTGTCAACATCTTGCAAGTCCTCTAAATGGACGGACGCCTTTCTAGGTGTTGCAAAATCGGAACGGATACCGACTGGGCTCGAATCTCGTTGAAAGGAGTTAACCGTTGGAGATGTCGGTGAGTCAGATATGTGCTGATCATAAGCGGCCATGATATTCTTTAGGTCCAGCTTTTGTTTCAATTGTTCTTGAAACAATGCCGAATTCACCCAGAGAAAGTAGCCGAACAGGGCAAGAATGACCAAGACGAATATATCCGTCCGATTTTCCCAGCCAGTTCGAATGATAACACTTTGTCTCAGAGCAGGGGGTGAAGCTAGGTATGATGGAGAGCTGATTACATCACGAGGTGTGCCGTTTTGACCACCTCCTATAGCCGAAGGGCCGGAGATGCTATGCATCTGACTGCGGCGCCCAGAATGGCCAGCGGGCATATTCACCAAATGTACACCAGCAAGGGCTTTGCGCTGGCGCTCACGATCGAGCGTAAGTAGTGAATGGCCATCGCGGAAGAAGTCCTTATCGTAACACTGGGCCATGCCTGCACGGCCTGTCACTAGGGGATATGTCGTTTCAGACATGGCGTACCAGCCGCCAGCCTCCGTACAATCAATAAAAACTCGGTGGTCAGTGTCCGGGGAGGCGGCATAGTCAGGGTCAGGGGGTTCAAGCGGTTGAGACAGTAAGACCAGTGGCAGAGGAGAATCTGGAGACTGGACGTTGACCGGTCGCGCAACATCAAATACTCGTACGACAGGAGACGAGAAGCGTTGCGTATAACGAGGGCGTTCCATGCGCGAATGATCAAAGCCGAGAACGACACCGTCGTGCATACTATAAATATGACTTTGATCCATAGTCTTAGAGTACTGGCTTTGCAGATCAATGTCGCGATTGTTAGGCGTCCACTCGGAATACTTCAAAGTGCATATAAGCTCGCCAGTCTCCGTGTTCTGAATAGCAATGGCATACTCAACACGGCCAATTGTCAACGTCCCAGTGGTGCCCCCACAGTTCGCAGCATCCGTACCATCGACGTTATCATCAAGAACGTCGTCGGTAGCGAATCGATCAACCTTACAATTGTGATCTGTGGACATAGGGCCGCGAGAGCTAAAAACGCGGAGGATACTGCCCGTACGAGCATCAACGGTATAAAGAGTTGTCTCCTTACGGGCAGTATAAGTCACTGCTGGGTCTGTCCCAGAATAAGGCGTTTCGTTGACAAGATCTTTCACGGTAAGTCCCAGTTTGTGAAGGCCCCCTCGCTTTCCGGGACTGAAAATATAGAGACTGCCATCCATGCTAGGTTCCACGATCCATAGGAAGTCGTCATCTCGAACTGAGGCTTCTGTGTCGAGACCGGTGATTGAGCGATTATGATAGATACTCTCGACCATGGGGCTACTGGGCACTTCTAGGGCCCATCGTGGAGAACCTGTTTTGCGATCTCGAGCATGAATGGTACCATCGACGGTCGCCAACAAGACAAAATCCTCAACCTCCCAGTCCTGTAAGGACCGCGCTTGAAGCTGCGACACCAAGCCGGCAGTCGGACTGCTCAGCTGGGCAGGAGGGGCTCGAACGGCATGACTATTGGAGCCTGCCAGAGCCAGAGTTGCTAGGGCGCTCACATCGTCCGGATCGATTTTCTTCACGTCCGGCGGCATGTGTGTATGAGTGTCTCGAAAATATGTATGAGGGCTTTCGTCAATGATCGACCGGCCCGTTGGGCGCGAGGCCACGTAAATGGAAGACGATACGGCGGCATCGTGCTGTTGAGCGTAAGACAGCTGCTGCGGAGCTGTGAGAAGAAGCGAAGGGAGGAGGAGAATAGCGGCACCGGCCGGAAGTGTCGTCGGTAGCTTCCACCGCATGATTAGAGAATCAAGCAAAGAGATGTATCTCGTTGCGATTCAGCGAGGAACACATTTCATAAATGAATGAAAATGATAAAAGGGAAGGGAATGAGGACGTAACCCCGGGGCGTAGTTAATAATGGCCTGGAAAGGGAGGTGGTTGTCCCGGCCAGGGTCGACCACGGCGGCCGCAGGGACGTATGGCGACAAGCCACCACAACGAATATCAAATGTACTTCAAATACAGGTTGAACGAAATTGTGAGCCGTGATCTGGCCAGTCCGAAGTATGAAGGGAGGGTAGTTGGCGATGTGACGGTGTACAAAGAAGAGAAGGGAAGTCGAAGGTGTCAGACTGGGGGAAGGGCCAAACTGTGGATGAAAGACGGGCACTAGTCCAGAAGCGGATTAGTGTATACAACAATAGAATATTCTGTGGAAGTGTGTGGAACAACTTCTGTTACACTCTTTCTACATGAGGCTACAACGGTGTCTGGAATGGATTCATTCTCATGGCATCTGAGTCATGTATTTTGGCATGCAATCTGTTCTGCATATATTTCTGCCCATGTTTGGCCTCGGTAACGAGATCCGCTGTCAAAGGAGTTCGGATGGATTGCCCATACCCACAAGTTAGTATGTGCATATTCACATGGATGCGTGGAATGACTAGGCTGATGATAGTGTTATATCGGAGACTACGCCAGAGTATGTTCCCTTTTACTGTTGTTGTATCACCAACAGGCCACTAAGTCATATTGAGACTTACTTTGTGTGACAGTGGCTTACGTATAACAAGCCAGACTCCATCCGAGACATCAGAATATACCACACTGGACAAAAAACAGCATCTATGTTACAAAGTAATAATAAGATACCTTTTGGAAAAGCAATTAACAGCCCGCATAGCACCAATCCAGCCAACGCACCGGAGTAACTTTTATCCGTCGAACTTCTCTGCTCCGCTAAGGAACACAGAGATCGACTTCCGTATAATTGTTTGGGGGTTGTTTGCTGTGAAGATGTCTTCCGCTGTAGTGTCGTCTAATTCGTGACGTGATCGACCGATATCGACGTGAGGGTATTGTTCTTGGGACATCGTGGTTGCTGATGGAGATTCGCCATGATCGTCGCTAAGTATCCATCGATCTTTGTAAGCATGAATACTTCCCAACAGACCAGTGCTTTATACAAGTAGTACCAAGTCACCTTGGGTCCTAAAGCATGTAGCGAGATCTCGGCTTGAAGCATCTGCAGCATCTCTGCAGCGCCATACAGCTTCCATGATTTCCAGTGCCTTTCGTACGGTACCAAAGACACTTGGCGGGTGCAACGCTTCAGCTATTGCACGGAAATGGGGTATTCGAGCGGGCTCCGCAAGACAACCTGCCACAGAGAAGGGCCACACCATAGTGCGGAGCAACGCTGGATGCGATATGCGACACGTCAATAGCTCAACAACTTTATCGACATGATAACGGACATCTACACTCGCAGGCTGCCATCCAGACACGACGATAGACAGATAAAGAAGTGTCGCATGAGCCCAAACCTGAGTAACTAATGTGCTTTGAGCGGTGTGTGTATTTGAGTGTTCAGAGTATCCTGTTGTGAACGTCTCTAGTAGATTGTTAACCTGTCGAGAAGCAGAAGCGGTTGTGTTGTCCTCAAGCTGTGCAAGATGTTCTTGTAATGAGTCTCTAATTGCCGTAGCGCGACGAACTAGCTCTATCATATCAAAATTTCCAGCTGTATTACGTTCTTGTTTCCAAGCGTCAAGCATAGCAATCTCGCCAATTTGAAGTAGTGCCCAGTTCTGACACCCCGTAACAGACTCAAAATTGATAAGGGGTTCTGTGTTTTCGGAGCTGTGAAGAAGCCCGTGATGGTATTTGTGGAGTCTAGGTCGATCCCGAGAAACTGTGCTAGCAATGATATCATCGAATAGTAGAAGTGTGGCTGAGAAGCGAAAGGCGACTTGTTCTGCGCTGGGGACCTGGATAGATTGAGTCGGTAAAAGCCGTGTTGCTGGACCAAGCAGACTTATAACGGAATTAAAGCTCAACCTCGGGTCCACGGATTCGAGGGTACCGGAGCTATCGAGCACTTGCCTAAAAAGAACCAGAGCGGCATTGAGATGTGCCTGGCAGTTTTCAAAACTTGATATAGCGATCTCAAACCGTTGTATTTGCATAACACTTGCGAAGATTCGTACGGCGCCATGTAAATGTTCCGTGATACTCGAGCTACCGATAATCTGTAGCGACTGCCTTAGCATGCTGAAGGCATCTCTCGTCTGGGTGAGAACTGTTTCCCAGTCCAGGTTGCCGTTGGGGACACCACGGGCCAGGGAGAAGAAATAAGAAGTCTGGCATAAAGTAGCCTGCCGTACCACAGGACTACTGATCATCATTTCCAGGACCCACGCTTTTCCTCCTTCTAGAATCGAGGGATTGTAGAATGGAAATAGAAACGGAAGCAGATATTCGAGGTGGAACGTGAGTAAAACAGTGTCGGACCTCGCAAGACTTATGTTTGCGGAAATAAGCTTACTGGAGAGCTTACAGTCATGCTCTCGTTGGAGTGGAATAGTCCGAGTCTCGGGAGATGATCCCAGTTCGTCGCTTCCATTTCTTGAGGTGACTAGCTGATTCACTCGCTGTTGGTTGTCGTAATCGGTGGCCTCCACAGCCGTGCGGCGATGGCTTAAAATGCGATCCCCACGACGGCGCTCCTTCACCTCACGCTTGAGTCGGTTGGTCATTTCTTCCTGCTTCGAACCACCATCCATCCACTCCGGCTTGTGTTCACTGTAATAGCAAGGTATGCGCAGTGAAGAGCAGGTATCACACGTCGGACGATGCTCGTCACATTTCTTGCGCCGGAGACGACACGTCCAACATCCATTGAAGCTCCTCACCGTGAGGTTGTGTCGAATACCAGAAGATAGGTCCATATAGCGGTCCAGTCGCAGCTTCCCGCTCTCGTATTCCCTTGACTCATGAAATGCGTGACTTATCACCAGAGTAGAACTATCTCAATATTTGAAGCCGTACTGGCGTTAATAAGCGATGTTGCAAAAATGTGAAGTGAGGAGGCTACTTGCGGGAAAGGCCTGGATGGACGAGGCTGGGTTGGTGCCGAGATGTCGCCGGATATTGCTTGGTACATAAACTCAAAGGACAGATACACATGTAAGTAGTTAGCTACCTAGGTAATCGATTGGCATATCCCTAATTTGATAATGACAACCAGATAATTCGTGAAATTTTTCCAGAAACAAGACGAACTTAGGCAGGTAGCACCTAACTAACTTAATCATAACTGAAGGTTAAAGGAACCCTATAAAAACTAACTTAGAGCTCAGCCATTCGAGGGCTTTTATACATCGCTATATAGATACGCGATGTGTAGTGGACATAACCACCTTTAAGTTAATCATACACTTTTCTAAACTTGGCTTCGAGAAACACTAGAGAAATATACAATACAGAGTCATTTGTCATGTCATCGCATTTTGATGCGATTCTGGAAAAGACTGTCCGAGGCCCAAGGGCCACAGAACCCCCTGAAGTTTAGTTCTATTATACCATTCGCAGCCATCCGAAACCCTAGATACCGATCAAAAATCAAATGACACCCACCCTGTCTTTGGTGGGACAGTCGGAACGATGCCATCCTTGAAGACACCATTTTGAATAAAGTACTGGTATTGTTCCGTCACATCCGCGGTGTAATTCTCCTCCTTATCGCTGCAGTCCCTGAGAGTTGCAAGATCTGGCGGTCCGTCGAAGAAGAAAATCCGTACCCAAGTCTTATTATCAGCAGGATGAAGATAGCGCGGACTTCCATCCTTGTACTCGACTGCACGGCCTTTCCATCTTATTAGTTGGTTTGTCCTCGCATCCCGGACAGTATCGCCCGCCAGATCGGGAATGGGATTCAATTCTTCGGGACCGACTTTGATGATGGGTTTAGGTCCTAGAGGCGCCTTGATCGCAGGATTTGCCTGAGGTTGTGGGACTACAGACGGGGGTGGTGCTGCAGTTGCCGTGGGCTTACCGAACACGCTCGGAGTCGCTGATATACTGGTCGTTTGAGCAAATGGATTGGTTGTTGATGGTCGCTGCTGTTGTGCAAATGGCGAGACTGTCTGAGAGGATTGGCCGAATGTTGCGCTGGTTGACGATGGCTGCCCAAGTGTGCTAGTAGCTGTAGCTTGATTCCCTATTTGAGAAAATGGGGAGGATGTCAATTGACTCTGAGCCCCTTGTCCGAAAGTTGAAGACTGGCCAAAGTTGCCACCCGCAAGTGGGTTCGGTTGAGTAGCTTGAGAGAACGGGGACGGGCCAGCTGCTGCACTCGCAAACCCAGAACCGCCCATTGCTGAAGGTTGTCCAAAAGCTGGTTGACCGAAGGATGGCTGCCCAAATGCAGGCTTACCAAGGGCCGGCTGCGCTGCTTCTAGCCTTGGGGGCGTTCCAAAGGAAGTACCGGCTGCTGACGTCCCCAATCCCGAAGGTCTTCCAAAGGTAGGTTGGCTTTGGCCGAGTACTGATGCTTGTCCGAAAGCAGCAGTTGGTGCACCCTGTATTGAACTGCCAATGCTACTACTGGCTTGTCCGAAAGCTGGTGTCGATGAAACCGCACTTGGTCGCTGTACGAATGAGGAGAGAGCAGGTGATTTGCCCTCAATAATATCAATACGATTTGGATGTTCATTCTGTCCATCAAGCACATATTTGACGGCACCCTTGAGGTCGTTTAAGATGGTCTGGATTTGATTGACAGTTTCATCATGCAGCTTCTGTGCTTCTTGGACAGCCATGTTGACATTTCCAGCAGCTGCAGACTCATAATGTCGCAAACGCATTTCCTCGAAGCTCTGCTCTCGAGATGGGCCGCCGAAGAGCTGCCTGGGTGCGTTTTTCCCAGGGCCATATGCAGAAAAGATCCATCCAGGGCGCTCCTTCCCCAGCGTGAGGTCTAGTTGGATACCCTCAGCTGTCACGTGAAAACTGAAAGCTAAAATTAGCAATGCGGCTCTGATAAACAGGAGGATCCGTTTGAGAGGTTTCGCGGTGCCTCTTCAACCGCTCACGCACCTGGCGGATTTGTCTTGTTGCTGTTGATTGCTTCCTAAGTGATGGATTGATGTGTTAGTTGGAGACATGCTGGAAGGACGACGGCAAGGGAGGGACAAAATGTCCTGCCGTGATCCCGAATATTTGTAGAGTGCCCCACGATATAGGCATCGCAGTCGTCCAGCTACGCCGCTAACGGTGGGAAAAGTCAAGAAAACCTACCATTGTTTGCAGCAGACAGGGGGTTCGAACCGAGGACACTGAAGCGATTCGCTGCTGCGCTAGACGTTACTTGACCCGGATGTTCATTTCTGCATCGATCTATGGCCACCTGTAAGTGTTCATTCACATGCCTTTTTGCAGTAGAGACTGCAAAACAAGCCTTCACACAAAAACAAACCTCCGTATCTGCAACGACCCTGTTGGAAATGTACACAAACTGTCATGTCGATATGCTGGAGTGTTCGATAGCAAGACTTGTTATTACGCGGTCACGAAGCCAAGACTGAAAGTGGTGTTCTGGCCGCACGTGGTGTCCAGTGCTTTGATTGGCTAATGAGGAACAATGTACGCAATGTAGACACCGAAGCAAGTCGCAGTGACTGTACATTTTTCTTGGTTTTTTGATCCTGTCAGTGCGAAGAGTTAGACGTGAACTATTATTACCGCAGCTTGATATCGGTTGCGAAGACCGTGGTTTGCAATCTGGGTGTTGATAACTTTTGCCGGTAATCACATATCGTCCAATGAAGTCGAATTCTATTACTTCAACACACAGTGAATACTAATATTCTAGAACTGATGATGTACAATTTCATAAATTCATGCAACTTCGTAGAAAATATACAAGTAATACCACCGAAGACGCCCTCTTAAAACTCCGCCCTGAAACCCATTAAATGCAGGAAACGCCATTGAGAAGCACCAAAGTCCACCACTTGCAAAGTTTATAGTGACTCAGCTCTGTTGGACCCTTGTCGTAGATCATCCCAGTTTACGCCATCGATTTTGGGTCCGCCCAACGACCTGACACTCGGTGGAAGATCTCGCGTATTGCCAGTCGCAAGTCGCCGCATCAACACGGTATCCCTTGTGCCGGAAAGCGCTACTACTTTTCCATTGAGTAAATATTCTTCAAACCAAGACTCCTCTTCTTCGTCCAACGGTAGACCGAGAAGTTCAATCGCGCGCTGACCCCTCAAATCTCCAGCTGGAGTCTTGTGGACGAACAGGATGAGATGTTCAAGAAATCGCTTGCGACGGTCATCGTCGTATTTCCGCGAAAAGTAGAATGCTTCGGTGAGACTTGCACGACAGAGTGTCTGGAAGTAGGATAACTGAACTTTCTCTGACTCGAGTGGCGGGGACACCGTCAAGTAATAGGCTATCGCTAACGAGTCGTCTTGTCTCGGTAATTTCTGTAAAGTCAAAACGTGCAGAATTTCGTCCGGGAGTGTCGGGATGAGAGATGGCTCGGTAAGATATTGCAAAGCTAGCTATCATTTCCATGTTCTGCTTTAGTCCAAATCCAAATCGTACACACAGCCCAGACAGGAAATACCTGAAACTCAAGTCGATCCAAATGCCAAATTCCGTCGATGAATAGCTGGTACTTGTCTGGAATAGAACATCGTCTCAAAAATTGAACCAGTGCTTCGTTGGTGGCGCGACAGTCTCGAAGAAGGTAATAGATCACTGCTTGTTTTTGATGATTGGGAAAAGAGGAGAGCAGAATCTGCTTGTACAACTCGCGGAGCTGTTGATTAGTCTTGGGAGGGTATATTTCCTGTGCTGTCCTCAATGCGTGGTTAGCAATGTGATTGACCGCCGCGACAGTGTTCATACCTGCTTTCACGCCCATCAAATCGAGCAGCCGGTCGATAAACAGCTGATTCTCTAGTGAGCGGCGATTCGCATTGATCGCATCGACATTCCTTTTTTCGTAAGTAAAATTCCGGTTAAACTGAAAGGTCACATCAAAGATTTCCCAAGACGCCATCTTGAAATTCAATGACTGAATAAACGAAGACTCTGGCAATAATCTCTCTACCGAGAAGGGTGGCATTTCCCAAGTCTCGCGATAAATGCTATAAAGGCGGTGAGCTGACCATTAGCGGCAAAAAGCAACGCTTTACCGTTTTGAGAATGGAGTAAACAACCCGCGAACCAAAACAAACAGTAACTTACAAAGTTGGGAACTTCGGGAGCTTCCTCTTCCTAACATCATCTCAGCACATCGCCCATCCTTCAGTGTTGATATGGCTTCTACAGCTGGAGGCAGACCATCGCGTCGCGCAGCTTCGCGCCGAACTTCCTATATCGACGACGTTTCCAATGACGAGGATCTTGGAAATGTGACCCCGACACCATCTCACTCTAACGCAGACGATGATGCAGAGCATGAGTACACACCCGTAGCCCGAAAGCCTATCCCTAGGCGTGGCGGCCGACGAAAAGCATTAGAAGCACCATCACAGCCCTCAAAGCGGTCTACGCGAGGTGGACGAAGAGCGAAAACCGTCGAATCCACCCCGCAACGGGAACAGCAACACGAACATGAATATACATCCATTATCGCGGAGACCGTAGAAGAGAGAAATGAAGAGGAAGCCGAAGAGTCAACTATATTAGCAGCTCAGGAAGAGCCAGAATCACCTTCTGAGAAGGTTCACGCAGCGCAGAAGAGGAAGAGGGCTGCAAGTTCCCGTAAGAGCCGTGATTCAGCTACGCCAGCCGCAGAACTGTCCTCACTTCCTACTCCTTCTCCTTCAGCGTCGCCCGAAGCCTCGTCGCGATCGCATCGAGAGTTTAACAGCCCGCTTTCCGATATCACACAATCTGCTGTCAATAAATCACCTGCGCCGACAAGAACCGATGCCGAAGAGCAGAAGTCTCAGATCTCGATTGTCAACTCGCAGTCAACCAACCTGGAGAAGCCGATGGATATTGTTCTGAAGTCTCGATCTCTAGGCATTCCTATCGCAGAGGAAATCAAAACTCCACGCGCACGTATGGTAATCACTCACCTTGTGCTTACTAACTTCAAAAGCTACGCGGGTAAACAGGTTGTCGGACCCTTTCATGTATCGTTCTCATCTGTAGTCGGCCCCAATGGATCCGGAAAATCCAACGTTATCGACTCCCTACTATTTGTGTTTGGATTTCGCGCCAGTAAGATGCGTCAAGGAAAAATCTCTGCTTTGATTCACAACTCCGCCAGGTTTCCTGATCTAACCTTCTGTGAAGTGGAAGTACATTTTCAGGAAATCATGGATCTCCCTGGTGGAGCTCATAAGGTCGTTCCCGACTCTCAACTAGTTGTGTCGCGAAGAGCTTTCAAGAATAATTCAAGCAAGTATTATATGAACAGGAAGGAAACAAATTTCACCACCGTGACCACCTTCCTGAAAGACCGAGGCATTGATCTCGATCACAAGCGATTTCTCATCTTGCAGGGCGAGGTTGAATCAATTGCCCAGATGAAACCTAAAGCGGCTAATGAGCACGAAGATGGTCTTCTGGAATATCTAGAGGATATCATCGGCACCTCCAAATACAAGACGCCCATTGAAGAAGCAGCCACCGAAGTTGAAACCCTGAACGATGTATGTGTGGAGAAGAACAATCGGGTACAGCATGTCGAAAAGGAAAAGACCGCACTCGAGGATAAGAAGAATAAAGCTCTGGCCTACATTCGAGATGAAAATGATCTCACTATTAAACAGTCTGCTCTGTATCAGGTTTATATAGCGGAATGCGAAAACAACACCAAAGTTACCGAGGAAGCGATCATGCAAATGCAAGAGCTGCTCAACATGGAGCTGGAAAAGCACGAGGGCAATGAGTCTGGCATTAAGGAGATCGAGAAAACATACAAGCGTGCTGCCAAGGAATATGAGAGCATGGAGAAAGCTACCCAGTCAATGATCAAGGAAATGGCGAAATATGATAAGGAAGCCGTCAAGTTCGAAGAGAAGCGGAAGTTTCTGACAGGGAAGCAGAAGAAGCTTGAGAAAATCTTGCACACCAGTCGATTGGCTTCATCAGAGTGCTCGAGTCTCGTTGAAAAGCATGCTTCGGATATCGAGAAGAAATCGGGGGAAATTTCCCAGCTTGAAGAGGAGATGAAGGCCGAGGAGCTTGAACTTACGTCCATTAGGGAAAGCCTGAAAGGCAAAACACAGGGCCTTTCTGACCAGATCGCTGCGAAACAGAAATCTCTTGAGCCTTGGAACGCTAAGATTAACGAGAAGCTTTCTTCCATTGCTGTGGCCCAAAGTGAGCTTGATATCCTTAATGAACGAGGAAATGCGGGTGCAAAAGCTCTAGAGGAAGCTCAAGTCCGCATTACCGCGATTGAGGAAAGCTTAGCAGAGAAGGAGGCGGAACTTGAGGAAAAATATCAGGAGAAGACTCAGCTCGAAGCTGAAGTCGACTCTTTGAAGAAAGATATCAATAAGCTCTCTCAAAAGGAACCTGAACTTCGCTCTTACGTGTCTAATGCGCGACAAAAAGCAGAGGAAGCTCGTGCAAGCCTGGCCAGCACTCAAAACAAAGGCAGCGTTCTCTCCGGTCTCATGCGACTTAAGGAATCTGGTCGTATCGATGGGTTCCACGGTAGACTAGGCAACCTGGGTACGATAGAAGAGAAATATGATGTCGCTATTTCAACCGCCTGCCCACAGCTCGAGAACATGGTCGTCGACACCGTCGAATCGGGCCAGCAATGTATTGATTACCTACGCAAAAACAACCTTGGTAGAGCCAACTTCATTCTTCTCGACCGCTTGCCCAAACGAGACATGTCTACAATCTTCACTCCCGAAAGTGTGCCCCGTCTTTTCGATCTAGTAAAGCCCAAGGAGCCCAAATTCGCTCCAGCCTTCTACAGTGTGTTGCAGAACACATTGGTTGCCAAAGATTTGGAACAAGCTAACAGGATTGCTTATGGTGCTAAGCGATGGAGGGTCGTTACTCTTGACGGACAACTAATTGACTTGTCTGGAACTATGAGTGGAGGAGGAACGCGTGTTGCTAAAGGGGGCATGTCATCAAAACAGGTAGCCGAAACATCCAAGGAACAGGTTTCGAAATTGGAATACGACCGCGATGAGTTGGAAAGGAAGCTTCAACTTTTTCAAGACAAACAACGTCAGTTGGAAGCATCCCTCCGAGAGAAGTCCGACGAGATCCCCAGATTGGATACCAAAATACAAAAAATCGGCATTGAGATAGAAAGCGGCAAACGGAGCCTCTTAGATGCCCAGCGTCGTATCAAGGAGTTGAGTGTCGAACATAAACCATCTAAGACAGACGAAACTCGAGCAAAAGCGTTGAATCAGCAGATAAGTGCCCTTCAAAAGGAAGTCGAAAACTTGCGACAAGACATGGTCGGTATTGAGGAAGAGATACAAGCTCTTCAAGCTAAGATTATGGAAGTTGGCGGTGTCCGTCTGAGAAGCCAGAAAGCGAAGGTGGATGGCTTGAAGGCCCAAATTAATCTCCTTTCTGAAGAGATCTCTAACGCAGAGGTCGCCAAATCGAAAAACGAGAAACTTATCAAAAAACACGAAAAGTCGCGTCTGGAAGCTGAAAAGGAGAGCGAGCAGTTAAGCGCTGAGATTGAGCGACTAGACGAAGATGTCAAGAATCAAGCAAACGATGCCTCCGGCTCAAGACAGAAAGCAGAGGAGGCTCAGGAGGTGAGTTTGATTGCATCTCGGAGATTAAAAGAACATACTAAATATTGACTCTTTAGGCGCTTGAAACGAAACGTGGAGAACTCAAAGCCCTTAAGCAGGAGTTGGACGAGAAGACAGCGGAACTAAATGAGACACGTGCTCAGGAGATTGAGATGCGCAACAAATTGGAAGAGAATCAAAAAATCCTTGCCGAGAATCAGAAGCGCAGCCGGTACTGGGAGGAAAAATTATCCAAGTTGTCTCTGCAAAACGTCAGTGACCTTGGTGATGATCAAGAAACAGTTGAGTTGCAGACGTTCACTGCTGATGAGCTGGCGGACATGAACAAAGAGTCGCTCAAGGCAGTTATTGCAGCATTGGAGGAGAAGACACAGAATGCGTCGGTCGATTTATCGGTCATCGAGGAGTACCGTCGCCGTGTTGCTGAGCATGAGACGCGTTCTGCGGACTTGAGTGAATCCCTAGCGGCTCGTGATGCTGCCAAGGCCCGCCTGGATGGCCTTCGATCTGCTCGTCTAACAGGTTTCATGGAAGGCTTCAGCACAATTTCATTACGTCTCAAAGAGATGTACCAGATGATCACGATGGGTGGAAATGCTGAGCTGGAGCTTGTGGACTCTTTGGATCCCTTCTCAGAAGGGATCCTCTTTTCCGTCATGCCACCGAAAAAGAGCTGGAAGAACATCAGCAATCTGTCAGGAGGCGAAAAAACACTCTCCAGTCTTGCCTTGGTGTTTGCTCTCCATCATTATAAGCCAACCCCGTTATATGTCATGGACGAGATTGATGCGGCGTTGGATTTCCGAAATGTAAGGTGCAATCGATAACTGCTACAACACGGAAAAGATTCACTGACTTTCTGAAAATCGATAGGTCTCCATTGTTGCTTCATACATCAAGGAACGGACTAAGAATGCCCAGTTTATTGTTATTTCTCTTCGAAACAACATGGTAAGTGGCATTTCTCAAAATATTATTGCATTGCATGGTGGCTGATCGACAAAACTAGTTTGAGCTTGCCTCTCGCCTTGTTGGAGTGTACAAGGTCAATCATATGACCAAGAGTGTCACCGTTGAGAATCGTGATTATATCACAGGTCGATCGGGCTCCAGTACAGCGGCACCGACACAGTCGTAGTAGTTGTATGCCTTTCTTGCATTATTTTCCTTGATTTTGGGGACCCTGTCTATCTGTGCATAGATCATCTTACGGTGTAATGAGGGGAGTGGATTATGCTGGAATAGGGTGAAAGCACAATGGTTTTATGATGTTCGTTTTTATTCTTTGAGGTTTGGTTGCATTATGTAAATAGGATGGACAGTATGCCAGTTACTTTATTTCTTTCCTTTAGTTTTTCCTAAAAGCTCTTCAGTGAACATCGAAATTACTACAATGATTGATCGATGTCTTAGGCTATAATTGCTTGCCAACAGAATGGGTGGCCCTTCCTTTCAATTCCATCACTCATAACTCATAACCCATTTATTCTCTTACGTCTCTTTAGAGTTTGTCTTCTATTATCTCACGAGGTCTACTGCTGAATGATTGATATCTGGCTTGCGGCCCAAACGTCGAGCACCTTATCGGCATCTCAGTGCGAATACTGAAGGTCAAAAAACTGGGAGAAAGTGATAACCTTCGATCCTTGTGATACGTCATCCTATCAAGTTGCGGGTAATACTTTTTCTGCCTAGGTAGATGACCTTTGACTCTGTTAGCTTTGAATCGACCTTTGGTGTTTTGAGACAATGTGTATGTCGCGTTTAGGAAAAGAAGGGTATGAGAGAATGGCAAAAGCGAGGATGGTGATACGATCAAATTCTTTGTTCTCTTCAACTGTTGCATTCACACAGGTATGTTCGCTGAAGGAGTGATGTTTGACTTCGCCGCAGGGCGCTCTCGGATAATGGAACTTCGACTCAGCTTCTTTTTGGCAAGATTTCTAGAGATGCTTCCCTCCGGCAAATATTCGCAAACAATGTCGCTCATTTCATGCGGCAATATGGTATGCTCAAAGAGCTTGTCAATGCTTTACACATATGATATTCACTAGGATCACATTCTTACAATATGGGAGTAGGCTCTGACGGTCTCGACATCGACTGGGAGTATCCCGGGGCACCTGGATCGTTGTGGAAATCCAGACGATACTGCAAATTATGTCCTACTACTCAAAACTCTTCGCGAGACATTTGGTGCGAGTGGTAGTAAATTTGGCCTAACATTCACCACCCTAACTTCATATTGGTATCTACGCTGGTTTGATCTGCCTAAAATGCTCCAATATGCAGACCGGATCAGTGTGATGACTTATGACCTACACGGGTCATGGAACGCTGATAACCCAATTGGAAATATTGTTCAGGGTCATACAAACCTCACTGAGATTAAATTGGCCATGGAATTATACTGGCGAGTCGAAATCCCTCCTTCCAAGCTCGTTCTCGGCTTTGGCTTCTATGGCAGATCATTTACACTATCAGATCCCAGTTACAATTCTCCAGGTTGTACTTTCAGCGGTGCATCGAATCCAGGGCTTTGTTCCGCTACAGCGGGAATACTTGCCTATTACGAAATCCAAGAGTTGATAAATCAACACAAAGCCCAAAAGAAGATAGAGGCTATCAGCCCCATTCATGATCGAGATGCTGCGGTTAAATACTTCACATTTGGCAAAGACCAGTGGGTCTCGTATGATGATAAGGATACCTTCAAGCAGAAGGTTGACTGGGCGAATAGTGTTGGCCTGGGCGGAGCGATGATCTGGGCATCAGATCTTGGTGAGTACACTGACACCGCCTGATCATTAAATCTTTGAACGTTTCTCGTAGTATAATGACCAGTATTCTCTTAATATGATGAGCAGCACATCCTCAGATCTATGGATCTGTGCTTAGACTAAGACATCCAAGTGATCTGACAATGTCTAGCTAATCATATTTGAGAAGTCACGGGCAGCAGCAGCATTGGTACAAATCAATATTATGAGGGTTATTCTGGATTTCAATGACCGGAAGGTGCAACCTCGTCCCAATGCACTGTTAACTGGCTGTAGCTCTTGGACAATGATCAATACTCCGCCCAATGTGAGCCTGGCGAGATAAACATCAACCATATAGGATCCAGCTGGGGAGGCAGTCAAGAGGAATAAATAACTGATAGGAACTGGTTTAAACAATATTGCGGTGCGCAGAAGCTTTTGCGCTCGCATGGTTGGGATTTGTCTTGATTTTAATATGTAGATCGTCGGAGATTTGTTCTGGCAGAGATGGCTGGGGTCGTCCTGAGAGATTTAGGGGTGCTGCCTGTGTAGTCTTTTTTGCCGTACTACGGAGTACCAAGCGTAAATGTTATGTACTGTATGTAATACAGCACTACAAAGAACCAACCTGTCAAACTTCCACTACAGGAAGCTGCCTCAGGCACAGGAGCGGGCATATGGCAGTCTCATCGGATGTTAAGACAAAACTAGTATTTTACAGTGTTACGCAATTAACCATTGCACTATATTGGGAAGAAACCCAACATTGCATCGATCGATGATAGTCAGGTATTTAGGGCCACAGGATGCAATGTTAGAATAGTCGTTCAATATTGAAGGTTCTAAGACTTGAAATTTGAATCATATCTACATCATGAACAATAGCCGGGCTTGATACTGTTACTCTAGTAGCCAGCAGGAAAACACTAAAATTAAAGTACGAGATCCCAGCATTTAAAGGCAGGAAATTGTTATTGTCCGGTCTGGTATTGGTGGACATGGCAGGCATCATCGGTCAGTCTGTCCGACTGGCCAATCGACTGGTCTCGAGAGCTCTTTCGCTAGCTCATGTCAAGATGGAAATCTTATGAGAATGGAGCCATGTCGACACGGTTCAGCGTACTGCGATACACATGTTGAAACTATAGGGGGTATATGAATGTTGGATATGACAGACCAAAGCGGGGACAGCAACGGCTTGCTGAATGGTGTCAATGGACATTACAAGCATGTTCGGTTGTTTACCTGTATCTACATGTAATCCTCATTTTTATCCACGAAGGAAAGGATAGCTTGTCAAGTATATAATCAAGACATTCATAGAATGTATATAGCAGCTCAGCTTCGTTTTTACCATTTTTCTTTCATTATTTGGTCTATGCTTCAGGTAGATAGTGAAGTTCGTTGTAACCGATTGTACAAAACACGACTACAGCTGCAGTTCAGCAATCCGCAGCGAAGAAACCGACCTAAATAATCAAACCCGTTTAAGCGGCAATGGTAACCTCAACCTCAACACCAGCCTCAATGTTGATGATGATCTGCTTGACGGTCTCGGTGGGAGCGTGAAGACTATTGGGAAATATCCTGTCAGCCATTGGATCCATAGATATAATCCATGTCGTGTCCTTAATATGGACATCGTTAGGACGCTGGAAAACTCACTCAATCAAACGCTTGTGGATGCGCATCTCGTAGGTATCCCAGGTCTTGGAACCCTCACCGTTGGGGGTCTTACGAGTGGAGATCTTGAGAGTCTTGGTGGGAAGACGGACTATATTGAAAGTGCATAGTTAGAACCAATGAATCTTGTAGAGACTGAAATGAATACTGACCAGGTCCCTTGACAGTAAGCGACTTGCTCTTAGCACGCTCAATGAGCTCCTGGCAGACTTTCTCGAGGGAAGCAACCTTGCGAGAGCTGAGGGTGATGCGAATCTTGTGGATTTTCTGCGGACCGACAGTTAGCGATGGATGTGACTTGTCAATGTGCGTCAAGGGGATGAAAAAGCGACGTACTGGGCCCTCGCCGAAATCCTTCTCTGGCTTCTGGAAAGACATTTTGATCGGTTGAATGAGTTAATATGAAATGGACGATGCCAGTCAAGACCTGAACACACACGCACTGAGTCGAGAGGTTCGGTAAGGTGATGAAAGGCGTGGAGGAGCGTACTTTGCGAGACGAAGATTTTGATGATAAATTGCTCCGCAGTCGAAGATAAGATAGAACAGGGCTTTGTTTGCACTGTTTGAATGTGCGTAAAATCGGGAGTCTTGGCATTTGTATCACGTGATAAAGCTCGGCTATTGATACGCTAATCCTGATCGGGAGTCCGTGACCAGCCAGAAATGATGACTAAGCGGAATGATGGAACGAATTCGTGTCGGCCAATCAAATCGCCAGATACCATGTCGCCGTTCGCCTTTCCTTCTTCCCTTTGGTAAACAGAGCTTTCCTGCCATGACCTCGCTTTCTTCACGACATACTAAAAGGGACCAGGCCGGAGTTGCCGACATGCGACAAGGAGCGGATGCCACATTTCAGTTTCGTATTGGAAAGAACATTTTATATCACTCATGGATCTTCCCCGCCTTATCCCTGTCCCGCCATCTGTGGTGCGGGAAACCATTCCAAACGAAGAATGGGAGGTCACATTGGACGCTTGGATTCTCTTGACGGAGTTACGCCTGCATCTATCTGCCAAGCAGTTCGAAGAATGCGCACATATAGACGGATTCAATGTCACCTTTCTGGCGTCATATTTCGCTGCCCATGGCGATGCTCGGCTTCATGCATCGAATACCAATCGGCATTTGACCACTGCCATGAAGGCAAAACATCTTCGACGGAGTATCTTTCTACTGCTAAGACGATATTACTTGGATGTCCAGTTATTTCCTTTGGCGGATGAGTTGCTGGATTGGCGATTCCTGAGCCAGTTCAGTGATACCTATCACTCAAGCTCCGCACTGAAGCAGCTGTTATTAGAAGTATGGGCACGATACGAAAATGAAATAACATCTAGTCTCGAAAAAGGAAAAGCTGAAGTTACGGAGATGCTTCTGAAGGCGGATAATGTAAAAAAATTGGCCGCAGCTCCTGATATAATCCTCGATATGCGAAGATTAAGCGTCCTAAGCTCCGCGTTACCGTACGCTGGTTATCTGTTGATGGCAGGGTCCGACTATCTTGATTCTTTGCATGATGCTTACCGAATATCTTTTCTCGCCAGCGACGAAGCTGACGGTAGAGCCTTGAGGAACGCACTGGTTGCCAATGTCTACGTTGGGTTAACATCTTTACTCAAAATACCCAACCCAAACCTATCTCTTTTCCTGGACCAATTATTCTCCCTGAAAGTTTCCGCGGGTGTCGATGCAACTTCCAGCAAAACGAGTGATCTGTCTCCAGAGCTATTGTCTGATTTAGTATGTAGCACGGATATTCTCGTTCGGATCGAGCGAAACTTAGTATCAAGCTCGCAGAAACGTGGCCAAGACCTCGTCGATTCATTACGAGAATATCAACACCGGATGAGATCAATACATAATCAACACTATCAGCGACACAAGCAAATAAAGGGCAAAGGCAAAATGAAAGCAGTTGCAGACAATGGTGACGGCGCACGCGTCCATAAAATGTCTTTGATAACACAAATCCGCGACCTTTTCCCGGATCTTGGAGAGGGCTTTGTTGTCCGGTTGCTAAATTACTATGCAGATAGTGTCGAAAGTATAGTGGCCCATTTGTTGGAGGGCTCTTTGCCACGGGAATTGAAAATCCTCAACAGGGCAGAGCCTCTATCGGATCACAATATGCAAAATCACGATGTGATGGAGCCTCATCACACCCCACCGCATGTCACCTCACCTCAACCGACATATACACGGAACATAGATTTAGGGGATGATGAGATCATACAAGCTGCGCGATCTGCGGCCAGAGTTCAGGCGCAAGGTGAAGCTGGTGGACAGAAGAAGAAACTGTTTTTTGGCAGGGCCAATATTGACTCCACTGCTGATAGCATCCTTGCTGATCGAAGTCAACATGCTGCTAATAAAGCTGCGATACTATCTGCGCTAGCAAACTTTGATTCCGATGACGACGAGCGAGATGATACCTATGACCTAGCTGATGTTGGGGGTACTGTTGATGTGTCAACGACTGGGACATTAGATGCAGAGGGCGAGCAAGAAAGGCGTAGTCGGATAAGTACAGGCGCCGTCGGGGATACAGATAAGGATACTGCAGGTCTCGATATGACTTTGTATCGACTATGGAAGTCAAGTCCTGCCCAATTTGCACGCGATTCGAAAACTCGACGATCACATTCGCGGGCTACGCTGAAACACGAGACTGGAATGACCGATGAAGCCATCGAAGGATGGGCGGCCATGCTTCAGCGAGATAAGAAAAAGCAATCTCGCCTAGAAACAAGATTAGCTCTTGAGGCCGGCATGGGTGGTGCTGGGGGAGCAGCGGCGAGTCAACCAGAGTTGGGCTCAGCCGCATATCGAAGACCGGGCGCGATAACGGTGGCCGACGAGGATGAAAGTCCGGAGAAGAATGATGGATCATCTACCGGGCTAAATGCTCGCTCGAGAGGAAGAGGGCGGGACGGTACGGGAAGAGGAGGGTCTGGCAGTGGGGGACCGAATCGAGGACGCGGAGGAAATCGTGGACGAGGCGCCAATCACCGTCGAAGAGATCAACATGCTAAGAAGATGGTGAGAGCTGGAGTGCTTCCTAGTTAGTATCCTATCATGGTAATTTGAAACAATTCATGTGCTGCTCACGTGCTCGCTAGGAGTACCCATGGAAGGTTAGTCCACGGCTAGAGTATCTGTCACTTAAATAGTGTAAGAATTGCGCGTCTCGTAATACATATTCTCTTGGAATTCTCACTCACTCCTGAACTACACCTCACAACACCTGATCCTCGCTCCTAGCTATATACTACCATACTAAATCATCTAGTATGCGCGCAGCTTTTTAGTCTAGTTGGTTGAGCACAACATATTCCTAGGATCTGTTACACTTAGGATCGACCTGTACCATGTTGAATTTATGCACCGACTTCGCTGACAATTCTACAACGTGGTACATCCTCTGGCTCCCAAAGGGCCATGTTTTGCCAAGTACAAAATCAATGCTCCATCCATCAACAAAAAGATCCTCGTGGTCAGTCAACTCCTGTCCCTAGGCAGAAGGCCACAGTCATGTGGCCATATCTGGGCATGGGCCCGTTACAGGTATAACTCTTATCCTATCGATTTTGTCTCCATTTGTCTTAATGCTTCGATCATTTGGGTACTGATCTCAGAGTAAAGCACACATTGTCATCCAGTGATCCGGAATGGCAAATTATACTAAAAAATCACGATATAAGTATTATATCCCTTTTTGGCGCCATAGAGACTTCAGATCCGCCGTAAATGCATTTGCAACAACGAAACCCCTCGTCGAAATCTCTCCAAGCATCGCACAAATCGACTCCGTCTCTCGAGCGGTTGTTACTCTTGCACCTGCTACTCTCAAGGGAAAAAAAAACAACACAGCCGCCAAATTTGCGGTCTTCAAAGAGATCTCAGTCATTCGTAGAATTTCATCAACGTGATTCTGAACAACAGCGTGTGAGATTGTGGGCGTGGGTATTTTGTTAAATTGAGTGCGGTAGTCGTAGATACCGGACAGGTAGATGGAGATGCCGTGAAAATAGATTGTTGCAAGAACGGAATTGTGGTTATATTCGGGCGTACCAGTATCGGCCGACCATTTTTGAAAGTTCGCATACCAATCAGCAAGAGCCGACCGGACAACGAACCCTTCAGCAGCAAGCTCAAGGAGGGCCCTGTGAAGAGGCACGTTTGGACAATTGGAGCCCAGGTTGAGCAGCCCCCATACCCTGCGCTCGGTCAATCATACAGTAATAGGATATAGTGGGCCTGTGAGTGTACTTGCCGGTGACTTATCGAAGAGCATGTGATCATCAGATCGAATAATGGTTCCTTTGGATGCCAGTGGTTGTTATCATCCTCCTTCCAGATCTTAGCCATGAGCGACATCCATTCCGGCTGGCAGAGAAAAGTAGGTTCTGAGTATATGAGTGCGCGGCAAATCTCAAAGACCCGTACTGTGAGGAAAAATGACCGCCCAGAGCCAGCTACATGAGCTTCTGGACCGCGAAGCTGAAGCATTTCGGATGTACCGTACAGAAAATGCTTCACCCAGCCTTCTCCAGTCATATCATGCATGAGCTAATTGAAAGGTTAACGTCCAGCTTCCGATATAATTTCCGCCTAAGATACCGGTTACCTACTTCGAACAGCCCCAAGAAGAACGTGGTCCATAGATTGACATCTCGAGGGGTGTTGTGGCTTACAATCTCGGCTTTCAATTTGGTGATCGAGGTGTGGTAGGCTGTGAATGCTCCCACAGCCGCATCTTTCCTTTCCGGAGGTAGAGTCAGCACCGGCATCCTGCTCAGATCAAGTGCACCCAGGGCAATGGATGCATGATACATGCTGGGAGATCTCTGGAATTCCGATATGATAGTGCTGAGGTCCAAGGGGCCTCCAAAGCTATTTCTGGCCAGAAAGCCAGAGAAGAAATGCTTTGCAAAGAGAGCTGACCTTCTTTCTGAAACCTTGGGGCAGAGGCTGAGCATAGGAAGCCGAGAGGCGGGCGAGAGACAGTCAGAACTTTTAGATGGTGCCGAGGCATTGACAAAGACTATCCTAGCCTGTGGCTGAATTGCTTGAGGGACGCATTGCTGTTTTCTTTTTATGCAATACTGACAGGGAGTGCCACCTTCGCACTACTGAGGGTTAAAATAGGGCAGCGTTCACTGACAGCTTCTATGAGAAGCAAATGCTGACCTTGATTCTGCGTCGTGCGCAGGCCGCGCATCTGGTGCGAGCAGTCCGCCGATCGAGTGGTCCCAGGACGGCCATTTCTCGAAATTAAATGTAGGAAAATTTGTGGGCATTTTACGCTGGAAATGACCTGGAAATGCCTCGTTACTCCTCACAACTTAAACGGAGCAGCAACTGGATACAAGTTGTCTCAACACAGACCTTAGTACTGACTTCACCGCCCGCCTAATTCGGCGTCAACCGACTTTCGTAAGAAAGGTCTGAATCATTAACAATAAAAAACTCGTTGCTTAAAAAAATTATATAGAAGCCTATACTAAGTTTATAAATAATAGATTTACCTAGTTAAAGATTCTAAGAAATAAGCGCTTAAATAATTGGGGAGGTTAATTAGTGAATATATACCTGCAGGCCCTTCCCTCTGCCTTTTGTTCGTATGGTAACCATCGGGCAATCGTGCTCTCCGGGAAAATCGGTGCCACAATACGTACAGCAATCATTTTAGCTTCGAGTTACTAGATACGTAATACCGTTTCCCACTACTCCGTAATTAGTTATTTATTCTGTCAACAGATCTAGTACGGTAAAGATTCCATGCCAAGATGTACCCGTTGATCGGCCTTTCCTGAAGAGGCAGCATTCGAACGCAGTTTTCTTGATACATGAATCTCAGCCTCCACAGCGAAAGACGAGCATATTATCACATTTCCGTGGAAAGAATCCATGAACACGCTTGATCATTGCCTTATTAGGTAGTATGGACGTCAAGATGTCCCGGCTAACATCGGACCAAACGGACGTGGGATTGACTCCGGAATCCTATATAAGACAGAGAGGTTCCTCCTATTTTCTTTCCTAAAACACAATTCTTCCAGCTTTTGTCCTTCACTATTTTGCTATGATGTTCAAGCCCTCTGATAAGCGCTTGCTGCTTGCCGCTCTCTTTACCCAGCTTCTCCCAAGCATCAACGCGTTGTCCTTCCCTGCCACGGTAGGCTCGTTCAACACCAGCATTGCAACAACCCTGCTCGTTGACCATCATCGTTTGGATCCGTACGCTCCAACGCCACACCCACGTACTTTGATGATCTCTCTCTTTCATCCCGTCCCTCCAGCAGAATGTTTCTCCTCCCTGACGTCCTACATGGACCCCATCAGCGCAACCTTCGAGGATAACGAGTATGCACCAGTTGGTGTCCCAGCCGGCGCCTTCGGCTCACTTACCCTTGAAACCTGCAAGCCTTGTCCGGCTTCAAATCCTAGACGCGGCGTCAAAGGGCCTAATTATCCACTGGTTCTCTTCTCGCCTGGCCTGGGGAATACTCGACTCTTGTACAGCGCTATTGCACAGCAGTACGTATTCCCCATCTTCTGTTTCTTGCTCATCTAGGCCTTAAATCGACAGGTCTCGCTAACTTTCACTTCCCCACAGATTATCCAGCACTGGCTACATCGTCGTAACCATCGACCATCCCTACGACGCAAGCATCGTAACATTCCCAGACAATACCACAATCCTTGCTACCAACATCACAACCGATACCCAAATCGTAGATGACCTGAACATCCGCGTGAAAGATGTATCCTTCGTCCTCGACCAGCTCCACCGTCAATCCGTCATTTCAAAACTCATCCCAGGCCGAACTTGCGGGTTGGATACCTCTAAAGTGGGAATCTATGGTCACTCCCTTGGCGGCGCCACCGCAGCTGAGGCTATGCTTTCTGATTCCCGTCTCATGGGAGGTGTCAATCTAGACGGTACATTTTTCGGCTCCGTTATCGACCAGGGGTTGGATAAGCCCTTCATGATCATGGCGCACGAAGGGAAGAATTTGACAACTGATGCGAGTTGGGATGCACTGTGGCCGAAGTTGAAGGGCTTTAGGAGAGGGTTTATGCTTAGTGGGAGTACGCATGGTACGTTTACGGATTTGGCGGAGGCCGCTGATTTGATTGGTCTGAGAGAGCAATTTCCGACACAGGCGGCCGCATTGTTGGGGAGTATTGATGGGGAAAGAGCCCTTCAGGTTATCAGTGCTTATGTTAGCAGATTCTTTGACATTGTTTTGAAGGGGAAGAAAAGTGAGTTATTAGATGGGTCCAGTGTGGAGTTTCCTGAGGTGACTGTTGGAGAAAATTAGCCTCCTGTCAGAACGGATACTGTCCAACCAGCTTCTAACCCATTTTGGTTAGCGCCTCTCGCTTCACTCATGTATTCATACATCCATCTCCAGAATACACAACAAATTGGCCCTTTTTCGTTACTAGTTTGACATCGTTTCTTTGGTTTTTGTATGTAATCTTGGGCCTGGGAAGCAAAGGTCCGCCCTTTGATCCGATCATCGGATGAGACTGAGAGTATTTAGCACGTTCTTTAGACCTTTCTTGAGTCAATCCACCATTTATCATGAAGTGAGCAGTTCAGTGAGCGTGAGCCTGTACTGAAATTTACTCAGTGATCGTGACCCTCACAAAAGTGGCGGCAGCTGAGAAAGGAAATCTCCACTTGGCAAAGGAAATCTGGTATGTATAGTCACATAGGTACATGAATGGCTAAACACAGTCACATTTCCTTTCGGGCCTCCATTGAGCACCGCGGTCGACCAATTTACAGCAGTCGAGTCAAGTCCGAATTTGACGACTCCAAAAGGTCGGGTACCACCCACGAAGATATCGCCTCCTCCAAACCCTTCTCCGGACGCCGGCCATGAAGGCGTTCACATATTGAGAGTGTGGCACTCGACTGTCCTTGAGCCTGGAAGGCGGAAAGTGCTAGAGACAATGCGATCCTAATAGGCAATGGGAGAATTATCCGGAGCATTTTCTGTCTAACCTCGTGTTTTCCTGATGATTTCCCGACTTGACTTTCGCTCATATACACGAGGTATGGTGCTTGGGTGGCAGAGCGTCGTCGTCGGAGAAAGATTCAGACTGACAAGGAGAACACAGCACCGGCATTCCATAGATCTGCGCGGCTCCGACTGCTAGTCTATAGTTAGTCTATAAATTGATATCAAGCACGACCTTCTCAGAACGACTGGGTAAGAAGTTTACTTCCCTCAGCAGGCCAGCGCACTTCGCATGGTGTCTGCAGATCCCCAGATCCCCCGCTTTCATTTCTCCATCAACTTTTAACTTGTGCGTTGGCAACGTCAACAGTCTTACAACTTGTCGGATCATTCATTAATCCTCTCTTGAGATGCCTGGTTAGAACTAGTTATCAAGCACTTAGTACTAGCACGGGAGACACTTTCTCGTCTAGTACATCAGACTCCATATTAACAAAAGGTCTGCGTAGTACGTACTCATCAGCATCAACGTGAACAGGCATGTTTAGCAGCGAGCTACATAGCTATTTCGAGTTTCGAGTCATTGTATATCAACAAAGTCTACGAAACAGACTCCCATTGCCTTGCCATTACCATCAAATTCCACACCTTCATCCAGCAACAGCTTCATCTTCTCCACCGAATACTCCCCACCGTTGTTCCATGCGCCCTTATACCCACCTAACGATCCATCCCTGGCAAGTACTCTGTGACATGGCACTGCTGGTGCAAACGGATTGCTTTTCATGGCATTCCCGATTGCGCGAGGTCCTGTGTTGAGGTATTTGGATATCGCAGAGTACGTCGTCCATCGTCCTGGGGGAACACTTATGAGTATTCGATAGATTCGACGGCGGAATGGGGTCAGTGTGGGGTGAGATGAGATGCGGAAGAGGGTTTTATGCAGTTGAAAATCTTTCTCGAGTCGATTTTGCCCGTTTATATGTGTAGACTTCTTTTTGTTCGTGATCTCTGTCGGGTTAAGTGAAGTCGTGGCCGTTGCCACGGAAGCTATCGCCATCGCCATCGCCATCACTCGTTTCTTATCTGCAGAACCCCTCACACAAAAGAACAATGAGCCACCACAAGTACTATTACCAAGGGTGGTCTGTTTGTAGACACAGTTTTTGAAGTTAACAAAGACGCGTCTCGTTTGTGACAGAACAATGCACCCCTTGATCTGATGCTATAGCTTCACAACGCAAATTGTGAACAAATTGTGAAGAAATCGATGAAAATAAGATAGAATCTGTGGTGGCAAGAGGATTGTTTGAGTATGTAACTGGGTATATAGGATGTTGTGATCGTGACTCAAAACGCGTGCCAAAAGTTACACTTCGCTTGCTATGACACGTGATTGGCTGATCCCCGCTCGATAATCGATACTTAATGACTTGCTCGTTCTGTCTTTTCTCAAGAGATGTGAAAGGGTGCGACTAGGATATGTCTTATCGTCTCTATGATTACCTAGGCATCTATGTACTTCAAACCTATCTACACGTCCAGACGATTGATAAGCTTTGGTGGGCTAGCTATAAAAATCCTCGTGGCTTTGATATAATAATATAGTGCGGCTGTCTTGTCAATCAAAATCAGGTGCATATTCGTCAATATCTATTTGACATCTAATTCTATCCTAAGCAGACTGTATTTAACAGGCGCCTTGCTCAAGGGGTCGGGCTCACCTATTTCCATGATATGTCAGGTAAACGAGAACAGGAACATTGGGGGAAATCACATAGGAGAAGGTATCACGCATAGTGTGGAAGATGAAATGGGATCATAAAAGGAACAAGTGGTTGAAAATATCCAGCATCATCAAGACATTCCCCGTCCTCCAATCGTAAATCATCAAGACATCAGTCGTAATATGTATGTCTATGCAATAGAGTCGATATACCGAATTACAATCGTACTCGATGAGATCAGTGATCAAGTGCAGCGTTAGTTCTGCGTTTCTTAGTTCCGCAACGTTTTGGAATGTTCTGATTATGGAAGGTGCGCAAGTGTTCCATGAGATGGTCACGACGTGGGAAACCAATGCTCCCCTTGCGAACGCAATTCTTCACGGGGCAATCCATAGGTCTAGGGGAATGGACGCTGGTCTCATGACGCTTGACATCGGCACCACGAGTGAAGAACCTGCCGCATTTTTGACATTCGAAAGAAGCGGGCGACCTATTCGACACACTGGATTAGCTCATATCTCTCATATCTAGGGGAAGAGAAAACTCACTTTTTCTTCTGCACGAGTTGAACTGGCGGATTGGGAGAGCTTGGAGTAGAGCTTTTGCTGTCCAAGACTGCTGGACATGAGGTAGAAATTGGTGATCCAGGCGACGGCGACTTCGCAGCCAACTGAGATGCGTCCACATTTCTCACAACCTTGTGGTTATATTCCTCACTGTGAATGCTCGTTGAGGACGACGAGGTAGCAGGTGATGCTGAGTAGTAATAAGGGGAGGACGAGTATTCATAAGAGCTTGAGTTGAATTCAGGAGTCATAGTAAACTGAGATGCAGAATGGAAGCTGTGATTTGGGAGAGGAATTGGGATAGGTCGAGTAGCAGGTGCACTAGTTGTCCCAACTGCCATAAAAGCGTTGGTGTCCACTGCATGACCTACAGCAAGCAGAGACTGTGCATCACACCTCATAACTGCATGGGATGAAGTGAGATTTGGCTGAACATGGAAAGGAACTGTGCCACCATTCTCACAATAAAGTGAGTGTGTGCCAGGAGTCATGTTCATGCTTGTGTTTGTATGAAATCTCAAATCCATATTCATGGTCATTCCCATACCCATACCAATACCTGTGTTCATATCCCGGTTCATGATGCCCAAACCTCCATTGCTTTCAGGTAAAGCAAACCCCATGCTCCCTACAGCAGGCGATGGATATTTTGACTGAGAAGAGGGAAGTTCAATGTAGGGTTGATGACTATGAATCTCGTTTGGGGACTCGTAATCGTCAAAGTCAGAGCCGTTTTGCTGCCTCTGGAAAGTCGAATCAGCGCCGATGTTGGAATTAGAATAGTCCATGGCTAGACCAATCTCGAAGGGAAAAGGCTCCTAGAAACAAGGACGGTCAATTCTTTAGATATGTGACCAGAAGCCTTCAATTGTGAAGCCAATTATATTAAAGATCAGAGATTCATACCATATCATAGTATTGCACTATCTCCACAAGGAGAGACATGCAGTGCACAACGAACTAAGCATGCATATAGTGAAGTATCCACAGGGCATCCCAAGCTTCAAAGCAAAACCTGTGCTGAGAGGACAAGATGATTATGCTAGAGCGACTTTGAAGTTCAGATGGCCAGCATGAGCCTTGGACCAGCAGATCTGGACCAGAACGGTAGGAGATGAGTAGCCACAGAGGTTTTCCTTAAGAATTAGAGTAACCAGGTTGATGAGGAGTAATAGTCAGATTCCTTCCAAGATGTGAACAAGAAATGGATTTTTCTCCCCAGAGTTCACTAAAGGTGAAAGGTGTCAGGGCACTGAAAGAGTATCTAGCTCTGATTGGTGGATTGACCACACGTGAATATCTCAGTCTACCATTAATATGTCGCTTTGATGGGCTTTGACTACCTATTGATATAGAGAAAAAGAGAATAGGGAAATTAAAAGCAAACGAACAGGGAGAAAAGCAAATGAAAGTGAGAAGTATCATTGAGCCTAGACAAACAGTGCGGTGGAGAATTGAAGACTCGATCCATTGTCTGGCGCAATAGCGCTGATTGGTCGAATGCAGACAGGCAAGTCAGGCTGCATAGAAGGGCTGTAGAATGACGCTAGAAGTATTTATTACACCACAATACTAGGACGAACCTGAGTAATTACGGTAATGACGGCCATATGGACGTCTGCAATTCTTACAGAGCACATACTTTGTATAGAGCCATGGAGTAAAATGTATATATAGTAATGCTGCAGTGTAATAATTGCGATGAGATACTATTTCGTAGATTGGTTGCCTATCGTGGAACAAAGATAGGATATTCCAGAAGTCGGCCAGCAATTTCTATTGTAGACTTTCTACTCCGCGAGTCAGTACCTGCTCGCAATTAGGATTTCTGTATCACAATAATAGACAGATCTGAACTAGCTTGTCGGCATTATTTTCGCCTAGCAAAGAGATCATCTTGGCCGAAGATTTCATTGGCTCGCCAAGAGTTTGGTGATACGTGGGACATATGGTAAATAGTGTGTGGCGATAGAATCTCCAATGGAACCAGATCTGCATACTATGGATTCTTTGGAGCACTGTGGTGTGTCAACTCACATGCCGGAAAATGAGGTATTCTTATTACTCTGCTGAATGCCTAGACTCCATAGGGATTATGCTATCTTCCGGTGCAATCTACCTAATCTGAAGGCCACTTAGTGCTGTCTAGAAAAAGATGGTCGCATAATCGAAGACGGCCAGATAGTACACGAAAACTAACAAGGTATTTGTCAGTAGAGTTTGGATTAACTACCCAACGATTTATTCAAGTTCCCCCGGAAGATATTGCAGCCATGGCATACAATATATATTCAGCCATGGATCAGTTAATCATGTAACAACCGACGCATTATGGATGATTCAATCACACGAGTCGTACTAATCATCGGGCCGTGCCGAGCGGAGAGTAGTGATCCAGTGAGATCCCCGATCTATATAATCTCATAAAAGATGAATAAGCTCCTGATTCGATTGAATTCCGAAAGTTTGAGAACCGAAACAATTTTGAGGGGAGGACCTGGATTGAATAATATTCTGGCTTCTTTCTTCGGGGTATTTTTAGGGTTACTTCAGACCTCTTGCTGTTTTGACATGCATGGGATCTAGTCTCGTTTCTGATTGATAGCAGGAGAAACGTTGAGAAGAATAGGTTATCCGTCCCTATTGTCGCCATTAGCATATCGAGTCGAGAACCACGCAAATACATATGAATGTTTCACAGGACCTGCATAAGGCGAAGTTCTTGGATGGGCCCAAGCCGACTAAGCATGTAGTAAGTACATAGTTAACAGATAGTGGGACGTATGGTATGTATGGTATGGTATGTAACATAGGTATTTCGGGTCTGTGGGGGAAACACGGCGGAAGTCTCCGTAGCGGAGACGTGCCAATTACCCCGACTCGACGGTTGAGTCTCATTCTGATCGCCTGATGGAAAAGAAATTCCAACCATCTGGGCAGATGCTGATTTCCACGGTCAATAAGATAACGATAATATTGAAGCGGAGTGAGTCTGGGGCCCATCTGTCTGTCACCGACAAAGTCTGAATCGCCCACCAAATCTCCAACAATGGGTTGGTACTATCGCCATGTTCTCTATTTAAACATGCGGATTATGGTGTCGTATTGATGGTACTCCTTCCCTGTATTTACATTCTCAACTTGCATCTCATCCCGCATTCATTGGTTATCATATCATTCCATACTGCGGTGATAGGTTTGGATAGATAATATGGAGGCACATAAAGTCAGTGATACAACAGCCGCGTAATACCAGGAGGGTTAGATTTGGCCCCACGAAGCATCAACACCGCCCCAATCCATAACTAGTGGTTATATATGCCGCAGTAATATTTAGGTTCTTGTGATCACAAGGCTGCCTGGTGATCAATCTGACGTAGTTCAACCACACGGTGTTTTCCAATCAGCTGCTAACTTGTGACTAGATGGTCAAAATTACTGCATTGTTATGCGAGTAAATTAAACACTGACAAAATGCCGCATACATTGTAGAATGAGGCGAGTAGTTTGAATGATCAGGGTTTCATTTGACACCGACCAGCCGCTTGGTGAACTTAAAAATTAGACATACTTGCATCCTGTGAACATAGTCTGATTGGTCGCCTGCATTGTATCACAGTACAGTAATGAGACCCATATCACGGTCGTCCATGATGGCAGATATTCGCCATTCAATTGACTCGATTGACTCACCTGTATTGGTTAACGTACCGATAGCAGCTCGCGTCTGGTTAATCAAAGGCGATACAGGACCGGTGGTACCTAATGAGTAGATCAAATAGCACCTCGCTGCCGGCCCGTGTTATCGAGGTGATATCTGTATTCTCGAGGCTCACAAGCGCGCCCGCTGGAATTTACCTTGGGACTGTAAACATGACGAGACAAGAAATATTACTCTACCTCAGTCGGATCCCACAAGTTCTAGTGCTACTTCAGCGCAAGGAATCCTCATGCCGGCAAGCTTCAAACTCCCTCGAACTCTCTACCAGGTCTGCACGTCTGCGGCACATCGATCCTTTGGACCATGAGTTGTGGATGTCGATGTCAACAGGTGTCATGAGTTTCAAATGGACCGAGGTTGTCGAGGCTTTCCAATCTGTCGCCAAAGTTGCTACCATGCGGAATCGCATTGGCACAACCCTGCCCTAGGTAATTCCGGACTATAAGTGTGACTTCGGTGATATCGACGTATAAATACCTCGAGGCCAGCGTGCTGTCGCTAAAACTATCTCCCAAGCTCCAAGCCGTAGCTGGTAGTTCTGACTAGTAGAGCGGGACTGTTCGCATAGAGCTTCCATTTTCACATATAATAATGGCCTCATGCGTTAGTGTTTCCAGTACTGTCCTCACGCAGATAGACGGTATGCTCCATGACGGCCTACTTCATCGGAGGGCTCAGCCATAAATATCCAACACTTCTGATCGGAGCATTCAGTCGAAAATATTTCCACAAATAATAGTCGCAAATTATGCAAACAATCCAACCATTCATGACGACAGCGCGATCAACATTATCTGGAAGACGGTTGTTACAACTTACGACAGTCTACAGACAAGTTTCCCTTCAAAACAACATCGTTGCTGCGTGGTTCGAAGGGTCTCTGGACGACGCGGACATCCAACTCAACGAGTGAGTACTATGCCTGTGCCATAATGTCCCAAATGTGATAAGTGCGGGAAAACCGGTTATAATGATTTGGTGACAAACACTTAGAGATATATTGTTAGGTTCAGACAATTTACTTGGGCTTGTCATTTGTGTTTGTACTGTTTGCAATACGTATGGAGTTGATTTCTTCAGTGGGTCCCCGATCTGACCCCAAACCGAAAAGAACATTCTCATCTTTCAATTTGTCCGTCAACGGAATGAAAACCATTTTGCAATTTCAATAGTCGCATTGCTACAATCCCCGCAGATTGTCTCTCAGCTTGATCTTCGAATTCAAGCATGAATGAGGATGACCCTGTTGTCGAACTACGAGGCGAACAAGTTGCACTATCTGAGAGCGATCAACCTATTTCGCGGACGCTTCCTGCACAAGATCAGCTGAGACAAAATGATTCCGAGTGGGAAAAGGCTAGACATAGGTGGTTCGAAAATACTAAACAGGAGCGGCTCCTTGTTAGAGAAATTCGAGCAACTCGTGATAAAGATCTCTCCAGGATACTGTACCGAGCATTTCTGGAGGGACGGCGCGGAAAAGGGCAGCGGCTAAAAAGGTAAGATGGAGAGCAATTCGCAGGTGACTACCAATCTTATAACAGACCAATGAGCAATAATCTGACATCCAGTCTGAGCTGCAGGAATTTCGTGACAGCATGGCCGCTTCGACCACAAGATTTGCAGCGAGGAGAATACGGATCGTCCCCGAAAGTATTTCTCATTCGACACGTCAAACCAGAAATGCGAAACAGATCGAAAGGGTATGCATTTATCGATCTATCTGGAGAACAACCAAATGCTTCACCTCATCAGCATGCTGCCGCTGAAAGCTCCGATGATGACGACAGAGTATCAGACACATCTGTTACTAAACCATATGGAATTGCGGGAAGCGATTATGATTCCTATCGGTTTAAACCCGAGCCAGACACCCGGCCAGCCGCTCAGATGGAGGAAGTCCTTTCAGCGCATTTAACGAAAATGAGCAAGGAAAAATTTCGCGAGAGGTTGCGTAACCATCACCTACTTAGCAATGGCTACGAACCTTCATCCGACGATAAATTGATTGCCACTAGATTGCGGCCTCTGGTACGAGATCTGATCGACTACCTGAATAATCTATTAAGCGGTATGCGATACGAAGCAAGTGAACGGAAAAGGAAACGACGAGCTCTCAGCGATTGGGATACAGTGATGCTGGTAGCTTCACAGCGTGGATGGCCAAATGAAGTCATATACCGTACGACGAAACGGTGCGAAACCATTTTTGGGAGCAGTTCTCAGTGCGGACAGACAAGTGTCAAATTTCTCCCGCTCGCGAATACGGAGCGTATACACCAAGGCGGAATCACCAGGGAGTCACTTGGGCATGTTCAAGGTCTATCCACAACCGAGAAATATCCACAACCAGCATCGGGAAACGACAAAGTTAGCAAAAGACGGCATTTTTGTCCGGTAGAAAAGTGTCAACGACATAGAGTTCCATTCGCGCAACTACCGAACTTGGAGGAGCACATGGAGAGGAGCCACTCGGAGAAGTTGACTTGAGCAAATCGCAATCTTGATTCGATCGAACGGAGAACGAGTTAAGAAATCCAGGTTTAGCTCACTTATTTGATCCTCCGGGAGCACGCCAACATCAGCTACGACATTTTAGCGAACTGGGTTGGCAGTAAAGCTTCCACGCCATGACGACGCTCAGCAACGGATTAGACGCCTCGCTGGCTCTGGCACTGTTCCATGAATAACGAGCCCCTTCATCTACGATTACAGGGAAGCCAATCAAGCAGTCGGGTCTTGCTAGCCATGCACGACTCAGATCGCCGCATTTCTCATACCTACTCATACCTACTCATCTCATTACCCCAACTAAAAGCCTTTTCCGCCTAAGAACATCAGTTGTTGTTTCAAGAGAGGGTGGAGTGTCAGACTAGCATCTTAAGGATTGTCGATCGTGTAGTCTCATGGTCTCTCTCCGATGCCTGAACCTGAGTACAGGAGCACTGTTGCAACTATTTCAAGCGCCTCGATAGTATTTGAAAGCAAGATATCATTTCCGATAAGAACTCGCCACTGAACGTGCACGTGGGTTGTGTAAATCCCGCGGCTACGTACTCCAGTCGTGGCCAGCTATCTCAGGCAAATAAGCCACATGACTAGGATTGCTGCTTAGCAAACTCTGGTGGAGCTGGGGTGTCATCCAGAGTGGGGCACTGCTGGGGACAACACGATCACCTGCCTCTTTCGCACATTTCCCGCGTGGCAACCCAAGACAGAAGCCAATCACATCGCAGCGACCGCCAGCCAGATATGGTTCCTCTATCAGCCACCAACCAGAAACAGCAGTACCTCTCTGCCCCACAACTATTCATCCAATAGAATTTCTTGGTGTCAACTAAACACACATCGGACATTGTGGGCCCGCTGATACACAAACTCCTGTTTCCATCCAATCACAGCATCTAATTGTATGTGTCTGCATTCTAAGCTTTTCCTCTCTCGGGTTTCTGTTCCATCCAACCTTCATTCGCGTCTCCGCCCTCGACGTCGTCTGATTTTTCTCCCTCTTATCTTTTGTGCGCTCATGCGACTAGTCAGGCCATATATAACAACTGGTCAGACGCACAATTCCTCGAGGTCATACTTGTGGGTTGTCGGCTCAATCACGTCAGCGTATTCTGCTCAGAGAGGCGCCTCCCATCTTGTGCAAACAGTCGGTCCTTGTCCCACACAATGGAGTACGACGCCGAAAAAGGTCATGGCGTGTCCAACTATGCCGTCGACACTAAGGGCACTTTGAATGTGAGCAGTTCGGATAACGACTCATCTCCGTCTGACATGCGAAACGGCAATGGAATTCTCGCGCAGTTGAGTGCCTTGGAACGACGCATGGACAAGAAGTTTGGCATGGAATCGGAAGCCATTGTTCGCAAGCGCCCCGAGGATAAACGACCAGTGCACTGGAGGGAAGAGTTGTCAATGGCTCTGCTATGGGCAAGTGGGACAATGAATATTTCTTGCTTTGCCACTGGGTTTCTTGGCTGGGAGTTTGGGCTCAGTTTGAAGCAATCTATCGTGATTACTATATTTGCTTCCATCCTGGGAGGTGCCCTGACCGCGTATTGTGCAACCTTTGGAGCCGCGACAGGTCTGCGTCAAATCAGTGTCAGTCGTTACAGTTTTGGATGGTGGCCTAACAAGGTTATTGCCATTCTCAACGGTATCCAACAACTGGGTTGGGCCGCTGTTGCGTGCATTACTGGCGGTCTCGCTTTGACGGCAGTTTCTGATGGCCACGTGTCATTGGTTGTCGGTATCATCATCCTCGCCGTTGTGGCATTGTGCATATCCTGCTTCGGATTGAAGTTTATCTTGGTCTATGAGCGCTATGCGTGGATCATCTTCTTCGTTATCTTCCTCATCATATTCGGCGAGACTGGGAAGTATGCAGACAACACATCTCCGGCTTCTGTTACGGGAGCCAACCTCTCCGCTTCTGTCTTAAGTCTGCTGGCGATTGTCTACGGTTCGAGTGCTTCTTGGTCCACAATGGCCAGCGACTACTATGTGCACTACCCAGTACGCGTCAGCCGTCTCAAGGTGTTCCTCATGACTACTTTCGGTATTGGCATCCCGACGTCGATTGGTATGGTTGCAGGATGTGTTGTCGCCTCTGCCTTGAATAACCGACCGGACTGGAAAGATTCTTATGACCTAGGAATCGGATATCTCGTTCAGGACATGCTCTATCCACGTGGCTTTGCCAAGTTTCTGCTCACCGTTCTCGTCTTATCCGGTATCAATGTCAATGTTATCAGTCTCTACAGTGCCGGGATATCTTTCCAACAAGTTTCAAGGCCTTTCGCAGCGGTCCCGCGGTTTGTCTGGACATTGTTATGTTTTGCAGCCATTCTCGGTCTTGCACTTGGCGGTCGTCAAGAATTGAACACATATCTGCAAGATTTTCTCAGTCTTCTCGGCTATTGGTGCACAAGTTATACCATTATTCTGCTTGAGGAACACGTCTTGTTCCGCAGAGGCGATTTTGAGAATTATGATCTCGAAGCATGGAATGACCCATCTGGACTTCCTCATGGCATCGGTGCAGCCATTGCATTCCTTCTCGGTGTGGTGGCCTGGTGCATGGGTATGGACGAAACATGGTTTGTCGGGCCTCTAGCGAAGCTTATCGGTGATGCTGGCGGTGACGTTGCCAACGAATTCACCTTTGTGGTGACGGCTGTAGTATATCTTCCGGCTCGTTATCTCGAGCTCAAGTATTTTGGCCGTTGATTTGCCTCTGGGGATTCAGGACAGTGATCACCGCTCGTCTGTCGGTGCTTTAAGACTAATTTTTTTGGTAACGAATTTGCTAGTTATCAATACTGATTTCGACTATCAAAGACAGCGTAGGGGTATCCTTAAAACCTTGAGGCAATCTTCAGACTCGTTTCGTATGCGTGAACGGAAAGTATGGTCATATTTCAAGAGCCTTCCCTTCCCATAACCTTAAATGGCCGCCATGCCTTCACATACATTTATCGTACTTTTTCTCGCATCAAAAAGGTATCCGACTCGGCTACGGCCTTTGAAAGCTAAGAACCTCTCAGCCATATACCCAACCGATCACAACAATTCGAATGCGTGACATTGCAGTCCTCATAATTCTGCGTATCTTGAAAATTACTTCATATTCTCTTCCCGCTAACACTAGCAGAGTCAAGTCGTGGTACGATGCAACGGAGCACGAAATGTTTTAGTTATACATATGCTTGCTGTAAATGCTATATTGATACATGCTAATGTTTCTGTCATAAGTTAACCACGACGCGTGCAAGTTACATGATACACAGCTTCTCAACGCTTTGTAAATCAGGCAATCAACATCGAAGATAAGCTTCTCTCTGGTCCGCGTTCCTATTGGCCACGTTCCTATTGGCCACGTTCCTCCATCTGTTCTGTAGATCTCTCTGTATCCAGCTAGTCGATCGGCCAACCTTCCAAGATTTCGACTCAGAGTCTAAAAAGACGTCCCCTTTACACTAGATAAGCTCCGGTGTACGGAGTATTCCGGGGTACATTGTACAATCTTACATGAACTGGTTATCCTTACCCAAATCTTTCCTCGAAATAGTCTTCGGTCGATGTTCAGTTGTACCGCTGTTAAGTACCAATATTGGCTCCTACGTATGTACGAGAATTAAACTCACTCCTCGGTCTCTTCTTACCAACCGAGTTCCCTATTGCGTACTCCGTACAAAAAACGCAAATTAATAATATCCCAGAAACCGACCCGCTTATTACCACCCCATGATACTACATCATTTATCAGTAGGATGACCCAATATTGTAGTTCGACAAACGGGATATTAGACGTGATCAGCCGTAGTACCACTATACTAAATTGATACTAGCCTTGAGAAATACCTTCCATTGTCCTTATCTGGTCTCTACCTCGCCGGCTATGTAACCACTGTACGTACTTATGCATGCGACGCCTTTCGCTTTGTTTCAGCTTACCCGCCGATTTTTGAGCGTACAGAAACTCTTTGTGATGATCTGCCGCTTTAGCCTCATCCTAAGCAAGATTCCGAGCCATTCTTCGAATGATATTTCACTTTTAACTTTTTTATATACGTAGTGCTCACCGCTTGTATAGAGCACTAGCAGCGAGCTAGCTCTAGGCACTATCTGTATCTAGTAGGTGCTTTACATGCAATGGCATAATCGCACTTTTTCCTACGGAACTTGGCTACTATGGGTCTAGTTGTATGCATAATATGGAGTATTAGGCGCATTGTGCAGTACTATCAAAGCCATTTTGTACATATAGCCTAGTCCAGCAGTTGATTTTTTTTATTTCTTGTGTAATATAAATAGCCTGGATTTCTTCACCATGCATGATGTGAAGTTATAGTCGACACTTACAGCACCTCGGCTCTTGCTGTTCTTTGATTGTCACTGTGTAGCATATGCTGCTGCGTCTGCCAAGCGTCAAGATGCGATCGATCATTCTATTTATCGCCATATGTGCTTCGTGGATATCACTCACCGTAGCTGTGCGACCTAATATCCCGAGGCCTCCAGCTTCTGCAGCGCCAGCAGCCTTCGAATACTCGACCGGATGGTTTGACCAGCTCTTAGACCATGATAAACCAGAGCTGGGTACATTTAGACAACGTTACTTCTACAGTACACAGTACTGGAAAGGATCTGGATCTCCCGTGAGTAAGTTTTAAGGATACGATCCGCCAAAATCATTAACCATTCGAGATGTTAGGTTATCTTGTTCCAGCCAGGAGAGCAAACGGCCGATGGGTTTCAAGGATATCTGACCAACGTCACAATCAGTGGTGTATATGCACAGGAATTCGGCGGAGCAGGAATCATTCTTGAGCGTGAGTCAGCAGATTGGATATTTCACCCCTCGATCTCTCGTTCTTATCCGAGTTAACCTCCATTAGACCGCTACTGGGGCGAATCCTCTCCGGTTAACACATTGACGCCCAAGACTATGCAGCATCTCACGTTTAAGAACGCACTTGCCGATGCGGTCCACTTTGCGAAGAATGTGAAGCTTCCATTTGATAACTCTACCCGGAGTAGCCCAAAAAATGCTGTATGTAATATCTCTTCCTATTATTACCGCCTTGGATTATTCGGTTGTTGACATATGAGATAAGCCATGGATCCTCGTTGGCGGCTCATACAGTGGAGCACAAGCTGGCTGGACTGCAGCAACCCTACCTGGGACCTTTTGGGCCTATCACGCATCCAGTGCGCCTGTAGAAGCAATATGGAATTATGTGAGTACTCGTGACATGTATTGAAAACTATCAAGCTCATGAATAACTGTTATGCAGTGGCAATACTTTGTCCCTATACAACAACGGCTACCAAAGAATTGTAGCACTGATCTAGTCAATGTCATCGATCACATAGATTCCATCCTAACCGGATCAAATGAAAGCGCCAAAGATGATTTGAAGAGAAAATTCATGTTGGGGGATCTTAGAGACGATGATTTTGCTGCGTACGTTCCAGAATTTCACTTGATTAGCCAGGACAATCTGCGCTCCCCACCCCCGGCTCCCCCCTCTCTCTTATCTTTGCTTCGAAGGAGTCACTAAACAGTGCTAATATCCTAAAATAGAGCGATTGTGGGTGGCCCTTACCTTGGCCAGACAACGAGTTGGGGTCCATCTGGAGTTATTTATGAGTTCTGTGACTATATCGAGGTATTAATCTCAGCCAAGCATATCAACAGTTATGATTAGCAATCTGATATAATTTAAGAACGTCCACGCCACTCCGCCAGCCAATGTTAGTTCCTCCGGAGTTGGCGTCACCAAAGCTTTGGAAGGTTACGCCCAGTGGTGGACTACTACCTTCTTCCCCGGAAGTAAGTGGTAATCTATAGCACTATCGTGTTCTTCGTGTTGACCCAATTCCCGCCTATAGCTTGCGCCTCTTACGGTTACTGGACAGACCAATATGAAACAGCTTGCTATGATACCTATAACAGCTCAAACCCACTCTACGCGGATAGGTCAATCAATAATGTGGCGGATCGACAGTGGATATGGTTTTGCTGCAATGAGCCATTTGGTGCTTGGCAGGAGTAAGTAAATAGTCAAGAGTTTGATAAGATAGTCCAGGATAGTTGTGGCTGACAGTTTGGTATCTTAGTGGCGCTCCTGATGGAGTCCCGTCCATTGTCTCGCGCCTCGTAACGGCGGACTACTACTTGCGAACTTGTGGAACGTACTTCCAGCCGGATGATGGGTACACATATGCCAGCGCTGATGGCAAACGGCCCGACTTTCTGAATTCCTGGACACAAGGTTGGACTGGAACAACTGAGCGTGTGATATGGGCCCAGGGGTAAATCTCTACAATTGTTTTATATGCCACTTCACTAACCGATTAAAACTCATGTGATATAGTCAATATGATCCTTGGCGCGAGGAGACCATATCATCAGACTTTCGTCCCGGTGGTCCGGCAATTTCCAGCCAGGTTAATCCCATTTATATTATGCCTGAGGCCAGCCATTGCTATGATTTGCTATGGAGGAATGGCGAGGGGAACTCCGGCGTCCGCGACGTTCAAAAAAAGGAAGTGGAGCAAATGAAGGCCTGGATCGACGAGTGGGATGTGTCTATCCACAAGCACGTACGTAACACCTAGGTAGACAGGTTGATCTTATAACTGGCTTCCTTCTGTAAAACGATGTCAGCGCGACCTATTGTCGCCCACGCCGTCTGTTGCGCTTCCGAGCTTGGATACATCTAGCTATAAGATCAATAGTCAATTGAGGTTATATCGAGGGCTACTTACATACTTCTCTATGCTCGTGACACGACTCATCGTTGGGAATTCTGCATCCCTTCCTTTTGTGTAATTCTGGCTGATTAAGAGACATGAGGAGTAAGCAGACAGTCCTGGCTTGTTTACTTTTTTTTAGCGCGGCTCATCTAAAATTTCTTAACTATCAAGACGGAAATGGACAGAGCGACGGCCAAATGATAACGGGTTGACAGCGAGGTACACCACCCATTAATGTCTAAAGTCTGCTGCTATGTGCAAGTACCTTTTCCAGTTTTCTACTTGGACTGTCCATTTCGGATCTTCGCGCGTTTCAATGCTCTTACTTCGTACTGGAAGCTCAAATCACATTTCTCACGCACAGCGTTGTACTTGTCAAGGATGCGATTGATCGAATCATCTCTCGAAACTTTATCGGTCTGTCAACCACGGCGTCGTAGATAAATGCTCTTACTGTGGCGTGATGGCTGCTTGGAATGGTATTCTACTGCCTCTCTTCCTGCATTCTGAATGATGAAAAGTTGATTTCTTGAGTGAGGTCATTGGTGAGGTGATAAGCTTAGGGGGTCTATGATGCTTCAAGCCTATGGAGGCTCCAAACTGGAACCGTACCGTATCTGTGTCCAGTGGTAGATGCATATGAATGCATAGTACACCATCTTAAAGGATTTCTGGTCACATCACATGTGTCTCATAGCAAGGCTTGAATTGTGATTCGTATCTGCAGACGTCTACCTTAGGATGAACCGCGTAGAAAAGATCTTTAATAATGCCTTAAGAATTAGATATCATTGATTTACGGATATCACCTGCACCATTATGACGGAAAAGTATAAGCGTCCGGCTATGCCCAAGCTACCTGGGTTCATAAAGCAATCCTATTCATCCGTACATATGTCAACTGGTAGCCCTGATATATATATATAGTCACTCAAAGGAGGCAGTCTTAGTAGGACGAAATAAGGTAGGCTAGACCTTAATAATTAGCATTTAAATGCTTGCTTCATCAAAACATGTATCTATGTGACCGATTCTTCGATATGAGGGAGTTTGATATTGGACGTGGTTGAACTGGAATAACTCGAAATTCTCATAAGTTAGTGGGCGCTAATGGTAAACTGTAGTCGTTGAGCTAATGCATAGACTATGCTTTGATATACGGGTGTCGAAGCATGTTGTTTCAACACAGAACTTAGTGACCTCCGTATCGGGCTTGCGGGTTGTCGACAGCTCGTCTTTTCCATTTATTCCACCGTCTCATATCCAGGCTACTATTTGTGAGTTTTCAGCCCTCTTCTCTTTCTGACTGTAATTTTTTCCCCCACAATCACTACTGATCAAACTGATCTGTTATAGATGCGCTTGCGGAAAAAAATAGTCGCCAAGATCATCGAATCTTGGCAAAGACCTTAGACAACCACCCTTTATTAATATCTAGGTCAATGGTAACTTATAGCCTGGCAGTTTTCAAGGAGATCAAGATTTTTAGTAATCGTATAGTCGAATCTGTCCATATCTATAATGAAGTGTACATGTAAGAGTTATTAATAAACATCGGTACAAGAAGACAGTCTTTTTTACTCGAACATGTGACGGCTTAGCAACTACTAAATCGTGATGGCGTCCCTTAACTACCGCTACCGTCCCTCACCGCCTGATACCAAATCCCACCTGATACCAAATTTTGTTAAAACACCAAAAATCGCGTACATTTCAAAGCACGATAAATCAATCAATATGGAAAAATATGAGGTCGCACTTGAAGCTTTACGTTCCTTAGATCCAGGAGAAAAGCCCAATATTTCTTTATTTGCGAGAACCTACGGTGTTGATGCCTCAAATCTCAGAAGACGTTTTCTTAGACTTACGGGCCCAAAACAAGTACAATATGACAATCAACGCGTATTGAGCCATGGGCAATCTCAAGCACTTATAAAATACATAAATCAGTTTACCGAAAAAGGTCTTCCACCTACGAATCGAATGCTAGCCAATCTTGCAGAGGATATATGTGGTAAAAAGCCTGGGAAGAACTGGGCTACCCGCTGGTTAAAGTCTCATTCTGATCAGCTTATTTCTTGCTATTCAGCTAGCCTTGATATGGATAGGAAAAATGCAGATAAAGCATGGAAATATGCGTTAAATTTTGAGCTTCTTGGTCGGAAAATTATGCAATATAACCTTGCTTCGGAGCAAATCTATAACATGGATGAAAAAGGCTTCATGCTTGGGATGATGATAAAAGAGAAACGAATCTTTTCTCGCTATAAATACGAGCTTGGAGGCTTCAAGCAGTTTCTCCAGGATGGAAATCGAGAATGGATAACAACAATTGCTTGTATTTGTGCTGGTGGAAAAGCTATCTCGCCTAGCTTAATCTATTCAGCAAAATCAGGTAATATCCAAGATTCATGGCTTCAAGATTTCAATCCTAAGACTCAAAGATGTTTTTTGCAGCTTCAGAGTCAGGATGGACTAATAATGACATTGGTTATCATTGGCTTGTTAATGTTTTTGATAAAGAGACAAAACCTCAAGCAAGCAGGGGATGGCGCCTTCTAATTCTTGACGGCCATAGCTCTCATGTCAATATGAAGTTTATTGAATATTGTGATAAGAACAGGATATTATTGACAATATTCCCAGCTTATGCAACTCATACTTTACAGCCTCTTGACGTTGCTTTATTTTCGCCTCTTTCTCAGGCCTATTCAAACGAATTAAATAGCTTTTTAGCTGAATGTCAAGGATTAACACGGCTTACCAAACGTGACTTTTTTTCAACTTTTTTGGGCAGCTTGGGAAGCATCTTTTACAATCGGAAATATCAGATCTGCCTTCAAAAATACTGGTTTATATCCTTTCAATCCTAAGTGCGTTATATAGCGTTTTACCAAAGAACCTCCACCGCGGCCTTCGTCGAGTGGATCTACATATCCATCCTGAAGATTGGAAACGCCTTTCGAAGATTGTGAAGGATGCTGTTAATGATATTCATGAAAAAAAGGTACAAAAGCTAAATAATGAGATGTTCCGTATTCAAGCTGAGAATGCCTTGCTTAAAGCATAAGTTGAAGGCTTACAAAAGACTATTATCAATCTCAAGAAGCGCCAGAAAAAGCAGAAACCATTATTATTGGGTCTACCTTCATAACAAGATGGTGGTGCTCTTTTTCTTAGCCCTTCCAAGGTTCAACAAGCTCGAGATCTTCAACAGCAAAGAGACGAGAATGCCGTGCAAGGACAAGCTCGTAAAGATGATAGAAAGCTTCAACAAAAGCTTGCAAAGGAATCCCAAGAGCTGGAAAAGATTGAAAAGGCTCAGATTCGACGAAAATAGCGAGAACAGCGCCAATAAGAGGCTGCCAAAAAGGAACGTCAAAAGGAGGAGCAAAAACTAGCCAAATTAGCTGGTTTACAGCTTCAAAAAATGCTCTCGTTACTCCTAAGCCCCGCACAAATCGAACGAACCCAAATTTAAAGCAACCCAAGCCAAAAAGCAGTAACAAGGTCGAGGAAGAAGTTATTGAGGAAGTTATTGCTACGAATCGTAGGGGGCGGCAGATTCGGCTTCCCTCTCGCTATCGCTAGATAAAATTTACTGTTGGTTTAACTACGATCCGTATCACGAAGCATAGACGGTAGTAAGGCGCGAACACGAAGCGGCCTAATGAGCCTGACAATATGAAGATATCTTGATTCCTAATATTGTGACTTATCCCCAAGAACGAGTGTGTGTGTGTGTGTGTGTGTGTGTGTGTGTATTTAACGGCCGTGTTTCGTGACTCGCACGCTTCCCACCGATCCCCACTGGGACATAGGCCGCCGAGGGGTAAGCCTCGGGTTTCAGGTCCTATCAGATTTATGTACAAATAAGAGACTCTTTGGCGCGTTTCCGTAGCTGCCGTGGTCTTACAGGGAGGTCCACTTGGAGTGGGTTTTGGGTATTTGCCAGCTGCAATGGTCCGCCTACACTCCATGACCTATTACTCCACCACTATCATAACTGAACAGTAAGTTTTGCAGAGAGGGAAAGAAAGAAGAGAAGAGAAAGAAAGAAGGAAAAGAGAAAGAAAGAAGGAGAAGAGATATATAAAGGAAGAGGAGGGCTGTCTTAGCTAGGTGCTAAGGAGAGGTTGGCGAGGACAGATATCCTCAAAGAAGTGGGTCTCTGCTAGCCATGTGGCTAGCTTTTGTGCTCCTTTAGCAGTGCCTAAGAGAAAAGAGATGACCTCAGAAGGGGGCCCAGGAGGCTGAGGGGCTCGTCTCTTAGCTATATGGCAGAAGAAGAAGTGCAGAGGTGCTTTTCATGCTCCGCATCTGCAGAGAAGGTAAGTATCATCATGGTTAAAACGTTCATGGTAGTCTGCAAAGTCTCCATGACCAGCACGGGCTGCAATAATATGGCTGAGGTCAAGTCGGTTGAGTTGAAGCTCCCCAGGGCGCTTAGGGGAAGTAGTTATTTCTAGATCTTGATAACTCTGTGGTGCCACCTTCTGCCATTGTGACTGAGCAGCGGATAGGGATTGAGTCTTGGCGTATCTCTTTAGCGAGGTGTATGAGGACTTGTGTGGAGCAGGAGGGATAGAGGCAGCTTCCTCTTTGGCAGCGAGATCAGCCGCTTCGTTCTCAGGGATTTTGGCGTGTCCAGGGACCCATCGGATTTAAATAGATCCACCTTTGGTGTGAGGAAGCCTTTTGCGGAGTGGCCAGGCGGCTGCAAGGGTGCGGAAGGATTCAAAGATTTCTTGGGAAGATCCTGTAGAGGGAGATAGAAGGCGTGTGGTAACTTCCAGGTTGTCAAGACAGATCCATAGGTTGGTAGCAAATTGAGCTGTTGGGTATGCTATTGCTGCTTGAGCATCAGCTAGAGCAGCTTCTGCTTCAGCATCGAAGACTTCTTTCCCATGTCCGTATGAGAGCGAGGAGCGGAGGAACTGATGGTGTGCTTGAAATCCAATATAGCCACCCCCTGCACGTCCATCTACTAGCCTAGATCCATCTAAAAAGATTACAATATCCGAGCTAGGGATGGTGCGTTGGAAAGCCGTGAAATCAGCCGCTGCCTGTTCCTTAGTGCGTCCCATGGGAGCTCCTATTCGAGCTTAGGTATTCTTGCGAGACTCGCGAGGGTGCCAGGGAGCGTATTGGAGGGGGTTTATCTATTCGGAGTTGGGGAGGGCCAGTATATGGCGGGCAAATCGGCTGGTTTGTCGGCCATTACTAGCAATCTGTTCTGCGCGTCTTAGAAGTGGGTGATAAGGATTAAGACGCCATAGGCGGACAGTTGCAAGGAGGGCTATTCGATCTAGTTCAATTTCTGGTGGAGAGAGTCCAGACTCTCAATAAAGGACAGGAATTGGGGTTATGCAGGAGACTGGAAGGACTGCTCTTGCGCCTGTTAGTATTACTTTAGTTAGTTTCTTAAGATGTTCTCCAACTCGGTTTGAAGTCTGGGAAGGCCCAGGGCGAGTACGTCCTGGCCACCAGGTTTCAGCGCCATAGTATGCTTTGTAGAGTACATAGGCTGATACTACCTGCTATAGTAAATGAGGTTTGACTCCTCGGATAGTATTCCCTAGAGAGCGAAGGGCATTAGCCACAGTGAGGCCTTTAGATGCTGTTTCACCAACATGCCATTTAAACGTTAGCTTTTTGTCAAAGAGGATTCCTAGCCAACGTAGATATAGCCGTTTAGTATTTTCTGATATTGTAATAGATCCAGCTTTCACTGAGGGTGTGTAGGTTGGGTCCTGGTCTACTTTATGTCGGGAGAAGTGAAGAAGCTTGTATTTATCTGGCGCAAATGTGATGCCCTCTGCAGCTCCCTAGTTAAGAGCTTCTTGAAGCGAGTCTGATAAGGCTTCGCAGTTGGTAGCAAGGGATGGAGAGATCGCTAGGTTAGCTGCATCGTCCGCGTAACCAAATCTGTACCTTGGGTTTCCTAGACGGAATAGCGGCGCTATGTAGAGCATGAAAAGGATGCCAGATACTGGGGATCCTTGTGGAAGACCGCAGGCAATCTCTGTTGAGGGGCTGATCTCTCCATTGAGTCGGATCTGGACTGATCGTCCAGTGGCGAAGGAGGCAATCCAGAGAACGAGATTCGTAGGCCAGCCCTGCTCACGTAATCTGCGGATCAGTCTGCCTGGAAGCATGGCATCAAAAGCGCCCTTGACATCTAGGGTGAGGAGTGAGGCGGTCATGCCTTGATTTAGCGCTTGTTCGACATCATATGTTAGGCATGTGGTCAGGTCAGTTGCGGATCTTAGTGGGAGAGCCCCAAACTGTTGCCTTGCTAATACTTTGTGGTGTATAGAGGTCCATGCCATATTCCGTGCCACCAAGCGCTCGAGTCCTTTGCCCAGGACTGAGAGGAGGGCGATTGGTCTGTATGATCTAGGTGAGGACCAATCAGTCTTCTTTGGTTTCTGGATAATTGCTAAAATTGCATGTCGAAAGCATTTTAGGTGATAACCAATCTTTAGGCACCCTTGGTATAGCATTAGTACCTTATCCTTAATCAAAGGCCATGCCACTTTAAGTATGCAGGTTGGGATTTCATCTGCGCCAGGGGCTGTGTTTCCTGCCTGAAGTACTGACTCCTCCACCTGTATCATTGATATGTCTGGGAAGTAGAGACTAGTGGTAGGGACTGCTGGGGAGTCCAACGGTATGTCTCCTGCCTCAGCCGAGTTTTGGAGAAGATTGCGGACTAGGTTTCTCGTGTATAGCAACTGCTGGGAAGCTGTTAGGTTTCAGTGGATCCTTTAGTGGAGGGCTTTGGAAGGTGCCTGTGGACTTATGCCATTTACTTATATTGAAGACATCCTTCATTTGTGTTGCCATAGAGAGCTTCTCTCGCCAAAATTGTCGTTGAGACCATCTAGTTATCCTGCGGAAGTCTGTCTTTGAGCAGAGGCCTGAGCGGTAGTTGTGTAAAGCTTTCTTGCAGTCTTCATTCCACCAAGGTTGTCCTATGCCTTGTGTCAGGGTTCTCTTAGCAGAGCCTCTATATGCTCCTTGGATTGCAGATGTCAGTTTTTCGGCAAGGGCATCAAGGTCTTCTTCTGTCGTGGTTGAGCTCTCGATACTAGCAAGATTAGAGGCGAGGAGTGAGAGGAAGCAGGTGTGGTCTAGCGTGTTAAATCTCAGTTTCTGAGCTGTTTCCAGATATCTCTGATCCCATGGTACAGTGGTGATTAGTGGTTGATGATCTGAGGTTGCATCTAGGTGGCTCGCTATGCTAGTTTTAGCTCCCGCGAGTGCCAGAGGGCTTGAGGCAAAACTGAGGTCTAACACGTTACCCCTTTCATGTGTGGGACAGTCTATGTCAGAGATGAGTACTAGACCCTGGAGGTCCAGCCAGTTAATAAACGGCTCTGCAGAAGGTGTGGGGCTGCGATGTAGCGAGGGCTGCCATCTGTTGTGTAGTAGGTTGAGATCGCCTGCGAGTATCGTTGCTTGAGGGAAATATGCCTCTGGCAGGGTTGTGAGAGCTTTCGCGGCTTCGCCTGCTCTGATGGAGCCTGCTGGGGCGTTATAGACGTTGACTATTAGAGCAGAATTTCCTGTGGGCGAGAAAATCTGAAGAAGCAGGAGATCCGAGGCTTCTTTAGTGTCAGTTGTAAAGGGGCGAAGCTGGGAGATCCGAATGCCTTTCTTCTTTCAGACATAGGTGAGGACTCGTGGTCGACCGCTTACTGCCCAACTGTCAGTTGGGGAGAAGCATTCATATGATGGGTGTTTTTTTATGATCTGTCGGCTAAGATCTTTAAATGTATATGGTTCTTGGATTAGGATAATATCAATGTCGCTAATGTATGCCAATGTGAGAGCTATTTCATGTGCATCTGGCGCGTGCCCTACATTTAACTATAGGATTTTGAGAGGCGCCTTTTGAGTTGGATAGTGATAGATCATAGCTCCTGTTCAAGAAGAGAGGCGAACCAGTTTTATGGTTGAGAGGTTGTAAAGCGGACTGCACGAGCTGTAATTGGAGGATCTTCAGTTGGGGCGCGAGGTGGGGGGGTTACTGAGCGGAAAGGAGAGATAATCTCATGGGTTGGAGGCTGAGATGGCATCTCGTCTAATGCCATAGGTGTTTCTTGTGTGCCTATGGAGAGCTGAGAGCTACATCCTCCTTCAGTTCGAGCTTTTGCGAGGTTTATAGCGCAGGATTTGCGGATCTCTGCTTGTTGAGCTTTAGTATGTTTAGTATTGCCTCTAGAGCGCAGGAGGCACTCTGGGAAGTCAGCTGGATGTGGTCTATGACAGTGTATGCATCTAGGAGGGCACTGATGAGGCTCCAGGGCTGTGCAGCGGTTGACATGGCCCTCTTCAGTATGCTCTGAGGAGCCGCATAGCCGGCATCGAGAGGGGCGTGCACAGGATCGTGCATTATGCCATTTCCAGCATCATGTGCATTAAATAACTGTTGTTTTCTTAGAGAGGTGACGAGCATTGGTGATAGTGCCAAAAAGACGTAGCTAGATAGGTAGTGGTGTTTTCGTGCCTTCTGGGAAGTTAACAAACCAGCTTAAGGAAAGAGTATCAGGGTTGGCAGCACTTATAGTGGTCTCGCTGATAGATATAGGCTTGAGCCCTGTAGTTTTACTAATTTCTGAGGATAGTAGTGTAGGATTGACAGGAATTAGAGAGTATTGACCATCCAAGATTTGGCCAATTTTCCTTGGCACATTGGTGACTCGATACGAGACCCATCGGGAGCTGCGTTCTAACTAGCAGTAACAAAGAATGCAGAGATAATCTCTTTCTGGGCCTCAAGGGCTAGGAGGGCTTCTGGAGATGAGGGACATAGTGTAAAGCCAGTCTTTGTGGCTTGAACTTCTTTTAGTGCTGCACTGTTTGAGTTTAGTTGAGACCGTAGGCTAGAGTAGATAGCGTAGGCTTCCATTTTTTTAGCTGCATGGTCAGCTGGGAGACGTACGAAGAGCCGGTTGTCAGGAAGGGGTTGATTCACTAGAGGTATAGGCTTTTTAACAGGAGCTTTAGAGTGAGTAGTGGGAGTTGAGGATTTTGAGCCTCTGACTGTTTGATATAAATAATTGTAAGGAAGTCGCCTCGGGGAAGTTGGCCCAAGAACGAGGGGGACGGGGATAGCTAGCTAGATATACGCGGCACGCACGTGCCGCGTCAGACAACTATATCCGGTGCCAAAACGTGTAGGGTTTGATATTCACGTTCCGACATTTAGATAATTTAGCTAGTTAACTACATAATATACGCCGAGGCAAATATCGTTAATAGACTACAGCCCTACATCCCTAGTGAAGAAGTTGTCTATAGCACTACCAGCAACAAATAAAGCCCATTGTATTGTTATCTAGATACCCCTCACTGATTGGCTATAGGTAGTAAGCCTATTCCGACGTTGTACATACTTAGTACAATCTACTCCGATATTCTGTGTCCAGTAATTGGCTATCTTCAGTACTAATTGCTCACTCCGACATGGTGCAATTTTATTCCGACGTAGTGCGCTTTTCTGGACGGGCAATATATCATCTCTAACAGCTTACGACTAGGTGTCCAGTTTGGTAAATCTATCCCGTTCATTATACCTAGGCATCCACTGTACTATGTATATTCCGGTCTTCTCGTAACACTTTAAGTACAGAAAACTCGGAAAGTGTGTAGCTTCGTTCGGAAATCGCAAAATTGTTGAACGGCCCATGTTGCGGAATGGTAGATATAAATCCCTCATTTGACAACCTCTGAGAATGTAAAATGTCTGCTGCACCGTATATTTGAACAGGATTGCCTTCGTCTCTTGAGCATCCCATCCAGAAACATTTACGCGGGACAATTCCAATATCATGGCAAAGATTGAGCCTTGCACCAATTCCGATCTATCAATTCACCTAGACTGGTCCCAACCATTTCTCCCAGGCCAGAAAATTACAGGCTATGTCCCTCGAACATCGCGTTGGGCCAGTGCGGAGACGAGCATCAGCATCGCTTTGCACGGTAAATGCACCACAAAATTCTTTTCCCGGGATTCTTACATGTGTCGTAGCAGTCTTGATCTATTTGGACAGGAGGAAGTTCGATACGAGCTTTTTAACGATCCATTGCATATTCAACTGTCTTGTCCAGAAGGAAAAATGTGGAGGTTTGAAATAGAGATTCCCAGACACCCTGAGCCAACTTCTTTGAGATCTCATCCATTGGGAAGGGCATCCTACCTGCCTTTGCTCTATGTCGATAAACAAGCCCTTCCGCCTTCATTCGATCTCGGCAGCAGCAATGCGACTACTTCACGTAATGGGTCTGCAGTAGTTGAGTACTATCTGGAGGCCATGATAACAACCCCAAACTCTGAGCCAGTCATGGCACGAATGCCGATCCATCTTCGTTGCCAATCCTCTCCTTTCCCGATCACTGATTTCGACATCCAGATCCATTCTCGACAACGTTATACGATAAACTCTCCTTATCTAATATCTGCTGGTACGGAGACAGTTCAGTGTTCCATGGGACAGAAACTGGGCAAGGTGGTTGGGTTATCCAGATCTCATCGCTTTACATTTCGCCTGGATATCAGTGTAGCTTCGGTTCTCCAGATTGGCAGCCCATATCACATTCCCCTCGAGATGCGAGCCATACCGCAATGGGAGGATACAAGTGAATGTCTTTCAAAAACTCTTCCAACTATCGACATAATTAGCTTTACTCTTGTGCTACGATCCACCTCGTGTATCCTGGCTTTTGCTACAGCTGCACTAGGTCCAGCCCCCGTCGTGCGCGAAGAGAGTTTTATGGAAAAGATATTATTGGCAGATTATATTTATTCGAAGAGCACGAAACAGATAGAAGAACGAAAGTACTCTTCCTTGAACGACAGCAATTCTTTAACCTTACCAGTTAACGAGAATACGGCTCCGCTGGACATAGGTGAAGTACTTGATTTAAAACTCCAGCATGAAAAGTTCTCGGTTCACGAAGTTCCCACATTCATCACTTACAATATCAAACGAACGTACGAGTTGGAGTGGAAAATGAGGCTTGAAGTAGGTGGAGAAACTATCAAAGTTAAGGGCAAACATCCAGTTTTGGTCATGGGAAGGGCTGGTTAGGATTAATCAAGGGATTTTTCTCTGTTATTTTTACATGTTTATGGCCGTCAGCTGCAGATGAAGCATGTACATGAGATAGCCAAATTTGGAAATATCTACCCGATTAGGCAGTTTTATAGCATTTGGGAATACGACGAATACGCAGTAACTGGTGATACATTCGATTCATCCAGGCACATCGTGAAAGCCAGATGTTATACTGATAAAGAAAAGAATGATCAGATGCGCTGACTGACTACAATATTAACTGAATCCCACCGGCATTTCCTCTATAGACTCGAAACTAATTCCTCGGTGCCTTCTCCATCACAGAATTCGCACTTCCAGGTAAAATATCTCTCTTCACCAGTTCTGCGACAAATCCAATAAGCCAATTCTGATAATTATTTATCTTGACACGACCAGTGGCTGCTTCTCTATCGTCAGTTATGATCAAAGCTTAGATCGAAACGATGAGGTCGACAAGGACTCATAACCGCATTTCGCGACGCAGAATTCAAATTCGGTCTAGGAGTAGGAATCTTAATTTCAGTCTCCTCAGTTTTATTCCTAGGAATTTTGTCGCACTCCTTTTCCCGTTCTTCGCCATCTTTCAATGTTATATCATCGTCGTTGATATAATCATTGTCAACTTCACCAAGAAGAATAATGAAATTTTTTATGTGTCCCCCGTCAAGTCATAATTTCTCAGAAATTTATGCTCAAAGCCTGAATAAACATCCCCGGTGATGTAGATACGTGTACCGATGCTGCCTGGATTGGAGGGGTTGGTAAACCAGAGTGACCAGTGGGATGGGAAGAGGGGTGAGTTGTATACTATGAAGTATACTTTGCGAGATATTGCTGGGCTCCGGAAGGACAACGGTCATGTAACCAGAGCAACTAAGAAATTGTTACTGAGGTAGAATATGTGTCTCCATTCCATGTTTTCCCTATAGGTGGCTTTATCATACTGAAGCTGTTGGCCGCTTGCGATGATTATTTGTCTTCTTTGCACTCTCTTGACGTGTTTTCTGTATAGCGGTTTTGACTTTATTGGCGTAGGCAATCCGCATCCCTCTTGCCGCTCCTTCATGCGCTGTATTCGGTTCTGCGCTCTAGTTGGCACATAGTGTCCCTCATCAAAACTCCCCCCCAGTCGAATAGACCGTGGAATATGAAGCAATCTAAGGTTATATGGGTTCGCTGTGGGAGGTTGCTGAGTGGCAGTGGCATCCTTGGAGGTGCGTCGAGGTTGCATGGTTCGATATCGCGATGTTCGAAGATTTCCTAAATTGGAAATGAACTTGGCTTCAAATTTGATATGAGATTTTGTCTAATATTACACGTGTTAGAGCTTCAAGCATTTTGAAACCGGCTGATCCAGCATTGAAGATTCTTCTTTTTCTTTTGGAATAGGGGCAGCCGGCCTGCCGTCGCCAATCTTTTGAATAAGTTGTTACCGTTGTCCCTCATCCCACATTCCTTATCGCATCTTGATTGATTTACATTTTCCTTTCAGAGATCTTGTTGCTCTATGTTTCTCGGCTTTCGAGTATCTCGATACGGGATTTCTTTAAGCTCTCCAATCGTATCTAGTCGAAGAACCGACGTTGCAAAGGTTAGACCGACCCAATTTATCCTATTCTCATCGCGGAAGCCCATTTCAGACTCCCGAAATCTAGCCTCTAATCGACAGTCAAATCTCCAACAACAACAACAACAACATCTTTTTCGAGATGATACTGTCAACCCAGATAAAGAGGTCACTGAAGGGCCCCTCCAGTGACTCTGGTGCAAACCTAGCCGTTTCTGAGTCTCACAATCAACATTCTCTGGTAATTGTAACCACTGCGGATGAGAATCGCTCAAATGCCATCACTGGAAGTATGTGTCTCATCCACATTCTTCAACCCCTCGCTTCCCAAGCACCTCTTCTTGCTTTTTCAGTAAGCACCGCAGAGAATACGTATGTCCTGTCGCCTCTTGCGAAAAGACAAGCTCTCGTGCCACCAATAGCGGAGACATAAGTTAAATATGTGGTCGCAATTAGTATGGCCTTAGCTGGAGGACTTTGTAGGGCCGTAATGGCATGGAGGGCACTGTAGAACAGAGCGCTGCATGTGACTGATATTTCCGTAATGCTGTCAATATGTGGTAGAGAAAATGTTGGTTGCTTCGTGCAATCGAGATGCCTGGCACTGGTATGCAGCAAGTATCGGAACTTGCAGTGCACTAGCACAAACTCAGTTAAGCTTAATACTCAAAGATATCTTTATAGTGGAAATATTGATATTGACCTTATTCTGCGCACTCTTCTATCTACATCTTGAGGGGATTGTTGGACACTATTTATGCTTGAGAATCCCATCCACGCAATCTCAAATAGAAGATTCTCGACACAGAGCTGTAAAGTTGATTCGTAGATTCAATCTTGTGACTTCAATTCTCGAATTTTCCTTGTATCAATGTTGTAGGCTTTCCTTGATTAGGTTTAGCTTACCTAATCCTCGACAGCAAGGAGAGGTCACGTATGGCTTACACGTGACCTCGTCAAGCAAGGACTATATAGACCGCGTCGGGGCCTCACTAAGACAGGGCACTCTTGGGATTGATTTTCGAGTTGATAGGCGACTTCCTTATAATTATTCATATCAAACAGTCGGAGGCTCAAAATCCTCAACCCTCTCTACCACCTAGCTCCCAGGAGTGCAGCCTTTGACGCGTCTCAACGCGCCCGGCAACACCATGGCGCGTAAAGGCCCTGGTACAGACGGCCCTCTACAGACAGCCCTTCTGGAATCCACGTCTGCAGCCACAACAAGAGCTTCTGAAGGACAGAAGATCTTCAGCCCCATAGCTGCATTCCTTGATAAACACCGCAGCCAAACCACCGGCCTTGCTCCTCACCTACTGAGAGCCCTCACCGCTCTAAGCGATGACCTCGCCTCGGTAGCTCAACAACATTTCAACGCTTATATCAGCGGTATCTCGACGACCTCCATTCTACCTGCCCTGTCTCCTTCCCCTTCCTCTTCCCCCACCCCAAATCCCTTACCCCCTTCACCCCCTCCCTCACGTCCCCCCTCAGGTCTTAACCAGTCAACTTATGCGACTATTACCCAATATGCCCCGGTCAAATCAACTCCCACCACTCACCCTAAAGCCTCCGTCAAAAAGCCTATGCCTCTGGTGAAATAACCCCTTCCTGACATCCGGCTCTTCGTACGCCTCCCAGCTGACCATGCAGCCAGAAAAATGGAAGCCTACGCTATCTACTCTAGCCTACGATCTCAACTAAACTTAAATAGTGCAGCACTAAAAGAAGTCCAAGCTACAAAGACTGGCTTTGCACTATGCCCCTCATCTCCAGAAGCCCTCCTAGCCCTTGAGGCCCAAAAAGAGATTATCTCTGCATTCTTTGTTAACTGCCAGATAGAACGCAGCTCCTGATGGGTCTCGTATCGAGTCACCAACGTGCCAAGGAAAATTGGCCAAATCTTGGATGGTCAATACTCTCTAATCCCCATCAATCCTACACTACTATCCTTAGAAATTAGCGAAACTACAGGGCTTAAGCCTATATCTATTAGCGAGACCACTATGAGTGCTGCCAACCCTGATACTCTCTCCTCAAGCTGGTTTGTTAACTTCCTAGAAGGCACGAAATCACTACTGCCTATCCAGCTACGTCTTTTTGGCACTATCACCAATGCTCGTCACCTCTCTAAGAAAATAACAGTTATTCAATGCACACGATGCTAGAAATGGCATAATGCACGATCCTGTGCACGCCCCTCTCGATGCCGGCTATGCAGCTCCTTGGAGCATACTGAAGAGGGCCATGTCAACCACTGCACAGCCCCAGAGCCTCATCAATGCCCTCCTAGATGTATACACTGCCATGGACTACATCTAGCTGATTTCGCTGAATGCCTTCTGCGCCCCAAAGGCAATACTAAACATACTAAAGCTCAACAAACAGAGATCCGCAAATCCTGCGCTATAAACCTCGCAAAAGCTCGAACTGAAGGAGGATGTAGCTCTTAGCTCTCCATAGGCACACAAGAAACACCTATGGCATTAGATGAGATGCCATCACAACCTTCAATCTATGAGATTATCTCTCCTTTCCGTTCAGTAACCCCTCCACCCCGCGCCCTAACTAAAGATCCTCCTATTACAGCTCGTGCAGTCCATTTCATAACCCCTCAACCACAAAACTGGTTCGCCTCTCTTCTTGAACAGGAGCTATGATCTATCACTATCCAACTCAAAAGGCGCCTCTCAAAATCCTATAGTTAAATGTAGGGCACGCGCCAGACGCACATGAAATAGCCCTCACATTGGCATACACTAGCGACATCGATATTATCCTAATCCAAGAACCATATACATTCAAAGACCTCAGCCAACAGATCACTAAAAAATATCCATTATATGAATGCTTCTCCCCAACTGATAGCTGGGCAATAAGTGGCCGACCACGAGTCCTCACCTATGTCTGAAAGAAGAAAGGCATCCGGACCTCCCAGCTATGCCCCTTTACAACTAACACTAAAGAAGCCTCAGATCTCCTGTTCCTTCAGATTTTTTCGCCCACAGGAAAGTCCGCTCTGATAGTTAACATCTATAATGCCCCAGCAGGCTGCAGCAGAGCAGGTGAAGCCGCGAAAGCTCTTACAACCCTGCCAGAGGCGTATTTCCCTCAAACAACGATACTTGCAGGCGATCTTAACCTACTACACAACAGATGGCAACCCTCGCTACAACGCAGCCCTACAACTTTTGCAGAGCCGTTTATCAACTGGCTGGATCTCCAGGGTCTAGTACTCATTTCCGACATAGACTGTCCCACACATGAAAGGGGTAACGTGTTAGACCTCAGTTTCGCCTCAAGCCCTCTGGCACTCGCAGGAGCCAAAGCTAGCATAGCGAGCCACTTAGATGCAACCTCTGATCATCAACCACTAATTACCACTGTTCCATGGGATCAGAGATACAAGGAAACAGCTCAGAAACTGAGATTTGACACACTAGACCACACCTCCTTCCTCTCGCTCCTCGCCTCTAATCTCGCTGGCACCGAGAGCTCAGCCGCAACAGAAGAAGATCTTGATGCCCTTTCTGAAAAACTGACATCTGCAATTCAAGGAGCATATAGAGGCTCTGCTAAGAGGACCATGACACAAGGCATAGGACAACCATAGTGGAATAAAGACTGCAAGAAAGCTTTACACAATTACCGCTTAGGCCTCTGCTTAAAGACAGACTTCCGTAGGATAACAAGATGGTCTCAACGACAATTTTGGCGAGATAAGCTCTCTATGGCAACACAAATGAAGGATGTCTTCAATATAAGTAAATGGCATAAGTCCACAGGCACCTTCCAAAGCCCTCCACTAAAGGATCCACTGAGACCCAACAGCTTCCCAGCAGTTACTATACATGAGAAACGAGACGTACTAGTCCGTAATCTTCTCCAAAACTCGGCTGAGGCAGGAGACATACCGTTGGACTCCCCAGCAGTCCCTACCACTAGTCTCTACTTCCCAGACATATCAATGATACAGGTGGAGGAGTCAGTACTTCAGGCAGGAAACACAGCCCCTGGCTTAGACGAAATCCTAACCTGCATACTGAAAGTGGCATGGCCTCTAATCAAGGATAAGGTACTAATATTATACCAAGGGTGCCTAAAGATTGGTTATCACCTAAAATGCTTTCGACATGCAATCTTAGCAATTATCCAGAAACCAAAAAAGACTGACTGGTCCTTACCTAGATTATACAGACCGATCGCTCTCCTATCAGTTCTTGGCAAAGGACTTGAGCGCTTGGTGGCACGGAATATGGCATGGACCTCTATACACCACAAAGTATTAGCAAGGCAACAGTTTGGGGCTCTCCCACTAAGATCTGCAAATGATCTAACCACATGCCTAACACATGATGTTCAACAAGCACTAAATCAAGGCATGACTGCCTCACTCCTTACCCTAGATGTCAAGGGCGCTTTTGATGCCGTGCTTCCCGGCAGACTCATCCGTAGATTACGTGAGCAGGGCTGGCCCACCAATCTTGTTCTCTGGATTGCCTCCTTTGCTACTGGGTGATCAGTCCAGATCCGACTCGATGGAGAGATTGGCCCCTCAACAGACATTGCCTGCGGTCTTCCATAAGGATCCCCAGTATCTGGCATTCTTTTCATGCTCTACATAGCGCCCCTATTCCGTCTAGGAAACCCAAGGAACAGATTTGGTTACGCAGACGACGCAGCTAACCTGGCAATCTCAACATCTCTTGCTACTAACTGCGAAGCATTATCAGACTCACTACAAGAAGCTCTAAACTGGGGCGCTGCAGAAGGCATTACATTTGCACCAGATAAATACGAGCTTCTTCACTTCTCCCGACATAAAGCAGACCAGGACCCAACCTGCACACCTTCAGTAAAAGCTGGATCTATCATAATCTCAGAAAATACTAAACGGCTATATCTACGTTGGCTAGGAATCCTCTTTGACAAAAAGCTAACGTTTAAATGGCACGTTGGTGAAACAGCAGCTAAAGCCCTCACTGTGGCTAATGCCCTTCGCTCTCTAGGGAATACTATCCGTGGAGTCAAACCTTATTTACTACAGCAGGCTATATTAGCCTGTGTACTCCATAAAGCATACTATGGCGCAGAAACCTGGTGGCCAGGACGTACTCGCCCTGGGCCTTCCCAAATTTCAAATCGAGTTGGAGAACATCTTGAGAAACTAACCAAAGTAATACTAGCAGGCGCAAGAGCAGTCCTTCCAGTTTTCCGCACAACCCCAATATCTGTTCTATACTGAGAGTCTGGATTCTCTCCGCCAGAAATTGAACTAGATCAAATAGCCCTCCAAACATTGGTCCGCCTACGGCGTCTTGATCCATACCACCCACTCCGAAGACGCGCAGAACAGATAGCCAGAGATGGCCGACAAACCAGTCGATTTGCCCGCCGAGTGCTGGCGCTCCCCAACTCTGAACAAATAAACCCTCTACAACATGCTCCCTGGTACCCTCGTGAGTCACGCAAGAGTGCCCTAGCCCAAATAGGAGCTCCCATGGGACGCACTAAGGAACAGGCAGCGGCTAACTTCACGGCTTTTCAATGCACCATCCCTAGCTCGGATATTGTAATCTTTTCAGATGGATCTAGGCTGATAGATGGACGTGCAGGGGGTGGCTACATTGGATTTCAAGCACACCATCAGTTCCTCCGCTCCTCACTCTCATACGGACATGGGAAAGAGGTCTTTGACACAGAAGCAGAAGCTGCCCTTGCTGGTGCTCAAGCAGCAATAGCATACCCAACAGCTCAATTTGCTACCAACCTATGGATCTGTCTCGACAACCTAGAAGTTGCCACGCGCCTCCTATCCCCCTCTACAGGATCCTCTCAAGAGGTCTTTGAATCCTTTCGCACCCTTGCAGCCGCCTGGCCACTACGCGAAAGGCTTCCACACACCAAAAGTGGATCAATCCAAATCCGATGGGTCCCTGGACACACTAAAATCCCTAAGAATGAAGCAGCTGATCTCGCTGCCAAGGAAGGAGCTGTCTCTATCCCCCCCTCTCCATACAAGTCCTCATATGCCTCGCTAAAGAGATACGCCAAGACTCAATCTCTTTCCGCTGCTCAGACACGGTGGCAGACTGTAGCACCACAGACATACCAAGATCTAGAAATAACTACATCTCCTAAACGCCCTGGAGAGCTTCAACTTAACCGACTTGACCTTAGCCGTATCATAGCGGCCCGTACTGGTCATGGAGACTTTGCGGATTACCACGAGCGCTTTAATCATGATGATGCTTATCTTCTCTGTCGATGTAGAGCACGAAAAGCACCTCTACATTTCTTCTTCTGCCATATAGCTAAGAGACGAGCCCCTCGTCCACCTGGACCCCCTTCTGAAGTTATCTCTTTTCTTTTAGGCACTGCGAAAGGAACACGAAAACTAGCCTCATGGCTAGCAGAGACCCGTTTCTTTGAGGATATCTGTCCTCGCCAACCTCTCCTTAGCACCTAGCTAAGTCAGCCCTACTTTTCCCTTATATCTCTCTTTTCCTTTGTTCTTTTTCTTTCTTTCTTTTCTTCTTTCCTTCTTCCCTTTTTCTTTTCAAACTCACTGCTTAAGTATGATGGTGGTAGAATGATGGGTCATGGAGCGTAGGTGGACCATTGCAGCTGGCAAATACCCAAAACCCACTAGGAAGTGGATCTCCCTTTAAGACCACGGCAGCTATGGAAATGCGCCAAAGAGTCTCTTATTTGTATATAAATCTGATAGGACCTGAAGCCCGAGGCTTACCCCTCGGCGGCCTATGTCCCAGTGGGGATCGGTGGGAAGCGTGCAAGTCACGAACCACGGCCGTTAAATATACACACACACACACACACTGCGTACTGCGGGGTTCTTCCTTTTTACAACTGCCTCACGAGAGTCAGCCGCTCCCCTCCGCAAGTTGCTCGTCATCTCTCACGCAGTCAAGACTTGATTTTTCCCACCCACCTCCCTATGTACATAGATTCATAGTGCCATTACAATACAGACAATTGCCTCCCCACAAGGGAGCGCGGACGGGGCCCTCTCTGACGTTGTGATCATACGCTTTGCGCGTAAGACCTCAACGACAGGTGACCCGTTGCGGCCAAACTATACATACATTGCCTATCTTGACTGAGTGAGGTCACCAATAAAACTTAGGTCTCAGCATTCATAAAACTGCTGACTCATCGGAAGTTTATTTCGTTAGTAACGTTACTGTTATTTACATCCGTTCCAGTCACCATAGTAAATGATTTGTCATGCACACATCTCTAGTTTATCAAAATATGACTCAGATATGAACTTATTGTAAGAGAATGTAGCATGAAAGTGGCATTTAGGGCCTGGAGACCCTGATATTGAGTGCTATCAAACTTCCTGTTTGAATAGCGATCTTACGAATCACTATACGGCGCTGTAGCACGCCGTCGATTCGTACGTCATAAAGTCCATAGAGATGTGCTGCCACGGACGAGCTGGCACCGGCAACGGTTGTAATAATCCTGGAGGTAAGTCTCGCCTCGTGTTAGTCCGTTTGCACGTCATACAATTGTCCACATAGCGGTCTATATCCGAACTCCAAGTTTCCCAGTAAAATCTTTCTTTGACCAGTAGCTTCGTCTTAGATCTGCCTGGATGAGCTGTCAATGACTGTCTGTGGACTTCGTCTAGCAGTCTCGCGCGTAGGTCGTCGATATCTGGAACAAATAACCGATCTTTGTATAGGAGACGACCTTCTGACACACTCCAACCGTTATTCTTGCTCAAAAGAGCTAGATAGGACTCTTCCTTCGCGGCTTCATAATTAGCCCATACCACTCGTGACATAATATTGACGGAAGTGTGAATCTTAGCAACCTCTGATAGGCCTAGTTCTTGCGCAATCTGAGGATCAAGCACGTCCAGGGGAAGAAGGGTCTGATGGCGGTGATCCAGGTTTTTCTCTTGTTCTGCGCCTTCTCGGCGTGTCAATGTATCCACTAACACGTTCACTCGTCCCGGACGATACTTCAGGATAAAGTAATAATCGTGTAAGAACTCGCACCAACGTGCTTGCCAAGCGTTCAACTTCTTAGTAGTCATGAAATACTCTAACGCCTTGTGATTAGAGAGAATCTCAAACCTATCCTCGCGTTGCAGTCCGACTAACTCCGGCCTCCATTCATCCAACGCTTTAATGATGGCTAGCATCTCCTTGTCATGGATATTGTAGTTCAACTCAGCAGGAGTTATTGTATGAGAAAAATAAGCCACTGAGTGCCACTCTTTATCTTCCTGCAGTTGAGATAATACTCCAGCAACTACCCCATCAGAGGCATCTGTCTCCACACGAGTCGGCCGCTCTGGTCGATAGTGAGCTAAGACAGGAGCACTCACAAGAAGCGCTTTCAACCGATCAAAAGCCTCTTGACAAGTCTTGCTCCATACGAACGGCGTATCCAGCCGCGTGAGTCGATACAACGGCGCTGCTACCTGACTATATGCCTCTATGAATTTACGATAGAAATTGCAGAAACCCAGAAACGATTGCACCCTATATACAGTAGTAGGCATAGTCCACTTAACCACGGCATCAATCTTCGACGGGTCAACCTTAATCCCTTCTGGAGTCACGATAAAACCTAAATATTTGGTCGTCGTGACGTGGAACTCGCATTTGTGGATAGCTGCTTGCAGGCCTGCTTCTCATAGTCGTTCTAGCACTTTCTTGACATGAGCCTCATGCTCCAGCTCGTTGTCGCTGTAGATCAACAAATCGTCAACAAACGCTATCAAAAACTCATCTAGACAGTCCATAAAAATGTCATTTATCAGCCTCTGAAAGGTCGCCGGTCCATTCGTGACTCCAAAAGGCATAACCTTGTACTTAAAGGTCCCGTAACGGCACCGAAAGGTTGTGAGATCCTCTGAGTCCTGATGCATTCAGATCCGGTGAAATCCTTGTCGGATATCAAGCTTCGTGAATATACGCGCCTTGCTCAATCTCTCAAACACCTCATCAACTAACGGCAACGGGTATCGATCCTTTTTGGTAATGGAATTGAGCTTCCGATAGTCGACGCAAAAACGAAGACCCCCTCCTAGCTTCTTAGCCATTAGGATTGGAGACGCGAACGGTGCCTGACTAGCCACTATAAACCCCTTATTCAGGTTATCGATAATATACTCCTTTGCGGCTTCCAGCTCCTCCCTTCCTAGTCGATAGATTGGGCTGTAACCTAACTCTTGCTCTTTGACCAGCTCGATCTTGTGATCATATGGCTTAGGCGGAGGCAACTCGTCCGACTTGGACTTCTGAAAGACGTCCACGAACTCCCAATACTGCCGTGGTAACTGTTTCTTGATTTCCTCGATCTCTGGCTCTTCCAGTTCATATGGGTGGTTGAGTTCATCCAAGCGCTTATCGATCTCGTAGAGGCTCGTCATGCAGAGCTCTGCCTTAGGCTGGCGCGCGTGCCTCGCGAATCCCACCGCGCCGATGAGAGCGATATCCAATTTGGCCGCCTTCTTTGCATTCTCGCGCCAGTCCCTCTTGGGTAGTGGTGGCGGAACTGTGGTCGCTGATTCTAGTTGATCCTGATTTGCTTGATGAAAGGCCTTCTTCATACGAATCATCGAAGCTTCATGACTCTTCTTGTAAGATCTCCCATGCATAATTCGTACCTCCGGCTCGGGCTTCTTGCTGATCTCAAGGTGAGCATTCAAAGGCTTCGAGTTATCCATAAGCTCATCCCGCCGGTCCGCATCCTTTTAATGTTCGGGATTAGACACAGATTTCTTCAGTATCGTCCTAGGGAGGTTCATAAAATGCTTGCTAACAAGCTCCTCTTGAAGGGAGCGTTCCTCAGGCCAGATTAGACGCCGTCGATGGCAATCCGGTAACACCTGATTTTCTGCTAGCCACCTCTTCCCTAATATCACTTCGTGCCTGCCAAGCTGAGTGACAAGGAAGGGTAAGTTCATTCTTTGTCGCCCATCCACTAAAAGGTGAAGTATGAGAGCGTACTTGATTGGCTCAGCTTCTGCTCCATTGAAGCCTCGAACTTTGAGAGCATTATCCAAGGTGACTAATGTGGTCTGAAAGTAGCGTACTAGCAAGCCAGCCAAATGCTGATTGATGAAGGCTAACCCGTTTGCTCCGGTATCAACTAATACTCTAGATGCGATTGATAGCGAATTCTTTGCTAATCGGATTGGTATTGTGAAACTGTCGGTATAGCAATCTTACCTATCTCGGCGCGGGAATGGGATATAGTTTATCCGTGCGCTATAGCGTACGGAGGATAACTACATCTCACCACCCGCATCCCCCTAGTTCTTAGGATTAGTCGCAATATTAGGAATTCAGTATTACTGGCTCAGTCAGCTTGTTGGATTAGCTGTCCTTCTTAGATCTTGCGATCTAACGAAGGTAAACCAACAGAAACTTTCCTTGTCATTCCCTAGCAATCTAAATAAATCCAAAGCCCAACAATCGATACTATTCTGGCCTAAGGAGGAGACTTCCCCTAGGCCTCGTCGTTTCCCTGGTTGACGACAGCGGTTTCCGACTCCTCAACACTCTTGACATCAACAATAGGCTTCTTGCGCAAGGGACAGTTACGGTTGATGTGACCTGGCTGCTTACAGTTGAAGTACAGCTGTTCCTTCTTCAACCGCTCTTTTTCCTCCTCAGAGAGATGAACCCTAGGTGCCTTCGCAGCACTCTTTCCACCTCCTTGTCCGGTTGATGACTTATTGGTCTTGTCGTCTTTAGAAGCCTTTCCATCCTTCGCGTCTTTAGCTTCCTTGGCAGAGCTCTTTTCCTCCTTAGCGTTTTGCTCTAAACGATTGGCCACAAGGTTACATTCTTTGACGAAATCATTGTACTGACAGGCGGGATCTTTCGCTTCACGTATCATGGCACGCTTCATCTCAAGGTTAAGCTTATGATAGAGCTCCTCTTTCCACTTGGAGCGAGCCTTCTTGGCGTCCAAAGCGAGCAAATTGAACTTCGAGAGGAAGGTCTGAAAGCGCATCGTCTTCTGCACGAGTTGACGGAACTCAGTTTTGGCCTTGATCTCACGGTTCGCGTCGAGATAAACCGTACCTAGGTGCTCGAACATGTCGTCAGAGTCGAGGTAAGGGTCCGCCGCATCGTCTCGCATACGCGCCATAAGGTGATCCGCCGCGTCACCTTCGCACATGGACTTAACGTAAAGGATACGTGCTTCAGGAGTATTGAATTGGTGCTTCATGGCACGTAGCTTTCCACGCACGTCGGTCTTCCAGGATTCGTAGCGAGGGTTGCTGCCATCCCGCAGCTTCTTGCCATCAGGGATTTTTGGTCCTTTGTAACTGGACGGCGCCGCACCGGAGTCAGTCATATTGGTGAAGCGGATCGTCATTCGCTCGAGAACTTGTTGTAACTCATCGCGTTCATCGATAAGAGCAGACAACGCGTCGTCCTTAGTCTGCAGCTTCCGTTCACAGGACTTCTTCAGCTTGTCGATGGACTGCTCGAAGGTCTTAAGCTCATTGGTCTAGTGTTGTGCCATAACCTTGTACAGCAACTTTGCGTCCTTGCTCGCCAGCTTCACAAACTCCTGAAGGTTGAGATCTCCGACTTGCTCGTCGGTCTCCAGGCCTTCCAGGTCTTCTAGATCACGAGGGTCAAACGTGAGACGACGAGCTCCTTGCTCCTCCGTGTCAGCACCGTGATCGTTGCCTCTAGCAATCTCGATGTCCTCAAGGGGTATCTCGTCGCTCTCGTCATTGCTGGTCGTAACACCATGGGGGCTCAACCTGGCCATCTTGCCAGTGCTCATGATGATATCTTGATGAGGGAATAAGAAAAATGATGAAAAGGAACGACTTGCCTAACCTCGCGCGTTGTGCACAACGGCTTCAGGACTCCAGGCTTTGTCGTAGAGAGAATGAATGTTAATAAGGAAGAAGTAAAGGAAAGAAAAGGGATGCTTAGTTTAATGTGACATTTGCTCAGGCCTAAACTCTAGGGTAGCTCATCTTCAAGAAACTAAGCATACAGAAAAGAAGGAGAAAGGAAGAATCTGTGTGTGAGCTCGCTACAGCCCTTTGTAAGCGCGTATCGTCTCGTCGGTTCCTAAATAGGAAGTCGTAACAACAAAGGGATATCCCGTTGTACGGCCAGCTAGGGCTTAGGGCTCAATGAGACCACGGAGCGGCACTACAACAGACCGAGCTCACACGACAGCGATTCTTGCAGCCGTCACAGCCCAGGTGAATTCAAAGAAGCCAGATATTACTACTACCTTGAGCAAGGTGAGGCATTGATTCTTTTGTTATATATTATTAATATATATAATAGATCCGTAGCCTTGCAGTCTTTGTTAATGCAAGCCCTCAACATCGAGATACCTTCTACGCCCTGCAGACAACAGCAACAAAGATTCTACCGATCCAGGATGTAAAGACGCGATGGAACTCTACATTCTTAATGCTTCGGAGGACAAAGAGACTTCAGGCTATCTTCATACCTTTTTGTACTGAGTGGGAACGACCCGATCTTCTGCTTAATAATGAAGAATGGCGCCAGGTTGACTACCTTATTTGGATCACACACCCTTTCTATGAATTTACCACCGAGCTCTCTAAGACCAAGGATGTGACTACTCATCATGTCTTCAAGATTTACAACCTTCTCTTTAAGCATCTTGAAAGTACAATCATACAGCTAAAAAGAAAGAGCATTCCCTGGAAGAAAAACATGCTCCAGGCGCTTGAGGCTGGTCAAGAAAAGCTTGACTATTATTACTCTATGACAGATGCTATCCCTGGAGATCTCTATGCGGTTAGCACAATGCTTGCTCCAGATAATAAGTTCAAGTTCTTCCAGACTAAGAACTGGGATGATGAGTTACGTGTAAGATACAGAGAAAGCTTCAAGGAATCCTTAATATCTTATGTAGAGCGATTTACAACTCAACAAGCCCCACCAATCTTCCAACCATCTCACAAGACTGGCTCGCACCTTGGACTTCTGCTTAAGAAAGGCAAGTATCAGCCAGCTAAGCCTAAGGATGAATTTACTAAATATCTTGACTCTGGTATATGAGTTGTAAGCCACTATAGTTAATAGTATACTCACGAATAGTAGATATCATTGATTCTTTGCCTCTTGATTTTTGGAGAGTCCACCAGCAATGATTTCCAGCAATTGCTGCTCTCGCGAGAGATGCACTTTCAGTTTCTGTAACTGGTGCTGGTATTAAATGGCTATTCAATATTGCCTGGGATATTTGTCACTATCGCTGTGGCAAACTCCACGCGGTGACTATTCAAGAGTTAATATTATTCCTCTGTGCGTCAAGATTTAAAATAGATCAGGAGCAGCATTTCTTCATCTCAGATTTCCTATCTCAGGATGAAATCGAAAGTGCAAAAGAGGAGGAGATACCTGCTGAGTTTGAATTGGAACTAATTAGTGATAATGAAGAGCAACGCACTGAAGAAGAAAGAAGAGAGGAAGATAGAGATGATTTTGAGGATGAAGCTTCTCCTCATCCAGTCATAGATGTTTCTCTCCCAGTTATAGAAGAGAAAACCACTCAAGTGCGTCAATCAGTTAGGTTGAGGAAGCGCCCTCGGGAGAAAGATGATCAGTATATATATCATTAAGAAAAAAATTTCTTATCCATTGATGTTCATATATGACGAACATTGTAAAATAAATACGCAAAAATACGAGGAAAAATATGCATAAAATATGCAGCCACGTTCCCCTACTCTGTTTGCACTGTTTGTGGCCCATTGGGGGCCCACCGTGGGTTCATGGGCTCGAGAACCGGGCCCAAGGCCCAACCCATTTGTGGGTTGGGTTGGGTTGGGTTGTGGGCTTCGTGGGCTTTAGCGATGTCTAATCGAGCATGGCGATCGATGTCCGTGGATTTGCATCCGATGTCCAGCAGTCACATCACATGTGTAGTATTCGTAGATGCTAGGAAAACCAAGTAAATGAGTTCTGGCAGTAAGTAGTTGAGGGTTACAGTTCTATTACGCAGTAAAAGGATTACTACTGTATTTATGATGTAGAATTTATTTAGGTTTCAACTTAGAGTTAGGTTAGAGTTGAAGTTCTTAGGATTCAGCCAGATAACATTTCAGGGTTAGATTTGGGGTACGCACAGACAAAAATAACTGCATGCTACCCGTTACCCTAGGTTCGCACGGACGAAAAGTGTGTTATCAGGCTGAAAACCGCATAGTATTTACACAGTAGGGGGGAACTCGAGAGTCGAGTGCATGATAAGAGGTCTAAGGATAAGGGTAAGGAGTTGTAGACGACTATCGAGAACAAGGATGAGGATGATGAGGTCCAGGGAGGGGGAGAGAAGAGGATGGGAGAAAGAAAATAATTTTAAAATATTTCATTGTGTGCAGGACACAAATGTGTGAAATCGCCGTGGTGATTGATGTTGTTGTCTCGGCGTTGTGAACACAGTGATATGGGTAAACAAACAGAAGGCAAGGCACGAATATTCACATCGGGCTTGGTTGAGGCTTTGTTTCTGGGGGAGAGATATGCTTTTATACCCTTGTTTCACTGAAAATGTGTGAATATATACTTGTTTGAAGCTTTTCAATGTTAGCCAGATAGGCATCATCATGAATTGAGATGGTGCAGAGGATAGTACATGGTTAGGGTTATGCTCTTACTTGATATCAGGCAGTAACCGAGTGATACTTCAGGACTCGACACTACAACAAATATCTTGACAGTCTGTTAACTTCAGAGACATTCGTGGACGTTCATTTGGCATTCACAGATATGAGTAGACCTCTTGGTAATTCCTCGACTACGTACGAGAATCAAGCCTTAACCGAGAGTGAACTTGACATAACGAGTAGAGATCATTGAATGTGTACTTATATCATACAAGGACAAACCTTCACGCCTGAGTCGTGTCTCAATACCTGATATCAGGTCTAGCAATCCGCTTCTCCCCAAGCGAAGATATATGCCCAGCAAGAAACCTATAAATCACATTCTCCCACTCAATACCCGTCCCGAGCGCATCCGCCATCAGATTACAATTAACCATCAACCGCCAACAATACTTCAAATACTGCTGCAACTCCTCCAAATTCCCTGGATGAAGCGGATCGTGAGCATAAACCAGCCTGCGTTTGGCCGTGTAATCAGCCTTTTCCATCACATCATCGACCAATTCCACGGGTAACCCCTTGCTATATAGCATATCCCCGACAAGCGCGACTGCAGAAACATCAGGCAAGTACTCAGTGGTATGTACTTTCGAGTTTAAGGAATCCTCAAACGGCACCGTTCCATACGGAATATGCCTTTCTCTGACCATGTCTTTCTTATCGATATCGGGCATGTATTTTAGACGGAGTACCGGCTTGAAGTGCGGCCAGCTGCGGAATCGGTCGTCGCCTATACCGAAGAATGCGATGTGCGGGTATTTCCCTACTTCGGACGTAGAGTCAGAAGAGGTGCAGTACCTGAGCATTAGCTGGTACAATTCCGTAGATCTGTAGTCTGTCGACCTGCTTGATGATGATGATGATGATGATGATGAAGCAGGATCCCATAGTGCAGGGAAACAGTAAAGAATGTTTAGGGCGAGATACGCCCTCAGGGCTGACTCGTAGACGGTATCCCAACCGCAATCGTTGCCCTGCCAATAGTATTAGCGTGATCTCCTTTTGTCTTATACCTAGTAGGATATTGGGATGCGTACCATGCAACAGCATTCACCTTGCGTTTCCCACTCCGCATAGTCGACATCAGGATGAGCGCAAACACGTAGAATAGGTTCCATCTCTTCATATAATATAAGTGTCTTGACCACCTCAAGGTTGTAGAATGCCTCTTTATTCTTGACATAAAACTCAAAGCAGTTATTCAGGGTATGACATCGTAGGAACGAAGATGCTTTTCGTTCCTGGAGTGGAATCGCACATCCGCATTCGAATCCATCGTTATGAGTGCATAGTCTTCGGAGGGAAGATTTCCGTTGGTATGGAATTGCCTCCTTCCATTCGTGGGTCTGTCGCCATTTGTACACCAGCGGAGTTATTTTCTGTGTTATGGCGTCTCCCAGAATCAGATCATTGCCATCTGGTACATCGAATTTCTCAGGATACTTCTTCCGCTCACAGGCCGTATGTTCTTTGATATTGTTTATGAATGACGCGACGAAACGGCTGATCTTCTCGTCCTGGTTGGGCTCAAATAGAAAGTAGAGATTGGTGGGCTTCACTTTGGTGGGAGCTTCTGGTGAGTGGATTTTTAAACAGGAGGTGAGTGCATCCCAGTGGATGTTGTGTGCTTGATGGGCCATGGTTTTGAGACGCGAGGTCAGCGCTTCCCATCGAATGTTGCGTGCTTGATGGGCCATGGTTTTGAGACGCCAGGTCAGCGCTTCCCATCGAATGTTGCGTGCTTGGTGGGCTACGGATTGTATTTGAAGTTGTCGAACTTTCTTGTTGTTGCCTTGTTGTTGGACTGACTCACGCGGATAGCGCTAGGCTGGAAGTAGCGCTACGGTTACATAGCTACGGTGGACTATACCGACATTTCGAAAAAACGTTTTTGTTTTTTCGAAGTCTAACTTTTCTGCTGGCGGAATTATCTCGCTTAGCGCTCAACTAATAGAAACGCATGGATTACTATATGTGTCTTATTGATACGATGCAATTGGCTTAAGAAGCTAGGACATCTCATTCGAGAAGCCACACTAAATATCTTTCACAAGGAAAAGTATTCATAATATATGCGGGATCCAGACTTTCAATTCAGTGACTCAGTCTTCCCAGGCGGCATGGACAGTATAGTGACCAGAATCTTGTTGAAATTAGTTCTTGACTTCGAAATTCAGATTTAAATTGAACGAAAGTAGGTACAAAAGTAGGACTAACAAATGAGAAGGCCAGTTTGAATGACAAACAAAGTTCGAATTGCAACATCAAAACAAAAGATATATTGAATTATGAGCTGACTTTCACCAACTATCGAGATGCAGATTGTTTTCTCGTGCGGTTTGCGATATACCTGTCAGCAAACCCATCCTGGCAATATATAGCTAATCTGGATTCAGACTCATTGGGGACATTGTCAAGAAACTGCTCGAATTCATCGCCATCAAGAATAAGTTCATTAGATCTATTGTCGTTGTCTTCATTGACCTTATTATCGTTGCTATCTCTTTCCAAGTTAGCCACAGAAAATGATCTCTTACGTGTGAGTGCAAAAGGCTCCTTTTCTCTAATCACAGGCTCCAATGTAGCCGCGAATTTCTTGACAGTGGACTGTTTGACTTCGGATTCCTGCTTGACATCAGGTTCTTGTTTGACTTTAACTTGCTACTTAACTTTGGGTTCGTTCTTGGCTTTGGGTTCCTATTTAACTTGGGATGCCTCATGCTTTGACTTTCTGGCTCTTTCTTTCCTGCTATCTTTCTTGGTTGGCTGTGAAGTTAGTTAAGTTTGCGAAGTGTTATGAGCTGACCTCATGAGCATGTTCGGGCAAAGCCCTCACGGATATCGACAATAGCGCCTCCCGCCGATCCCCGACAACCCCGAACATTAAGCTATTCACAGATCAAGAGTGGACAACCAATATCCGGTCGGATGTTGACAATAGCGCTCCTTGTCGATCTCCGGCAACTCCAACAATCCTAGAAACCTCGGACATGAGGCAATTCCTAGAGAGAAGCCCGTCAGAAGTTCCCGATTCCCCTTGCCTATACAAGATTGTACATGCGCGAAAAACTTGTTGTTTTCTTTCTCTTTCCTTTCCTCATGTTATGTTTTCTATTCAATTATGCCCTTATAGTGAGCATTATGCGGGACTAGCCCGTAACACGGAGCAAGTAACTTGCTGAGATGATCATTGTCGAGATCCTCCTCTTCTTTCATGATAACAACATCGTTACAGTGGAGCTGGAATAAGCGCTGTAAAAGTACTAAAGATCCACTCTCCTGCATGCTATTGGTGGTGGGCTTTCTCTAGCTACAGGAATGGCCGTCTCCTTTTGCCAGTGCGTACATACATCTGCACTAGTTAATGTATAGTATATATTTTAGTTAACTATCCGGACAGCGGTGTCCGAATTTTCTCTCCTTAGATTAGCCAACATCAATACACGAAATGATTCATGCGCCCCACTCAATTCTCAGCGAGTCTTCCGGAACTAAACGTGGTATGCATAGCACCGATGCTTTGCTAAGTATTATAGTGTTCCTTCATTCGTGCGAGGAACCACCTGCGATGGCTCTCATGTCGGTTCGTGATTGGAGTATTGCTACGCTTGCCTTTTAAGAGACCAGGCGTAAAACCGATCAACGAATACAGAAACCGTGGAAGTGATCATGGCGGCAACACTGCAGGGTTAGAATTGGGCATGCATACCTAGGTATAGATCGTTTATTTTCGGTTACGGAGTGTTGGTAGATATACAAAGATGGAATGTTGCATCAGTTTTTGATTGCGCCGCATGCTATAATCTGCGCCGCTAATCCATACAAATAGAGAGCACCATGGCGCTGTCTGTGTAACGAGTACGTGCTTGAACAGAGAGCCAAAATGAGTAGCCACACCCCTTTTGATGGCTCTCAAGACCTGGACAGGGCACGCCGGAGAAGGTTCCAGAACCGTATGGCTCAACGCAAGCATCGTGTGTACAGCCCCTGAATTCGGTTTTAAGGATATCTAGTCTGACTTATCTTTAGGTGAAAGAATGAAGGCACAGCGACGAAACTCCTTTTGCGAAGGACAGGTGGAAAATGCGATATCAGATATTAGTGCCGACAATGCTCATCAAAATGAGCTTGCATTCAGTACATTAGACTAAATGTTACGGGATTTGAATATACCGGGATCGGCAAATGAAGCTCAAGATGATTCCTCAAGACAACAGATTGAGTCTCTTAGTCAGTGTTTGAAAACGGGAAATTAGGATTTCTTTTCTGACTAAGTCACAAGCATCTGTCTTCTCGCCTGGTCAAGAGAGTCAAGAAGGCCAAACACTGGATGATCTGGTAAGGCAGTGTAAAACCTGTGCGAGACAGGTTTTGTAGCCGACACAAAGTACGCTGATATACTCTCGCTGAGCAAGTTTACTATGTTGGACCGAGCCGAACGAGATGATAACTTTAAGATCGATGGCCAGTTTCTTAGTAGCCCTGATGATTTCTTACAGGAACATCAAGGATACAATCCCTACATGGACAATGAAAGTAATGTATAGAAGCCATGTACGCCTACCACTACATTTACTGTTAGCTGATTACTAGAATTCTTCTTTCGAGTAGACGAATCAACGACGTGAAACCGCCGCTTTAGTACAAAGCCAAAGAGCTCGTATCTGTTACCAAGCAGAACGGCTTCTCGAAAAAGTGATATCTCTATACGACTTTGGTGTTTCCCTTGATATCCTGGTGGCCGATCCAAATCTCAGGATGCTCTTAGTGAATGCTTCTACGAATTTCAACGCCCAGAGATCAGTTGAATCACATGGTGCTGAATCAGCTGCTTTTGAGAAAATCCGATGGGTCATGTTTTAAGATTGTAGTCTGGGATGTTCAAGTTCATGCTGCTTCTTCCCATCATCCTTGCTCTTCATCTCATATATATCGCTTTCAATGGGACAGGACTACAAGTAATACATCAATATAGCACCGGCCTACTAGATTGACCTCACAATTCTGTATAAAGCTCCAATGAAAAGAAAATCAAGCTCGAAAATAAGAAAAGCTGAGGCGGGTGTAAAACTCCCGACACAGGAAATGAGAATTTAAAATTCACGTCATACTCCAGTAGTGCATAGAAAATCAAGCAATGTTCATAATTTGTAGAAATCCCGGGATCACTATCTCAGATACAGGCTAGCTGCACAAGCAGAATCACAAATATCAATAGCAAAACACAAACACCAAAGGAACCAGCTCCCCAAAACATACACCATGACCGATAATCCCTGCGATCATACCATAGCTCACGTATTGTGGTTGGCTGGCGCGAATCCAGATACGTCTTTAACCGGCGAAGCCGAGGCGCGAAATAGGGGAATCGCACAAAGGACTCCGTATCAGCAAAGCTGTTTTCATTACGGAAATAATCATGAATCTGAGATCCTCTGGATAATTCGGTGCGAGATCTAAGATTTGTTGCATTGAGGTTGATGTACTGTATGTTGGTCCAATCGCTTGGTGATTCTTTTGACTACCCCAAATGGACTGGCGATATCGAGCGCTACTTGTGTAGTCGGTGGGAGCGAACAGCGGTAAAAGCTCTCCGACAGAATGTCTTTGGTTGGATATCGAACGGGATCGATGTCCATTATTTTCTGTAGGTTAGTAGCAACCTCTTTTTCCAAATAAGGCTTTAACCGATGGATAGGACGACCGTTGAATGTCATACTGTTGTACCAAAGTATTTGGTCATCCTCTCCAGCGGTGACATATTGTCTTAGACGCTGGAGGTTTCTGGATGATGTTGGTCGAAACAGTAGACCGTAAGTCCGAGACAGCTCTCGGAATGTTGATTCATGATAGTCGCGCTTAGCTCTTCAATAACCTTAGATTAGCAGATATTAACTGTGTCATTTCAACAATTCAGTACTTACTTATGTAAATCAATACCGTTATAGAAAAAGGTGGGATGAGCAAAGACTCTGATAGAGTTCCTATTTGCATAAATCTTTAGATGCTCGTCCAAACAATCAGTCCATTCTATATTTAGTCGTCCAAATCTCTGTAGATAGGGAATTGTGAATATCTCGGGATGAAACATTGAGTCAGTATTCTCTTCTAGTGGTAGCTCTGGATACCATTCGATTCCGATAGTGGCCTCTTCAGAAGTCCTCACACGGTCAAATAACTCGCGGATCGACTCGGATTTGTACCGTAAGTAGAAAAGTTCGCATAGAGGTTCTCTGATTTCTCGAAACTTCCTCGTGAAATCTAGAGCCGTTAAGCAATCATACAACAAGTCAAACTGTTTACCACAAGTGTCTACATCATTGGCATCTGGCTGATTTAGGATTCGACGTGCGTAACATAGATGAAGAAGCGTTTCCAGTGACAATGATGAGGCGACTTGACTACCCTTCAGTATACGTGCTGTAAGAGCCAACACACGCACAACTGTAAGAGCATTAAATGGTCTTTCTTTCATTACTTTGTCTGCTCCACAGGCAGTGATGATATGTATCTGCCTGCATGCAATCCGGACGAGGATGATGAGTAGTCGTGGAAGACGAGAATGCTCAAACAGCATGCGAGATCGTTCGCAAAATTCGCCACGTTGGGACATTTGATATACCTCGAAGCCAAAGATGGACTCGATGAGAAGATCGCGGGATTCTGTGAGGACAATCTTGTCAAACATCGCATCCTCGTCGTCTCTGTCACGCCATCCGATGAGACGGTATATCTCTTGAAATCGGCTAAAAGCCGACGTGTAGGCCTGAACAGCAGCCTCCTTTTCCAACTGGGTGGATTCATCAATATCTTTCCAAAAGTCTGCCAAGTAATAGTGTAAGTATCATACATTATCTTTGTTTCTGTCAGGGCGACGGTTGAGTGAACACACACCTTCGTACTTCTGCTTAAATTGCTTGTTCTCCACCTCAATTTCGCCGACAGGCATCAGCTCAACTTTTTTCCAGTCCAGGATCTTTTCCGGCCGACCCTTGTTGATTTGCTCGTAGACTGTGTTTGAGATCGCATCTTTAGCCTTTAGTTCTTCTCGAGATTTATCGGGACGAGAGCTGCTATGTTCTGAGTGGATGATACTACAGAGATCCTGGACTGATGCTGTCAGCTCGCGTAGGGACTTGACTGCGTCTTGGTCGGGTACCACTGTGTTCTTGTAGGAGGTAGACATTTGATCGGTCAGTTTTTCTTGTGTAGAAGTAGATATGTAATTAAAGATGGTCCAAATTTATCATGTTTTGCAGGGTTCCAAAAAAGCAAGTCAAAAGAAGTTAATGTAACGGCACTACCCCACCAACAAACAGTAACATGCGTGTGATAAGACTGCATTTACTATCTTTATCTACACATTACGGGGTCACGGGACTATTCCAAGGTTCTATCCATTTCTTTCATTCTGATTTTGTTTTTTTTTTTTTTTTTTTTTTTTTGATCTATGAATTGCTTCCATTTGATCCTAATTATGACTAGGCCCCTACAATTAGCGAGAAGTAGTAAAACTAATACAATCACAATGAATCCCATATGCAGTGATTTCCCATCATAGATATTATTAATGGTAATGGCTGTGAAATTGTGAGGCAGCCAGCATATACCTCAGCATTAACTTTCTCGAATAACAATCACTGTTGTCCATCCAGTCTCGTTCAATTCAAGTTACGTAGGCACTGTATTGGTCTTCACAACCAACAGATAAGCTTCAAGCTCCCGGCACTAGGTAGTGGTCCGTACATGCGGGGGTCAGCATTTACTATCATTTTTATACAGGAAGTCAGCGTATAAGCGGTCAGCATATAAGCGGTCAGCATCCAGGACGTCAGCAAGTAAGCTGCAGCGGCAGCAATACGTTGGCCAATAGTTACTCATGTTCTCGACTTGTAAAATTGATGTCAGCGTTCATAGCATGGTAAGCCACCAGGAATTCTCTATGATATTATAAATATCTAGGCTGGATCAGGGCTTAGAAGTCCCTTTAAAGGCAATCATATACGAACTATTTGCTTATTGATTGGCTGAATCGAACGCGCGTCTCTGACCACTTAAATTACTCGACAAAAACACGGAAATACGAAAACAACAACTCATCCCTATACCGCAATGCTTCCCACGCTATTAATTGTTGTGCTATTGCACCTATTCCGACTATCCGAGGGTGGGCCAACCTTCCTAGAGGAGTATCGGGGCAGCTATGTGCCAAAGACTATCGAAACATGGTACGGCCTCCAGGTTATAGCGCCAGATACTCCATACGTGGCAAGGGCGGGCCCAAATGAGTTGTACTTCATCGACACCCGGTTTGACAATGAGACTGCAAGTCATGTGAAGGAACAAATAGAGAAAGCAATGCTACCGAAGGCAGATGGATACTACTTCTCTATAGATGGGACCTCGGCAACGGTAGAAATCAAAAACTCTGAGACAAACGAAACAACATTCGTTTTTGATCCCCCATATGCTAGGGTGATATTTGCACAAGCAATAAACAAGCGCAACCCAGAGCTCAAACTGCCTGAACATGAACCCGCTGGTGATTGGTTGGTAACATACGATCATCAAATGGCGTTTGTACCTGGTGCGACATCGGGGGCGACAACGACTGTCGGGCAGGAACTACCAATGCTATTGGCGTATGCGGTAAGTATGGATGCGTGAAAGCGGTCGTCCTGAAAGTGTAGATCTACTCCTAGATGCCGGTGCAGATCCTAATTTACCTGGCCAATATGGATACACGCCGCTCAGGACATGTGCTGATTTTGAAGTTGAACAATCGCGGTGGAGAAGAATAGTTCAAAATGGGAGTGCGAAGGCTAAAATAGCTGGCAGTATCTTCCTCCGTGATCACCATCAGCCACTAAGTGCTGATGATCTGGATGGGTCCAAATGGCGCAGCCATAGTCTAACGCAGGAGTCAGATTCAACCCATCTAGACAGCATTTTAAACTCTCTGGTTCTTCACGGGGCAAAGATCTCGGGGATTGAAAGCTCTCTTCGTGAAGCATTCGACGCCGCTGTACTTCATCGACGAGACTATACTGCCGAGTGTCTGTTAAGATTACAGTCACGTTTTCTTCCCGATATGAACCTTCTCCAAGGGTCGGAAATTGAGGGCTTTGTTGCCACCAAGTCTCGCGTGGAAAGTGAAAGGTCATCTTTGAGGCAGGAAAATAGTAACAACAGCCGGCAAACGAATAATGCATCCCGCCGTCAATCAAGAGCCCTTTATCTAAATAAACTACTGGGTCTTCGTCAATATGACATGGTGAAAGAAACAGTATCAAACATAGATGTTTCAGAACTCGGCGGGTTTTGGATATCAGGTCACATTCCTCTCCTGCACACCCTTGCGCGTTTTGGCCTGTTCGATGTTCTAAAGCGTGTCTGTACCCGGGAAGTCGCGTCGAAATTCGATGATCATGAGTGGTGCAATCAAGCAGAGACTGCCTACCACGTGCACAAAAACGATATTGAGCCGCTACTTAAAGTCGCGTGCAATCGAGAAATTCCCAATATGGCAGTGATTCGGTTCCTTGTTGAAGATATGAGCGTTAATATCAATGCAACGTCAAGGAAGAGGGTATTCGTCGACAATGGCAAGCAGAGCGAGCACGTATCAGGTCACAGCGTTCTACATGATATTGCCAAGGGCAAGACTTGGTGGAATGTACACGAGGCGCTGCCTTACCTGATCCGAAAAGGGGCTGACCTGGAGGTGCGCAATGGGAGTGGGGACACTCCATTGCACATTGCTGTGGAGCAAAAAAGATACAAGGGCGTCTTTTACAAGGAAGCAGTAAAAATTCTTCTAGAGAGTGGCGCAGATGCCAATACTGTGAATTACCATGGGGAATCTTGCCTGTCAAAAGCCGGCACCGATACTGGCCTGATCAAGTTGCTTCTATCACATGGTGCTAAGATCTCCTCAGCAGCCATATTCTCCGCAATCGGGCTGCATCAAGTTGAATTATTGGAATTTTTGCTCGCCTAGGGGGACTTTGCGAATCTAAGGCGACCTACAAATGGAATCCTGGAAGGAATTCCACCTTTGTACCATGCAGCGTTTTGCAGAGTTCAAGACAACCGCGTGAAAGACAATGACCTTATCCCTTCCCGAACGCGCATGATGACAGTGCTCCTTCGCCATGGTGCAGATCCATACGCCACTATTGGGAAGCTTCATCGTGTCAGCGACGGAACGTTCAAGGGTGACATAGAAAGTGAAGATGGTCCAGAATCAGAGTGGACATCTAAAACATACACCGTCATACATGAGATCTTGCATAAAGGATTCGTCGCTGAGCCACTATTTGACTTACCATCCCTTCAAATGGAAACACGTGATAGCACAGGCCAAACTTTGCTTTTAGCCGCTTCCCGAGGCCGTAATATGAAGCAATTTCAAGACCTTCTCGCCCGTGGAGCAGATTTCACCGCTCGGGATCAAGAAGGAAGGACTATTGTGCACAACCTCATGAAACATGAGCCCGAAGAGACAACATACGAGTGCCTCAAGGCTCTTTTCAATCAGTACCCCAACCTTGTCCACATGCCCGATAAAGCCGGTGATACTCCACTTCATTACGTACTGAAATCACAGGAACCACACCTCAGCGACTACTTCGACAGAGAAAGCGAACGTGGATGTAGACGCGACATCGATCTGCTGCTCGAACAAGGCGCCGATCCACTTCAACCAGACTCGAATGGAAACACAGCCCTGCATTTCTTCGCTCTGAGGCCCCTTCGCTTCAAATCACGTATAGAACAATTTCAAAGCCTTGGTGTGGACATTAACGCACGCAACAAAGCGGGCAATTCTCCAATTTTTGAGTATATTGCACGCGGCCAGCTGAGAGCTGGAGGACCTTACGGGTATATTCACAACAGAGAACTCGAGAACCATGACGATGTTCATTATTTGCGGTATTTCAAGCAAGTTGGGGTAGATTTCTTTGCACGTGATAATGCAGGATCGTCGCTGCTCCATGTTTTGGCTCGCCGAAAGTTGAACAGTAGCCGTTTCGTGCATTTTGAAGAAGAGAGAACGGTGCCGATCAAGAACCTTGTCAACTGGTTTGAGTTCCTTACGGGTATAGGCTTGGATCCTATGCTTGAGGACGCTCAACAACGGACTTGTTTAGATGTCGCCTCCGCTTGTGGTAACGAGCATATTTTGAAGTTGTTTCAACAGAAGCCTGTAGAGTGAAACTTCGAATGGACTTGGTTTAAGATATTGTACATGATATAGTATGATATGTGTTCAGTCACTAATATGAATTATAGGACAGCTGCTCCTGATGCCGTCTTACTATAAAAAATATCTTAAGAGATCAGTTTCCTCTCCCTACGCGGTGTAATCAACGTCACAGGCTATAACATATACTCCGTCAATCGAGAGATGCTGTCACTCAGGCCATCCGTTGGAGGTTATGTATTCTACTTAGTCTTCCATTGGAATAGTTCGATAGTTTGCGCCATTGGGAACTTCTTTTGTATGGACATTTGGCTATTTTGTAAGGGAATGTTGCATAACTAAGAATATCAATCTATAAAATCAATTGACATCATTCTCCGTCTCCGGATCGGTGCCGGCGCAGCGAAACATCGTATAAGTTGAGCATCAAGAACGAATACGTATTTGTCTTATACAATACATCAAGGCTCGTAATGACAATATGCAGGCCGCATCGTACAATACCGATCTAAATGATTTTCTCTCTAGACATTCTCGGCCAGCAATTTCGTATCAACAGACTCTATACGCAAATCACATTCTGTTATCCGCTAGCCGGAGACGATGGCTCTTATTCACAATCAGAGATAATACAAACCTTCAAAAACAGCTTTCAACGTATATCACAGAGTTTCCCGTGGATCTCAGGCAAGATATCAACCAAAATGACACATTCAAGATCAAGCCTAGTACTGGTAGTCCTTACATCGTCGTGAAGGATTATACTAAGGACCCATCAATACCTGATTGGAACACGCTACAACAAGTCAATTTCCCGTTTAGCATGCTAGCCGAGTGGGCTTTATCAAACTCGAATCTCTTCTGTTCCCTATGATTTCTTGCTGCTCGGCACATGTCCTCCATAGTGTCTTGAAAACACGGGTATATGAAGGGTGGTCGCCCGAAAAATACTCCAATTCATCCCAATCCTCACGGCCATCAACATCGTCGTAGCTTTGGCATGTCTCAACATAATTTTCAGCAGTGAGGATATTGGTTTTGAATATCTCATACTCTCGTGGCTCTGGATGGAGGTTAGCCTTTTCCACGATTGATTCGCTTGGGAGCTCGTACCAGGTTTTAGCAGCCATGGGACGACGTACTCGAAGGACACGACATATCGGTGCAAGTTCGATTTTAGAATATTCTCCAGCAAGTCAAATCCTTGATTTGAAAATTCGATGCTAATTTTGCGAAATATGGAGGGCAAGCAGACGTTTCTCATCTGCCTACTAACTTGGGAAAGCCTTATAAGCTCCCACCTATCAAGACACCTGACAATGCCGAAGAGAATCTCAACAGGAAGAGACTTTATACCGTTCAATCCACTGGCTTCCATCTCTTTGAGGTCTTCAAGGACCATCGATAACATCCAAGCAGCTCGCCGAAAACCCACCAAGCAATAGACAGTATGGGGAATTCGCTGATCCCGACTATCGCGACGCGCTTCAATCCTTCCTAGGAGTCGACGTCGGAAAGAGGGCTTCTGGAATGTACAGCTGAAGGATAATGTGCCGTTTGGTGGGAATGTGTACTGCGACGCCACGTACAGTCCTAAGATTGGCATTATCGCAGCTGACAACACGAAGAAAGCGCCATGCATTGAGATATCCGATGCCTTATTCTGAAAATATAGGGTCTTCAAGACGCACTATATCCCCGAGGAGGAGATCAAAGGCCTCGTGCACCATCAGATAACGAACGAGGATACTGTTGGTATCACAGGGGTGTGCACACAGGTAAAGTGTAGGTTCGAGGTTGTTGTATTCAGTTGTGTCTCGCTAGTCTCCAAAGGAGATCAGCTACCTATGTGTAGGTAAACAGAGCCGAGCTAACCAAGCTAGGCTAACTACAGCTGCCACCTCTAACTCACTTCCTTTTATCCCCCTTTTATCTCCTCCCATATTGAATACTTCGAATATGCTATTCCTGCAGATACCAAGGGCATCATCACTACGATCTCTAACAAGCATGACGTGTCAAGTGAGAAAAATCTTATCATTGATGCTAGAAATGACGAGTTCTATGCCCTTATTGGCACTCCTAATGGTTCGGCAGCGGCATATATGCTTGCTGACCATCTCAAGGCAATAGGTTCCATTATGATTATTGGTGGCAAGGCCAATTCCCTGATCTTCAAGTACGCGTAGGGGAGCTTATTGATTGTTGGCCATAGAGCAGTGTTGGAAACAATCGAGAGGGATCTCTCCTAGGAGAGATCCCTCCTGAGCGACAGTATTTTAGTCAGCTTCCATGGATCTCCTGGGAGAGTTTTTTCCTGGGAGAGTATTCTCTTAGGATGGTGTTCTCCTGTGCTGGGTCCCTCTTGAGCGGTAGGACTCCTGAGCGAGGTGACTCTTGAGCGCTGTAGCTCCCAGGTGGTATGGGTCTTGGGAGCCTCGTTTATTCGCGAAAATCCTTCCCTCTGCTTATATTTGCGGTTTTGTTACCGGGCTTAGATCACCAATTATTTTTTATGGATTGGAAGTGGGATTTTGTTTAGCGTTCGGCTTTTGTAAGATTTAAGGTCCAAGAAACAAAGTAGGTCCTCGCGGATAAAATGTATCTTCCGTAGATATTCTATGTCCAAATATTACCCTGGCAGTTCTATAGAAGTACTTTTTCCCATAGCTTCATGCAAAAATCTGTTTTCTAGTGTCGCTTTTTAGTTGTTTGTGGTTTCTACGTACCTCTCATTTGTAGCATATATTTCCCGTCTAGTTTAAAAACATAGTGATCATGCGACACTTTGTTAGCCTTCAACGAGCACGATATCCTAGTCTATATCCCCGAAGACAACCGTAGAGACATGACGGTATATCAAATTGATCTAAGAACCCTTTATTCTATATCTTCTTGGCTGAGGGGCCGTCGGGACTTTCAATCACCTGACATGGAAGCCCTAATTTCTCGCCAAATCTTGAAGCTTTGTCCCATTAAAGTTGGAAAAACCTTGACTGCCAGGGAGCAGGGTGCTGCATTTTTTCCCTTGTATCCAAGACTAAATGGCCTACTTCAATCGCGTGAATGGGGTTGGGTTGTGTATATTTTCCAATCTGTAACTGCGCCAAAACGGGGCTTTAGCGTCCAAAAGTAGCTCGACATCCAAAAATGGATTTCCGAACCGTTGTATCAACCCCAGACTTCCCGGGAGAACGCAAAATCCCGAAACGATCCTTGAAGTTCAAATATTTTGTTTCTCAAGCAATTTCCGAAAAATAATCATCATGAATTGCCAAATATTTTTTGAAAGGCACGAGGAAGAATTGTTTAGGGAGAGGAGCTCAAGCTACGGAGGCACAGCGAAAATCCCTCTTGATGCACTCCAATTTCAGCAGAGGCAGTCCCGCTCAGATCTCAGTGAAAACATCAAGAAAATGAAAGAGATTTTTGCCAAGGCCCAATGTGAGCGCCTGGAACCTGCAAACAGATTACCAGCGATTATTAGCCAAAATACCCTAGATGCAGTTCTGAGATTGTCGAAAATGACATTGGATCAACTACTGCAAGCTCCTCACAACGAAAAGTTAATTCTCCTGAAGTTCGGGCCAGATATGTATGTTGAGTGCCTTGATGGAGAGTCCGCATAGCCGCTGCAAAAGAAGTACTGCGAGAGTGTGATGCGTGGTGGGCTGTCGACTTGTATTTGGATGGTTGGTGTATCGTTTCTCAATCCAATCATGCCTTACTGACGTGAGTGTAGAGGCGGACGGTTACCTGCGACGTCAATTAAGAGAACAATATTCAAACCAAACAAATTTTTGTGATGGCGACATATATTCCAAAATCCGCGTGTATCGAAAGCAACGATCTGAGGCTTCCCGCAACAACGACATGGATGCGGTTAGGACATACCGCTTCGCAGAAGGACGATGGTGGGCAAGGTTATCGGCGAGTAATCAGGGGATCCTCAAACAGCTTTTTGATAAGAAGCACAAGAAATACGTCACTGAACTAGACGCCTTTCTCAATTTCCCCGCTCTCTTAGCGGGGTTGAGAATCTCAAAAAAAAAGGATCTCATAGCTATGAAAACTCACGAGGTAGGAGGATTATAATATATGAGAATGGCCGTCATTGACGAATATTTAAGAACACCACCGATACCTACGCCATATCAGAGATGTTACAGTGGATAGAGCTCTTGCAAATAACACGGAATGGATTAATATGACAGATAGGCCGACTTTACGAAAGCTTGAGAGCCGGATCCCAAAATTCTGTAAAGAAGATGAGAATATGATACGACAAGGAATGAGTAGTGGAGCCCTATTTCCAAGGATAAAGAATACTGAAGCCCGCAACAATATTCTAGAGAACCTTCTCTTGATCGACTGCCCGATCCCAACCTTGGATACATTCTTTGAGAATAGAAGATTTTTGGAGGCGCTAGCCACTATCATGAAAGGGCTTCTGGACAAACCATGTCAGACCGGAATTCGGACGAGGAAGAGATGTCGATCGACGAATCCTTCAAAGAAATGTTCACAGATATCAACCAGAAGGACGATGAGGTTTTGATACAAGTACAGAAATACTCACTAATACCGTATCCCGGGGAAAAGGTAGACAGAATAGCGTTAGGAATCTGGCAACTCTGGTTGTTTGCAGCTCGCAATTTCACCTACTTGCTTGAGGATGCCCATTGAAGGACGCTGGGCAATCAAAACCTCAACCCGAGAAGGACATAACCGTGTGGTATACCTTTGCGACACTCGCTTATCAGCTAGGCTTTGAATCAAACAAGATCCAAACCCTCAAATCGCAAGATCCCGACCGTGAGAAGGCCCGTGCTGTATTGTTGGGTGCTCGAAATCCTAATGAATTCATCTACGATGAGGTGTTATTTGCCCGCTTCCAGGATGAGATTTGTTCCATGTGTGCAACTGCCACAGAAAGATCAACAGCCACGCAACTCCGCTTCCGAACCATAGACGGCGGTGAAAGTATAAAGCGCCGTTCTGGGCGTCCATTGCATATAAATATTATCGGGAACGACTTTTCGCCCATGCTTTCTGGAGCCCAGTGGAGAATGACGGCCAGGGGTGTCACCGCGCTCTCAATCCGTGTCTCCATATGCAATGCCTACTTTGGAGATTGTTTCTCCAAAATCTCTACCAACCCCCTTGGGCCGGCATTCAGCATTTCCAAGCCTCTGAACGGCATGAATGCAACAAGGGATGCACTGCAAAAACTCAATGACCAGATTGGGGCACTTCAAGAAGAGCTCGACTTCACCAGAAGAGATAAGCAGAGCATCGACAGCAAAATCTCGAACTTCAGGCGCGGGTTGACAAATTCGTGGCAGAAAGAAAGGCTTACGCAGAAAATCATGAAAGACAGATTGCAAATTTTCGATCTCAGCTAGGGGATCTCGAGAGCAGAATGCACAACGCGGCCAGAAATGCTTCGATAGTTGACAAGGCGAAAGCCCAAATGCAGTCAAGAGTAAGAGAACTGGAGGCAGGGGAAAAGCTCCAAAAAGAGGGGTTGGAGAAAGCAAAGGATGAGATTCTATCATTGCAACAAAGCATGGTATCGGTGAAAAACACAAATGAGGCGCTTCAACAACAACTTCAAGATCTTCGTAAAACAAACGGAGCGGTGGTGCAGCAAAGAGACTATCTAGAGGGAAAACTCCATGACTACCAAGCCGCACAATCAATCGACGATGGGAATTCCCAAGCTCGAATTGAGGCTTTGACAATTGAGAATACGGAGAACACAAAGCGATTCGCAGAAGAGGCAGACGAGTACCAGACTACCATCAATAATCTCCAAATCAAAGAAAACAGGTGAATCAGAAACTCGAAGCGAAAGAAAAGATCATTGCTCAGCTACGAAAAGCTAAACGCGACCAGTCTCGAAAGGAGGAGGTAAAGAAAGACAGAGAAATTGAGCTCCAGGCTCAACTTGACAAGGAAACTAAGGATAGAAAGGACTTCGAAAGGGCACTTGAAGTTCAAATGCAACAAAAAAAAAGTGGAACAGGACGTCCAAGAAATGAAGGCTAAATTGGAAGAGCAAAGCAAACTAACCGACTCAGAAAAAGGTATGCTCCTGTCATTAAATAAGGCCTTGCAGGCGCAGATTGATCAGTCGGTCGAGGAAAGAGGTAAAAACAAGGAGAGTTTTCATAAGGAGCTGCAACAAGCCAAGGAATGGATTTGCTCGCTTGGAAGCAGAGCTCAAAGATATACCACAGCTTGACCTGCACAACGGAAATCAATTTCAGCTCCATGCAGAGAACCAAGAACCTGGAAGTATGATGGAAATGGGGAATCAGAACGAATCAGCTGATACATCGCCAAGATCGAAAGTTGCATGGTACCACGGGGATGGGAACAAGAAGCCTGATGTGCAGGATATGAGCCTCCTGGAGATAAAACGTCTCGCAAAAAAGTGTATCCGGAATCGGAGGTTCTTATTTGATCGGAAAACCGATCGAAGCCTGAACCCTGAATCAGTCGCTGAGTCTGTCAAGGAAGGAAAGGAGCTAGAGACTGTTGTAGTTTCAAGTGGCGATGTGAAGGCTATCAATCCGCCGAAAGGTTTGGTGAATTCATCTACGCGAAACCGGCCAATAATACAACTCCCAGAAGGGCACATTCAGCCCACCATTACAGAGGTTGTTTGAAAACATTCTTCCGGCAGCTTCTAGAACAGATGATTCGGAGGATGAGACACGCCAAAAAGGAAGAAGGCGCTCCAAAAGAAGGGTAACGGTAATTAAGCGCTGGTGCTTCCTTGGACCAATGAACTTTTGGTCTGGAGGAGTTTTCTGTCTTTCTGAATTGTCATCCGGAGCCAAAGTTGGCTACAGGGGCCAAATTTGAAATACCTTAGACCTGAATTAGTGCGCCTTACTAGGGTATAAAAGGCTAGCTAAACCTACAACCTGATTTAGATCCAGCGTTGCAGGGTTCTAATAGCTTTAACATAGATCTAAGCTGTTACCTCTCGAACCTTGCGAACCAAGTTTTGTCAAAGGTCTAGACTATATAGTTACGGAGTAGACTCGATTAGAAAGCAGGAGTTACCAGAGCCATCACTCATAAACAGGTTTATGTTCGTTCCACTCCACACATGTTCTGGTGCCCACTATTCGTGGATCCCATAAATTCCGCGACTCCGGCTGTGGTTATTAATCCATAGCGATAGTTAGTTCTGGAATGCTATGTTCACTGTTTTGAACGCGATCCGGAACGTACCGCAATTCGTGTACTATCTGTGCCGCACGTACAGATCCAGAATGGGAAAAACGGTAGTTCTAGCGCGCTCCCGAAGACCTCCTATTTAGCTAGCTCTACACCCCCAGCCCCCCTACGGTTTTGGGGGTCAGTAATACAGATATTCGTGCTTATAAGCAGGATCACCACGTAGGGCAGTTGGGCCGCCCTTGCTACGATATCCTACGCTTCGTGATACGGGACGTACCTAAACCGACACTAACGTTACGCTCATTTCCTATAGTCTAATTGTTAGACTATAAGTAAGAATATATAATCTTCTTGGCGGGATCAGCCAAGTTCTGTCAACAGAGTACCGTACCTGAGGTTAGCCAGAATCTACCGGACACGCTTCTCGTCCTATATACTACTCTGTTCCCGTCCTTGCCGCAAAGTCTCAACAACATGTCATCCACTCAGTCGCAACAAACCATAGTCGTCGTTGGCGCCACGGGAATCCAAGGCTCTGGCGTCGTTCGAGCATTATTGAGCGACGAATATGGTGGTCCTTGGTTTGTCCGAGCTCTTACCCAAGATCCCCGCTCAGGCAAAGCACAGAAGCTTTTGTCAGAATGCCAAACTACTGACAATCGTCTGAGCTTGGTCAGTGGCCATATTTACGATGAAACAAGCCTACGGAGCGCCTTTATGGGTGCACACGGCGTCTTCGCCATGACCAGTGAACGGTACCCTGGTAAACTTATTACTGAAGAGGAGGAGTTGAAACCAAGTCGTCCTTTATCGATAGGCGGTTATGCAATAAATACAATATCATAGAAGTACTGGAATCAAACAGCAATTCATCCTTGCGGCACCAGCCCTTGGGAATCCGCATTGCCGCAGCCAAAATGGACGAACAAGGTCTACTGTCCGAAGACATGTATGAACTCCTTTCAAACTGGGATGAAAAGGCCTGTAGTGCCGCAAAGCCTCATCTTTTGTACACCGTTCCTTCTGGTCAGAGCCCAACAGGAGCCACCCAGAGTGCTCAACGACGACAAGTCTACAAAGTCTGCCAGAAGTATGATATCTTTATTGGCGAGGATGAACCGTACTGTTTCCTCCAAGTGGAGCCTTACAAGGCTGGTGTGCCTCCTCCGTCTTCTTGTGAGGAATTCTTGAAAGTCTTGTTGTCATCCTTCTTAAAAGTCGATGTCGATGGCCGCGTTCTCCGTCTTGAGTCCTTTTCCAAGGTTCTTTCGCCGGGTACTCGCACCGGTTGGATTGTCGGATCAGAGCAAATCGTTGAACGTTTCGCTCATCACTTTGAGTCCCCTGAAAGAAACACCCCGGCTACGCTCAGGGAAAAATAAATCACATGCGGAAATCGAAGAAGCTATCTTCTTGGCTTCGGTTGACCCTGGCGTTCTGTTGTTGCGAGGAAGCTGGTTCCGATCTGACTAGCACATGGCAGAAGACAAGATATTTTCCGTGCTACTTTGGCAGCGGCTCCAGTAGATAAAATGCAGGAAGCCATTAAGAGATTTGGTGATGCGCTGAGGTCGGAGTTTGGGTTGAAGGATGCAGAGTAAGTTGATAGATTGTATGTAGTTTGTTATCCATGAAGGGTCTGATATAAAAGTCTATAACATCATAGGTCAATATATAAGTTAGGTACTTTTTACATACCAGGGATGAAGTAGCATTGATATGACTACTACTACGAGGTACCCTAAGATAAAGACCAGACAGTCTTAAGCAACCACATCATGCTTCGTGCTGATAGCCACACCATCTTCAGTGAATGCAAGAGTCTTACTCAACTTGGTCGTCCACTGACGGACAACATGTCCTTTGAGAATAAGTCCAATCATGATGAGATCGACAAACACAATGAAAAAAGCTCCCATCCCCCACATCCAGCCAATACCAACAGCCGCCTGCCAGTTAGTAGTAATGAAGACCGATATCAAACCAAAGGTGACGCGGTATGCATTCAGCGAGACAGAGGCCTCGACAGGATTGTGCAAGAAGCATTCGATAATGTAATTATAGCAGACAGGCAGAGCGAGAAGAGCGCCGAACCAGATCAGGAACGATCCCAGAGCAAGTACCATGAAATGAAGATGGTGTTGCAGACCAGCTCCCCACAGACCCAGACCAATGGGCAGCAGGATAGATAGCAATATAGTGTTGGCTAGACGATATTCCGTATGCCAGGTACCACCACGTCGACGAGCAACCCAGAGAGGAGTTTGGTCGTTGAAGAAGAGGCCATACACCTGTGCGCAAATGATGCCCACCCACGTCGTCATGGTGAAGAATGCCATTTGCAGTGATGAAAAGCCATAACCACCGGCGATGACAGGGGGCTCCATAAATGTGGCCAGAGTGGAAGCTTGCATGATGGGGAGACCGAGGGCTATGAAAATGTACGTTCCCATCAGAAGAGTAATAGGCGCAAAGGTGATCTGAAAGGGGACGATTGCCCGTCGTACCTAATTATAGATTAGCGCTCAATTCTTTGTAAGGTGAGCACGATGAACACTTACAAATTCCTTGCCTTTTCCGGCAGGCTGCGTTCGTGTTCCTGTGACAGTTATGACCAAGTAAAGGACGAACAGAGGGTGCTGCAGCTGCAATAATACCGAATGTTGCTTCGAGTCTGGTTGGGTGTTGGGTTGTCTTAGTACTTTCTGTTCAGGGGATTCTGAGGTGATACTCACACTGCCCACTTGAAGAGCGGCACTAGGTCCCCTATAATCAATTAGATAGGTTAGGTATGTTCGTGTAGCATACTTCGGGGGTTGACCAAATACACATGTCGGGTCCTGGGTTGAAGTCAGGCTAGGAACCAGGACGGTACGCGCAATGGCAAAACCTCCACTCCTGTACGTACGTCAGCTACCCGGTTATTCACTGTAAGAGTCAGTGTAATAACAATTCAGGCCGACGTACGCAAAACCCAACGCCATGATGGCACAGACGCCAATTTTAACCCTTCATATTATTTTGATATTCCAGAGGAAGACTGTTGGTAGAATCGAAAGGTTGAAATCGGTGGCGGCAGCAATGGCTATCATTAGCGTTAATCTTCAGAGACAACAGTGAGGAAGCAGATTGAGTATACTCACTTCCTTGGGCTATTCCAAGCGCATTGATGGCAGCGTCCGACCAGCAATGCCCGTCGATCGATTTGTTCCAGTTAAATTCGACCGGCGTACATTGCGGAAAGATTACGGCAGCGTCGACCAAGCTGGTAACAGTGTTGAATACGATAAAAGCCCAGAAGAATGTGTTCCATCGTCTGTCAGTGGGACTGTTGCGAGAGGAACGATAATGTTAGCGAGATGCGAGTACCCAATGCTCTAGCGAAGACATACAAGAGTCGTTTCAGGAACAAACTAATTGAGATCTTCACAAAAACAGTCGATATGATCAACATAGACTCAGCGATCCGCATGAGCATGATGCTATATGTTGCGGCGCTAAGATCTTTCTCCAGGAACTGGATATGCCTCCCTATTCCGTTGGATGTGCCCCCAATGACCAGACCCATCACTACGCATGTGGTAACCTGTAGTTGAAAAGATATTATTAACTTTTCCTTATGTATTTTTTTTGCTTACTTTTGATGAGCACAGGCTGTGTTCGTGAGAAGAAATCCTGTAAGCATCATTCAACTCACCATGGCTAGCACATTGAAGAAGTCATTCCAGCCCAGCAACTTGATCTTTGCATGCGTACATAGATCCGTAGCGCGGTTATGATAAAAGCAACGATCGTGGTCAGGATGGTGGGTATGAGGAGCTCAGAGGCCCTGTTCGTATCGGTTGTTGTCACCTGTGAGCTCATGGTGACGGGACGACACGCTGTGGGCAGTTATGACGTAGTCGTGGAAAGAGAAGGAAGTAGTATATTATACGACTGACTTGGTATTTCAAACAGCCTGACTCTAGGGCTCCTATAATCTAATGGAACTCCTTGTCCGCATTTACCAGGTCCAACAAGGCTTGGGAAGAATCCGGCTAGTGCATCCCAGCGCCTACAAATCAGATCCAGAGGACTGGTTATGGTATCTTCGTTTATCTACAATTACAGGCTTCTAGAGCTGGCCAATTTTCCATGGTCTACCAATGCGGCCTTGTCACACAGGTCCTCAATATCCTGTTTGCTGTGAACGGAGCCCTTCTCGAACATTGACTATTCAATCGAACTTTCTGCAAGGGAAAGTATCTCGGAAAATGCTAGAAGGATTCTTTTCAACAAATATTATGCATAGATTCATACGAGATGTGTTACGAAAACCGCGTCGTACAAGATCCCTGTCTCTTTCTCGACAAGCCACTTTCTTCGGTAATCGCCACGATTGTATACTCGTAGCATATCACAAAGGCCGCAGGATTCGAGCCCATACACCCTACTTATCATTGATTTGTCCAATTCCATACATACGTGATACTAGTGTGCATCCCTCGTGCGGCGCAGGACCCTGGGTCCACGATATAGTGCATACTACCTACCTCTGGCAAAGCTACTGCAGGACTTGATTGCGCGGAACACAGACTTCGACTCCCGTCGTGTATCATCAAAATTCCTAGCGCTCCTGGTGGTAATTTAAATTATCTACGTATTATATTAGGAAAATTATTCCGCTCTGCACCAACTGAAAATTGAGGTTGTATCTTGCCCACGATAAAATCGCCATTGTAGAAGGTTGGAAACTAGGGAGGTAGCCTCTTCGTATCAGAATAAGGAGGCAAAAAAAGAAAAGAAAATAAAGGGGAAAGGAGACGGTACTAAACGCCGACTTTTCAACATGGACAGTGGCAACGCCTCTCAGAAGCAATTCACGGTCGCAATCGTGGGAGGCGGCATCGGAGGCCTCACTCTAGCCATTGGCCTACTACGACACAATGTTTTGGTCAAAATATATGAAGCAGCTTCGGCTTTTGGCGAGATAGGGTTAGGTCTATCAATTGGCCCAGCTGCCCATCGCGCCATGCCGCTCATTGATCCCCAAATCCGCGACATATACGACTCGCTCATCACCACGCATGCAGACAGTCCAGGCTATGAGAAGTTCCGTCAGACTTGGTTTGAGGTAATCTGGGCTACTGGCGAGAAATCAGGCCAGCGTCTTATGACTTTGAATGCCTTACCCTCCGATCAGACCACAGTGCGACGCTCCGATTTCCTAAATGCGCTGGTTAATCTCATTCCTCCCGGCGTGGCTCAATTCGGAAAGCGTCTGGTCAAGCTGGAAGAGAATACGGCTTGCGTCACTCTAAGCTTCGAAGACGGCACAACCGTTGTGGCCGACGTTGTCGTCGGTTGCGATGGCATTCGCTCCAAAGTCAAAGAGTCTCTATTTCCCGATGATCTTGAACGAGTGCAACCACGGTACAGCGGCATGTACGGCTACCGTGCCGTGTTTGACATGGAAACCCTGGTGGAAGCTGTGGGCGATGAGCGTGCGAGAGTCTCAACTTGGTATATCGGAAAGGGTGCGTACGCAATTACCTATCCCATCATGCGCGCTAAGAAGGTCAATGTCGGTCTCTGTACGCTGAATGATACCTGGAACAGCGATGAATGGGTTCGCAAGGCCAGCAAGAAGGATATGCAGAGAGACTTTGAGCATATGGGAGAGTATGTTAACTCGATCATGAAGGTATCTCAATATCTAACTATTCTGAACGCCCACAGTACCGATCTGATATGATCACTGTTTAGTACATGTCTGACGCCTCCCAATGGGCCATTTTCGAGCATCCTCACATTCCTACCTTTGCGAAATCGAAAGTCGCAATCCTTGGCGATGCCGCACACGCCTCTACGCCGCATCAGGGAGCTGGTGCCTGCCAAGCCATCGAGGATGCGCATGTCCTAGCCGAATTACTAGCGGACACGCGCGTAACGTCCCCGGAGCTTGTCGCTATCGCTTTCAAGGCATATAATGCCGTGAGGTGGGAACGTAGCCAAAAGGTGGTGACCAGTAATAAAGAAAATGCAGATTTGTTGTGCCTTTGTTATGAAGGTATTGGCGACGACGGCCAGAAGTTGCAGGACACATGGCAGGAGAGATTTCGCTGGCTTTGGGATATTGATATCGAGGAGCAGGCCGAGAAGGCCAGGAGCATTATGCTTGATCTGATGCACCATCAACACCTCTTGCCCGATTCTTAGACATTTCTGCTGCTTATCCGTAGTTTAGAGCACCGTTCTGCGATAAAGGCCTCTTGATGAATGTTATTGATGGGAAGTTCCTGTTGGATTAGCTAAAAGACCTGGCTAATCAGATTGACAAAGATCATCAGCCAATCAAAGCGAGCTACACACTTAGCCGAGGAATCCACCGAATAGGGGTTAAAAGACATCTCCTACATTTTGTACTTAGAAGACAACAAGAATCACAACAAGGATCAAGGATTCCCACATCTTGTGCATACATAACTTAATACGTTGAGATAAACCGCTAGAGATTGTTACATACAATCCAACAGTTCCTCCCTTTGTCTCCAGCGCCGCCTTCCGCATGTAGTTAGCGCGGTTGGGAGAAGGATATACCCTCGCTTGCTAGCGAGGATATCCTTCTTCCCATCATGATCCTCACACACACATTAGCTAGCAAGTAATACAGAGAATTCCTTGCTATCAGCTCTCAAAAATGTAGAAGGGCGAATTATAATGGATATTGTAATTGATGCGGATTAATCTCTTGTAGAAGTTAAACTCTGGTCTGCGTAAGGGTCAAGCATAACCTTTCTAAGGTTAAGGTTAAGGTGAGCCTAGAAATGGGAGCGACGATGGGGGCCTAGGGCTTGTACCCCGAGAAACCCACTGAGTCCACGGGCCCTGATCCCCGGACTGGGCTGGACATGAAGTGATTTAGCGCCGCACATCTCGTTTGTACAGGCATGAACTACGTATGTGCTTCTTAGGGTTAGAAAAGGTTAGCCTTAGAAAGCCTGGCACAACAAGCTGAAGGACACAGCGCCTTAAATGTAAAGAATATGATCACAAGGTCACGTGATGACTAGTGATTGTCGGAACGTTGGTTTACTAGAGCGATGACTAAGCGAAGGCGAGCACTAGTTAAACAATACGTATAAGGAACTAGGTCTATTTTCCGGCACTCCTCTAAAACCACTATCTAGGAGTATTGAACCTGTTTTTTATATACAAGATTCCATAGAAGTGATATCACCAAAAGTCGACACTTGTGCAAATCGAACTTTCTAGAGATAGGCTGTAAAGTTGATTTGTAATGTTCAATATCGCGTCGGAATGTGATGCCAATTCTCGAAATTTCTTGATACGCAAATCTTGTCCTATTCCCAAATTGGTTTAGTTCATTCTGAGTTCCAACATCGTGATTCTGTCACGTGATCACGACAATACATCTTGTTTGCAGATAGCCTCACATTCCTAGCTTTTTTTTTCTTTCTCCATGTTTGGTATTCTTGTACTTAGCTTCCAATATGACTATTGAATGAGCCCTTACACTCACCCGCATCTCAATAGGGAATCAGTGCGTATCAATAACAAATGACAATGCCGATTGATATCACATTTATTGATGGAGACCTTTATTCAAAGGATTCCCAATCAATAAGTGACGCCAAGCCGAAAGCTAGGGCTGAGCCGTCACATGTTCAAGCTTCAGTCTCTGTACATTAGAAACAATACCTTTGTTAATTCACATCTGGAAGTCACCGAACGACCTTCTGCCATATTGATAATTCCTCCTGTCTAACCAACGGACTAATCTCCTATTACAATATGAGGACTATAGCAATGGGGAATCTTATGATATTGGTAAGATGTCTGCACTTAAATGGTGGTGTCAAGAACAATAACGAAGACGCTGGCCAAGATGTCGGAAACTTCGGTCAAACTACCGTCGAGTATATCTCGGATAGCTTATAACACGCTGAAGTTATAAGGCTTCTAAGTACGAAAGGCTTCTTGAAAGCAAAGTCTTAATAAAAGGATGAATATCCGGTTCGATAGAAGAACGTATACTCAAGTTGTCAAAGCTAAGGGGTACTTAGCACGGTTAATTCAAGACGATAAACAAAACTAGATACATGGTAAGTGAGTGTTCTTATATATTCCTCCTGGCTTTATTCCCTTCATACCGTCAGGTAATTCGGGTGATATTCCCATCATACCATGAGTATCACTGGTATCAGTCCTATCATACCGATGCTCTATCGGGAATGACACCCTAACCCTAATGGTTACGGATAATCCTTGCTTCCGTTAGTGCAGTAGTGTAACACTATCTGGTCAATCCATTGGCTGCGGATTCTTGATTCTTCTGACACAAGATTATCATTAATGGCAATTGATATATTATCAATTCCAGCTATGAGTGATGAACCGGAGCGAGTATTTTCAGGAGCACGTCGTACGGTCTCGTGGGAAAGAGCGCAGATGGGGCCTGATACTCTTGAAAAAGTGGAATGTTTAAAGCATTGGGAGCAGAATGGTGCTTCATGTGACGGCTCTGGCAACCTTACTATATGAGAGAGTAGTAGAGAGGATCCACCATCCTCAATATTCTGGTCTTTTTGGCGCAACGGCTTAGTGAGCGAATACTCCCGTGAGCGAGGTCGTGACACTTCAAATGAGAATATATGAAGTAATAGTGGTGTTCCGCACTGGGTGTCGAACTTTTGTCGAACTCGGCTTGGCGCCCAGCCCTCTCAAAGGAGCAAGCGGTGAACACTGATTACATAATTTTCTTGGCAAAAGTTCGACAAAATGTCGAACTGTTCGACATTTTGTCGAACTTTCGCCAAGACGCTAAGTCATGTGACTAAACCTCTGGCCTGTTGGGGTACGTAAGCTTGGAATTAATTTAAATGTTAGTTACATACATATCTTTACTAGCACAATATCCATAAAGCAATTTCAAAAAGTATATGTATGGATTCGCAAATCTCAACCTCGAATGAGAGCCAATTGGCTGCTAATATAGCAGCTGCAGCGCTGCAGGCCACCGAATATATTATAATAACCTCCTCACCACCGCCGCCAGTCCGTTCGCAGCCTACAACCGATACCCAGGGTACCACCGATTCGCAAGCCACTTCATATAACAGTACTGACGACTCGGATTCGAATGAGGCTTCCATTAGTCAAAATACGGCATCTCAAGTGAAGAATAACAAGCGAGGGAGATCGCTCAAAGATGAAGAGCTTTCTCTGCTGTTTAAATGCGCGTTGGACCTCAAACTTGATTATAAACCAAAGAGAAAATATTGGGAAGCTGTTGAGGATAGATTTGTGCGCCTTATTGGACATTCTTATTCGTGGAAATCGTGCAAATCTCAGATCGAGAGGCTCTCTAAGAAACGGCGCTTATACCTGGCTCAATACGTTACTGGTAGAGAGGCGGAGGCTACATCTGAGTTGGACGAGCTTATCGATCAATGGAACGACTTTATTGACGGATATGAGAAAGATGAGGCTGAGAAGTTGGCAGAAAAAAACAAATATAAGGAAAATTCGCAGTTGGTGCTTGCATATCGAGACCAACTGGTCTCAACAGGCTTGCAAAAATCCAAAAAGCAAGCGCCAGAGGAGCTTAAGCCGTCTGAGGATGATACTGGGTCTGATAATAGGAAAGTACCAGAATATCGTAAGACTGCTACAGCCTCGCGGCCGTCAAAAAAGCGGTCTATCCAGGAAGCGATATTCGCCTTAGTTGACGTATTAGAAGAGGATAGACAAGCGTCAAAAAAGCCTGAATCGGTTGCAAAAAAAAGCGAATTGGAACGGCTTTCTGGGGATGTCAAAGAGCTTCAAAATCAGTATAAAAATCTTGATGAGAAGCTTGATAAATTAATCTCAATGATAGGGGAAAAGCGTACGGGTTAGGGCTCATTATCCAGAACACCAAGATATTCCTCTAACGAAGGTGTCTCAATTCCATATCTTTTACTCACAAGATTCTCACGTAAACATGAGGCTATATTAGTGAGTAAAATAGATACAGCATAATAAGCAGCAACGGCTTGTTTTATTGGCTGCATATTGGTATAAAGCGCATTTCCATGCCACTGGTTTTGAACTTTCCCAAATATCTGTTCTACAGATATTCGGTGAGCGCTTATCCTATCGTTTATCTCGATTTGACGTGCAGATAATTCCCCAATCTTCGGAAATGGTGTTAGGACAAAAGGACATCCCTGATATCCAATATCTCCATATAAAAGTAGCTGTTTTTCATTGCCAGCTATAGCCTCAAGTCGTTCGTCTGTTCTTGATATTTGGAATATATTCGAATCTGCAATCTTACCCTCAAAGGGCCCAATTAGTGAGAGAACCATGCCATCTGGTGTGATGATTCCTTGATATTTGAAGCCATGGCGTTTCTTATATCCTGAATAGGCAATACGTTGATTTTTAGATGGCCGACATGTCGCCCTAAAAGTCCCATCAATACAACCCCAGCCCCTAGGAATAGCGCCCTGAGCTTCAAGGATTTGGGCGTACGCTTTACAGCGTTCTTGAGTAAGTAAAGGATGCCACTCTAATAGCCTTTTGTACCGACGATAAAGGTGTTGTAAGACGTCATTAAAAATGGTACTTATATAGCCAAATGAGCGCCCAAAAAAAATCTCAAGATCTCGTACTCGTCGAGGGTAAGACAGGCGTGCAAGCAATATTGCAAGAGCCATAGAGGGCGACGGCGTTCTTCGTCCAGTATATGAAATTGTATGAAGCTCAAAATAAGGAAGAATTTGACAGAATTCTTGCCGGTCAAATCTAATAATAGAACGCGGAGTTAGCTACTGTAATATTTTTAGATTTAGGCATATCCAAACCGTATATTCTCTCGTAGGCACGTATCGCTAAGCATATCAATATCGAATATGAATGGTGTATAATAGGATTCTCGAAGGGGTAATCTACCAGCATGTTCGTCCTCAGCCAGTAAACTTAGCAGTATAATCAAAATAATAAGTATTTTCTGTCTTCTTGATAACACGAGCGCCATAGCTAAACGGTGATGGTGTCAAAATATAAACTTCTAATCTATAATCTTTATATACGCCATGTAAATTGATATGGATTTGAGCTTCCGGAGGTTTACTTAATATTATTTTAGGCATAGTACAGCGCTAGATTATTTTGGGATACGCTAACCGTAATCGGTTTTGTCCGGCAGAATCGAGTTCGGTTCGACAAAACTGCGGAACACCACTAATAACTTAATATTGGTCTTCCTTTTGTTTTAATTTATATGAACAATGCTTTGAACATGCAGATTAGTATGGAGGCTAAGAAATATGGACGGGTATGTGTAACAGTACTAAAGCCTGAAACAGTACATATGATATCTGTGACAAGCCACAAGTCACACCAATTAGGTGGATAACTTGATATCTCCTGTCGGCGACTCACGCATGCATAAGAAGGAGATTCCTTGTAACTAGGATTGTTTTCCTTTCTCAAGCTTCAGTCTCTGTACATTAGGAACAGTACCCTTTGTTAATGAACATCTGGAAGTCACCGAACGACCTTCCGCCATATTGATAATTCCTCCTGTCTAACCAACGGACTAACCTCCCATTACAGTATGGATTGAAGCGGGTATTATGGTATGGAAAACCAGCCTGGTCCAGACACCATGGCAAGAGCCTCCTCGAGTTGTAGTTGACGAGTGAGAACGAGCAGTATCTATCCACAACCAAATCCTCAAAAAGAATAAGCATCTCATGATCTACACCGACGGTAGCGGCTACCAAGGCTATATTGGAGCAGCAATGGTCATCCCGGCATTAGGAAAGCAAAAGATAGAGTGCATCGGTACAGAAGACACATCAACAGTGTATGCAGCAGAGGCATGTGGTATTAAATTCGCACTCCAAATAGTGCTTTGGCTTGCCGAGGAGAGTGTACGGCTGATAGTAAGGAAGCCAGTGATATTCTCAGACAGCCAGGCAGTACTTCAAACCCTCCAGAACCCACGAATGGTCTCTGGTCAGGTGTACATACGCGACTGTGTGGAACTACTCAAGGAATGTATAGAGGAGGGAATCAACGTGGAGATACGGTGGATTCCAGGACACGAAGGAGTACCAGGGAACGAGACAGCAGACCGAGCAGCCAAGCGAGCGGCGTTCGTAGGAGCCCGACATCAAGTCGTACCTAGAGATATCAAGAATTGGACCATGCTTGCAGCGGCAGCTAAACGCAGGGTCTGTCAATCAGCCAAGAATGCATGGGAGAGATCGTGGGACAAGCAAAAGGCAGGGAAACCCACTAAGAAGCTGGTCACCAAGCCTTCCTGGCAAACACTTGCGTATTGGAACTACCTCCGGAAGGCCACGTCGTCAATCCTCATACAACTTCGTACGGAGCGCGTTGGGCTGGCTCACTACCTGTGGCGCATCAATCGACATGACCGACTATACTGCGAGTGTGGACTTTCTGGACACACTGTGAGGCATATCCTCATGGAATGCCCAATATATATTGACGAATGGAACCTCATGTGGTCGCGAATCAAGGGATTCCGGCGTACAACAGATCTGCAAGCATTACTCACTGAGAAAGCCGCTGCGGTTGCAGTCGCTCAATTCATAATGGATACGAGAGTACTCGATCAATTCCGACAGGCAGACCCGTAAGCACTAGGCACGAACGAAGAAGCAGCAAATCCAGCTGTCAATGACAAGGACACTGACGTGGGAACACGAACGACTGCGCACGTAGTTGACACGAGCACCAGGTCAGCTCGCTCGACAGTAAGGACCAGCGTTGACACAAGTACGAGCCTTGATGCAGAGGAAGCCGTGGAAGCCAGCGGTGGTGAGCCGTAGGAGACGTGGGATTTGTGGGATTTGTGAGACCGGTGGGAGTAGGATTTACAGTACGAATAGGTGAGAGTTCGTAATCGAGCGTACGGGCATTTCACATTACTTATCGCATTTCGCTGCGTTCTTCATCGATGCCGGAACCAAGAGATTCGTTGTTGAAAGTTTTGACAATTTTCATATCACTCAGACAGCCCATCTTCATCAAGGTTCAAGGGCGCCTCGGCGGGCGCGGGCCCGGGGACAG